GGGTATATAGCTACGCTCACTCCCCCTAGATAGTTTACACTCTCTTCGTAGCCAACTCATGTTACCTATTGGACTATACAGTTCTCAGTAACAGGTGACTGCTCATACCTTGCGTGATCCACAACCAGTTCATACTATTCAGATTGTTACTAGGAACCCTGACCCAGTCAGATCCAAGTAGGATCTTTAACAGTAGGCGGAATTTCATTTAGTTACGTTATTAAGGATAAGTTGAAGGTTAGGATGTATATCGTCGAGTTTAGAATTATAGATATCCTCGCCTGCGGTTACTAGATTAGGTAACTTACGCGAATAATATTAATTTAGATCTAAACTGATCTCGAATATTCATCTAGTTCATAATTATCGCTATTATTATCTAGAATTATTGCCGACGTTGAGATAAGGCTCGAATAAACTTAATAGTATTGTGAAACTTACTAAATGACCCTTTTATTCTTTAGAGAGCCTGTTCACGAGCGATCGCTGTCTAATCGCGAATCGATAACTCTTCCGTATATTCGGCGACGTTCATAAACGCTTCATTATCCTTGCTATAAATGAAGGCCTGGGCGGCGAGATTAATGATATGACCTAGGTAACGACTTCGACGTGAGTTCTCACTCTCGTCTAGATGAAATCGCCTAACTAACGCTTTATAGATAGTGTTGTAATTACTTACGTTATCGGCGATATATACATCTAGTTTTTCTTAAATTTCGAAGTCCTCGACGATCTTCGTAATTATTTCTGCGAATCTCTCTTTAGTATAAGAATTCTCTATTAATCTAAGGTCTAGAAAAGCGTATTATAATTAAAGAGAAGAGTCTAAGAAATGTGTATAAATACCGAGTATTAGTAGCGCTAAAGGTAAGGTCTAGGTATTAAAACTTAGATGAATTCGTAACTAACTATTCTATAATAGAGACGTAATATGAGCCTTTTCTTTATCGAACTCGTCGTCGATCTACGCCGTAATGGTTTTATGTGATCTCACTAGATATCTTTTAAGAGAAGGTTAAAGATAGAGTAATAAATTCCGAAACTCTCTATATTTCATAGCGGAATGCGGGACTTATTGCTATATAATTCATCGAACGAGTAAGTTTCTAAATCTCTCGATATCATAGCGTATTACAAGTGAACTAAACACTGACGGTACTAATGGAGTAACTAGATCTTAACTCGTAACACTAATAACCTCGTCGTCCTGAAGGTGACTATCAACCCTTACGCGTTTACCAATGATTCCGTGTTCGTTCTTGAGATGCCGATTCACGTTCGAGAGACTTCCAGCCTTTTTCATTAAGATCACGCTGTCGCAACGATCATAGATTCAAGAGGCGGAATCGTTAGGCTTCGAGATATCGCAATACTCGTCACTATGTTGCCAGATATAAGACGACGAGATACCTCGCCGTTTATTAGTCTTGCGGCCAACCTACAACCACATTACGTTACCGATCCGTCTATTCTCAGTACGGCGCGACGGCGTCTCGCTACTCGACGTTCGAAGAGTAACGATCGATGGCGAGGGCGTTTCAATGGAAGGTTGTAAACTGTCCGACATTTTCACATATAATTTGTTAATAAAACAGTTATCTCTGTTATTGACCGCCATTTTATTCCCGGTGCCAAGCCTGCCAAGTCTATGACTAGTCAGGACTATAGTCCCAGCGACCCTCGAGACTATAGTCTCACGGGACTATAGTCTCACCAACGCTGCTTGTGTCTTCCTTCTCGTCCTCGTCCTGGGTAGAACGGTGAGGATTTCCTGTGGTCAATCAGCCAGGTTGAATTCCAAATCATACACGGTGTTTGCTACGACTTGAATGATCAGGCTTGACCTGCTGCCGGCCGGGTTTGTCGTGGCCGTTTCGCACTCCGCCTGTGTCTCGCTTTCCAACATCCGCTGCCATATCGACTGGCAATTGATGACATGGAGGACGAGCCCACTATGTATTTCTCACGCAGGAACGCAAATCTGAAGCAGGGTCGTCGGCACAGGGTGGTGTTGACAGCCGCGAACTAGCAATCCGCTTCAGTCGCCGAGACCTTGAAACTCGCCAGTGGGATGAGGGTCCAATGGCTTGGCGGCATCAAAACGGCCAATCCTTGGCCGGCATGGCATCGATGCCACGAGCCTTAAGAGGGAACTTTCTTGGCCTCCTTGACATATGTGAGTGTGCTCAGCATATACCATGATGGATGTGAAAAACAGTCATTATCGAAGGTGATCACATGTACCGTTGCATTGGCGGAGGCTACATTTGCGTGCTTGAACGGCTAATCCTACTGCATCATTCCTTCCCGATCCGAAGAGAGCATTGCAGGCTTGGAGAAACAGTCCATGCTAAATCTTTGCGTTCTTCGTCACCGCCGCGGCCAACACGAAGCATCTGTTCGTGTTCGCACCCTTTCGTAAACTATAACCAGCGCGGAAGACTTGCTCTTTGAAGGCTGGCCTGGTTGATGCGTGGAAGATTGCGAATTGCCGACGATTATGTTTTACACGATTGATGTCACTAGCATTTGGATTCGAAATCTGATTGGAGAAGCGTCTTCTCACTCACTTCGTCCTAGTTCCCCGGCTTTCCTACCCCAAACGAGATGAAAGTGTAAATATGAATGCAGCTTCGGATTATGCAAATCACTCTTGACCTTCGCAATCATAATCTTGGTCTCATCCACCGTATATCCAAGCACCCTGGTGAACAAAGCCAGCGAGAAAGGCTCGACGGAGTCGAGAAACTGCACAAGGGAATATCTCCCAAGTTCCTTGAATTTCCTTCCTTTGGCCCACGTCCCAATGGGCACCTTGTAGATCTCTTCTTGGACATCGACGAAGCCTGCATCTTCCATGTGCTGCTTTAGAACATTGGCCTTTTTGAGATCTTTGCCGAATCTCCTGCTAGCTTCGGTTATTTTCACTTCCCAGTCTTTCAGGCAAGGGGCGTTGTCGATGCCGCCGTCGTAGTCATAGACGTGACAGTAGAATTCTTGCATCTCTAACCAGCCCCCAGGCCTGAGATTAGCAAGTGACTGAGTGAATAGCCTAGGCCAGTCTGCGATACTTCCGCAGAGCGCCCGACCATGAATATAGTCGAAGTGCTCTATTGGGGAGTAGGCCCATTCGCTCTCGATATCGTCCACATAGAATTTACAGTTCGGAGGGACCCAATCTGGTTGGATCGGACTGAGATCAATGCCGATCACGAGAGATTCCGGAAATTCGTCCGCAAACCCCATGCACCAGATCCCAGTGCCACAACCAAGATCCAAGACCCGCTGTGGTTGACCGTGCTGGAACAACGGAGCGCGGAACAAGGCGCCGTCGAGAACTAAGCAGAAGATATGATGTAACATATCAAGCCGAGCTTGCTCGTCTTCGTCGTTGGGCAAATAGTACTGGCCTTCTCGGTATGCGTGGTACCGTCGGCCATTCTCGTATCTGTAGTTGAGGACCGAGCTGGTCAGAGAAGCCGATATTGTGCTATTAATTGATGCACCATAAGCAGAGTCGGCGTCGCTCGGATCAGACTAGACAATATGTCAAAGATGATAATGTTTGGAAGCGGAAGAGAGGCATAAGGAGGGCGTACATCTTCGACCAAAGGGGGTTGGTGCGAGGTATTGGATTGCTCAGTTGCATCTGTTAGATGAGATTCTAGATGAGACATGACCATGTGTTCAAATGCGTGTCATCGAATTCCCCGTTGGCGTAGGAGCTGACCAACATAGTGTGAAATTCGCATGCGAGGGGGGTTAAAGACAAACAAAAGGCTTGCAATGATGGAAGAGATTAGCAAGATGGCCAGGGCAGTATGAAAGCTAAATTTTCACCCCTTCCCGCGGGCCGGTGGTCCGTGCGTTCGTATTTTACGTAGTAGGGTCCGGGGACCTAGGCGTTCCGCGGGCACGCCTCAGGTGTACCGACAGCAGGGTTCTTGTGGAGCAAACGGGCTGCGTGGGAGTCTTTCCCGGTATGGGGATCGTCCATGTAGTGCTTATTACGATCCATCGAGGTCTAGAACAGCAATGCGAGCCGTTTTATCCTCGCCACCTTCAATTTTCCACGTTTTCCCGAGCTGGACGGAACAACCCTATCCCCTTTCCCGTCATAGTTGAGAGCTCTGTTAAGTCAAACTACCTATCAGAAGAGAGCTTCAGAAACTTAAAAGTCGGGTTTGCACATTTTAGACAACAGAGTTCTATGCGGTGAAACCATCGAGCTAAATGGATTCCTTCATGACGAAGTCTCTCGGGGTGTTTTGCATCAACCTTGATCGTCGGATTCAGAACATCAATGAACGGCCTCCCAGGCTCTCTGGATTAGGCAGCATTCTTAGCATCCACGCATAAAGGCGCACAAGACCAATGAGCGCGGAAGTTCGCGAGACGTTGGTAGTTCCCAGTCGGGTGCGCAACGAAATGTATGCACTGAGCCCCGGCTTGAGCTAAAGGAATGGGCCATTCCCTCCTTGGGCAAGCCCGAGGAACGTCGACCAATCGGGCAATTTGGGATGAAGCTTCAACAATCTCGGCCGAGCAGAGTCCGAGTGCGATTCGGATGGTATCCTCGGTGAACATTCATTTAAACGGAGAAAGAGAGGGTCTGCACAGACCGATCTAAAGTGAGGCCAAAAATGGCGTATAAGAAGTCCGACTGTGCGCTTCTTAGGAGACCTTGAGGCAAACTCCATCTAGAGGAGCGCAGCCTGGCTGCCCCTTCAACTCAGAGCACCGGTAGATCACTCCTGTCATCAGCGTCGAAGAGGTGTTGAAACTTTCGACATGATCAATGATCTTCGCCGTCGACTGTCCAAACGCTGTTTCGGCATTGTAGCCGAAGGTCATGATCCGCGCATCAGGGATTTGCTCGGGGAGGAAATCTCGGCTAGAGCTTCTTCGATTTGGGGTGCGACCAGGTGGTGAAGGCGTCGCCGTCGAGGCCATGAACGGCTACAATACTGTCGCAGGCTTTGCATCATCAAAGCGCCCGAGTGATCGCACCTTGGAGTTGTTGGCTAGGTCCCGCCTCATTGTTCACCTCCTCCGCTTCCGACTAACTGGCCGAATCCAGTATTTCCACGTTTTCCTTGATGGGCCGAAGATATAGCGTCCGGTCACCACTTCAATCTGATAGAAATAGAATGTTGGCGTGAAAACGTAGTATAATTAATTAGCATGCTATTGACTCGAGATGTGTACCGTCGTGGTGCAGTGTCTTGCCGCACAGCACCCCTATTAGGTACTTCGGCTCAGCCTGACAAACAGCCGAACACCAATCCGATGACAGTGGAGTTGTGAATGACAAGGCACGTAACAACACAGCTCAATAGTCATGGGTTAACAGTACTAGGCAGATTGCTGCTTAATTGTATCTAAGTCTCCAAGTCATGGCGAGTCCATCGATGAAAATATTAGTGAGGTTCAAATCAGGATATACCTTACTAATCGGCCCAAATCAGTGTCTCCAGGTCCGTCTATATCACCAAGTCCGTCGACATAGGCTGGTCCAATGACCTCATATAACACGCCAACCGCCCTAAGAACAACCGGCTCTTGAGTCCCTTTGAACAATACAAGGACGTTGTCTTTCGACGACTACGCCCGCTACCTGAATTTCAGGAGAATCCAGCCAAAAGTTCTCCTGGACTGGACCAACAGCACTTGGACCGTGACCCATGGCTTTAACAGCTTCAGAACCACGCCCCGAGTCGACCGTGATACCCGGCCAGTCAACCGAAGAGCTTCAAGTCGAAGAAGCTCCAGAACCGGAGGCTGAATATCCTACAGGCGCACAACTATGGCTCAACGTCGCAGCCACGATGTTGGTCTGCTTTCTTGCACGGCCCGGATCTCACAATTGTTGCCCTACCGTTCCCTCCATAACGAACCTGTTCAGAGCCGGGGCTGATATAGGCTGGTACTCTGCTGTTTACGGAGTCGCCCTTAGCGCAGCCAACTTCTTCGGAAAGAAGTACATATCCTCTTTTCCAACTCAAAAGAGTCTACAAAAACTTCCGTGACCATATTCGAGCTGGGCTCCCTTTTGTGCACGTTTCCACTGATTCGATGATGGCGATCGTGGTCGACAGGATCCTCCGGAGTGGAATTGAGACCTGCGCTCGTATTTGCAGGTACTGTGCGTGTGGTTGTGTTAGTTTAGGCACATGTCATGACTCAACCGTTTAATGACCCACGCACGGTCGTGACAAAAAAAGTAGAACAGACCAGAACAGACCTCTTCAGCCGCCTCACTTTAACTGGGTATCATGTCCGCCGTTTCGCTCGGTTTGCTCATCCACTCCCTTTTTCCTCTTGTCGCTTTTGGCTTCTTATGTCGGGAACGGCACAGGCCGCCACCAGCATTTCACATCCACATTAGACACTCAGATGTTCTGTACCATCGGTGTCTTGTTGTTTCCAATGTGATGTCGCGGTCAGAAGACAATTCCCAGCCAAGGCAGGGAGCTTGGGTCTGTGCATGTTGACAAAATAGCTTCATAGAAGGGTGTCACTCCGGCACCTTCCGCAAACACGGCGCTCGCGACATCTGCTGGTGGTCTCACCCTTTACCATTGGCAGAAATATCCCGCTCAGCTGGTGGATCTACTCGCCAATAGAGCCTCGGAAAACCACCATAAGTGAGTTTGACCCTGGAAACATACTTGTACCCCTCAGAGATCACTGCCGAGCGGGGGAAAGGGGGGGGGGGGGGTTAGCTCGCTTGGCTCTCTACGGATTTCATAAATTATGGTCCATAAGATCAACTACGACCATCATCCTTATGGAGCGGCTTCCCCTCTTTGCTCTTTTAAAGAGCTAACGTCAGACTAAATTCAGTTCTTAACATCCAATTTGTATCCATGGCCCTTCACAAAACGAACGCGGTCAATGCATCAGCCACAAAGCATCAACCTGGCGTCCATCGACTTCCGTATGGTGGCGCATCCAGCGTTAGCTCCTCTCCCTCCAATATGGAGAGAGAACTCCTCAAAAAGACTATCCCAGATACCGCCGACGTTTCGGCCGGAGACTTCGACTTTGAGGAGCTTTTCATTTACGACGAGCCACAGAAGAAGTTCACGGGTGTGGTCGAAGCATCGATTCCCACTCGGGAAAGAGACAGATCCAACTTTTCATTTTCATATTATGCTTCGGGGATGGGCGCTAGAAATGAGATGAGCAGAAAGAAGGAGGGCGACCACCTAGATATGAGGAATAAGAGCAGCACGGGGAATCGGTAATCCGCAGACAGATTCTGAAAAATCAATGCTTAGGTGCGAGAACGGTGATGCGGGAAACGGATGTCCACCCTTCAGGGACTTGATAGCCGGCCTGGTTGAGGCGTGGAAGATTGCGAATTTACCGACAATTATGTTTTCCATCATTGACGTGCCCGACTCCTCTATGGACCAACGAGTGAAGCTGATAAAAAGGAAAGGCATTACTTGAGAATTATAGGAACACTATACCTTGGGATTCAATAAGCAGCTTCACAAGCTATAAGGGTGCGCTCCGCAGTAGGGGAAGATCTCTGCAGTTAGGCTAGCCTGTTCAACGAATTGTAAATAGTCTGGCCCTACTAAATGAATCGGCTGGTCCAGCTACGCGCCGAAAATATCGAACTGGGAATGGGCACAGGGTGGATTGTGTGTTTAACTAAGATCATTCTGCGAAGTACCTGACTCTCGGTACCTTCCTGACTGCTGGCTCACATCATTTGCGGGACTGGTAACCATTTCAACCAGGTCTCTGCCTATTAATAATATTCCACTTGTAATGTCTTTCTCTTGGCCGTATACTTGACTATATCTAGTTGCTCGACCATCTTGCCTATTTGATGTGGCAGACGGCCGGGGCTCTCTAGGTGGAGTGAGCGCTGACCCAATGGTCGAGGACCCGTCGGAACATATGCGGATTCTCTTTTTCTCTCTTTCTACCACGCTCGCTCTGATATTGATGTGTGGAAGAATGCCCGAGGTTTCTGTTAAAGGTATGAACTTTGCAGGCCGTGAGACTACTTGTTGATATAGGGGCTCCACAGTCCCGAAATAATTTATTTCCCTTTTCCTCAGATTTTTTTTTTTTTCTTGATACCGGTATTTGGCGGAAGATTGAGTCGCGCAGAGCCCAGCGCGGGATTTTAGGATCTGACAAATTGGCATGGCTCCAAGAAGAAGTCATGATTAATGCCGTGACGCGTTCTTGTTTCCTTCAGCCTACGAACTTGCTCAAGAGAAAGCTCACTTGTAAAAGTTGGAAAGTGCTTGGGGGAATTAATGCCTCTCATGAGAACAAGGGGGAGTCTTAAGGCTACATCTATCGATAATCTATTTCGATGAGAAGGCTAACAGCCATGAGTAGAAGTTTGGAGATATTCCGGATCAATAGAGGGTCGGGGTTTTAAACATACTAGGTGTTGTTTTGTATCAATCTTAATTATGTCGGGTTTAGAACGTCAATGAACCACCTCCCGGGTTCTTTGCAGAAGTCTTTGTGACGTCCTCAATTTGATTGGTGAACTTAACGAGGAGGTCGTTATCGAGGCTATTATCGCGAACACCTCTTCCACTCCAATATTTACTCGTGGTTAAGGAAGCGTTCCCTGTCGAGTGCTACGTGCGGAGAAACTTTGTAACAAGGAATGGAGTGAGAATTCTGCCTCGTAAACGAGCTGATCCCTTACTTTTGTAGCGATTCGACTGAATGAAACAATTTAGGTGAAAGTTCGGAGGGCCAATCCAGCATGTCCTATGCCCACTTCCGCCTAGGTCTCTGGGACCGGTAGATCCCTGTTACCTACTTTCTTTATCCGGCCCATCCACATCGGGATCCCGCCTCTGATAATGGTCTCTTCATCCTCGAGGAACATCAACATCTCTCCATTGACATCTTCGGAATTCTCTCCTCCGTCGCCAACCCCATCGTCAACTCTTCCACTAGACATGGAGGCTTTGTCGTTGGCATGTGTTCGATCCTTCTCAACTCCCTCCGCCTGTTTTGGCTGTTTGAGCTCCCATGTAATATCGCGCTGCTCTCCAGTGTATGTGGCGGCGGCCGTGGACACATTTACATTGTTTGCAGGAGTCGAGTTTGATTTTGGAGCAGACATTTTTGGATGAAAAGGATACGTATTGTTCTGCGGATGATTTTTGGATGCGGGTGGAGAGTGCTGTATTATGCAAAGCGTCGTGCGAAGGGGCCGTCAAAGTCATTTTTAAAACCATTCTTTCTCGATGCATCCGCACCAACACAGGCTACGCTAAGCGTGAGCCTAGTCTTTCTTGAAGGGCTCCGGGTGTCAGCGGGCTGTGCAATACCGCGCCTCCACACTCCAAAGTTGTATGAAGGCTTGGTTTTATGGAGAAAAGGAGCATGGAGAACACGTGGCTCTGGGTTGAATAAGCTGCGACGATCACGATGCCCAGTAACTTGGCGTCATTTCCACCTCTTCACTGTTCGGAACTTTCCACTCAGTCTTTCCTAGGTTTCGGCTAGTGTAACTCGTTTGTGTTTACGCTAGATCTTGGAAGGCTTCCTATTGGATATGGACAAATAGCATCTTCTTAGGTTGAAGACCCTCTTTTTAGTCAAGAGCGCCGTCCAGTTAAAACAAATTCTGAGTTGAGGGCTTCCTGTCGAAAGAAGAGTTTCGAAACTCAAATTTTGGGCCGCGGTTTTATATCGACCTCCCTACCTCAGCATATACGAGGGCGCAAAGCCTTTTTCATCAACCGTAAAATAAATGGCCTCCGTAAAAAGATCTACTTGGAAAAATGATGGACAGTCTGCGGCCTGCGGCCTGCGTCCTCACCCGCTTTATTACGAATTCCGAGCTATATCCTATCACTTTCCACACCAGCCAGTTTCCGATGCACCATAGCTCCTAGAAAGCCTCTCAGGATCTGGTGAGGCGACCCAATAGATGGACGCATCGATATCTATCTAACCCATTTTCCAGGCTACAAAAGCGTTCACAGAAATGTCTGGCGAAACCGGAGCTATATCGGTGTCTATAGGAGTCGCAATGGTTATCGCCGGATTTTTTGCCATATCCTTTTACAACTTTATCTACATCAATGTCAAAATCTTCCTAACCTTCAAGCGGCATCGGGGTCTCTACTTTTGGTCTCTAATCGTGGCATCTTGGGGCATCCCTGTGCACGCAATTGGATTTCTGCTCAAATTCTTTGAACTCGGAGCACCGAAAATGATGGCTCTAATATTCATCATTGGAGGATGGTACTGTATGGTTACGGGCCAGTCGATGGTGCTGTACTCCCGCTTGCATCTCGTGGAGCCGGATGTGAAAAGGGTTCGATGGATTCTTATTATGATTATTATTAACTGCTTCCTCTTACACGGTGTCATGACAGTCATCTTTTTCGGGGCCAATTCCTCGAATCCCGAGCCTTTCATCAAGCCGTTCAAGATATACGAGAAGATTCAGGTCACCGGATTTGCGCTTCAGGAATTCATCATCTCCGGATTGTACATCTACAAGGCTTGGGACATGCTCAGGCCGGCCCTAGACGATTGGAGTCAGAGGGCACGCCGGATCATGATCCACCTCATTATTGTTAACGTTATTATCATCATTATGGACATCACATTACTTGGAACAGAATATGCGAATCAATACGACATTCAGACCACCTATAAGGGCGCACTCTACAGTATCAAGTTGGTCATGGAATTTAGTATTCTTGAACAACTATGTGCCTATTTGAAAGGAAGAAGCAATTCTGGATTTGACCCAACTTCGATCAGATACCAGGGTGGCACCGTCGTCGCAAGAAGCAACTATTCCACCGCCGTGTTCTCTCCCCAAAGATTGGGCTCCAGCAACGACAAGCCTGACGAGGCTATTGAGTTGGAAGAGCAGCATAGAAGCAATTTTCGAGGTCCCAGCCATGAAGATCGGTAGGGAGAGAGACTAAATAGGAGGTAATAGACCCCCCTGATCGACAAACCCGTGTCGTCTCGTTGTGTCTCCATGTATAACGGGTTTATATGTGCCGGAGCCGTGGTGGCAGCATACACAGAAGATTACGGCGTACTTGACCATGCCACCTTTCGGCGAAGGAGGATGGTTCTTTACTTTTGGGGGTAGAGCTTTACACACCATGGATTATCGATGGCAGAGGTTCGATCCATGGCTACACCCAAAGGAGGGAGCAATCCCTTAAATTCTTTATCAGTCTGGAATGAAGTCTATGTTGAACTGATAAAACGATGAGTTCATTATCTCTGAAACTGACTAAGGCAGCAGGGGGTAAAATTAGGCGATTTGCCAACCAACGCCTTCCACTTATTCCCAATACATTCAACAGGGGTCCAGCCGACTTCCCAGTGCTTCCAACAAAAGAACTGGAAATAACCCTCGTTGGCAAGAAAGACACTGTTGCCTCAAGGAATTGCCGATTTGGACACTCATTGAATGAGTATATATAGACAGGGCAGTCGCTCATGTCATATACACGGGGCAGAGGCCTCAATGACATCCATTTCCACAATCATGTTGACAACATGATTAGTCATTGTCGAGAAAGGAGGCTGCCGGCCGTTTCCCATGAATAGCGAGATGGGCGGTGACGCCAGCACTACGAATGGGACGCCCTTTCTAGGAAGCCATGGTCGGCATTGCGGTCAACACCCTAAAGGGCACTGTGCCTTTGCTCTTTATCTCGACTTGGGGCTTCGATAGTTAGCCTTGGGCTGCTCGAGGCCATGCCCACAATGACCTCGTCCCAGTCTTGCTTGGCTCCAGATTGCGAACAGTGTCCGTGTATATATATGTAAGACCAGCTTGCCAAAACCCCATTTCAACACGACCGCATGTTAAACGATACGACCGTTCAATATGTAATGTAATGCCAAGGGCAAGATGGTAGGCACGTGCACAATCGTGGGACCACTCAGCTGCCACCCTTCGCACCGAGTTTTTTCCCAACCCGAATTTTCGGACCTAGCTCACTCTTGCTCACTGAACCTCAGGGGTGCTACGCATACAGTAACAGAAGCTGAGGCTAGCGCTAATCAGCCAAGTTTGGACCCTCCACTTGTTCGCTTACCTTTCACATAATCAATCATCCCAGAATTTCAGAACCGATGATCAGGCGATGGTTCCAGTGATCCACTGCGTCGTATCCCTCGCGGTGAAACTAACAGGATGGACGGAAACGACGACCAAACGAAAGAATCGCAGATCCATGAGATCATCCGGCGAAAGCGCAAGATCCGCAAACCTCCCTTCTGCTATCCCTGCCGCCATCGGAAAGTCCAATGAGTCTGGCTAGAGCCAATTGCAGGACTTGTCGACGCCTTCTACGCAAAAGTTCCCGCGAAGATCAGGGTAGGCATTTTCCTGCGAGCTTACTTGGGTGGCTGGTGTGACCGTAGACTCTATCCTACAATCGAGTTTGTTAAGTAGGTTGAGCACCCAGGTTCTAGAATCTCACCCTAGCGCTGAGTTCTGGTCCGATAGATCCACAAGGAAGGGAAATCGAGATCACAGCCGATGGAGACATCCGACTGAGGGCTAGGGTGCCGATATCAATTTCGGGGCCGCTGCCGCTTCGCTAGATCTCATCCAGTGGAAAACCGTTGCAGACTCATCGTCTCTTCTCCAACTGTCAGTATGCAGACGCCCAGGCTGTGGGTCAGGTAACGCACCTCCATGAGACATGTGACTCTGGAAAGGATGGCAGAGCTCCAAGACGCTCTTGCCCATAGCTTGTGATCTCGTCGAGACGGTGGTGTAGACTAGTCGGTGAGCGAACTCCGGCCCCAGTCCCGATCAGAAGGCCCTTGGCTGTAATGGACGGCAATCGGGTTCCTAAATTCGAGTGGGGTGAAAGTCGTTGAGTTGGACCCGCGCTTGTGTTGGCAGAAATGGCACGAGGGGCGACGCTTCAAAACAACCGAACAGGAAGCAGCTCCGGTTAGCCACATCAACGATGGGCAAGCCTGCGAAGCGGACTGAACCCCTGCAGGTACGGGCTTCGCGTGTTGAGAAGTCTGGTCGCGTGCAGCGAGACCACCGCACTCTCTCGCCATGGTACCGTCGAGTCTAGGTTATTGACGGGGATCTGTCAGAGCTGGAAAAGGAGACTGCAAGTTTGAAGACGGCGCTGATGTGGATGAAGAAGACGAGTCGGAGAGATCGTACGACGGGTCTGATGCCGATTACTACCCTTGGGACGAAGGGGCAGAAGCAGAATCCAGTCGTCTCCACCCGGTGCTTCGACTCGACGTCGTATTTCTCGTGTGAGGCTGAACAAGCCGGGCAAGGGGGACAGCCATGCTTGGACAATTAATATCATATGATCGAACATTTCTTACATAAGTTACGGGGGATACGAAGCAGACAAGTCTCTCGTCGTTTTCCACGTCTACTCCTCATCTACTTTGCGTTCACTGCTCACGCTTGTCGTTTTATGTCCGTGAACCTAAAAAAAGAGGCTTTTGCCTAAATTACAGCCCATCAGGGTCTGCTCAATCGAATCCGTCAGCACTCGATATCTTCTTGTCGCAAGGCTCGTATTTCTCAGCCCCCGTTCCAGTCGCTCCAGGATGGAGATGGTGGTACCTCAGAAGCATAAATTAAGCCCCCCAGACCGTTGTTGGATTTTAGTCTGCGAGGGTTCTTGTAAGCCGCTTCACACAACACATCCATCACAGTAGATCTCCATCCACATCGCTCTTGCCGCAATCAAAACCACTCGATGGCTCCTAAATTTGAGCAGGTATTCAAATTGAGGGCGTTTTTGAGCAAGACGGATTTTCTCTCCTTGGGGCCCATCAAAGGAGGCCCACACCGCTATATTGCGACGGTCACTCATGGGACATTGGAGGGCTGTGGACTCAAAGCTCAGCTTCTCCATGGAGGTGGGGACTGGCTGCTTTTAGACCACTCAAGTGGAGTGGCTCATCTCGATATCCGCGCCCAAGCTCGGTCGGAGGGAGGGGAGTGTTTCTATCTACACTATCCAGGTATCTTGAAGATGGACGAAGCAACTCAATTGGTTTTACAGTGGAGTCCCGAAGCCAAAACTACGCGGTCGGAGGACCACTATTTTGTTACTACACCAGTCTTCGAGACAAGCAGTCAAGATTTCAAATGGATGGAGCAAAACATCTTCATTGGACATGGCCATTGGTACATTCCAGGTGACGGTACACAAGCGGTCGAGTATGAGATATATAAAGTGGTGTCTGCTTGATCTGAGAACAAAATCTATCAAACTGAGTTTTACACGATATAAGGCGATCTGGCGGCCTCCGGCTACTCCTTTGCCGAGTCATCTCATGCTTGAGAGTAATTTACCTTCTGCCGCTTGTTCCAAATCGGAATGTCGTTCACGAAAGAATCGGTGACGAGCATCTGATCCTGGTCGCTTTCTGCATAGCGTTGTTCACAACTCAAAGATAGATAGTAGGCTCGTCCTCCATATCACTGATATCGATCGATATGGTAGACGATGTTGCAAAACGAGATATAGGAGGAGAGCGAAAGGGCCACGACAAACCTGGCCGGCAGCAGGTCAAACCCGATCGTTCAAGCCGTAGAAAACACCGTTCATCATTTGGAATTCAACCTGAATGACCATAGAGAAACGGCACTGTTTTGCCCAGAAAGGAGCAAGACGGCATGCCACGAGGAGGGCAGTATTTCTAGAGGGTGCTATGTCCCTCCTCGCTCCGACTTTGCTTAATGAAATACTGGAGAAAGACTAGCAAACCCGTGAATTATCTAGCTTCAGTCTAACTGACTAATACCCATATCAAATTGTTCCATTTCACATATTGGCATAAACAACGGCACCTGCGAGCCCGAATGGCTGCTGAAGACGCAGCATAAACATCAGTCCAAAAACCCGAGAAAGATTAATATAAACACACAAGCAAAGCCCACCTTATGTCCTGACTAAATCGGCTCCCCTGTCGACACCTGAGAGCTGGAACGTGATCCCACCGGCAGCACAAAACCCAGGAACATAGGTGGGAGACCGGCTTCGTCCACAATTGAAGGGCCAGGGCTCCCGAGAGATGGACCCCAAAGTAGGGCTATCTGGCAGAGGCTAATTCATGCTCTGCGTCTCGGCTTTGTCAATGCTTAGAACAGCTTTCCGATATCCCGGTGCCTGACGACCGAGCGCATTTCGTCCCGGTTTACGCAATATTCACGGACTCCTAGAATAGCCGACGCGCCGTAGGCGGCTGAATCACACATAATGGTGGTTACTTCGGCGCAGGAAGGAAACGACGACCACACAGCAACGGTGAAGGGATCTGGGAACCGCGGGTCCGATAATTAGAGGGAATCGACTTTCTTCACGTCCTACAGCATGATGACGGCGAGTGAAATCTACGTTAAGAGTTTACACGTATACACTTAAGCACAGAAGAAACCACGTATAAACAGGCAGAGTCTCTCTGAGTAGCCAGGGGGACAAGAGCACAATCACGCAGATACATCCACTCCTGTTCTGTGTACAACAGGTAGGTACGTATGCCATGGACGCTATCTGCAGGTAGCCGGCTCAGCCGGTCAGCCAGACCCACACACTCAGTAGAATGAGCCCTGCAAGATCGGAAGAGAAATTGGCCTGCTGGTGTCTGGAATAGTTGCGTTGGATAATTGATCCAAAGTGCTGGCACGTCAAAGTTTTATTCCGCTACGCCGTCCGGTTAGTGCCCGCCGGGTTTCCGTCCCACGAATACGGCCATCAGATAAACAAAGCATTTCCCTCGCGCTGCTTCGGCCGTCATCTTCGCCTGAGCCTCGTCCAGCTTCTGCATGACCTCTGCTGGATGTTCCTTGCGATGTCGCAACGTGCCCATGACTTCCTGCATGGACATCAAGACCAGATCCGTCTCGTGCTTTAGCAGGTGAGGAACGACCTTCGAGACCGTCTTCTCCACGTCGACCAGACCCTTGGCCTCAAATACCTGGGCGAGGTCGTCAAATTGCCGTGCCGAGCTGAACCCGCCGGTATATCTATCGATCACCTCGAAATAGTCGGGCAGGTCTGGCGAGTCGATCAGGGAGGAATGCTCGTCCAACACCCCGATCAGACTCGAGCAGCATTCGTGCCATTGAAGGCATCCTCCTGGCTCTGGACGGCTCAGGGTTCATTCATCATTAGTTTTGCCAACAACTGGAACACGAGCTGGGAAAGGAGGGGTTTGAACAAGAATCGCAGCTCACTCATCAACTTGATCAGTTTTTCCAGCACCTCAGCCTTGTCCCTGCCTTGGAACGTGGAGTAAATGGCGCGGACATGAACGACATCGAATCTCTCCCAGAACTGTTCGGGGACCGGGTCAAAGAAATTCCACGAGCCAAATTCAATGTTTGCCGGGGGGGTCCAGACGGGAGGATATTGGTCGGCTGAGATGTCGAGCGCGACGACCTTGCTGTTGGGATGGTCGTGGGCTAAAGTGAGTGCCGCAATCCTGTTTTTTTTTGGCGGTTCATTCATCAACGAACATGTTCGGAAAATGACTTATGCCTCCCGCCATAACGATACGTACGCATTACCCGTTGCAATATCCACCACTTCTGGCGCGGCGACTTGTGAAAGCCTCCGTTCAACTGCCGGATGCAGCAAGAATCCGTTCTTGAGAACCCAGATGAAGTGCTGCGCCGTGAGCCTTTCCCCGCCGTTAAAGAAACGGTTGTCTCCCGGGGGCCCCTTATGGGCTCTCCACGTACCGTGCGGAAGACAAGAAGGTCCGAGAAAAATGGTAGCCGTCATTTTGTTCGGTCTCGGTACTGGCCATATTGCGTGAGACGAAGATGGATGAAATTTGCGAGTTGACTGGTCAATGCCAGGTCATGTCCTGCTGTGTCAGGAGATTCTTATATCACCGTTCTTATGACTGCTCATATAACACATATATCTGCGCTTACCGTAAGCCATGCTTTGGATTTGATGTTTTGTTAGATTGCGTAGTCGGTACATGTGCACACTGGAGTCCGTGCGGCAGCTGCGGTAACGGACCGTCGGTCGTTCATGCCTCTCAAACGAGCCATGTCTTTGTGCTGCCAGAGCATGCTGCTAGGTCGGTGTTCAGTGCAAACCGGCTGAGCGACGGAGACGAACTGTGCGAGCCATGAAACCCACTGGCGGCTGTCGTCCTCGGCGTTCAGCCGCTCGGGCCTCGATCAGAGACCCTCGATCCAAAATGGGAAAAAGGGTGTGTGAGCTTATAACTTCTTCAAGCGATCGGTCTCTGGTAGAGGTTGAATCGGCTGTCTTGACAATGGACCGGCGGTGACAGAGTTGAGTCCGTGCACCCTCCAGGAATGGTTCAAGATGCGCCCTTAGTTGTTGCAATTCCTTCCTCGACGAAGGCACGCAAATAAGTAAGCTCTGTTGGGACGAATTGGTTATTTTGGAAGGTAGAATGAGCTGAACATGACAAAGGATATATGTGTCGTTTTGATCACCAAGCGCACAGTCTAAATACTTGCTACCTCTGTACTGGGGAGCTATATAGACATTTTGTTAACTGGTTCACCAATCAAGTCTCTCCGACGATGGAGTATCGGCGCGATCTAATTGGTAGACTAAGCCCCGCTTAAAACACTTGGCACTTGGCGTCCTGAGAGCCTCGGGCTAGGAATCTTGGTAGATATCGAGGTATATACCTGGTATGATTTGTACTCGGTTTGGTCCTACCTGATCGACAACCCCTTGCCCCCTAGACTCTTATGATCAACACCTAAATCCTTCAAGCTATTCACGACAAGTCAAATCCAGCCCCCGAGTTCACTGCATACAGAAGCTTTTCCTTCATCGTCTTGAGGTCTCCGTACCTGGGCAACTTGAGCAGGTTCACGCAGGTCGAGGTGCTCGGCAGCCGTTCCTGGTCCCCACTAGAATCACGAATACTGAACTTCGGGTTCAAGTGACTGAATCCCAGCAGCGGTGCCCGTGGGGTGCTGGTGACGAACTTGAGCACTTTCCGCCTGTCTTCATCCGACATCTCCTGCAGCGCTTGCCAGAATAGTTGCACCGTGGCGTGCTCAAGGCCGTCGTCGCCAATCGTGTAGACTCCTCCGTATTGTGTGTTGCGCCGGAGATCAGCAATGTCGAGTTCAGTGTTGTCTCCACCGACGAGCTTCTGCAACTCCTTCTGGTTGAACATGGCGAGCCACATGGGCTGGATGATCTCACCCAGGCCTCTGAGAAACGCGTCCGTGACTGCTTTCGGCTGCTGCTGTAGCCGGTACCTTACGATTCGGTCAATGTACAGCAATCGGTTGGTGTTTGTGACAGGGGTATTGGCGCCGTTCGGAAGCAGTTCTCTTGTGGACGTCTTGTGGATCGTTTTGCCCTGCTCATCTTCTACAGTGAGAGTATCAGTGACCGTAAAGTCAAGCGCGAAGTCAGTTTCCACGTCCCCTGTATAGTTCTTCAGCTTCAGGAGGCCCTGATACAATTCCTCGTCGTATTCTCGGAGGTCATTGATCGTTGCTCGATAGGCGGATTCGTTCGAGCCAACAGTCGTCCCACCAGTCAGTGCCCATTTCAGCAAGAAGAAGCCAGCAAAGGTAACGTCAATCAGGATACCCTCGTATAGACATTTTCCGACTATTCTGCCCAGGAACTGGAAACGGTGGAGAAGTTCAGCCATTGCGAACGCCGTCTCCTGGGAGCCCCCCTTAAGGCCAGCGAGCCTCAGGTGCTCTGCAGTTTCTTGGTAGATCGTAGGATTCGGATAGAGGTACCTCTGAGCGTTCTCCTTGAACATCGCCGGTTTGGAATCGGGATCAAATGCTTCGCTTGTCACGCTAATGAGAAACTCTTTTGTCACACCACCCCCATCAATGCCGGCTTCTGGGGCGCCGAACCGGTCGATGAAGGTGATCTGTATTGGTTCTTTGAGTCCTTCTCCGAGCTTGTAAAACGACTCGTAAGCGTCTTCAAAGACACTGGTACGACGAATTTCAGCGTGATGCCTGGAGAGGATGTCAACCCCAACAGGCCTGCCGTCAGCGGTTCGACCTTGGGTCGAGGCCACGACCATACGCCATGTATCGGGGTCGGTGACTCCGTTTCGTCTGCGGAGCTGATCTCGGAAGACGAATTCGCGGAAAATCTGGACTCTCGTCTCAAACGGAATGAAGAATGGTAGGTTGCGGAGGATTTCAAGACGAGGTGCCAACGCCTCGAGCTGCCTCTTCTTCCTGGCCCGCAATCGCTGCTTTTCCAGCCGCTCCGCCAATCGTGACGCTCTGCTTCTTGGAACGTGTGAAGGCCGGATGCCAAACATGGAGCTCAGTAGGGCCTCGCCAGCTGATGAGCCCACGGACCTATCCATTTCGGCTTCTCTGTCGACCTCGTCTTCCTCTTCCTCTGTCTCATCCTCATCCCCCAGTTCGTGTCTCCTCTCCTCTTCTGCAACGACGGCGGGAATGAACCCAGCCATGCTGACCTGAGTGGTCATCAGCCAGTGATCCGGGGGTACAAATGACCGTCTGGAGTCTCTTTCATGCAGCATCCGCAGAACGCCCGTGACTAGGCCTTTGAGGTAGCCATGCGATACGCCATTGCCAGTCAAAGTCTGTTGCTTCTTTTCCGTGGTCTTGACAGAGGAACGGCCTGGACTGCCAAAGAGTGCAGATATACCGAGCTCCTCGTCTTGGTCGTTACTCTCCACCAAGTCGGCTGCGTTCCAGTACAGGGTGAAAGCGAGGTTCTTCAAAAATGTAGTCATCAGCGCCACTTGTTCCAAGGGCAGCGATCCTTTTCTCGACAACAAACTGGTTGGCGAGCCTGCCGTCGCCCCAAACGCGCGCAATTTGTCGTAGGAGAAGAAATCATCGTCGTCCATGAATTTGAGCACAAAAGTGTACAACTCGAGGAAGAGCAAGATTAGCCGCCACTCATCTCGCCACCGAGCAATCTCGTTTCTGGACAATAATGCTTGACCAATTTGATTGGTTCTTGGAGCCGCTTCTCTCAATAACGAGAGCACGATACGATCGTCTTGGGATATCTTCTTGAAGACCCCGGTCGCCCGCGCGGCGCTCCAGAAGTATTGAATGGTGGACACATGAGCATTTTTGATTGATCTGACGGAGCTTTGGTACAGAGACATTCGGATATCTTGCGCCCGGCGAGGAAAAGCTCTCAACAAGGCAACCGCGAAATTTGCCAGTCGCTTCGCAGAATCAAAGTCTGCATCTTCAACAGATGTTCCTGAAGTTGTCGATGACCCCATCTCTGTTAAAATGGCTCGGAGATTATTCTGCTCTGGCAGTTTTGAAATCATGTCTCTCACGAAGCCCGGCAAGGGTGCGGGAGCATTCTTGTTATCAGTCTTGTTACCGGTGTTGAGCATGGGTTGGTCGGTCAGGTCGAATCTCTCCGCAACATCATTTGCGCACTCTCCCAAAAGTGCTGAGACCGCTTCGATGTACGTACTCTGACCAGCGTAGCCTTCATGCAGAGCGTTATGGATATATATGAGATGAGCCAGTTGCCATAAGAGCCGGGCAGTGGTCAATGTAGGCGTCCCGCTCCTATCCGTGTCCTCAATCTCCTTCGCAATTGCCTGCGCCAGCTCTTGCAGATCTAGGGACGAAGAAAGCTCGTCCAGAGTCTCCCTGTGTCCTGAAAACGAATCTTTCGTCAGAAATTTTGTTGCAAAGGCAGTGTATACGGATTGCTTGCGGGCGGAAGGAGATCTCAGAAGAGCAGCTATCGCCTCGATTGAGCGCCGTTGCCACACCTCCTCTTTTTGTCTGCGTAACACTAACTCGATCACATCGAAATAGATTGCGCAATCCCTGGCTATCTCGTCCGGTGCATACTCAATCAGCATAGTGATCATTTTCAATATTCTTGGTCCGTAAGACATTCTGTCATTGTAGGTATGATCGCCGAGGACGCTCTTGAGGTGGCGAACCTCAACCAGTCCTAGTCGAGAGAGGTAGTAACCCCAGCTGTCATCCAACTCAAACCCCAATGAGGCGATAGTGTGATGCAAGGCCTCGCCGAAGTAAAGCAACCTGAAGAGATCCGTATCATCTCTCGGCCTGCCTCTTCTAAACTCTTGGAATCCAAAGAACAGTCGGAACTGGAGGAGGACTTGTGCCGAGCTCTCATAAGCCGGGATCGCAGCGTCGGCATCGACGAGGGCCTGGTAATCAACTCGACCCGGCGAGCCCAGTCTGTGTTGTTCGTTCTCATCCCACGTCTGTCTCCATCGTGATTTCTGTTCCCGTCGACTCGCGTGGCCGCGCCATAGCTTCTGAATGGTCTTTGTAGCGTTCAATCTTTCTCTTTCCTGATGTCTCTTAGCACGATCCGCCTGAGCCTGAGCAACTGTGCTGCTTGCGGCCGAAGAACTGGCTTGAGCCGATTTCGGAAGGGCAGCCCATGGGTTGGTGGGGGCGCGGCCAGAGAGGTTAACCTGACGAGGCTTGCGGATATTGCCCGTGAAGGATTGATGCATGGTTCAAACACGGGCGGCGGAGATGTTCTTGGAGGGGTTGTCGGAGATTTGGATTGAGGCGTGCGGCTGAATCAGTGCCTTGTGACGTAGACAGGATCAATCTATCTGCTGTGTCAAGTGAGCTGAAGTGACCGACATGGCGTCTACCACAGTAGATGGGACAGGGTAAGAGTCAGGAGAAAAGATGAACGCTAGGGAATTCGTCGATAGGATGGCGATAAATGCGGTAGAGAGGCAGGCAGGGAAGCCAGCAGAGGCAAATGGAAGTAATCCCTTGATGTCGATGTCGGAGGGTGGCAGACAAGGCTGTACTTTGCACTAATCTGACGATACGGAGTGGCTCATCAGTCAGCTGCCTGTGGATGCCTCGCGAGCCGGCGTGCCGGCACCGGCTTTTGCTGCGGACTTCCCCAGGCGTCTCGGCGCCTAGAAGTTGAGCTCCGGGCGCAGATCTCCCGCAACAAGCCTTTGCCCTCATATTCGGACTCGTACCCAGTACAGAGGAGTACCACAGCTTCCAGAACACCACGCACCACAACGCTCACCATGTCCAGCGACATCCTCACCCAACTGCAAACCTGCTACGACCAACTCCTAACCCAATTCTTCTCCACAATCAGCTACCTCTCTCAACGACACGCCCTTGTAGCTCCCGAACCAGACCCGAACGACCCCTTCACAAACCCTCCCTCCGCGGCTGTCGTTGGTGCGGCGGCGTCATCTCAAACTCCAAACCCCGTTGATGCCGCGGCTGCTCAATTGCAAGCCAGTGTAAACCCCGGGCCAGAGGATACCGACCGCGCGCCATTTCCTCTGCGCCCTGTGGCCCCGCAGACGTTCGCCAACGCGCAGCGGGAATTGGCCGAAGATCTAGTCCTGAAGGGCCAGCAGATCGAAATGTTGATCTCGCGGTTACCCGGAATTGGGAGAGGAGAAGAGCAGCAAGCAGAAGACATCAGGATGTTGGCAGAGAAGGTGCGGAAAATGGAGCAGGAGAGGAAAGTGAAGAGGAGGGAAATGAAGGAATACGTGAGACGGCTAGAGAGTGTCGTCATGGGAATGGCAGAGAGTGTCGACTACGGCGCCGACAATGGTCCGAACGGGCATGGATGAGGCGTCAAGAGTGGAGCGTGGAGGTAAATAAATCGATGTGGTATATCTCGCTAATTAAGAGGCAAGATTCAAAGGAGGAGCAGGACGGGCATAGGAAAGTTTGAGATTGGCGTCTCACATCAGTGATGTCGTCCAAGTCCTCCAGCAACGAGAAGATCCAACAACTCGACCTCGAGGTCAGCGAAGAAACGTTGGGCGAAACAGGGAAACACCAATCATGCCACCAGAGCGGCCAACATCAAAGTTGCTATACCATCATACTCCGCCGTCGGTTCAGAGCCCTTTCCACCCTCGCACTCACGTTGAGTCCCGATTCGGCACCGGGGACGGCCAGCTCTTTATCTTTCGAGTTCGAACTGACGCTGTGCGAGCGTTTGAGATCCTTCGCTGCCGAAGCTATGCCGGTGGAGGCCGCGTCCCCACGCAGACTTGCCGCAGAACTCGGTCGTGGAACCGGTTGTTGTGTGTTCGACTTTGATGGATCCAGAGAGAGATGGCGGGAAGCAGAAGAGAGGCCAGTTGAATCCCCTGAAGACGAGGCAGGCTGCATAGAATGCCTCCTGCCCGTAGCTAACGCGCTCGATGAGGCTTTTCGTCTCACTGCTGCTGAACTCCTCGACAATTTCTGGCCTTCTGCGTCTGCCCACGTCTCCTTTGAATCTTCGATTGGAGAAGAGGCCGGATGATCGAAAATACTTAATCGATCCACAGCCTTCTCAAGCCCGTCTGCAGCGTTGGGTTTCGGTTGTTTGGCCGTCTTCCTGGTCTCATCATCTCCTTTCTCCTTCCTCTCTTTCCCCCTCAAAGGGCTCATTGGCTCCTCCTTCTTGCGAGACGTCGAGGTCGGCATGACCAAGTCCTTCCATCCCCGATCCTCGCCATCGGTGTCGTTCTCCTGCTTGACTTTAACGTCTTCAGATTTCCCCCGCTCCATACTTGTACCTCTTGCACTCGACGCATTTTCCTTTTGCTTCTCAATACCTTCTACCGCTCCCACCAATCCCTTGCCGGGCCTTCTCATCTTATCCCTCAGGTTAGGCTCAGCATAGCTGATTTGCGGTCTTGAACGGCGAGATCCCCGTCCTATACTCCCACTGAGCACGTCCTCCACCGAGTTCAAGACTGCCGCCTCTTTCGTCTGGTGGGATGTTCGAGAGGATGGCTCTGTGGAGATAGGGGAGAGGATGTCGCCGGCTTCTACAGCTGGAGTCTTCGGTGGAATTTCCTTCTCCTCATGATCATTCGACGCCTCAACAGGGCATTCAATGACCACATGTGCCGGAGGGTCTTTCTGCCGTGTTGGTTTAATGATCGGGTGCTTTTGCTGCGGATCTCGATCATCTTTGAGCTTTTCTGAGACTTGCAGCCTTCTCTTCGCAGGCGAGTTGGTACTCTTGGGCGCCAGAATCTTCCTAGTACCGCTTGCAGGCTTTTGAGGGCTCGATTGCTTCACAAAGTCCGTCGCATCTCCAGAGTCTCGTCCTGGTGGCCTCGTAAATCTAGACGTCTTTTTGCTGTTCACAGTGGCGTTGTTCCAGATCTCTTGCCGACGGTGGAAGACAAAGTCGTCATTCTCGTTCAAGGGCTGCTGAGGAGTAGGGTCCTCGAGCTCAGAGACATCCAGTTTCCTCTTTGCGCCTGACTTTAATAACTGCGGGTTTGGCCTTGTTGACGGCGCATCTGGTCCTGAAGTCTCTTCTGTAGGCAGGTCGTGGATGAGAGTGCTGGTTCGACGCTTCCGCCTCCTCTCCAAAAGCGACGGCAATTGCATGACTTCCTCGCCGCCGTTCTCGTCCTCGGACGTCCGTGCAGAGTCCAATCCAAGGGGGTCCGAAACGACATCAAAATGGGCGACTGGCGGAGGCCCGAGTTCCGGCGAGTCGGACGCTTGTTGCATAGCTGCCTCTTCTCGCAAGGCCGTCATCTCAGCAGTCTCCAGCGTCCGTCGGGGGTACAGCTTGTCTTCTTGAATAGCAGGCAATCGTCCATCGTATGGATCACTTCTCTCTTGAGCCAGTGCTTCTCTGATGGACTGTCTACTCCTCCACTCCTGTTCTGTAGTGGCGCTCATGGTCGACCTGACAAGCCTGCTTTTCCGCCTTCCCTCCCTGGCCGCTTTCTCAGGTAGATTCCCCATCTCAATAAGCAGCTCGGACACCTCCGCCATTTTCCTGTTCAGTCTGTCCCTCATATCCAGAATTTCAGCGTTCACGGAACTCGTCGCGCGCCATCGCTCCGCCTCGGCCTGCGCGGCAATGGCCTGTTCCCTCAGGGATATATTCTCTGCGACGAGACGGGAGATTTCCGTCTCCAGGTTGCGGATGCGTTGCGACTGCGACGAATTGACGCGGGCGATTTCGCGGTTTTGGCGGATGAAGCGACGCTTCACTGCACACATCGTCAGTCTTTCCTAACACCGAGGTAGAGTAGACCCCCAATTCAGCTCAGCTTCTGGAGAAGTGTAGACTTACGGGATTCAAAACTTTCCACAGGGGGATTGGGAGGGTCGTTGAGTTTCGCCATGGCACAGTCGGTTTTCGTACCATGCGACTCGGACGTTGCTGTTGTCTCTTTGGACGGTCGTGGGGAACCCAGATTGCCGGTTCCGTCTAGAATTTGATCGCAGGCATAGAGTGCATCCCCTGTAGCGACGCAATATAGGTGATAGAATGAAGTGCAGCGTGGTGTCAAGGGCCTCGGGGGTTTGGTGGTCGGGATGACCAAAAGCGGCGCTGTCAAAACAACGTGCCATTTTGGGTTTAGCTGCCGACTTGGCACGGCTCTTGTCCAATGGATCACGCGCCCTCTCGAACTAGGGAATTTCGCGATACAATCATCCCGCATGTGCTTCAATCCAGTACAAGAAGGCAAGGCTACACGACAACACACGAGGTGAGGAGCGAAGGCTTCGCAAGAACAGGAGTCAGCATCCCTGGTCCCTCTGTCACTGCAAGCTATTACCTCCTTATATGCGATATTCCTCCATTTCCCCACCCGCTACCACAACAAACCCGTTGTACAAGAAAAAATGTCGTACGGCCCGCGTCCCACGGACAACTACCCTTCTACCTCTGCCAGCAGCAACACGTCCTCGACGCTGCGCTCCAGTACACTACCCGCCCAATCCCACCTGCAGGCGCGGATTGCCAGCAAACGCGCAGAGCTGGAGAACCTGCGCCAACTGTGCGACCTCAGCGCACACTTGACGTCGCAATTGGAGCTGCTAGAGAAGAAACTGGGAAGCCTGAGAGACGGGGCGCAGGCGGTGGCGCTGGTGCTGGCGAACTGGGAGAACGTGCTGCACGTCATTCGCATGGCGGCGATGAAGGTTCCAAAGCCCCCTCCTGCGCCTGATGTCGAGACTGTGTCGGACCGGGATGTGGATGTGGAGATGGTGGGGAAATCAAAGCAAACGCAAGGACAAGATCAAGAACCAGAGCCAGAGCAAGAACTTCCAGTGCCGTTGGTCAGGATACCCGTGCAACCCAAGGCGGAAGATGGTGGGTGAAAACAATCCAACCGCTCACGCACACATGGAGATGGAGATGAGATGAGATGATGGACACGTACATGCTTGCTGTGGAGGGGGACCTGAAACGAAGGTGACTTTCAATGAAGGAGGTTTGGATTTGACCCTACGGCACGCTCGACCTTGCCACCCTTTGCCGGGTTTGAACAACAAGTGTCGTCTGATTGAGTGACTTGCTCGCTAGTCCCTCCAAGCTCAAACATAAAACAAGTTTTGTCCGTACCAACTCCTTCGCTGAAGAACAAGACCTTGTAATTGAAGCACCACATCCCAGGCTCGGAAATCTTTGTCGCCCAAAATCAGTCAAGTGTGTGGGTGTGTGTGTGTGTGTGTGAGAGAGAGAGAGAGAGAGAGGATGTTCATGATGAAACAGACGCCACAGCAATCACCTGCCTGGGACTTGCCACACTCTCGGCACTACTGGCCATCTCCTTCTCCTTCGCAGCCAGAATCTTAGCGGCGATCTTCTTCTTCTGCTTCTCTGCCCACTCTCGGCTCGCCTGTCTTCCCCTCTCTGCCGCCTCCGCCCTGGCCTTGCGGGCCGCATCTTCCTTCTCCCTCCTCTCCTTGTCCAGACGCTCCATTTCGGCTTTCGATCGTTCAAAGACCTCCTTACCCTTCGCTCTCTGCTGGGCCACATCTTCTTTGGTGATTGTGGACTTCTGACCCGCGGCAAGGTGAATACTTGAGGGGCGTGGTTTAGCAGGGGTGGCAGAGGCTGCTGTCCGACGGACGCTCGCTTTTACCTTTGCTGTTTCCGATGTTTTGGGTTTTGCATCATGCGATGGAGGGCGTGTTTCTGGCTGAGACGCGGCGGTAGGTTTGGGCTCCACGTTCTCCTTATTTCCGCCAGTGGCGTAGATGCTCATTCTCGCTTGGCTAGCTTTGTTCTCTCGTGGGACAACACTGGGACGAGATATCTTAGCCGGCACAGGTCTAGCTTTGAAGACCTTCTTGTCATTGCCAGTTTCTTCCTCACGCTTCATTCGCTCTTCTCTCTGCGCTTTGAGTTTTGCCGCAACGGCATCTCCTGGTAGAGAAAATTTCGGTCTAGTGGGTGATTTGTTGGACTTGGCAGGTATAAATCCAGGCCTGCTGGTGGACAGTGCGCCACCAGCGACCTGCTTCTTGGTGGTGGTGGTGGTGGTGGCAAGTTTCTTAACTGGAGAGTTTGAGAACGAAAGTGGCGGCGCTGAAGCCTGAGCAGAAGACTCCCTGGACTTGTGGCCGTCAATGATCGGTCGCTTAACCGGTTTTGTAATAACAGATCCTTTGACTATCGAATTGGTAGAAGATGCGCGGGTGGAACTCAATTTCGGGCGCTCTGCAGGCGCGGAAGTTGTTCCAGCCTTCTGGGCCGGACGCCGGGATGTTTGTGCAGGATGTCTACCCGTCGTCTTTTTCCGAGGATCTGTTGGTGGAGGTGTATGTGGGCGGAGGTTGATTCTGGCTGGAGTAGTCTTTCGCAGTTTCACAGGCGATTCAATCTTCAATTCGTCCAACGCAGGCAATGTCTCGGCGATCTTCTCAATCGCATCTTCCAAAGCATCAATCGCTTCCACAGAATCTTCGATTCGTGGCGTTCGCGATCTGATCTGGTCGACGTAGGAATCTGACAGTTTGGTTTCCTCCAAAAGTATCTGCAATCTGCCAGGGGTCCTCGATGTGATCTTTTCCACAAAGGAATCTTCGACCGTGTCTTGAGCAGATAAAATTACTCCTTCCATGACTTTATGGACAAATGGGTCGAATTTGGGTGTCTTTGGAGGTCCGCTGTGACTGTGTCGAGGGGTAGAAGTTGAGTCGACTGCGCCCTGCTCTTCAAGGGTCGCGTCCACTGCCTCTACTGTAACTTTGTCGCCGACAGCAGCTTGCTCTACAGAAACAGTGATAGGTGCGTCCTGGGCACTGCATTTGCGCTCAGTGGATTGACTCAGGTTGCTGTCCTTCGCGTCCTCGAATAGAAGTTCCTTGGGCTCGTCCAATTTTCCCCCCTTGCTAGGCTCGTCTTCAACCTTGTCATTCTTGGTCTTTCGATTTTTTTTCCTGCTCTTAGCTTTCTGCATAGCAGCAGCCTCAGTCTGCTCGTCTGCAAATGGGTTGTCAGTGGTCGGAGGGTTGATTTCGGTGGTGATGTCCTTCAATGGGGGCCGAACAAGATCCTGATTCGCGTTGGCGTCGGCGCAATCATCCTGCAGGGAATTATTATTCGCGTCGGCATCTTCGTAAATGAGTTGCGGCTCCTCTTGAGCCTGGGCTCGCAGAGCTGCACGAGTCATGCGCATGGTTACGGGATGCCGATATATATCTGAAACTTTCAATAATTGTTCGTTAAGAGGGGTTCTTGTATGCTGATATTTGGTGAAGTCCTGGTCTTACTTTGCGGATCGAGTCGTGACGCGTTTTGTTTGGAAGGAATGTAACCCAGCAACCAAGCGTCTGCCGCTGCTTTAAGCAACATCCTTGCCAAGACTTCACGTCCTTAAACCGGCAGCGTGTTCGGCCTTCAGCCTCAAATTCTCATTTCTCGAGCCTCATCCCATCGAGCCTTCGCTGGTTCACCTTGTTCACCTTATTCACTTGCTCGACCCATTTGGTGTCAAAACAGGCTCAGCAATGATTGGCACGTCCTCCTTCTTTGGCACCTTCCATATCTCGCGAATCTCGTCAAGCCATTGCTGTGTATCCACAATCTCCCCGCCCACCCTCACGCCATCCAGCAGCTCGCCATGCACCCGGACCTTGCCTGGGCCGATCTCGAGCGCTTCTTTGTCGCTCCACGCTGGCACATGAAGCCAGCTGTGATCCGGGTGGCAGATATAGGGTTCGAGCTTATTGGCCTTCAACTTCTCGAAGCAGTCAGGCGTAAATTGCGTGTCCGGGCAATACCGGCAGGTGTAGAAATTGTCTGCATAACGCCCTAACTTCTCGTTAGCACCAAACGACCTGTATCAGCAAAGATGGAGCTCTTGAAACGCTGCTCCGCAAAAAAATAGCGTAGGTCTGCTTCGAGACTCACATAGATGGTTACAAAGACCGTCACAAGTGTAACCTAGGGGACCGTCACGAGTGTCGGTCTTTTCCTTGTGCTCAGCCTGTTCAGGGGCGGAAGGTTGGAGGTTGTCTTCCTCTTCAGGGATCCCGTTTTCTGCCAGCTCGTCATACTTAGCCTCAGACACACCGTTCTCTTTTGGCGTACCATCCTGGTCTTCGCCGTTTGAGGGCACCTCTTCGGGACTCTTGAACAGGCCGTACGGCCCGAGCAAAGACCACGCACTGAGCGCGTTGAGGTCGTCTCCAGTATGCATGAGGATGTTGGCTAGATACCTGTACCCATAAGAATCATTCTCCGGATCGCTGTCCGAAAGTATCTCCATCGCGGCCACCATGTCTTCCATGAATAGCTGCCGTGCTTCCTCTAGCTGGTTCTGTTGAACATAGTAAGAGGCCAGGAAGGAATTAGGGCGAAAGCTGTGGATCCAGCTGTTTGAAAGGCGCTTCAGTCTGAGGAGTTTGCCTACATGCTCCTCCCGTTCTACCGTCGTAATTCCCTCCTTCACGGCTTGATGAAAGTAGTGCTGCGTCAAAAAGCGCGACGCGAGAGCCTGAGTAGCAACTAGGTCGTAGCGAGATGAAAGATAGAGGGACTGGCAGTCTTCCCAACAGCGGATGGCCTGCTGAATACGAGCATCGTCTGTGGAACCACGTGCAAGGACAGTGCCTTCATACAGCAGAAGCATTCCTTCACTGACTGTGAGGTTGCTCTTTCTGGCGTCCCGAAGGGCCGTTTGCAATGCTTCCAATGTCTGACTGTTGAGAGTCTCGTCTGTGCGAGCCAAGGCGAGGATAATGTCAATCGGTTGGATAGCTGCAGAGTACCACTCACTCTCGGTCAGATGCAGAAGTAAGGCCGAGAAAAGGTCGAGCTCGGCGGGATTTCCTCGCTGGTTCATCATCCGCAGAAGCATGTTCCTCGCGTCTGCTTCCCTGTTGTTCGCATAGAGAGCTTTGAGCAGGTCGCAGCGAATTTCATGTTCCCCAGGATCCACCTCGAGTGCCTCTTCGTAGAGTGCAAAAGCGCGATCTGTTGAAGTAAGTTCCTCATGCCACGAGGCCTGTTTCTTCAAGCCTTCGATAAGAGCCTTCTTATTGTCATCCCCCGAATCAGGGATTTTTGATGTTGACCGAAGGTGGGTGAGGGCTATCTCCATTTCGTTGCAAGCGGACTCTTTGAGCTCCTTCTGCTGGGCTTGGTTATCGTCTTGAGCTTGGCTTAATTTGTATACCGCAAGAGCCCAGCCTTGGTTTGCAGTCCACTGACAGTTGGGAAGTCCTTTGGCTTTTTCATAAAATTCTTTTGCGGCCTGAAACTCGTCCGCCTCATAGCAAGTCTCCCCGAGGCGGTCATACCATAAGGCATCCAGGTCTTCATCTTTGAGGGACAATGATTGCTGTACCCAGGTCGCAGCAGATACAATTTCATCGGCGTCGGATCGAGGTTCGGGTTCCTGCTCTGAATTTCCATTGGAGCCAGCCTCGTCGTTATTCTCGTCGCCATTTGCGTCACCTTCTTCACCATTCCCTTTGTCGGCCTCTTCGTCCTTCGAGTTTTGCTGCTTTCGTCAGAGACCCCCTAAGATTTAGGAACAGGAAGCGCGACTCACCAAATCGATATATTTCTGAATCCAGTAGTAAGCAGGAAACACCTTCCAAGAACGATCTCGCAGCCAGTGCCTGGCTACCATGAGTGAAATAGGTTTATAGATACCTGCTTTGCCCTCGGATTCTGCGGTATGGACTCTAACCCACCGTCGCTCTTTTGGCTGGAGGACATCAAGGGTCTTTTCATCCTTGAGCAAACCTCGGACTGTTTCCACTTCGTCAGGCTCGATCCAAGTCAAGGATAACACATTGCTTGCGGCCCAGAACTTCTCGATTCCCTCCACGTCACTAAGGAGATCCACAAGTCTCTTTGCGATGATCCTCCGTTCCGATGCTCCTAATTTCCCCTGATCTAGAAATTCTTTGACCTTTTGTAGGTGGTGCGTAAGGTATTTTAATGCGTATAAGACAAGACATTGGGTTTTCTCATGAGGCTCGTCGTTCAAAAGCTTCAAAAGTTGGTCGGCGATGTAGTAACTTGCGCGGATTTCGTCGGTTCGGATGACGCCCTTGCCATCAAGGCTCGATTTGTCGGCGGAAAAGTCGAATCTCCCAGTTCTCAATTTGTCGGAGAGATCCCAGAAAAACTGCTGAACGGTGCGTAGATCTGCCTGGTTGATCGATATCGTCATCGTTATGCGAGGGTTGTCCGAGTCTGGTGCAGTCACAGGCCCGGATACGGAGCTGTCCTGGGTTCGAAACAAGTCCTCGATGTCATAATCTACCTCCACTCGACCATCGATGACATGGAGGATTCTCGCGTACTTTTCTTTCAGCTTTCGTTCAAAAGGTTGCAACGAAGCCTTCCCAGAGTTCAAGAAAATGGTGGCCCTCAACTGGTCAACTGAGAAGTATTCATAACCGAATATACACCAATGGAGGAGCTCGTTCAACTGGTCAATGTCGTGGGGCTTCAGTGTCACGTTCAAGTCCTTGATAACCTTCCGCGCCAGCTTCCCCAAATCGTCGGCAGGATTCTCGTCCAAGATCGTCTGCACGTCATCCAGGTATGCGTCAGAATCCACAGCTTCTCGAACTCTTTCGAGTTTTTGTTGTACGACAGCAAAGGAACCCATGGCCACGTCCGGAAGCGTTTCTCGAATCGCTTTGAGGAGATCCAACATCTCCACATGCTGGCCTTGAAGGATTTCATCCTTCCTGAGCTCGTCTTCGATGTACATTTTGACGTCGGGTAAGTTGTGGTCAGCAATTTCGATGGGAGTGATGGGACTATCCTTGAATACCTTCGGTTGGGCAGTCGCAACGACGCGAATATGCTGCCGAATGGCTTTGGTCGGGGAGCGGCTTTCGTCTCGAACTGTTTTGAGCATCCTAAGGAGTTTAGCACAGTTGCTGTCAGACAAGTCTTCCAGGCCATCAAACATCAGGACGAAGTTTGCCGTCTCCCTCGTCTGGGGGTATCTCGAGAATTGCAGTTTGTCCCACCAGAGCTTTTCCCAAAGCTCTTTCTCTTTGCCCATCTCGGGTGGTTTGAAATCATCTTTGAGGCCAGCCATTTCTGTGGCATATTGCTTGTGTTGGCCAGCCAGCTGCAGGCACATGGACTTCAATGCCGTCACCACGTCCTCCTTGTGCTTGTCTCTTGCACTTTTTGCTTCGCGCTTCGTGAACCCGTAATACGCAATGGAGACGTCAGTGCTAGTCTTGCGGAAGTCTTCTTCTATGGCTGCCAGCAGAAAAGACTTGCCGGTATTTGTATCCCCCGAAAGCAGGAGCAATGGGATCGTCTCGGCTTCCGAAGTCTTCCATTCCTTGTAGTCTTCATGATCCAGGAGCCATTGTGCACTTCCGGTGAGGAGATTGTCTCTCATGGTGAGCATCGCTTTCCTGGCCTCTTGAGCCGATGCCGTTGTGGTCGACAACATTCTGCTCATGGCGTCAAGTCGCTCCGAGAGAATCATGTGCATCTTACGATCGCTTACGTCTGCCACCACGATGCTCATGTTCGTCTCCAGGTTGGCGAGTTTCTCCGCACTCTCATACTGGGCATTGAGAACCTGGACGATCTTGTCTTCGCTGCTCAGCACATGCTGAAGGGTGATGGCTTCGGTAACACGACTTTGCTTTTCAATCAGAGCTTTGAACTTGGCAAGTTCGCTCTTCACGCCCGAGTCATCGTTCAGGAAAGTGATTTTTGCTCCGATCTTTATGTGATGCAAAACTCCGCCCTCGATACTAGCCAAGAGTCAGCAAGGAGCGAAGGCGACAGGGTCAGTTGAAGGGGTAGAGGTCACAACTGTAAACATGCAAGCATGTTTTCCACCGGCACGACATTTTCGCTTGAACAGTCTCACATTTTGATAGAAAGCCCACAGATTCTCACAATGGACATCATCAGCTTGTGCGTGCCGTCTCTCAAGTCGGGGTCAAGCTTAGTATAGTTCTCATAGATCTTGAACAGCACGAGTGAGTGCGAAATCTCCTCGAACAAGCTTCCCACGCCTTCGTAAACCTCGGCGATCTTGCCGGGGACGTCGATCAGAAACGAGATGGCGTTGAAGCAGAGGGTGGCAGGTCCAAACACAATCGATGCACCTTGCGCAGCTAAGCCGCCCAACAATTGAATGCAGCTGAGGACTTTTCCGACAGTGGCGCGGATCTTAGCCTTGGTTTTGGCTGAGTCTTCTTTGCCAGCCTCGGATTCCGGGGGTCGATACTTCCTATCGAGCTCGGCCAGGACATCCTCTAGTCTCTTTTCTTGGTCCGTCCTCAAGCTCCTTCTTGTCATTTGCCTGAAATCAACTTCGGCGTCCTGCCACAATAGCTTGAGCTCCATCTCCGCCGGCGAGAGTGCAGCCGCCGTCTGGGGCTGCCGTGAAGCTGCCATGATGTCCCACACACAGAGGCTGGTGGTTAGGAGCGGGAGAGTAACTTTTCAAACCCTGGCGCGATGGAGGTAAGAAACTGAGCAAAGAGCTGGGCATTCTCTTGTAGTCTGGTGGTTGGTGTTTTTCCAACAGCCCCCATGACTTCCAGGCGGCCAGTAATAAGTCCATTGTAAACGGCACCAACGGGGGTAGCAACCATTGAGCTAGCTGACGTGTTTGAGGCGGATTAGGGGGGCTAGGCAGGCCTTACTCGTAGCCTTATCAAGACTGTGACGGGGCCAAAACTGGCCTCCCCCACCACAACAACCATGGTGGAAAGACATTGCCCTCCTGGGCAAGGGTCAACCATTTCCCAAGTTGGCTAAATCATTCTCTCAAAGATGTTGACAAGTTTGCAATGAGTTGCATGACTTGAGAACTCGGCAAGGCCTCGCCAGGAGTAATACCGCGTGGTCTCATGTCCGGCCTTTGAGTTACGGATATTCGAAGGCATACCGGACGGAACCCGCGGGGCCAACCAGTCTGGAATAGACATTGATTTCTTCTGGCTGTACCTCGTCGTCGGGAAGGGGTTACGGAGAATATGGAGTGCAAGACGTACCTATAGAGAATAGCTGCTGGAAAACTGAACGCAGCGTGCAGACTAGGCTGGTCTTCTAGAATGTTGCGGAAGTCGTGAGGCTGGGGCGCATCTACAAGCTGCGCGTCTGACCATAGAGAGTATCCACAAGAAGAGCGCCTCGAGCGCCTTGGAGGTATTCTCCAGCACAAACGAATGCACCGGTATTGCGTACTCAGGACGGAGAACTTGAATTCGGCCAACAGGTGGTCGAGGGTGGTGACTGAGTGAGTGAGTGAGTGGAGGACCTTGCGGTTGGTTGTACTGGTAGGTTGTACCGCTCGTCGAGAACTGGGTACAAGGTACTGTACCTACGTTGTAATTCTCATCGTCTGACGCGATTGATCGAGCTTTTTCCAACCCACATTCTATTCCCCATCTTGCCCATCTTGCCCATCTCCAATACTAGGTCAAGAATAGTTAGAAGGCGTTTCTTTCCCTTTTTCTGTCATCCCATCTTCGTCCTCGTCCTCGTCCTCGTCCTCTCCTCTACTTATCAGTGCCAAGCTGTAGGTATCCTACTGGGGCGTTGTGTCTCTTTTCCATCGTATTGTTTTTGATTTGGCCAGCCATTTTCTCGCATCTATCAGCAGGCCCAAGGCACGCCCCGGCTGTCGAATCGAGCTCATGGCTAGGCCGCGTGCTGATACCGGGAACTTCCCCAAAGAGCCTCATTCAATATCGCTCAAAGGTATGGACATAATATGTTTCCTGCTCACGCTTCGTTTTGCTATTACAAAATCACTATTTTGTCTGCCTTTACTAACACACTGGCCAAAATTATCTAGTGCTAAGGTGAGTCCGTCTGTGGCTGGCTACACGCTTTGCTGGGAAATACAATAGGCAAATAGCTTCAATTAGTTAATACCTCTGTTCCGTAGACTCTCCCCACCCTCGCTGGCACAACAACACCCTCTCCCCCGCGAAAATGACACAAAGATACCTCATACAGCCTCATTAGCATATCCGTCCCAAGCCACCGACCAGAGCTTCATTTTGTCCACCAGCCTGGGTTTGCCGCCTTCCTTCGGCTCCGCCCATGTCGGCGAGACTTTCTCCTGCGCCCTGTGCGCCAACAATGAACTCCCCTCAGGACAGACAACCAAAACAGTGTCTGGAACGAGGATCTTGGCAGAGATGCAAACACCATCTCAAGCGGTGCCGCTAGAACTCCATGCGGCTGATGATGCATCGGAAAATAGGCCGAGTCAAAGTGGCCCCGGAAGCGCCTTGCAAAGAATCATTCGCTTCGACCTCAAGGAGGAAGGCAACCACGTGCTCGCCGTCAATGTCACCTACACCGAGACCATATCAGGTGACGGTCAAGCGACCGGTGGAAGAGTTCGATCGTTTCGAAAGTTGTATCAGTTCCTCGCCCAGCCTTGTTTGAGTGTACGGACCAAAACGACCGAGCTGAAAGCTGTCCAAGTGTCTGATAAGACACATGGCCCGTACGGCAGGGCGACATTACTTCGCTATGTTTTGGAGGCGCAGCTAGAGAACGTATCAGACGCGGCTATTATGCTGCAAGACACCAAACTCCAGTCGAGGCCGCCGTTTAAATCCACTTCATTGAACTGGGATGCTGAACAGAATAACGATGTTGCTGTGGAATACCCGTCGCTGAAGCCGCGAGATGTTATACAAGTAGCCTTTCTGGTCGAACAGGAACAAGGTGTCGCCGAAGGGTTGGAGGAACTCAAGAATAGCATGAAACGTGATGGCAGGACGGTCCTGGGCCAACTTGCAATCCAATGGCGAACCGCGATGGGAGAGCGTGGCTCCCTGAGTACCGGCAACCTCCTGACTCGACGGAAAGCTGTGTAAGAGCTTCCTTTTGGCGAGCCTTGGATCTGATAACCATGTTTATGTTGGAAAAGTTGATGGGATTGAAGCCTTTTGAAAGCCAAGCCTTCAGGGGGCGTGCATGCCCAGACCGTTCATTTTGCCGGTTAGAATGCTGATTCTCGATCTCTTGGGAATGGTAGGCAAATCTGGAACCTTTTCATCTTGCTTGAACAATCCATCTTCCAGCTTCGCCGGCGTTCGTGTGATGATGGTGTGATAGTCGCGTCCCTTCGCCGCACTGCTCAACTCCGGCCGATCAGAACTAGAGGGCACTGGGACAATCCGCCACTGATGCTGAGATAGATCCGAAAGGAAGTCGGTCTGCATGCTCACAGAGGGTGACCACGCCATGAAGCTTTTCCGATTGAGACTGAGATTGGGGAGACTCGATCGTAATCCTGCACGGCGACGTTTTGCCATGATTATGGCGTCAAAGAGGGCTATCGAGGGACCTGATCTTTTCTCTTCACGATCCATGATAAACTCATTCCAAGCTTGAGTTTGTTGCAGCATTCTCATGTAGGCTGCATGATCAGGAGTTAGACTTCTGGTGAAAGCGTCATTGTCGAAAGAGTACACGGCTCCGAGCTTCTTTTTCTGTGGGGGTGCGGGTTGCATGGATTTCCGGTAGGTGTACATCAAGCTGGCCATACATCTCACAAACGCGGCGCGGATCTGGTCAGGGTAGAAGGTCGCAGAGCAGACAACGGTAATGTTATGGACGCAGCGATCGTGAATGACAAAACCACAACCCGAACATCGGTAGTATCCATCAGTAGCCTTGTCGTCACAGAGAAGACACGTGGACGGACCATCCGCTGCTCTCCATTGCAGACAATGACCTTCAGACCAATATGTACCTTCACCATTCCGTACGGCTTGTGTATTCGCTCCGGGCATGATTGTAGAGGCCGCTAGCGTTGACTGCGCATATGTAGAGGGCGCGTACATTGACCCATTTCGATTGTCCGAAAGCGTCGTGCTAGAAGAGGGAGTCGCGCTGTGTTTCACAAACGGAAGGCTAGCTTTGCGAATCATATGGCTAGATCCAGAGAAACTTCTTTTTGACAATGAATCGAAATGACCAGATCTCTTCTCCTTGAGAGAAGTCTGAAGAGCGTATCCCGAATCGGTCCGCGACGGACCAGAACCTGGCGTCAGCGGGAAGTTAGGGGTGATGGGGGACTGGCCCTCTGAATCTGTGAATGTAGAGTGTCGGGCAGTCGATGATGTTCTCGGACGATCAGTGCTCTTCCCTCTTGTTGGGGTTGAAGCAAGGAAAACGTTCAACAGAGGGGCCCGTTGAATGGTGTCCGTAGCGGCTTGCGGACCGAACGTAGTGGAGCTGAGGTTCGCAAGTTTGTCTAGATTCGTGGATTTGGCCACCGCGGTGAAGGCAGACTCGACTTCTGCAGAGAAGCCATTATACGGGTATGTCTCCACTGCATACGCAGGTGGTCCCGGAGTCACTCCAAAATTTTGATGTAGTGGTGCAGCTTGATAAAGCAGAGACATCAACTTTCTCCGCTGCTGCTTCGGTAGAAATGGCGGCGGTGCTGTACTGTACAACTCATTCTTATCCAAGTCGACCAAAACATAATCATCATCAGGAAGGTCGTATTTCTCGTAATTACGATCGATGCCGCAGATATAAGGACAAGGCGCATCCAGTGCTTGGACCAAGCGCGATGGCAGCACTGGGATGTAAATTCCCGTCCATTCAAAGGGCCAAATAAGTTCCAAAATAGCTTTACTGACTAGTTGCAGCATCGCGACATGAGTTGAAAGGAGAATGATCCTGGATTCGGACAAGACGTATTCCAAGAGAAGGATGATATTGGGAATCGTGAGGGCTCGGAAGAGAGGGTACAGATCGGTCGTCCGGCTGCCCGGGAGTTCATTTGCCGCCTCTTTCTTCGCATATAGTTGGAGTTCCCGTATCGAGATCTGGACTTGGGTTTTGGACGATAGGGGACTGGGTGCCTCGAGGCACAGCGCTGCCACGTATCTCTCCAATGGCTGCCACATGCCAACTTTAGGAGAGCTGGCGGGCACCCGCAAAACCCCTCCATCAGTCATTGGGACAACCACCGCTCGAAGCCACTGCCTCCAGAAGTTGGCCATGGCCTTGTCCTTTCCCAAAATACCATAAGCTCTTGGGATCCAGAAGCGCGTTTCGCCACCGGCAAGCCCCTGGATATCCGATTCTGAACTGTGTCGTAATGGTCTGAGCATGTCAGACATGACAGCAATTTTCTCCTCGACTGTGCCAATCTCCTCCTCCAAGGCTTCTCTTTCCGCTGAATCTGGGCGAAGTTGAGGGAGTTGGGTGAGCAACCTAGACAGTTTTGCACTCTCCGCCGCCAATCTCTCAGCGAGAGACGTTGCCATTTCCCTCTCTGCCTCCGACATATGAGCTTTTCTCCATTGCTCACATCTCTTTTCTAAGTCGATGGCAAGATCGCGGTTCACAGGGATCCATATTATGACTGCTACCGCGGTAAGTCTCGAGTTGTCCGCTGCAGTCATGGAGAATTCGTGCCAGATGGACTTCGGTTTGGTCTCCGCCGCCACAATTTTGATATCATTTGGGAACGCGAACATGGGCACATAGTCCGGAAATGGTCCCCTACTCTGCGCTTTGTCGCAAGCGGTAGGTCGAGGATATCTCTCCAGCAATACAGGTTCGAATTTCCGCGTCAGGGGATACTGATCAGGAGAGCTGTGGAAGGTCTCGGGGCTCGGGACGACCGAATTGTAACTGCTCATCCTGCGAGAGGTGCGCGTTGATGTCCTTCGAGCCATAGATGGTTGGCGTTTCGTGCTAGACATGTCTTTGAAAGAAAGATGTCTGCGGATGCTTCCAAAATTGCGGTTGGGCACCGGGGTTGACTCATCCTGGGCAATGATCTTCTGAGTTTTGGGGCGCGACTTGGATCGAGCTGGTTTGGTATTTTCGGTCGGATGGAATGTCAAATCCAGATAGAAGGCGTCTCGGTCGGTGGCGAACTTGCTCATCGCTTTCTCAAAATCTGCCTCTGATATCATCGAGGACATTCGAGCATCGGCGGCAGGAACAGCAGCCCGGATAGTGAGACTACTCCGGTTGCTGCGGGGCCTGGTTGCCTCTTCGAGACTCTGAATAGTCTCCCTGGCTTCATCGGAGAGCTGTGAAAGTCTCTGGTAGGAGTCACGTCTGGAATGGCTGACCGAGACGCGCGGAGACTGGAGAATTGATGACTGTTCATTGTCGGCAGGGACCTCTTCTTTGATGGCAAAGTCAACTCCATTAGCGTCGATGTGATCGTGAGACCATCGTGGTTGAGAGAAAGCGTCTACAACCTGTTGGCTGTCTAGGCCGGCAATCCAGAAGTAATCTGCAAGTGGTCGAGACGACTCGGGGATTTCTGGCGTCGACGGCATTCTTTTTTTTTTTTTCTTTTTTTTTAGCTCGAGGTTGCCATCAGCTCACCCGCGGATGTTCAATGGGTCTTGATACCGGCATCAGAGACTGGCTGGTCAGAAGGGATTTGGCTATCGGAAATTTTACTGCAGTTTGCTTTTCCCCCAAAAGATTTATTTTCTGTCAAATCTGCACGGGCATTCTTCACCCTCGCCGACAGTGTCCGTGCCGTCTTCACTGGAGACTGGAAGTGGAGCGTAGGATGCGGCCTCCCTTTGACCTTGACACAGAATTGAGGAGCCCTAGAATTGGCGGCCAGCCGACCACGAGCTGTGGGAAGGGCGGAGGAAATACGAGGGACTGTCTGAGATACCGGATGGAGGTGAAATGTTTTTGATCTGGAGAGCAAGGATCCGTCAAACGTGGAGATAAAGAAGGCTGCAGGGATCCTCTGGCTATGGGGGAGGCGCCTCCCTGCCCCTAGGCTGATTTGAGTGCCGTACTGGGTAGTGGAAAGGGCAGTGGCGGCGGTCACAGGAATCGACGATCCGATCGGTTGTTGACTGCAGCCGCTACTGGTATAACCGGGGAGTGAAGATGGCGTAGGGTGGTGGATGGATGGTGAAGGTGCGTTGTGGTGGTGATGGCGGTGATTTGAGGTGTGCAACTATGGCCTTCTGTCTCTCTCATTCGAGGACCGTAGGAAAGGGGAAGCGCCGAAGCATGCAACGGGGAACACTTTGGTCAAGCAAACAAAAAAAAAACTTTGATATCGTCTGCATGAAAGTTGTCTGCATCTTCATCTGGATTAGGAGTGTGGCACTTGGCGGCACTGGTGGCACCTGCAAGCACCTGTCAAGCCGGCCACCTCTCTGGGGTGGTGCAGATGGTGGGTCTTTGAGCACGTCCATTTAGGCTAGTGGGCACTAAGAGGGGCGTCACTAGCGTCTTTGTCCTGTTAAAGAAAGGTGGTCCATTAAGCCTACGGCGCCTATCACTTTAGCTGGTTTCACCTCCATTTAGGCCTTGACAGCCCCTGGAGCTTACGAGAGTCAAGGCGGGTTGCTGGTGGCGTCCATCTCCATTCCGACCAGGAGGGTTCCAACTGTCCCGACTCCTGCAAGGGGCTTTGCCTTCACTTCTAGACTTCATGCTTTTTCCTTCCATGCAGTGCCTGCAGTGTCACGGCAAACGGCTCGACATGATGCGTGGATCCTTTGTACATGCGTGGCTGTAAGAAGTGCCATTGATATCTGCCTAGGCAGGAGTACAGCGTCCTTCCCATCATAGCCGATACGCGTGGCATAAAGATGATGCTGTTGCAGTTTCGTTGTAGAGGAGGCATCAGTTGAATGTCACCTCTTTCACACCTGTTCCTGTGCGAATGTTGACCACAGCCACTTTGCGCCTCAGACACCCTGAACTCGCCGTCACAGTCCCACTGACCTCTTCCTTGACTTTCCTCCACAAGAACGGAGAGCACAGTACTGGGTACCCTCCTGCCTCCAACAATCTGCAACCAGCTGGGAGCGCCGCATCATGAAAACTTGGGGACTGCTTTGCACCCACCATTGCCCAGGTTATCGACAACACCTGTGGTGAAGAGGTGGACAAGCAGTGGTAAACGATGGGCGACGTTTTGACCTTGTCGGGCTTGCCAATGCCAACAAGCGTCGGCCGTCTAATATCTCGGACCACAGAACTTCTCTCTCGTGACGCCGATCGAGGCCAGGTCCAACTTTGCATAAGCGGGCGTTTTGCTGGTCGCTTTCCGCACAATGTGTGGCTTCAAGGTAACCGTCTTGTTCTCGCGCTTCGCATTTGTTGGTCTCTGCACGTTGCTCTGCTCTTCAACCTTTACAGCACTGATATTGCGGGCCGTCTTCTTGTGTCCTTGCGTTTCTAGCCTTGTTGGCCCGTATCCACGAGCAACATCAGCTGGGCCACCATTCAGCTCAGCGATGAAAAGATTGATTCTGTCGTGGAGGTCGGAAAACTCTTCGCGCAGCGTCCAGAATGCGCTTTTGGCCCGGAGTCGCTTCTCCCAGAATCGAATTGCGATGTGCTCAACGAGGAAGGTTCTCATTTTCTCATTCGGGGGCTCAACGAGCCAAAGAGCACGAACGTCCTCTGAGTGGATTTGTTCGACAGACAAGAGCACCATTCTTTTTCTTGCTCGTTTCTTCAGGATATCGCATCCGATCGACGCAGCGCATTCGTGGATGAAGAATTGGTACGCATATGGTTTTAACTTTCGATTCGGAACCTGGGCATAGCCAAAGCCCTGGCAACATCGGATCATCCAGTCGAGGATCTTCCGCCATGTGTCACCGTCCGCACCGCTGACGACGATGGTCTGATGGGTGCTATTCTTAATGTTGCCAACCACCCCTTCGGTAGGGGACAACTCAGCCTCCCACTTGGTTGAAAAGGCAGTAGCGACATTCTTTGGGAAGTCTTCATACACGACACGGACGTCATCACCATCGGTGTCAGTTTTGTTCCTGAAGAGGATCGTGACGGTGGGCCCGGCAAGGAGACTGCATTTGGTATCAATTGTCAGCTCTCTGTGTTGGATGAGGTACAGATCGATAGGCTGCCTGTGAATATTTGGGGCTGGTGTCAGAACTCACCGTTTGAGTTGCGCAGAATTCAAGGACGCAGCACACGAAGACTTGGTTCCTGAAGGTTTGTTAGATATGACCCGAAAGGTGTGGCGTGATGTTCAAGGGAAGCTCCAACCATTGGAAGTTGATGTTGCTTTTGTCGAGGCCATCTTTAACGAGGTTGGTTGGCTGTCCACTCAGGTCAAGATGGAGATGTCGCCGGTACCTTTGACAGTGGGAAACGGTTTCTCGAAGCTCCAGGACGGCAAGCAGCTGACGATATTTATGAATATGCAAGCTATGCAGAGTATGGACAAGAGGAGGGTAAGATGTCAGGCTCTTCAACGATCGAAGATATTTATGGACAGGTGAGTGACGGGAGCGGATTTTCCCTATTCACCACCAACGCCCCTTCGCGCTGGCGCGTTTGTTTCCACGAGGCTGTCCAGGCACGTGGCCACTACTGTCACCCAGCCTTGCTTCACAGGTGAGCTAGAGGCGGCAGCAATGCGAGAAGAGAAGTGATATTGAAATGGGGAATATCAATGTGGGATATGAATTGGTGCCATGCAAGAGACGCCCCTTAGTGACACAGGCCTGGTCACGCTGATCGAACGCAGGCCTTTTTCACGCTACGGCGAAACACAAAGGGCAGAAGCGTCGCTCGGAGGTGCAGAATGCTCGGGCTGTCGTTCAGTTCATCTAGACCGCCTAGTGGCCTGATGAGGTCTATATCGCAAGGCTGGCAAACTCTACAGAGGAGCTTGGACACACAAAACAGCCTGTCTGATAATGCTTTCATTGTTGCGCGACAAGACATTCCTGACATGCGCAAATGCAACGTGAAACTCTGGGTATCCTATGTAGTACAAAGCACCAATATACATCATGGCTGTAGCGTATCACGACAAGACATGACATGGTAGACGAAGGATCAAGGTACATGGTATACAGCAGCAGCAAATGCATGCGGCACCTCTTCAACAGCGTGACTGTTAGCAACTCCGAGTGCTCTTGAAGTCGTCGAACCCGTTCAACCCACTTTCCCTTCCTTTCAGCGAAATTCTTGCCCGTTCTGAACGCGCCTCGTCAACTCTTCAGCTTCGGCGGGCCCGGACCATTGTTTCCCGTCTTGTTCTTTCCGCCTGTCACGGTATTACCGGAGGTGCTGGTCTTTGGCGGTGCAGCTGCAGTTGCTGTTGTTATTGCAGTTGTTGCTTTCGACCCGGCTGTTCCTACAGGTTTCCTCGTGGCTGTTGAGGGTTTTGTGGGCTTTGCGCCTGTTGTGGTTTGCATGTTGAGCTTTTTTGGCCCCGGCGCTGTTGCTCCCCCCGCGGAGGTGTTGGTTTTATTCTTGGAAGGGGAAATAATGTTGTTCGTGCTGGCGTTGGCGTTGATCTTGCGTTTCTTCGTGGAGAGCGGGTTCGTTGAAGAAGAAGCCGTTGATGATATCTTCTGTTTAGGAGTCTTGGGGACGGTGGAAGATGGTTTGAGAGGAGTTGCTTTCGAAGGAGTGTTTGAGCTTGGTTTGTTCTTCGAGACTCCTGGTACTGTTGCTGCGGCAGGTTTCAGTGGTGCTGGTTTCGGAGAAGCTGAGAACGTGGGCTTCTTGGTCGTGTTCGCTGTTGAGGTCGTAGTCCCTGTTTTCTTCGTTATCGAAGGCGCAGATACACCAGTACTCACTTTCTTACAGGTGTCGTGGTCGGACTTGTCTTCTGCCCATTCGTTGTCTTTAGCGCTTGGTTCGCCGAAGGCAGTTTCTTACCTGGAATTGGCTGGTCCTTTGCTGGAGCTTTCGCCAACCCAGGCTTCAAGCGCGAATCTGTTAATGTCTTCAACGGTGTCGAATTCGTAGACGCAACAGCTGTGGACGCATTGCTGGACAGCGTCGTCACTGTCCCATACCGACTATTCTCCTCTGCTTTCATTGCATCCCAGAAATTTGCCTTCGGAGGAACAAAATTCCTGCCTCCGCTCTGTGTCAGGGGCAGCTTCTTCGTCGTGGGCAGGGTATTTTTTGCCTTGTTCTCCTCTGCAGCCTTCAGATCCTGCCAGAATGTGCCCTTTGATTGTCTGGAACTGGATGCTGTCGGAACGGATATAACAGACCCACGTCTGCTTCTCTCTTCGGACTCCAAATCATTCCAGAATGTACCCTTTTCCGGGGCGGCTGAGATGACGGAACCATGTCTGCTTTTTTCTTCTGCTTCAATCTGGTTCCAGAAATCGCCTTTGGCCGTGGTATTGGTGACAGGTTTCAGCGGACTCATAGGAGAAGGAACCTGTCTTCCTTGTTGCGTCTTGGCTTCTTCTTGGGCCAATTGTTGCATGAAATTCTGCTGTTTGTCTGTGATGGTGTCCTGCACCATCTTCTGTGGGTCGGACAAGAATGCGTGGATGAAGTCGGCTCTGTTGAGGAGAGTTTGTGCTTGGGGCGAGTTCAGGAGCTTTTGTACAGCCACTGCACCAGCTGCGAACGTCTCCTCCTGCTTACCTGGTTCAAAGAATGAGTCCAATGTCAAGTCACCCAAGGCAGAAGATGCAGATTGGATCCCCTTGCCAGCTTGTATACCGGCATTTTTGATGTCTTCTGTTCCTGCTTGAAGGGCTTGTTTGTTAATGCTCTTCCAAAACCGCTTCGGGAGGTCGCCGTAGAAGATGTACAGTATCATTGCCAGAATCCCCATCGGTGCAAAAATCTGGAGAAATTCGTACCAATGACTTGCACGAATAGGGACCTCCATGTGTCCGCATCCCCGAAGGACTTTGCCCGATTTGTATTTCGTGGCGCCATAGTCAGCTGGGAGTTTGCCGGTCTGGTAGTACTCTTCAATCATGACGTCCTTTTCCCGCCAGCGAGCTCTGAGCCAGAGGTCAAATGCTCTATCGTTGTGGATTGGGATGTCTTTGACGGCGAACCGACGCCAATGCATGCTGACGGATTTCGGAGGTCGGCCTTCCAAATAGCCCGCTCTCAAAGTGAAGATGTCTTGTGCGTACTGGCCACGAGGTACACCTTCGTAGACTACAGTACAGTCGTACAGGTAGTCTACAGTGTCCTTCAATTCCCCGAGACAGAATTGCAGGCCGGTGCTCCGAGGTAGAAGCACGTGTCTGGTGTCTGGGATGTTGTTCTTCTTTGCCCAGGCAGCGCTTCGTTCGCGTGTGCTGCGAGCAAGGTTGGTCCCTTCTGGAAAGAGGAGAAGCCACATTGGATCTGTCGGCTTGTTGAGTCTTTGCAGGGCGCTCGCCATATTCGGCTTGTCCTGTTCCCAATTGCGCTTCAAGAAGATGAATTGATACAACTGCATGCCCCATCCGAAAACAGGAATCTTCCGAAGCGACTCCTTCAGAATAATATAGAGGCGGCCATGCATACCATTGCAGTAGGCTATCCACCACAGGTAAAGCCAATCGGTATAGATTTGGTGGTTCGCAATGAGAACAAGCCGTTCGGGGAAATCCAAAATCAGATCTCCATCGGTGGACTTCAAGAGCTGTCCTCGCACCGTTTTGTCGCCGGAGACGATAACCTTTGTGGGCGCGAATGTCTGGGTCAGGGTCATGGTGAGCAGCCCGAAGGACTGCTTGGTGAAAGCGATCCATGCATTGTACCAGTCCTCGTTGATCGCTCGCAACGGAGCTCCCAGGAATTGAGAGATATTGATAGCCAAAGCTCCCGACAGGAAATAGGTCGACAGAGCCAACGCTCTGGATGCGACGGAGAATTCACCCTTTGCAAGCGGCACGCGATCAGGCCGCTCGGTTTTCGACTCCAGCGAGAAACCCGCTGCAGGCTCAAGCGCGGGTGCTCTGGATTGAGCCATTGATGGTCGACCGTGATTGTCACAGACAATGGATTCGTCTCTTCACACTCCTAACTATTGTTGTTACCACTCGAACAGCCACAGCATCGGCGCAGTATTATTGTATGCCGAATAATGTACGAGAAGGCTAGGAATGCTGGAGGAGCGCCACCCTGACGTACAAAGGGTCCATATTGGGTTTTCAAGCAGGAGGGATCGCCATTGGGGAACTGTTTGCTATCACCCGGCTGTGTTCTCAAAGCACCGTTGGTCGGTTCTGCATTCAGTTGAGGCGTTCACCCACCACCACTGCCACCAGCTGCTGTCTCGATCTCTACCGTCAGCATTGGGGAGGAGGACGACTGGTGCGACGATGCCAGCAAATGGAAAGGCTGCCCGCTGCGGCAATTTCTGGGCTCATCGTTCTTTTTGGGCGGCATCAATGATCAAGGGGATTGTTTCGGAGAGCACATCCTAGTCATGGCGGTCCAGATTTGCATCTTCTGACAAGGATTGAGTGCTTCAGTGGTGCCAGGAGGTTGCCAAAACTGCCAAAAGCAAGGAAAAGCAGGATAAAGACCCTTGTGGCACTGGGTGGCGGTGCGGCGACTCTCCAATCAAGCCGCTGGTGAGCAGCTCAAGATGACGTTTGTGTGGGAGCATCTCTGAGGATCTGTGAGGGTCTTTTGGGGGGGAGGAAGGGGGGGGGGGGGACCAACTTGTCCAGACTTTGGTCCATATCATTCCTCGTATGTCCCTGGTGTCGATCAATGGAAAAGCTCTGCAAGGAGCATACTGAGAATAAAGTCTAGCCCTCTTCTTGATATCTCATCCCATTTGTCTCCTCTCCCTAATCTATCTACATATGCTTATGGTCTTGTCTGTGGCCTGATCCAGGTGCAGACGCGAATTCAATCCCGGTCCCAATGCCTAACGTATCCTTCGATATCTTCTTTGACAAGGACTTTATCAACATCACAGCCACCCGAGGACAAACCGCTCCCAAGGCCAAACCCGAGTGGAAGGTCCGCACTGCTCCCAAGCTACCACCGAAGCCCGTGGTTGAGGATCCTGCTGGGACTCCCAGGCCACCACCGAGACAGAAGTTGACCACCCTTCGTCAACCCGTACACCCCCAAAGGCCGCAACAGACACAAGAACAGGCACTTCCCAGCACCAAGAAGGCCGAGGTCGCTGGAAGTGTGAACGGCTCTGCTTCGGGCGCTGAAGAGAAGCCTAGACGAAAGCCTCCGAAGCTTGGTCCCAGAAAGTCAACCACTCCTGCCACCCCTTCAGCCAACCCGGCGTCATAAAGAATGGCAACCCAGTGGGTTTTGGGGAAGGTCAGTGAAGCACTTGCTCCCACCGTATCCAGCACGGTGGCGAGTGCCGGGGCATTCGCCGGGGGCGCGGTCAATGCGGTGGGCAACAGCATCAATGGAGTAGGAGAGTCAATCAATTCCACAATTCGCAGATATGGGGATGGAGTCAAGGACTATGGAAATGGCGTCATGGATTGGACACAAGCTGCAGGACCCAGGGCAGCAACTGCAAGCAATCCTCTGGGGTTAAGTGCAGGCAAGACGGGCGGGAGGAGACAGGTCACCAGTCCTCAAATCTATCGGCAACCAGTGACAACACCAAAGTCGTCTCCTTCCAAGACGTTGATGACGACGAACAAGACGCCAGCACCTCAGAAGAAAATCGAGGGAGGAACCCCCATGAAGGCCTTGCCAGCTCCTGGTCCAAAGCTATCCGATGCAGCCCACAAGGCGACAGCTGTTGCCACCCCTGCTAAGAAGGTCGCTTCTGCTCCCCGCAAGCCCGTGCAGTCAGCGGTGAAGACAAGCACGGTCCCCAATCCTGGAGCCATGAGGCAACACAAACAGGGAAATGGTGCTAGCAAAGCCGCCGGCGCGACCAAATCACCCACGACACCCAACCCGGGAGCCATGAGGCGGAAGCCAGCAGACGATGGCAACATGAAGCAGCCTTCCTCGGTCAAGAAGGTGACTCCTGTCAAGCCCAACACGGCTTCTGCACCAAAGCCGACAGCGACGGCAGCAAATCGACCAAAGGTGCAAGGTAATCCTACTGCTGCTGCCAATCCGCTCGGGCTCACGTTCTGATTAGTATGATGTCTCCCTGGAACTTGGTGATTTGACAGTCGGGTATGAACTTTTCCGCGACCTCTCCAGTCACCCTGTGACGCCGTGTGTTTGTAAGAAGGATATACTAGCATGAGCTCCTTGGTACCTCGATAGCATCGAATTCAGGCCGCCCGGTCCACGCCAGCCGGGGTACAGCAGGAAACATGAAATAATATGATTGATTGCAGCGTATGCTCGCGGAGATTGTTGGCCTTGACTCGGGGCCTTGACCTTCGGTTCCGTTCCCTGGTTGCGGGGCGGGGAAACACGCTCTTCGTCTCTTCGCCTGCACTCCGCAGTCTGTACCGATTGACGCTTTGATCTGACTTCCATCCAACCGACCGTCATTGCCGGGACGCGGTCGTCATTCGCGCCCTTTCCCATACGCGGATGATGGCTGCTAACACCTCAAGCACTCCTGTCCTAGTCAGTGATGGTGATCATGTTGTATCTGCAAGCATCAAGTAGGTGGATGAGTTCATATCTGAAGCTGACAAAACCAGACCGCACTTTCTTCACATAAATCCACAGGTGTGTGTGTGTCATGCTGTCAAGCTAGGACGCCTTCCGAAAGCTGTTCACCTTTACACCATATCCTACTCCAGACCTTTAACTCCAGCGCGGCCCAAACGTAATGGCAGACATTGAACCATTCACCATCGTCGTCCCTGACTCGGCCCTGTTAGACCTCAAGACTCGCCTTTCCCTCGCTCGCTTCCCGGACGAGCTTGAGGGGGCAGCTTGGGACTACGGCGCGCCACTGGCGGACGTGCAGCGCCTGACAAGATACTGGAAGGACACATACAACTGGCGCGAGGCAGAGAAGAAGCTGAACGAGCTGCCCAACTACCGGACCACGATCCAGGTGGAGGGCGGCTTCGAGCCGTTGAAAGTGCACTTCCTCCACCAGAGGTCCCGCGTGGAGAACGCGATCCCGTTGCTCTTCGTGCACGGCTGGCCGGGAAGCTTCATCGAGGCCGTCAAGATCTGGGACAAGCTGCCCTCGCCGGACCCGGGCTCGGACGACCCGGCATTCCACTTCGTGGCCATCAGCCTACCCAACTACGGCTTCTCCGAGGCCCCCCGGAAGAAAGGCTTCGCCGTCGCCCAGTACGCCGAGACGTGCCACAAGCTGATGTTGAAGCTGGGCTACGACGAGTACGTGACCCAGGGAGGCGATTGGGGTTACTACATCACGCGGGCCCTCGCGCTGCTGTACCCGCAACACTGCAAGGCGACGCACGTCAACTTCGACCAGGGCGAGGCGCCCTCGCTCCTGACGCATCCGACGCTGGCGATTCAGCACGCCCTCACGCCGTACACGGCGGCGGAGAAGGAAGGGCTGAAGCGCACGAGCTGGTTCCTGCGCGAGTCGTCGGGCTACCGCGCGCAGCAGGCCACGCGGCCGCAGACGCTGGGGTACGCGCTGGCCGACTCGCCCGTGGCGCTGCTGGCGTGGATCTACGAGAAGCTGCACGACTGGAGCGACGCGTACCCGTGGACCGACGACGAGGTCTGCACCTGGCTGAGCATCTACTGGTTCTCGACCGCGGGGCCGGCCGCCAGCCTGCGCATCTACTACGAGTCGACGCACGAGTGGGACCCCGACCCGGCCAGGCGGGTCACCCGCGACCGCACGCGCGACTACATCGGCGGCGGCGTCAAGTTGGGCCTCAGCCACGCGCCCAAGGAGCTGAGGGTGCTGCCCAGCACCTGGACACGCACCCAGGGCGACGTCGTCTTCGAGCGCAGCCACCCGGACGGCGGCCACTTCTACGCCTGGGAGCGGCCCGAGCACCTGCTGCGGGACGTCAGGGACATGTTTGGCAAGAAAGGCGGCGCGCGGAATGTGGTCAAGGGGAAGAGCGGGTATTGATTTGATCCGACGAGAAGAACGAGAAGAAATCGTCATTCAGTCAGTTGGTTGTGACGAAGTTCGTCCCACATCCCCGGGCTTGCTGCCTTTCTCGGACGACGTTGCGGAGCATAATGGATTGATTGCTTTGTTATCTGGATGTTCCTTTCGTGGGTCTTTTTCTGATTCACCACCGCACAAGCCCCGAACACTCGAAGGACTCTGCGTCTGTGTCTATACCCACACCCCCAGCGGCAGGATTGAAACGTCTAGGAACCCAAGCTCCCGAGAGAGGCGGTAGCCTCGAGCACTGAGCCTTGCCTGAGCCTTGCCTGAGCCTTGCCTGAGCCTTGCCTGAGCATTGGGCCTTGGTCTTCAGCCTTTGCCCAGAAGGGACAATCAATGTCTGGTGTTTCTAATGCCCTGATCTCTTCACGGCTGCTCCAGTATCTATCTAGCAAATCGTCTATCTATGCACAATTTCCCCTCTACGTACGGTAGGGATACTTTTCCCGCCCTCATCGCATCGTGTTTCGTGGGTTGATGATCAAGCTCCGTGCTGGCGACTTTTTTTATTACAATCATAATCTGCCAGCCTCTAGTTCCCTCCTCCTCTCCACAGCGTCTCTCAGTACCCGTATAACATGTCCCGGGTCCTTGGCGCCAAACACCGCCGAGCCCGCTACAATGACATTCGCGCCGGCGTCCGCGGCCTGGTCGATTGTTGATTCCGACAGGCCACCATCCACTTCGACATTGAGATCTGGGTATCGCTGCCGCACTGCCGTCACTTTGGGGAGTTCCGAGGCCATGAATTTTTGGCCCCCGAAGCCAGGGTTCACGGTCATAATGAGAACCATCTGTCGGAAGTTACCGTGGCACACGTCAGTCCAGTCAGCCCCATGGATATGGATGGATATGTGCGTGAGGTATGGCAGGTCAATCCGCCCCACGCGGGATCATGAAAAAGGGTTCGTACATCCGGCCTTTCCTCCTCAAACTCAGCCTCCAATATCTCCCAGAGGACGTCGACACTGGTTTCCGGTTTTATCGCGATGCCGGCCTGCATACCCAGTTCGTGGATGTACCGGATTAGTTCCCTTGGCGACGTGGGTCGCGTCGTGGTTTTGTCTTCGGGTCTCGTGGCTGCTACGGAGGTGATGGCTGCTTCGTAGTGGAAGCAGTAGAGGTCGCAGCCGGCATCGCGGAATGTGGAGACCCAGCGGTGAGGCTGTTGAGTTTGTCAGAATGAGAGACGTAAATAGGAAGTCAATGGCACAAGAGAGCTTCGTGGGTCCCTCCTGAGAGACGGTCTGGCCTCACTCTCTCTCCTCTACTATCCCGTTCCCTCCTCGCGCAGCCGACCCTTAGGACGTAATCCCTCTCCCCACTCTCTTCCAGCTGTAGGAGACACAACTCACCTCTGCAATCATCATGTGACAATCAAACGTGCCTCTTCCGCCGGGAATCTGAGGTCTTTCCACATGTGGTCGGATCTTGGACACAACCGGCGCGCCAAATGTGATGTTGGGGACAAAATGGCCATCCATCTATGAGCGCCCCGGGCGCAGAAGACGTCAGCCATATGCCTGAACTCTTTACTCTGAAAAAGGAATGTCCATATCAATCTCCGCATTCATCCTCTTCGCAAGGTCCGATATTTTGCCCTGCCACCGAAGGGAGGAAGAAGGATGTGCTAAGCGACGCAGACGTACAATGTCGACATGAAGCCAGTCACATCCCTGGTCCATGGTTCTGGAGCACTCACTGCCTAGTGCCGCAAAGTCGGCACTCAGTATCGAGGGCGCGATTATGGCTGGGGGAGTCATGTTTGACATTCTGGAATGTTTTGGGAGAAGGAAGGGAAGGATTGGGGAAAGGGTTGGGCGTCGGTCAGGACGGTTGTGGCGCAAGCGATCAATCGGTCAGGGCTTCAAGAGAAGAGGTAAAGAAAGATCTCTATCTATCTCGAGGGGTCAACTACGCTCAAATATTTCGAGGAGCGGTAGTGTGCTGCAGAAGCGAATGAGATCAACAATTTGGATTCAGATCGTGTTTTTTTTGGGGGGGGGGGAGGCGTGGGATCCCGGATTGTGAAGAGCCCGCATGTGTCGACTATTATTTTGCGTTGGGTTGGGATTGGATTTGGAGGCTTCTGGGGGTGTTTGCGTCATTCAGTTGGTTCGTCAGGCAAGGCCCGCTTGGTCCGCTTAATAAAGGTGCTAGTGAGGGGCACCGAAAGGGGCGGCAGGCGAGGGGTTCTAGTTAAGAACGGTGGGGGAGGGGTCCATTGGAGGGGGCTTAGCCGGTGTAGCTATCTAGGTGGTTAACGGTGGACAACAGCTTACACACGCTGAGTTGAGCATACAAGGCACCTAGGCAATCAATTACTTGATCAATCCTCAGCTCGCAGTCCGCAGGAAAGGGAAAATCAAATCGCATTTGACTACCAAACCCCGAAAAGGTCCAGTCACTGGGCCTGCTGCTGTTGTACAAATTATCTTTGGAGCGCGGTGTACAATAAATTCCTCGAGGACGCAGACCCGGCTCGTTCAGACACTTGCTGACATATTCCGTCAAAGAAGCAAAAGACTACCCTCAATAAGAACCCCGACATGTTGACTGACTCCATGTGTCTCTCTAACGTTCCATTCAAAAAAAAAAAAAAAAAAGAAAACACCCCGAAAAAAAAAAAAATATAGCCCGTTGTCATTACTCATCCAACGGCCAGGTCGTGATAAAGGAACTCGTTCACATGGTGAGGCTGAAGGGAAACGCGCTCTAGTGCATGCATCGGGCGCAGATGGGATGGTGAAAGTCGTGTCGACATTCTGGAGTCAGGCGAAGGAATCGGGGTAAATACTGGCCGTCGAAAGCGGCTCCGGCCCCGACGACGACTTGGCTGGCGGTGGCGCTCTGTTGCACAAAAGACGGTTCGTACTGGTTCGACAGTATGGATCGGTCGTCGCTACTTAGACCAGGCCCACGGGCAAGCACGCTGTCGTCCATGAGGCCGGGGATGACCATGCCAGAAGAGTCTTCTCCAAAAGACATGTGGTCGAGGCTGTTGGCGCGCTCGGTGAAGTAAGTCCACGGGTGACGTTCGTCCTCATCTGGCTCCGACGCATATTGGGTGCGGCTGGAGTTCACGTCGGCAGCTTCACGACGGGCGAGCGGGTTTCCCACCTCGAAGCTGTTGTCGAAGCTCCCATTGCTCAAAGAAGGAGAAGAAGGGGATTCGAATGACGAAGGAGAATCGAATCTGGAGATATGGTCAGGGTGGCCAGCGTCTGGGCCCGGCACATCTTGACGACCTCCCTGCCCTCCGTAGGCCTCACGGTTCGATTCGTCCTTGAAATGCAATAGTCGACACAGACAGTGGGCACAACCACATCCACAGCCATGATGGCCACCACCAGAGCAACAGGTACCGGAAGGTTTTTCTTTGTTGTTGTGACGGGATTGAGGAGAAAGAGGGACAAGACCGGAAGACCCCTGTGGGAATGATTCAAGGGGAGCGTCGGGATTGACGCGACGAGAAAGGTGACGAGCCATTGAGGCGATAGAAATATGAAATTGACCCCTGTAATTTGTGGGGTGGCATGCGAGTCGTCAGGGCTTTTTTGCTTTGTGTTTGGTGTACAGGTGGAACGGGAAAAGGTATTGAGACAGCCGAACCCAATTTAAGAACACAGTTAGGAGGAGTCTTTTCTTTTACAGCAAGGACAACAGATGACACAGAGAAAAAGGCAAGGAAGAGCTGGCAAGGAGAGCGTGCCAAAAGCAACCCAAGTCGGATCGAGGGAGAGGGATAGATATATTTCGTATATATATATATATATATATATATATATATGGATGTTTGAACAAGGCAGAATCAGGACGAGTCATGTGAAGTGGCCTGGGGGCCTGAGAACGAGCGTCACCGGGCGATGCACGACCGGATAGAGTCTCTCTCGGTTGCGTTGTATACTCAGCCTCGCGGGGTGATTTCAAACATGGACAGCCGCGGCCCATTTGGACCAGGAAGAGGAGGCACGAGCGGGATTCCATTGGTGATAGATAGCTGAAACTTCCACGATCCGACATATCCTAGTTCAGTCTTTATTGATTCCGCCGTCGGGGACTGAAGGGATAAAGCATGGTCCCGTCTCTGGGCCGAGTCAGGCGTTGTCACAAGATCAGGACTGAACTCTTTTGCCCATGCAACACGACGGGAACGAGACTTGGAAACCGCATAGCGCATCCCATGATGCCTGGGCGGCTGCAGATGCTGCATGCAAGGCGTTGACCTTGCGTCTGGTTGAGCATCGGCTTGTGGACCGCGGTTGGCCACGGATTCTGAAGGAGGTTGAGAAAGAAGGGGGGAAGAAAGAACCACACAGTTGAACTCTGCGTGTCCGCGCCAATCTAGTCCCCGTCTCAATGCAAGTACTGGTGAGAGTCCTGCACTCAATACTTGGTCCACCCGTGGCTCAATCCAACGTGGTAGGTAGAAGCGTCGCCGTGACTGGGGCCTCCTGGAGCAGAGCAACCAACAGCAGGCGTGGCATCGTGGACCACGCTCTTGTTCCGCTCGGCAAGATTTCATTTGCGCTGATATCCATCCGGCTTCTTTTGGGTCCTTTGCACTGACAAATTGATCAATCTCACTAGTGTCTGGCGACCTGTGCGGTACGGGACTGGTAGTGGAGCATGCAATGGCTGAGGAATTCGTTCCAAAATTTGCTGTGCCCTGCGAGAGGGCTTGCTAGTACCTCGTACGTTCCCATCCATCCTGAAAGAAAAACAACACATCACCCAAGAAGAGTTTTGGTCGATTGAGACGCTGGAAATGATCGAGGTAGTTGTTGATTCTAAGACACGGCCTTATCATACGGTGCTATACATTGTGCAACCGTCTAAAGAAAATGACCAAACACACCTCCCTCCCCACCTCCGAGCCATGAATCCTTCCGGTTCCCGTCGTAGGGGGCATTGCGTTGCTGGTGATGTTCTCATGTACAGACGAGCTCTGAGGTTATCCATCCGGCACAAGACCTTTCTTACCATGTCCATGACAGACATGTCAACTCATCTTCGAGAAATAGTCGTACAGGGCTATCACTTTCCTCGATCAGCATCCAATCCATGACTTTCGTTCATGTTTCGGTCGGTCAATGACAGCTCCGATCTTCGCAGGGGAGGGCTAGCAAAATGCATTGATTCGACAGAGCCAGAGTCTTCCTCAATCTGCTCGTTGCTCCTCTCCCCCCCTCTCCCTCTTCGGACCGTCTTGCACGATCTCCAGAAACTTCCTTTGCCGGATTCTCGACGCTGTCCGAGTCGTCGATCACCAACCTATCACCGTACCAGATCTTCGAACTCGAAACCTCTGAAAACACCTAGGATTAAATCAATTGGCGCCCGTACTTCTAGGGTATCTGGCGCTAACGTCATCCCTTTCGAGGGTTTGTGAAACCACCCATGACAGAGCCGCCGTCTGGTCCGATGCGGAAGCATGGCGACGAACACCTAGTCTCTAAATTAGTTGGTGCGAATACACACTCAACATTCCCTTTGGATCCGACGATACAGCCTTGCGCAAGTCTCACAATCCCCAGGAGCGCGAGACGAGTTGTGGTGAGGCGACCGGTCGTTCAATGAAAAGTTTGATTTCCACCGTCGCAGGAGTCTTTGTCTTTCACGAATCGGTTGATGAAAGGGCCTAGTGAGCAATACGTACCTATGTCTCATCACTCCAGTCAACAGTTCAGCTGTCGACGCCCCCGCCCGCACGGGGAGGTCGCTCAGGGCGAGAATGCAGGCGAGATAACGACGTTCGAATCAAGCAAGATAGAGATCAAGCTGATGGAGCGAATGGATGCGTCGACAGATGAACCCTCTGGTCGTAAAAGCCCACCATTTGCCGGTGGAGATGCGCTACCATCGCCACGGGGGTGGCACGGCATCACGTGCCACAGATCCGCAGCTCATGATGAAGTCTTGCTCAATGACAAAGTACTCCCAATTAGAGGTTCATTGTTAGTGAGACGTCTGTCCTTCGTGGATCTCAAGACGTGAAAACTTCACACTGGTCAATGCAATCCAGCTCGTCCTGGAGCCATTACAATAGTTCCTCGCACGCAGGGCCAATCCACCTTGATGAGCCCAAGACGAGTTCGCCGTCAGGTTTGCGGTAGGTAGTTGGTTTGTTCCTCACGAGGACAGAGACGCGAGTGAATCATGGTGTTTCGAATTAATGATTGTAAACAATTTGACGCTATTGTTTTTGATGCGAGCTGAACAAGGCAACTATAGCGGCAGAGGCAATTATCCCGAGGCTCTTCCGAGTCCTGGGTACGGCTGTGTCTCTCCCTCGCCGCCGTCGAACCGTCTCTGTCTCGCTCGTGAAAGAGGAGGCGGACAGACACCGTCTGACCCAGTGTTTTCCTGACCGAACTGCTATTGAAGTTTACCAGTCGACTGCACTCTGGGTAATTATTCGACCAATGAGTGCATCCTGTCCGACTCGCCGGCTCAAGGTACAGTACTCAGCCCAAAAGTTGTCTATCGTTTCCCCAATTTGTCCCATTTATGCCTTTTTGCCCTTTCTGCAAATCCTTCTTTCTATCCCACCCATGGATCTTTTTCACCCCGCCCGATGATAACCGCCCCAGCACTGTCTGGAATATCTTCCGCTCTCTCCTCGCTTGCTCCCTTTCTTGTTCAAGGATTAAGGGAAGGGAACCTCACCTCTTCTTCCTCCACTTCTCTCTCCCCTGCATTCTACCCTCTCATATCACATGTACACCGCCTGTACGGTCCAGTTGCGAACCTCCCCATCCCTGCGTCGTCGGTACACACCTAGCCCACTTAGAAATGAACATAGGCACGGTAACACAGACCATTATCCACCTCCCTAATCTGCCACGTCAATAAGGCAGTCTTTTCTTTTCTTTTTTCCCTCCCCTTTCTCCTGGTTTTGCCACCGGTACCTGCTCGCTGTGCAACCCTCGCTTCCACGTCTGGAGAATGATTTCCCTCCTCCCGCCGCCCGGTTCCCCGGCCCCGATTCATGAAGGTATCCCGACGTGGCGTGGCTTTTAATTCGCCCGGTCCCAGCACCAAGACATGGCTCGACAGATCCCACACCAAACTTCGGCATACCTACTGGTAAGTACTTGAAGGATGCACAAACAAAGATCAGCCGTGGCACTCGTCATTCCGCATTAGTCGTGCGGCATAAGCGAACAACGACCATGACCGGCAGGGACTGGGTGAGAGGGGTATCGGTCTTCGCCGACATTCTGTTTGATAGGTTCAACTTCCCCAGCCCACTGACCATCTACCTCCACTACACCGCTTCACTTGGTTGAGATTTCCAGTCGTCAATGTAGCTCGGGTCCTGCATAGCGAAGCTCGGGCTGTCAAAAGGACCAGGGTGACGGAATTCTATGTATTGTCGGTGCCTGGTTGAAATTTGTTTTGTTCAACCTCTCTCTCTCTCTCCTGACTGTCCCCCCCCCCCCCCCCCAAGGGCAATTCGTCGACCAATGCCCAAAGGTGGCTGATACCAATCAAGGCGAGGAGAGTGGAAGCTATATCCACTCATACCTATGTACCGGGTATCGAGTCTGGTCAAACACCGGGTCCTTGCCTAAGATGCCACAAACCAGCCAAAGGCCGAAATTTGAGTTTCATTTCTCTCACTCCCCTGTTTGGGAAGCCCGTACCTTGTAGTCGTAACTCGTGTATCCATGCATGCCGTTTTGTCTTCTGGTACTATGTCCACTTTTTCATTTCACATCAGAGATGGGTATCAAATGGTCCTATATAGCTCGCGTAACCTCATGGGCCCAATTCAGCATCCAACACCTCACGCGAAGTCCCAAAACAAACAACCATGCCAAAAACAAAGAGGAAAGGACATTCAAGCCATAGATCATCTCTACACCACCTCCGAGAAGTAGCGTTTGCTCGTGTGTCTCCCAGGGGACCGTGGATCGGGCGGCAAGGGACCGCTGTGGTGCACTACATGGGGCCGGAAGACTGCATCCACAGGCGGCATCCAGTCGTCCAGACCTAATGGGAAGTACTCGTAGAGTTGATCCGCACTCTCGCCCTCGGCATTGAATGGCAGTCCTGATTTTGTTGGGAGAAGTTCTGGTCTATGGGCCGCTGCCGGCACTGGCCCTTGCCCGTTTATCGTGGCCAGGGAGCTCGGAACGCTTGTCATTGATACTTGGTGAGAATGCAGTCGAGGTCGGGGGCCCAATTGATTGGGAACCTGCCCTGGCGAAGCACCGGCATTGCTCGTATACGTGCCGGACGGGCCTTTGTTGACAAGTGAAGGGGAAGGATTCGAGGTTGGAGGCCGGGATGAATGTCTTGATCCTTGTTGCGGCGGATGAGGGCTGCCCCCCTCATCATCACTGCCAAAATGCAAGCTCATCGGCCGACTCCCCGGCGCCATCTCTTGAGGGAACGTAAACGGGAATGTGCCCGGTGTTCCTAGATCGGCGGTGCCGTCTGGAAACGCTGGGACTGGAGGATTCAAGGCAGTCGAGTAGGGAGCGGCAAGAGACTCTTGAATACCCTGTGACACCCAGCTGGAGCCGTCGATCTCCGCGGGCTTGATGTCGATATTGTCATAACCGACCACCATTTGCCTTGTCTCCTCAGCGGGTGTCTTGATTTTGGGGGCTGAAGTGACCTGAGGGACCGAAGTTTGACTGTTCGTAGCTCGCGATGCTGGCGGCAGGTGTTTACGAGCTGTGGAGCTGTTGCTTAGGGGTAGGTCTTTCCGTGCTGCAAAGTTGCGAGGGCTCCGGCCTCGGACAATAACTGCTCCTGAATGAGCTTCGGCAATGGAAATCTTGCCGCCTGTCGATAATGAGGCCATAATCTTCAAGTGGAGCGTGAAGTGTTGTTGTAGCTCCTTCCGTCGACCATTGTTAGCGGTCGCTATCCGGAATTGAAGCCTCTTCCACTGAATGGGGAAGGTTGCAAAGTCTGTATCCAGGTCTTGGCCAGTCATCTTGTCTAATGGAATCGTGGGAGGCTCTCGTTCCACCTTGTCCTCTGGCTTAGGCGCTTCTCCCGAAGCCGGGGTCTTCCACGGCACTGAAATGATCTTGACCGAGTTCCCTTCGACAGACTCAGTCGCTGACACTGCTAGCTCCAACTCGTAGATGGGAATTCTCGATCCGTCATCGGTGAAAACATATCTGAGGTTCCGGGGAAGCGTCACGGAGCCGGTGATTTGGAACAAATTGCGTCGGTAACACGTCAATTCTGGAGGAGGTGGAGGAGTGTCGGCGGTGGCCGGCCATTGAGACTCGGCCAAGAAGAACATGCCGTGCAGTTGGGCACTGATGTTGACCGATGACCGACGAAATGAGTCGTCCAGGAGGGTGAAGTTGTACTGTGGCATTGAGAAGCTGAGGTATTTGCTGTCACGATCAATGGAGGGGCTCTCGGGCAGTCCTTCAGTGGGCACCCGCTCGAACTGAGACATTGTGCTTTCGGCAAAAGGGTCTTCGAGGTTGGACGAGTAACGCTTCAGCATCGCAGAGTGCTGCAGGTTACTTGAAGGTGCAAAGCTGAGGTCGTCGCCGCTAGAATATGTTAGAACATCCTGCCATTGAGCAGTCGCTTCTGGGCCGGGCAACATTTACCTCATATACGGCTCCGAGTCGAAGTTGGAGTATGATTCTTGCAAATCCATCACGGATGGAACACTCATGTAGTCGAGATTTTGCAGATTGCCGCCCCCAAAGGGCATTGGACTGTGCAAGTAGGGCATCGCGAGAGGATCATAGCCATCCATGGTGGCGGCCATGCGTTTGTGTGCGTGTATTTGGCTGGGTGCGTGAGGGTGGGTGATGGGTGCGGAGTTTGGGGGTTGGAGGGTGCGAGAGCTGCGCCAAACGAGGCCACAGAGCTTTGAAAAGGGAAAAATTGTTATTGAATAGAGAAGAAAATTCTCGCCGGCATTCTCGAGAGCAAGTTAATGCTCACGAAAGCGCCACCGTCGAAGAGGACAGAAAATTGGAATATCGATGAGCCGCCCCGGGGGAGGGTTCCAGGTTGTGGTTCGTTAATCAGCAATGGGACCCGTCTAAGCAGGCGAGCAGTCTGGTCCTAAGTGCGTGTGTGCTTTGAACAGAGCGGTTGGACTCTTCGCTCTCACTTTTTGAATGAGGCGGGAACTTGAAGCAAGCAAGGAATCACGGAAGTAGGAGGCGGGCACTGTAGCCGGGGGTGTGGCCAGCCGTGTTGGTAGGCCTGGAGGAGTTGAAGCAGTTCTCTCAAGTCGATTCCGCAGCAGCTTGGCAGTGACGACAAACGACTCGAGGATTATGAGATGAGGCAAATCTCAGCGGTAAATGAGCTCAAGGAATTGGCACAGTCGATTTCAAAACAAAAAAGGGCTCGCCGGGAGGTCCAAATACGAAGAGAGATGGGGGGAGGATGTGGAAGGTGATTTGACTGTCTGGACTGACTCGAGGTCATTGCAGCATTTAGACTTCTGTTGGCTGTTGTTTGTTTGTTCTGGAAGCCGTGAGTGAGATAGGTAGGTACTGGGTAGAGATGCCGCCCAAAAGCATGGCCCGGTACCAGGAATCCAGGTGCCACTGGTGACCAAACAAGTTTGCGCCGGTGGCTGGTTCGGGAGAAGGCAAAACTGAGTCTTCTAGAAGGAAACGGGGCAAAGCCAGGCAGGCCGCTAGAGGGCAAAGAGGAAGCTTGGAAGCAAAGGGGCTTAGCTGGGTGGGGTCGCCTTTATCATCCTCATGCCTTTGCTCCGTTATTGTCCCGGGCCTCTTGCCTGGAAGATCTTAGGTGCCCGGGGGGCCCTGGGTATCCCTGCAGACACCTTCCAGCAGCCACCTAGGAAGGCAAGTACTCGGTAATTGTACCAAGTACTGGTACTTGGTAGATCCTGACTGACAGTTCGCTCTCTCCGAACCACCCGACCCTCTCTTCCCCCCTTATTTCATTCCCACTCGGGGGGGCGACAGCAGGAGACCTACTTGTAACAAGTACGTACTGCTCGTAAGGGGGTCGGTTCGTGTTCATGTTCAGGTCTCAGGTCCCATAGAGCGACGACCCACCACCATTCCTCACCGTCCAAGCCATTGAATCACTCTGCAGCAGCCCCTCGCCCCCCCTCATGCATCGAAGCCGGCATGGAAAACACTTGGAAGACCCTTCTGACCTGGAGAGTTCCGATTAGCCGCATCGTCTCTAGCTGCCTTGCCGGCCCCAACTCATGTGCAGTCATTGCAGCGGCCCCCCCCATCACGCGACGGTCCAGTCAAACTGCGCTGTGCTTGCTCACTTTTGCTCACCTCTACCTCTCCGTCCAGTCACAGGATTTCACCACCGCCTTCTCCTCAAACTAGTCTCATTCCTCCCGTGTCTCAATCGCTGATCATCGGTGCGCCGAGAGCCTGCAGAACCTGACATGCATGAGAATGGTTTGTTCGTTCCCTGCGGGCGCTTGCGCTTGCCCATTGTGGAAAAGCCAGACAATGCGACGGTGAGGGACCTGATGGAGCCGATGGACCTGATGGACCTGATGGCGCATCATGCCCTAATCATGCAGACCTACGGCTGATCTTAGACTTCTGACCACTTCACCACTTCCTCCAAAAAGCAACTCTGTGCGACCGAGGCAGGTCCCCTGCCTTACCCTCCCCTACGAGCAGCCTCGCATCACCCGCGCGAAGCGTACCCTGCCGACGAGCTGACGCCGGTGACGCTACCCATTCCCGGCACTGAAATGCACTTCCGGCGCTCAGATCAAATAGCGGAGAATCGTGGGTGAGAGACAACCAGACCGAGAAAAACAAGTGAAGCCAAACAACAGCCGCCGCCCCATGACGTTTTCGCTCGAAAGGACCACCTGCCTTAGTGGATCGTGTGAGACACCGAACCAGCCTGAGTCCGCTTGGCTCTCCAATGGACACTAACCAGCCCGAAATTCCGCACCGCAGTTGGTCTGGCAAATGCTGTTCACAGGGCTTCTTTTTCCAGAAACTCGCGCCATCTTCCTATTACGATCTGCTCCGTGCTCTCCGTATTCCTCCAGGCCAGCTAGCGTCCTTCCGATATTTCGCACTAAGTTGCTCCGGGCCATGGCACACTATCCAATGTCCGCCCTGGCCCAATGAGCGTCTCCTGATCTTCTACCAAATCGCGGCAAAAGATGACCCGAAGCTGAAGTCGCCCGCCCGTGCGTTCGCTATCACGATCATATCAGCAGATAGACATATCTGCCGTATAGTTGTGGAGAGACAACGGCGGCGTCCGACTTATATGAGGTTTCGCACCTCATGACCGGGGGGATGTACTTGTAAAATGAGGATCGCTTTCGAGTGGGTCGGCGCTTAACTTCTTTTCTACTGTCGCCGACCTGGGTGTCTGCTGCAGCATTGTCAAGAGGTCGGCCAGATAACTATTAACAAGGGTCAGGCATCGGGAAAGCTTACATCGAATGATCGACCCATCCGCCGGATTCGGACATTCATGCAGCTGTGCTGAGACCGGACGACGGCAACTGCCATTGTCCTTGTGCCAAGCGATACCAGTCGTGAATGTCCCTAGATAAGCAACCTCGGGGGTTGCTTCCAGCTGTGCTCAGGGCCAACTTGGTGGTACAGTAAAAAGTGTCGCGGTGGTCCTGATCGTTCCTATCACTCATGTCGCGGACATCATTGTCCAGTGAACTGGATCGCTGGAGATTTCCTCAAAACTGTTGCTGATGGTAAAGCCCAAGCCCTTTAGACCGTTGATTGAAAGGTCTTCGCGGGTCTATAGAGAGAGAGAAAGCGAGGTCAGTCAGTCGCTTCCTCGAAGCCTGACGAGGGTTTCGCCACTTACATAATCCAGGAGCAATGTCCGCAAGCCTTGTTTCTTGATCTGACGTATTCCCAATAGGACGAGGCCTTGGAAAAGCGAGACTCGATCGCTGTACATGGTCGAGATGACTGGGGACGACAAACACGCCGTGCCAACCTGTTTGTACAGCGACGGAACATGGCGGGCAATCCGAGACTCCGCTCGGCACATCAAAATACTGCCTAGAATAGACTGGTCAGTTGCCCGTTTAGCTCGAATGATGCCGCAGCCTTCTTTGTTGCCAAGGGCCATTTGGTAAATGCCTCGTACATCCGTCCGTGCGCATCTTGTGAGATGTTCCATCATCACTTCAGCGTACTCGGCTCCGTGAACCAGATCATATTTGACCTCAGGACTTGTCAGTGCCTGAGCTAGGCCTTCGGGAGCAATCCAGATTGACAAATCGCGAATTACCATGGTTGCCACGGGTGTCGAAAGCGAAACGTTCCACCCGAGTTTCGCAAACCACTGGCGAAGGCGTTTGTATTCCACCGGATCCAGTTTAGGAATCCCCAGATACACGTGCGGGAACCTCACACCAAGCTGAAACTTGGTGATGCCTTTCTTCTGGAGTAACGCCCGGACAGCACGGTCGTGCAAAGAGTGACCAATGGATAATCGTCGGCGCGCAGGGTCCACGATGATGGCACCGATATGCCCAACGCCGCTGTTCTTGAAATAATATGTGGTGCAGAACCCAAACAACTCTTTTGTGCTGCTATTCCTGACCACAAAATGCGCCTCTTCCACATCCGGATCACGGAGGAGAAAAGTGCCGGTCACGGCGTTCTTCAGCGCTGCTGCGTTCACCGAAGGCTCATTCAGTGATTGAATGAGGAGGGCGTCCAGTGCTGCTGAGTCTCGTTCTTCGCTGAAGCTTTCCACAAGCCACTGTTGTCTGGTGTGGCTGGTCTGATGCTTCTGGCTAAATGAGCCCGGCAACACACCAGACGGAGTAAGCTCACCATAAAGTACTTGGACCAGCGCCTGCATGGCAGTCTCGGTGAAATCATAGGTACAAACATATGTTCCAATCGACGTATCCGATGCAAAGTCGAAAGGGGAGCTGACGGCGACCACAACGCAAGGTTTTTCTCGCGGAGTGCCGTCCGCTCCCACCGACAACTTGCACAGCATGGATATATGTTTTGCAAATGCGTTTTGATACATGTTTCGACCCGCATCGGCCGTAATGACTATCACTGCCCGTGCTCGGTTCAAGAGGTTTTCATGGAGAGGTCTCACTCCATTTGCGGTATATGAAGTGTGAGAGATTTTGCCATTGCGATATCGGGCGAGCGTGCGGCCAAGTTCTCGGAAGACTTGCTCACCACTCATGATCGACGTATTCGTATCGATACTGGGACTTCGTCCTAAATGGGGTACTGTTGACGCCTCATTTTGCAGGAGATGAAATAGTGCGGACGCCGGTAATGGTTTGACTAAGGGCGTTAACAGGAGGAGCTCTTCCTCGGATTTAATCACTCTCGACAAAGGCAGATAGTTTTTCTGATCTCGAACCACGGTGATTGATTTGTTATAAGCTGTAGTTGACAGGCTTGTGTGAAGAGGCTGTAATCGTGAGAGATTCTCGATTCCTGCCGGCGCAAACGCCTTTTCCCAGGAGGTATATTTTTTCTTCATGTTGAGAATTCTCTGCACCGACTCTTGCACACGATATCTTTCAATCATACCATTATCCAACCCAGCCGTTAGACCATTGATGGCGTCTTCTTGGACCGACAGAGTTCGGCAGGTCAGGATCAGGTCACAGCCGGCCTTGAAGGCCATAACTGTCCCACCACTGATGCCGATGTTGCGGCTGAGAGCCTCCATTTCCAGGCATTCTGAAACGACGACGCCCTCAAAGCGCATTTCGTGCCGCAACAAATCTCGGACAATCTGCTCCGAGAGACAGGCATGCATTACGTTGACCTGAGAAGACGCCATGGCAACGCCCCCGACCATCATCGAATCAACGCCGTGGGCGATCGCTGCACGAAAAGGAACCAAAGCGCTTTGGCTCAGGTTCTCCAGCGAGTCTGTAATGGTAGGCACATCGTCTGGGACGCCAAAGAATTCGAGATTGCCGTAAGAGGGGAAATGTTTGCCGCAGGTCGCAACGCCGCCTTCTTGGTAACCTTTGATGCATTCAACGCCATATGCCGAGACTTCATGAGGGTCATCGCCTACGGATCGAACACCAAGAGGCTGATTTCTGGCATTGGTCAGGACATCCAACACCGGGCCCAGGATCCAATTGATACCACACGAGTTCAGTTCTTGAGCGGTGGCTCTGGCAATGTCCTTTGCCAATTTCTTGGAGCCGGTAGCAGCCAAGCCCATGGCACTGGGGAACTGACGGATATAGACCTCATCGTACAGGCTGTTGACGCCACCGTTTTCCTGGTCAAGAGCAATCAAGAGGGGAACTGGATGACCAGCCTGGCGAGCAAGAGTCTGGAGATCCAGCACAAGCTGGGTCGCCTGTTCGGCAGCTGTTGGAATATCATGTCAGTGACCCAAAAGAAAAGCCAGCAAGAGCACGGGTGAACAGGAGACGGCACATTTGAGGTTTTGGGCCTTGAGCAGTATGGAGCCTACGTGGTACTTCTCAATCAAGACCTTGACCTGGTCAGTGACGGATGTACCATCAAAGCCCATCATAAACAACTGGCCCAGCTGTCTGCCAGATATATCGTTAGCTATGGTGCGTCTCAAGGGCTGAGGATGACGGCATGAGCATACCTTGATTCGTCCCACACGGCGGGCACGTCCCCGTTAGTGGTGGCCACGGCCATGATGAGATGAAGCGACTAGTTCCCCACATGCACCGTGATTGGATGGAGAGGTGAGCAGGATTAGGCTGGGCAGGCTGGACAAGAGAGGAAACGGAGCAGGAGGAGAGTTCGGATTCGGGGCAGGAGTCGGTTCAGGAGGAGCATGGACTTGGGCCAGTGAAGAGCCGCGGATGGCGAGTTGCGCGTGGCATCACAGAAGCTGTGGGTGAAGCAACGCAAAACGTGGGAGCGGACAAACAAGCTGATGTTGCATTTTGGAGGAGAAAGTGTCGCAACGTAGTGTTGGTAGTGTCGGGAGGAGAATGTAATGGTGGGAGAGAGGGCACCGAGATGGCACCTTTGCACCGAAGAGACGGTTACACTGGCGCCAGTCACGTGCGAGGGCTGTGACAATGTTTGCCTTGTTTGCCTTGTTTGCTCTCCCACTTCTCGATCCCTCCCGCCCTATCACTCTCCTCCTCCCTCCTGTTGGCTGTGCTCACTGTCCTATCTCGCTGACTTCATCGGCTGCTTCCTGCCTGTCCCGCTGATACCATGTCCAATCTTCTCTGCTCCAGCCCTCCGGACGTCTGCCGAGTGTGGGTGCTCCATCGGTTGGATGACAGTATTGCAACTGTTGCAGCACCAGGAGTCTGTTCCTCCGCTGCCTTCTGTAAAATTCTCTTCTGTGCCACCGAGTACCCCTACTCTCCGCATTCTGGCCCCTACCTATGTAATCCTCTCATGATGGCCTAGCAGTGGCTAATAGTCATGCTGCTGGCTACGTCAACGGTTTGTTGCTGATCTATTTTACTCCCAACCCCCCTTCCTTCCGCAACCGTTGTGCCGTGACCAACCTCTCCCTGCTCGTTGCCCTCTCGCGGACTTTGGAGAAAGCTCACACGCACAATGAAGGTCATCATCCGCGACGACAAAGATAGTGCCTCCAAGTACGCGGCTCGATATATCATCAATCGCATCAATGCCTCCGCGCCAACCCCCCAAAGGCCCTTTGTTCTAGGACTCCCCACGGGCAGCAGCCCCGAGATCATCTACAAATACTTAGTGGAAGCGCACAAGGCTGGTGAGGTGTCATTCGCCAATGTCGTGACTTTCAACATGGATGAATACGTGGGCTTGCCCGAAGAGCATCCCGAATCCTACCACAGTTTCATGTACAAGCACTTTTTCGCCCACGTCGATATCAATCCCGAGAACGTCAATATTCTTAACGGGAATGCCCCTGACCTCCGAGCCGAATGTGCCGCCTATGAGGAAAAGATTGCCCGTGCCGGCGGAATCGACCTTTTCTTGGGTGGCATTGGACCAGATGGACACATTGCATTCAACGAGCCTGGTTCTTCATTGCGGTCAAGAACCAGGGTCAAGACGTTGGCAGAAGATACAATCCGGGCCAATTCACGGTTCTTTGGCGGCGATCTCAGTCAAGTTCCCAAACAAGCATTGACGGTGGGTGTGGCCACAGTGATGGACGCCCGGGAGGTGCTGGTCATCGTCCTAGGCTCCAACAAGGCGGTCGCTCTGGCCAAAACCATCGAGGGGGCCGTCAGTCAAATGTGGACCTGCAGCGCGCTGCAGATGCATGAAAATGCCATGATCGTGTGTGACGACGCCGCCACAGACGAAATGCTCGTGAAAACAGTCAAGGTAAGCACGCGTCCAACACAGATTTCGTTTTCCAGAGCATACCCACTAATCTGCTATTGATCTCCGCAGTATTTCAAGAGCATCGAACAAGTTTCGGCAGAACAGGAGACCGCCAAAGCCACCCCTCAACAACGGTCGCAGGTCCGTCTGGACAACTGGCGAGCGGGCCTGAAGGAGCTGAGAATCGACACGGAGAAGAAGGACCTCCTGGATCAAGAGGATGGAGAATTGACACCGGACAGCATGTCGTCAAGGCTGGTGGACTCGGCGATTGCCATGAACGACAAGAAGATGGGCGATTTCATGTTCGATCGCATGGGCTCCCGTGTTTCGACCTTTGCGGCCTAAAACGAATAGATAGAATCGGATTTTATGTTGGTTCGGAAAATCAGGAGATTTGGAAGTCTTTGCGGCACTGCTGCTTGGTCCAGAGACGGTGATGGCGGTGGTACTGGTTGATTCTCTACGGAAGAATTTTCTCTCGCTTTTGGTCGAACCATGTCATGTCCTAGTTACGGTACTTTTGTTGGCGATGGTGGTTTTGGTTGGGGGTTTGCATTGGTTCAGCGAGCAAGATCTAGGGATAAAAATTCCTTCGCGGCACGGGCGCGGATGGAGCGCCGTATGGGATACTATTCGGGATATTTTTTGAAGCAGGCAAACCAAGCTCTGCGCTATCGAACCTCCCCGCTTCCAAAACATTAAAAGGGCAGTGTAGAGCTAGTGTGTCGTTATAATTTCGCAAACACAGTCGGGACATTCCCTCCCATTTCCACCAGCGTACTCTTATTCCGCACCCAGGCCTCCAGGCCTCTCCGTCCATTCTCGACGCCGACACCGCTCTGCTTCCACCCACCGACGGCCATCTCGGCCGGGGACTCGCCCCAGGTATTGATCCAGGTGATGCCGGCTTGCAGCTGCCTGATGACGTGGTGACACTGGTTGATGTCCCTGCCGAAGACGCCGGCGGCGAGGCCCAGGTCCGTGTCATTTGCGCGCGCGACGGCCTCGTCGACAGAGTCGTAGGTCAGGATGGCCATGACGGGGCCGAAGATCTCCTCCCGTACGATCCTCATGTCATCGGTGCAGTCGGAGAAGACGGTCGGTTGAACCCAGTATCCGCTCCTCAGATGCGCGGGCAGGTCAGCGGGTTGGTTGAGGCCGCCTTGGAGCAGCCTCGCCTTGTCGACCTCGATGCCGTGCTTGATGTACGCCGTCACCTTGTCGTAGTGGGCCTTGCTGACCAGCGGGCCGAAGTTGGTGTTCGTGTCCATCAGCTCGCCAGGGCGGATGTATTTCATCTTCTGCAGCAACACCCTCTCAAACTCGGGCTTCAGGTGCTTGGGCACGAACACTCGCGTCCCGTTCGTGCAGACCTGGCCGGTGCTGAAGAAGTTGGCCATGATGGCTCCATCCACCGCCTGGTCAGTGTCTGCGTCCGGTAGCACGACCACGGGGCTCTTGCCTCCCAGCTCCATAGTCACGTACTTCATCTCTCCCGCGGCTGAGCCTGCAACCTTGCGACCTGTTGAGACTTGGCCAGTAAAACTGACCTTGGCGACAACTGGGTGTTGCGTCAGGTAAGCACCCACCTCGCCGGCCCCGTAGACGACGTTGAATGCTCCGTCGGGGAGGCCAGCTTCTTTGTAGATCTCGGCGAGGAGTTGCCCATGAAGCGGCGTCACCTCTGAGGGCTTGTATACCATCGTGTTTCCCGCGGCGAGACAGGGCGCAGATTTCCAGAGCGCGATCTGAATGGGGTAGTTCCAGGCACCGATGCCCACACAGACGCCGAGCGGTTCCTTGAAGGTGTATACCCAAGCCGAATCGCGGAGTCGAAATGATTCCCCATTCAAGCCGCCCGATGCGACCAGGTTGGCGAAATACTCGAGGACATCGGCGCCGGTCACGATGTCGACGGTGGAGGTTTCTGAGAAGGGCTTGCCGGTGTCTGTGGTTTCGATTCGGGCGAGCTCATCGTTCTGCGATCGAAGTATCGAGACGGCTTTGTGCAGTATCCTGGCTCGCTCAATGGGCGGTGTGCTGGACCACGAGGGGAAGGCTGCCTTCGCCGACGAGACGGCCGAGTCGATGGCGGACCGGGAGGAGGTGTGGACTGTACAGACAGTTTTGCCCGTTGACGGATCGACCGAAGGGAATGTGTTGGATGAAGAGGAGGACGGTTGAGGCTTTCCGGCGTAGAAGGAATGGCGCTCTGGGAGCATCATGGTGGAGGAGAGGGCGATGAAGTCTTGTGGAGGAGTTGATGTGTGAGAAGGTAGGAAGGTGTCGGTCTGGAGTCTGGCTCTCTGTCTGTCTGTTTGTTTGTTGCACACCGTCCCATCTCAATTGAGGTCAGTCTTCTTTTTTTTTTTTGGTATTACTTACTCCGCACGCATGTCCCCTGCAGCAGCTGCGTGCAAGGTGCGAGGCGGGCAAGTGCGAGGCGGGCAAGTGCGGGGCAGCAAGTGACGGACCATTGACCAGCCCTTTTGCTTCTTAGGGCCGAGCCCACCCACCTCACTAATACTACCTCGTACTGTTCCGCCATATCCGCTATCACCATCACCCTCACCATCCTCCACCATCCTGCACCATCCTGCACCATCCTGCACCATCTCCGGATGCTTTGGCTGCTTTGCCGGCTCCTGGGTGGAGGGGACCCTTCTAGGTGGCTTCTACCCACCGCTTACTCGTCCCCCGTGATTCTTTCCCCCTTGCAGGCATCGATTGTCAACTCATCAATCCTCCCAGCGAATAACCCTCCAGTCGCTCTGATAGAGTGAGTGATAACCTTTCGCTATCTGATAGTACGGTACATAGGTAGGTCCTCGAGAGGGTGTCCTCTATCAGCTTCTTTACCTTTTCAGGCAACATCAACCGCGCTCGCCTTCAGCATTCAGTTTTTTTTTTGCCTCCACCTAGCTCTCTGGTTGCTTTCTGTTCACCGCCACCAGCCGACAGGCTGCATTTCCCATTTTGCTTTTGTGCCCCGATTGCTCAGGGCAGGGATCCTTTTACCTGCCGAGACCAGAGAAGACAACTAGGGATCCGGTCCACACGTTGTAGTTGCTTCGCCTGCGTCAACTTGCAGGACGCTCCCCATCGCCTGACTGGCCAACCAGGGTTGACAAGGTTGGGAACATCCTCATCCTCAAAGCCCAGCAGCCATGACGGTGGACTGATACCATACCGACACTACCAAGTGACCAAATACTCGTTACGCAATAGATTATGTGGGTCGCGGATTCCCTCAGGATATTTTTTTCAATTGTCCATCGATCTGGTCCTGGTGACTTAAAATACCTGGACGTCGATTCCTACGCCGTCGAACGTCACCGTCCTTCACGACTGATTTGTCCCAAGGACCCAATATGACGACCAATCATTTAGACGTTTCCGAAGTCGATAGCTATGACTATCTCATTGTGGGAGGTGGTACAGCAGTAAGTGCGTGGTCAAAAGGAACGAGCAGGATGCTAAAGGCCTGTGACCTGATAGGGCTGTGTGATTGCATCCCGCCTGGCCGAATACCTCCCTCAGAAAAAGATCCTGTTGATAGAAGCCGGCCCCAGCGATTTTATGGATGACCGCGTCCTGGATCTCAAACAATGGCTCAGCCTTCTTGGTGGAGAACTCGACTATGACTATGGCACCACCGAGCAACCAATGGGTATGTCGGCATTTGATCTTCTTTCAACGAACCCGACTTGTTGCCAGGACTGACGGGCCAACTCTCAGGCAATTCTCACATCAGGCATTCTCGTGCCAAAGTCTTGGGCGGTTGTTCCAGTCACAACACACTCATCTCCTTCCGGCCCTTTGAATATGACTGCAAGATCTGGGAGTCCATGGGCGCCAAAGGCTGGACCTTCCCTATGTTTATGCGTGTGTTGAACAAGCTTCGAAACACGGTCCAACCGGTCCATGCCCGCCACCGAAATCAGTTGTGCAAAGACTGGGTCCAGTCCTGCAGTACCGCCATGAACATCCCAATCGTACACGATTTCAATGCACACATCGCCGCGACTGGCTCGTTGAGAGAGTGTGTGGGCTTTTTCTCTGTCAGCTATAATCCTGATGATGGTCGGAGATCCAGTGCCAGTGTGGCCTACATCCATCCGATTCTCCGCGGCGAGGAACACAGACCCAACCTCAAGATTCTGACCAATGCCTGGGTCTCCCGGATCAATGTTCGCGACGATACAGTGACAGGCATCAACATCACACTCCAGTCAGGCCAAAAATTTACTCTCACGGCACGGACTGAAACCATCCTCTGCGCTGGCGCCATCGACACGCCCCGTCTCATGCTCCTCTCCGGTCTGGGCCCGGCACAAGAACTCTCCTCTCTCTCCATCCCCGTGGTGAAGAACATTCCCGGCGTAGGGGAAAATCTGCTCGACCACCCGGAAACGATCATCATTTGGGAGCTCAACCAACCCGTCCCACCAAATCAAACGACCATGGACTCCGACGCCGGCATCTTTCTGCGGCGCGAAGTTCCTAACGCGGCAGGAAAGAAATCCACACCTACCAATCCGGCCGCACTTCCGGATGGAAGCATCGCAGACGTAATGATGCACTGCTATCAGATTCCGTTCTGCTTGAACACGACGAGATTGGGATATGACACTCCGATCAATGCATTTTGCATGACTCCAAACATCCCTCGCCCTCGATCTCGAGGGAAACTATATCTCACTTCCTCCGATCCAAACGTCAAGCCAGCATTAGATTTCCGCTACTTCACAGACCCCGAGGGCTACGACGCTGCCACCTTCGTCTTTGGACTCAAAGCTGCGCGCCGGATTGCTCAGCAATCCCCTTTCAAAGAATGGATCAAGCGAGAAGTGGCCCCCGGACCGCAAATCCAATCGGACGAAGCGTTGTCCGAGTATGCGAGAAAAGTCGCCCATACAGTCTACCATCCCGCGGGCACCACCAAGATTGGAGACGTGGTCAAAGACGAGATGGCAGTGGTTGATGAGAATCTGAAGGTGAGGGGACTCAAAGGGTTGAGAATCGCGGATGCGGGCGTGTTCCCGGCCATGACGACCATCAATCCGATGTTGACAGTGCTAGGGGTTGGGGAGAGATGTGCGGAGTTGGTTGCTATGGAGGCAGGCTGGAAGTTGAAGGAGGTGGAAAAGAGTGGACTGGGCTGGGCAAATGACAAGAGTCTCAGACCCAGACTCTAAGTTGCGGAGACGGAGGAAGGGCCATGCAGTGTTTGATGGAGGCAAGTCTCTTCCAGTTGGCCGGGGCATGAGACATGACATGATAGCAAAGTATGAAATTCACTCCAAGGTAACTGTGGATGCATGCTGTTCTGATGCTGGGATGTCCGGAGCCACACAGTTTTGGTGGAATCCACGAGACCCCAGCCAATGATAATGATGAAGATGGAATAACACCACGCCATTGTCGAACGAGGCGAAGCGAATATGGAGGCTGTAGCGATGTATGTAGATCGCCGTCCCACGCCGACGGCGACGACTATTACATAACTTGACTGGATCGAAACCCGCACAGGGCTATGTACTAGACTGGGAAGCACGAAATTGAATTCAGGCTGGGGGTGGTTGGATACAGAGGAGGGCAGTGTATCCCACGGCCACAGTGTCGCACGCACGCGCACACGCAAATGCGAAATGCAAAATGCAAAAATGCAAATGACTGACTGACATACTGCATACTTCCTCCCCATGTCCCCCTTCCCTTTGCTCTTGCCCTTGCGCTGGCGCTGGCTCTGGCTGTGGCTCTAGTCCCTTCGACCTACCAGTACAAGCTCTTGCCACGGTACATATGTACTCACGGGACTGACATGGACGGGGTCGGGAGATTCGGGCCCGGCAGGGAGACACGGAGCAGGACATGCCTATACTCTCCATATACAGAGTGGGTATATAGGTAGGGAGGCGAGGAGGGGAATCTCGGATGTTCACGAAATTCAACAGCGAATGGATTTGCATTTACATGCATGCACGCACGCCCCGAAAAGTCGAAATTGAAAGCAAATACCAGACAATCTCGGTGTTCCGTGCTCTGCTCTGCTGCGCCGCGCTGACATTGCTCTGTACCACTAGTAGATAATCCCCTCTCTCCGACCGTGCCGTGTCGTGTCCATTTGAGTCCAGGACTGGATGACAATCGCCGCCATGGCAGCGCTGGAAATCAGCCCCTCAGCTGGTAGCGATGAACTCGACTCAGTCAAGTCAGTCACCCACGTTGACCCCAGCCTTGTCCGCGTCCTTCGGCTCTGTCTTTTGTGGTTCCGTCCCTTTTGCTGCCTCGTTCTCGCCCTTGGCGGAGCTTGACACTTCGGTTGCTTTGCTTTCGGGTATCTCAACAGCATCATCCCCGTCATCGTCCTCCTCTGGAATACTCAACTTCTTTTCCAGCGCTCTAATCTCCTCCGGTGTCGCTTCTCCAATGTCACTCCCACGATGCTGCCTACGTGGCGCTGCCTGCTGGGGTAAACTTGTAGAAGAACCGGCACTGATTTCATTCTCGGCCACCGCGATCGAAGACTGTGATGCTGTCGATGTCTCTTCCTGCTCTGCCAGAACCTTATCGCTCTCTTCTATTGGTGTAACGTCATTCAGCCTCGACTTCGACGTTGTAATGCTACTCGATCGTCGCATTTCGAGGATTTGTTCTTCTTTTGACGACGACGCCTCTTCTCCACCGCCTGCAGTTAGTTTATCACTTGACTCGGCGATTTTGTCGACAGAAGTTCTTGCAGCGCCCTCCAAGGCAAGTTGAGCCGGCGTTTTAGCAGCCGTGACCTCCTTGGCCGTGTCGGCCGACTCCACCGCCGCCTCCGTGCTCAGTCTGTCAGCTGCGGCCGTGGGCACTTGGTCTGTGGTGCTCTGCCCCTTGGTGGGAACTGCTGCGGCTTTGGTAGGCTGGGCAGCAGCGCCTTTCTTTTGGGTGGCTTTGGCTGCGGCTTCCGCGCCCAACTGCCGAATGGCCATGTTCATGTGCGATTCGGCCGACTTCTGTGACGAAGCTGGCTTTGCATCCCCGGCTGCAGCATGCTTTTCCTTCTCTGTCGGTTCCGCAATCGATATGTGGCGAGTCTCGGACGAGGCACGCGAGGGAGGGCTGGATGAAGAAGCGCTCGTTGCCGGAACTTGTGGAGCCAGGTTCGCGGTGGCAGTTAGGCTGCCAAAATCTTGAGTTGCAGCAATTTGCTCTTTGAGCTCGCCATACTCATTCCACTCCTCGATTTGCTCGAGATCCTGAAGATATTGATTAGCGGGTATGGGTGTCCGGGTCCGGCTGATGATCACATACGCCGATGATTTCTCCATATTTGACCAGGCCCGGCAGCTTTCTTCCCTTGGATCTCCTGCCCCATAGCATACGGGCCTTCTCATCCGTTGCACAATCCAGTGCTCGAAAGGGGATCTTGTTGGCCTTGAGGATGGTTTCTAGCCTTGAAGTCGCGGTAATGATGTGAGAGGATCCGGCTGTGAGGGAGGTATAGAGGTAGAGCGTCGGGTCTGTGGAGTAGGATGTAGCCGCCATGGTGGGCGGTCCTGGCGGGGTGAGGGAGATATCGGAAAGGAGGGAAAGAGAGTCGTATCCGTGCTTGCAATCGAGGCGAAGTCCCCAAGTCTAGAAATGAAAGTGGGCAGTGGGTGAGGGATTTATCCTGTGGTCTTGTGATAAGACGAGAGGAGCAATTGTCCGGAAGAGCTGACAGTAACACGAGGGGCACAGACGTGAACTGACCGACAAGAGGGGAGGATCAAGAGAGAATAGTGCACAGAATACACATATCAAAGAGATCTGGCAAACGACATAGAGAATGGCGCGTCTAGTTGTACCTTGTAAGTGGTTGCTGGTCAAGTCACTTGAAACAATCCCACAGGGCCAGGTCTGCCTCTACTTGGTACGCAGATCAATTGCTCCGCCGGCAGGACGGGGAATTGGGAAGGTTGGTGCTGGTGATGTCATTGCGCCAAGCCTTAAAATGACAGGCTTCAAATGACGAGACCTAGGACCAATCGAGCTAATCTCTCACTTGCTCTCACCTTTGCTCCATTCTTCCCCATTTCAATGCTCAAGCCCGCAGCCTTGGTTCAGTATTGTCGAAAAGCCCTTCCGGATCCCATTTGTTCTTCAAGTCCATCACAAATTGATGGTCCTTGCCAAACAACCGGCTGATCTCCGTGTCCCGAGTCTGCGTCAGCGACGCATACGTGACACCCAGCGCGTCGCCCGTGCCTTGCAATGCCTCATACAACTCCCGATACCGCTGCGTGGACGCCTCAACGTTGCCCGGATCGATCGTGATGCCAACTATTTCCATTACAGAGTGAGCGAGGCGCGCTCCAAAGCAAGATCCCGGGTCAGGCTCCGCCGAAGAGCCTCGCATTTCATGGATCAACACCACATTGGCCGAGTCCACGGGTCTTTTCGACAGGAAATCTCCCACCACATCGGCTGTTCGCTCCGTGATTTTTCCAAAACTCACCGCGTTGCATGCCTCGCGCCCATACACTCTGCCTGGGGTCCACGACACAATGAGATTAATCAGTTCCGTCGGGGTCATTTCCTTGACCATCGATGTATCCGCCCCGTCCCCTAAAGCAGCGACTTGCTCCAGATACTGCCTCCCAGCTTCCATATCTGGAGAACTCCAAGCAAAGTTGACTGCGAATATCCACCCTGACATGTCCCGCTTAGGGTACCAGAAGGGCGATACTCCTCCATAGGGAGATTTGGCCATGGCATTGTAACCAGAGAAGTATTTACGGACGGTCGCCCGTATCTTTGATGTGTGGAACAAAATTGTTCCCGCCAGGAACTTGGCACACTGTCAGGATTGAGCTTCCTCGGCCAAAAAAAATATGATACTTGCCTTTTCGAGAGGATAAATCTTAATCCCCAGCTCCACCACAATACCGAAATTACCACCAGCTCCTCGGATACCTTTCACCAGTTCATCATCCGCTTCGATAATGTCGCCTTGCCAGGTTACCACACGAGCTCTCAGAATTTGGTCCACTCCCAAACCAAACCTCGACGCCAACCAGCCGTACCCACCCATCATGGCCCACCCAGCATACCCAATGGTTGGCATATATCCAAATGGGGTGGTGAGCTTTTGAGAGGTCAACGTCTCGATAACGTCTCCGATCAGAACTCCACCTCCGATGGTGGCCGTCTGCCGATCTTGAGAAATCTTGATCGTCTTCATGTGCCGCATGTCGATCACTAGACATCCGTCTGCAATGCTGCGTCCGAAGACATCGTGGCCTCCACCCCTCACGCTGATCTTTACTCCATGATTGCGCGCAGCGTGCACAAAAATTGACACCTCTGAGGCGTCTCTCGGCCGGGCGATGGCAAGAGGTTTTGCTGGGTTGTCGATGAGGTAGCTGGCACGGATATCGGCCCAGTCCGTGGATGAAGCAGTGAGAACCTCAAGATCAGGCCGCTTGAGGAGGTCTACAACTAAAGGATGTAATTCCTTCAAAGAACCCATGGTATGTAAATCGTTCAGACTGCAACCCAGCTTCTGTTAATGCGACCTTTCCACTGGGAAGTGGAGTTTCGACCAAAGTGCCTGAAGCCAGCGATTTTCCACTCAAATTTGAAGGTAGGTGCACACAGTTTATATTCTAATCTAGCCAACGCTTTCACCCCCTTTTACAGGACATCCGCCGAATCCGGTGCCGAAGTCGGTAACTCTGGCTCTTCGTCAGCTTACAAAATGTGATGCTCTAGGCGGCCATGGCAAAAGGAACATTACCGAAGTCCCCCTTTACGCCCGGGGCAATCGCAAAGGGTCTTCCAACGGATTTGACAATATGCTGACATTGGTCCGGATACACTGTGCTACCTCTTTCAGTCACGTCAGAGTGTGATCCACCGACCGTGGAGTCTATTGTGTAGGGAATGTTCATCAACAAATCCAGGTATTTTGGCTCGATCTTGCCTGGCTTGGCCCCTTGACACAATAGCAAACACGGAATATGGGGAGCCTTGGACCCTCCTTCACCCAGAAAGGGAAAATGCGCTGCTGTATCTTTTGGAGCTCTATGCTTTAGGCGACCACCTTGTTGATCTTTCACCAGAGCAGTGGTCGCGGTTATATCGGCAACAACAGTCTCAGGTGCTGCACATACATGCAATATCTTATGGACCCCGGGCGGTAGACGAGGCTATGACACCGCATAAGTCAGACCCAATTCGGTTCTCCAACTTCAGGTGAAATCCGCTGGGCCTTCCTTAAGTTACGTAATTGCTTACAATGGTTCAGTGTGGCTATGTATATGCAGCATGACCTTCCTTTACCCTGCACCGGACGAAGGGACCCAATGCCCCAAGCTGTATCATATCAGCACGATGAAACTCAAAAGGCAGTCTTCTCTTTCATCCCTGTTATTGAAGAGACCCTCTCCTGGAAGCCTTGGAACGACTTGCCAATTGGCTATGGATCTCACCAGGTAAGGTTTTCTGACGGAACTTTATATTGCCGAGGTGTCCTATGTGGATGTCTGGCACGATGGATTTAAGTCTGCGCCGAGGTTATATGAATGAGGGTACACTGCGTCTGTTTTCAAGGGAGCCGGGGAACGCTCTATATCAGCGGAAGCCCGCTGGTGAGACATCCCTTCGCGTATGATTCTGTATTGGGAATGTACAGCTTCCAAGGCCTTCAAGGTGAGCTGACGATCTGAGTTGTCGTTCGCAAATCCCTTGTCGAGATGTTCGCCTCTGTGACGGTTTCGGAACAGTCAAGGATGATCCAAGAACAGGCCTTGATGGTACAATACCATGCTATTCTACGGTAGCCCTCAGAAATAGCGACAACGCGCTGATTCCCGGGGAGACTGGACTTTCCACTGGCTATAAGATGGTGAGCAAAGCACGATGGGCGGAAACCCTCATGTCTTCGATCCCTCAGACTATCTCGATGCGAAAAGCCGAAAGTTTGTTCTGTCACGCAGAAGTCCTTCCTGACCCTTCGGCCTGCTCCAGCGTCGCCTCGAATATTCTCAATTCCCACTCCTATTCTTCCATGGTATTTAGCCCAGCCACTCACCCTGGACTCGGACTCTTCCTTGTGGGGCTGGCGACCTCGTTCCATATACGAGGTATGAAAAGCGCCAATTAGCCACCTAAAATGCTAAATTGCCAAGGAATGGTTTCCTTCATTCGGTTTCAATCAATCTATGGTCTCTAAGTTTTGATCCTCATTACCGATACTTTGATGCGCCTTCTGATGTCTCCCAGACGCAAAGGGTAACAGAGCTGTTCAGCTGACGTTTTGGGCGAGTTCTTTCCCTTTCTGTCGCTGAATCGCCACATTCGTGATGCTGTGGATATAGTTCTGGTAAAAAGAAATTATCTTGGTTCAACCGCAACCCTCTATCAAGTCGAAGATGGAATGATCCTTAAATCATTTCATCCAACCATAGCTAAAGCGGGAAGCATACAAGCTTGTGGTTGAAAAAATACTCGAAAAGTTGGGAGAGCATCCGCGGATTGTCAAGTATGTTCATATCCATCAAAAGGGACCAACATTCTAACGTCATCACTCCCAGATATCCGGGGGTTTAAGATTGTTCGCTCCTCCAAGGTCTACTTATGGTCGAGACAGACTCCAGTAATTCACAGGACTAAATCGACCGGAATAATGATTCAATATGCCTCGCAGCTCGGAAGAAATAGTGCATCCAGCTGAACGAAGCTACTCAGCTCCTCCACAATAAGGGCGTGATTCACTCAGATCTCCGTCCCGAAAACTGTCTCCTTCACGGATCCAGAGTGTCTCCAGACATAGTCGGGCACTGGCCTTACATATCGGGGCATCCATCCCCAGAAGAAGATAAGTGGCAATACGGAGAGAGAGTCGTGGATTTGCTCAAGGAACAAATACACCCAGACATGCAAACTGTGACGGGCGGCAAGATGACGATATATTGCTGGAAAAAGAAATCTGTCGCGGCCAAGGATGGTCTGCTAGCGCTGAAGATCGAAATGTGTGATGGAGCGAGAAGGTCACCTTGGTCAGCCTAGGATTCGGAGGAGAGCCTCGACCTCGGACTAATTATTGGAACTTCAACCGTTATGCCATGGTGGAAAAGATTTTTGCTGTACTTGGAAATCGACATAGCCGTTGCCTGTGATTGAGAATGCCCTCGCTAGATTCGGCCATGGCACCAAACTCTGTAACATTCCAGTGCTCTATTCCTTTTATTAAAACCTTTGCACTACGGCCACACCCTCCACCATGACTGCCACTACATTGAATCATTGCAAATTAACGGAAATCGCGGACCTGCGTCTTTGCCCACACGATGGGTCCAGTGGCTCCGGGGGCGCAGCTTAGTCAGAACCATTGGTCGATATACCTCGTTGCGAAGGAGGGCGGACCCATGCGGCTCAACATGGAAACAAACACCTCTCCTGGCACGGGTGAAGGCATCTTCAGAGGAACCCGCCATCAATACGACTTGATGAGCAGTCAGGTCCGACATTGGGAAGATCGATTGTGAGTGGCTGAGGAACTTCTCCCCGAAGTGGCAGGTCAACATTTTCTTGCAAAGGAATAGTAATCAGAAGAAAGAATATCTTGATCGCGGGTTTTTCAGTGATATAAACACACAGAGTCCTTCTCTTTTGCCTACCCAGTACTTTCTCTCTCCCCCTACCCACAATAATGACAATTCGTTTTTCGTCCCTGAGAAGCCTCGAATAATCCTCTTTTGAGAAGCGGGACGGTAGTTCAAGGGCTCGGGGAATCGATGAAAGCCGACAGACGGAGAAAAGGGAACAATATCGAGACTATTTGAAATACCTGTGCCCGCTTGAATGAGGGAGGAAAGGAAAATGCGGCGTCTGACGTGGGAATGCCACGGGCAAAACACGAGACATGCTTGAGGGACAAGGGAATATCTTGTCGTCAGACACTGTTCTTTAGAGATGCCCACCGCCTCGTCGGGAAGAAGAGCATCTTGTTCTCCTTAGCCTCACCCGCCAGCGAGCCAGGTAAGCACTGGGGTCCCGGTGTCAGCTAATTATTACCCCTTCCCATTCCCATTCCCATTCTCATTCCAAATCATTTCGTTTCGAAGCTCCGAAAGCCCCTCCCTCTAGGTACTCGGTACTTCCAGGGGCCGTTTTCTAGAAGGTCTAGGCTCATCGTCCTCATCCCGATTCCCGGCAAGCCATAATTTCTCGCATGACGTCCGCCAACGGCCTAAGCTGAGAGAATACAGAAACCGTCCCCTCCAGCTCCGCCATGGGCACGCTGGGTTGCGCAGACTCGCTCGGAGGAGCTTATCAGCGGAAGGAGCAATGGTATCCGAGGAGAACAGCCAACGAGTACCGATTTACTAGCTACAGTCATGCATGGTAAGCAAGTCGCGGAAAGAATGGGAACTGCCAACAAAGGCGATGCATCCATTATTGATCTGGCTCAATCTGCAATGGGAAGTTGAAGACATGCTAGAACGAGCCTTGAGGTCGACGGTTGAACCGGGCCCTATCTGTCGATGCCTGTTGGAGTCTGCTGGTTGAGACACAGCAAATGCTCAGCCGGGTCGAAGAAGAGACTGAAAGTCGCCTCCCCCCCCTCCCCCCCAGGGAGACGTCGTTTCGAACTGCCAGCGACCGCGGGGAAAAGTGATCAACGTCCAAGTTGCTCTTCGTATGCGGGTGGTATCTGTCACCACTTCCCGTGCCCCTCCATTTCTGACGTGGACAGAGGAGCAAGGAGGAGGCAAGGATCAATCGGCGGGTCGAGTACAATAGCCAAATGCAGCAGGGGACTCGCCGTGGGCCCTCCTCTCCCCAGAGCATTCCAAATACTCCGTTCCTATTCCAAAAGCACCCCTTATCTTGACCTCATCGTTGATCTTGGAAGCTGTCAAGATGTAAATATAAGGGGTGACGGGTCTCGAACATTTTTATCTCCTCCTCTCCCATCATCTCAAACCAAAATCACCAAACCAGCATCATCAACGCTTCAGTCTCCTCAGAAATTCACACAACTCGCACCCTCCATCCACATCCGTCCCAACCAACCATGCCTGAATACAAGGGAGTCTGCCACTGCGGCGCCACCGAATGGACCGTCGAGATCCCCGAAGAGAAGCACATCCTCTGCCACTGCGGCGCCTGCAAGTTGATGGGCGGCGGCGAGTTCACCCTGAACCAGATCATCCCAAAGTCCAACTTCCACCTGACCAAGGGGGATCTGAAGGTCTACTCCTACAAGGGCGATTCTGGTACGCTGTTTAATCCCTTGGTGCCCCGGGCAACAGTCCGGTTTGGACAGTGGGGGGCGTGGAAGAAGGATTGAAGGATTCCCAGCGCTTCTGGATCTATTATCGCTGACCCTGGCTTCAATAGGCAATTCTGTTGATTGTTTCATGTGCCCTAAATGCGCGTCCTCGCCGTATCACCACCAGCATGTCATGGGTAAGTCGCATATTCACCGGTTTGGCATGTCATGTCTTTGTCTGGACCGGGCTCTCCACGTCCGTCCAACTGGCTACCTACCTATTATCTGTCCATCCCACGTCTTCTAGAGGGGGGGCGGGGTTATTTTTCTGACGCGCACGTCGCTAGGTGAGAACACAATCGTCATCCGAACGGGCCTGCTGAAGGGATCCGACAAATGGGGCAAGCCCGCCGCCGAGATCTACGACAAGGACCGCGCCTCGTGGCTCCCTCAGACCGGCGAGGCCAGCTTCCCCGAGGTGCCTCCTTCGTAGAAGAGGGAAGTATCAAGGAGAGCTTTCACTGCATGGCTTAGTTGGTTGATGGGCTGGTTGGCGCACACATATCCTTGAGCGATCAAACCTATATATACATATATTTACGAAATATGAAACATGGACGTGGACGGTCAATCTCTCACTCCCCCTTTTGCTCCCTTCCGCCCCATCCGCCAGGAATGGTAAGGTTGTAAGCCCCCGTGGAGGTAGAATAGATAGTCAGGATCAACCAAATAAACAGGTCTGGCACTGCATGCTATGGTATGAAATGGTATGGCTATTGCCCTGGTGCGTCTTGCGTTTCCTTCTTTTTTGTCTTTTTTCTTTTTTTTTTTCTTTTTTTTTTGTCTTTGATTGTACTACTTTTGTCAACATATATCTCTGCGATCGGTGCTCATGTGCATGAATGCATACAATTACAACATAACGCAACACACCCTGCTAATCCATACTATATGTCGCATACCACAGAACAGCCATATCGGCCGCCCTGCCGTGCCTCCCTCGATCGGCCCCATGCATGGCCGGTTCACGTGTCGTCTCTACCACCACCGCCACCTCCCTCCAGGATCCTCTGCTCTCCTTGGCTGCGGTTCCCTGCGCTCGAACCCTTTTCTCTTCTCTCTCCCTTTTCGTTAGTTCTCACTCATGCACGCTGGAAAAGACTCAAATGCCGCTCTGCGCCTCTCCTCCCAGCGAGCTAGGTCAGTTGGTTTAATCAACATCCGGAACGGGCAGTCCCTGCACAATCTTGACCCGGCGGCCCAGCTTCTCGAGCGCGCGCTTGGAGTTCGCCGCCCTCAGATCCGCGCTCTCCTTGTCCGAGACCAGCACAAAGTCGTACGTCAGGAGCGCCGTGCCTTGCTTGACGCCGTACTTCTGCGCGATCTCGGCGTCGCACTTGGACAGGTCGACGATGAGCGAGTTCTTCACGCCAAAGACCGCGTCCGAGGTCTCGTACGGGTCGTTTTTCAGGTACAGTGCCCTGTTTGATGAGGAAAAGGACACAAAGGTAAGCAAGCGGACAGACCATTCGTGTGCAGGCGGGCGAGGGTGGGATAGTAGGGTCTGTGGACAAGAGGGGAGCTGGACAAAAGGGAGAGCGGGGGTTCTGTCCGCCTGGCACTCACGTTATCAAATGGTCAAACCCTTCCTTCTCAAACATGAAATGCATATGCGCCGGCCTCATGGGATGCCGACCCAGCTTCTGCAATAGCTGGCCCACAGGTCCATCGTGCGGGATCGGATACGGCACCGGCACGATCGCGTTGAACCAAAACACGCCCTGGGCGTCACTCTTCATGATACAGCGCCCATCCGGGCCGTCCCTGTCGGGATGTTGGACGTCGTATTTGCCCGACGAATCCGTCTCCCAGATGTCGATCGTGACGCCCTCGATGGGGTTCCCCGACACGTCTTTGACGGTGCACAGCACGAGCAGCGGCTCGCCGTTGGCGTCGTGCGACATGACGCTGCCGTGCTCCATGGTCTCGGCCTCGTGGGTGTGGAAGGGTCCGAGGACGGTGCCCTCTGTGGACCCCTTTGGTTTGGGGTGGTCGATGCTGTCGACGAGGAGGGAGAGGCCGAGGATGTCGGAGAGGAGGATAAATTCCTAAACCAGGCGGGCCCGCATCAGCGAAAAACCACATCTCTCAGGCCCCTCGTGCGTGCTCAGGGTCAACAACCGCAACATACCTGCCGCACATCGGTACAAATGTGACCCGTCTTTGTGAGGAACTGGATCCCCGCCATCCACTCCTGCGTGCTCAACCTCGTCTCCCTCGCAAAGTCATGCAGGTGCACCACAAGCCGTTCGAGGATGTACTTGAAGCGCGGATCCGGGTTGGCCGAGTTGATCAGGTTGACATTGTCGGTGATGTTTTCGATGGTCAGGTCCATCAAGGGCGGGATCTTGACTTGTGAAGGGTCCATTGTTGTGGTGTTCCTCGAGAAGAAAAGGACAGGACAGACAGAAGAGAGCTCAGACGGGAGAGAAGAGTAAAGACAAAAAGACCCCACAGACTGGAAAAGAATGCCAGTGATATAACAATGAACAATGTCCTGCTGGTCCTTGAGTTTTTCCCAAACCCCCCCGATACCGTGGGGTAATTGCTGATGGGGGAGTTATCCGAAGGGCTGCCAGGTAAATAAACAGCGCAAGTTTCAGGAACCAACAAAGAAAACTGGTCAATGACGGGCGTCTGAAAAGGATCCTCCCCAGTATGAGAATGTCATTTTGCTTACCTGGGGATTGGTCAGGAGATATTCCCCTCCAGAGTCGAAGGCGAGACAGATGACGGTGGAGCAGCCTCTATCCGACACAGCTCAACACAACACTCCCACTCACCCACTCACCAGAAAAAAATATGGAACACATCGGCAAAGGGAGAATTCCCCACAATCGAGGGGCAGCTTTTGTACAAAAATGCTCTTCGACGCCGAGTCTCGCCGGGTCTGTCTGGGAATGGATGACAAAGTCCCATCGTACATACCATTCAATGACATCGTACAGCAGCCGGCCAGCTGTGGAATCTATTCCGTCACTTTTCTTCCTCCCCCCCCCCCCAAAAACCGTCTCAAAAGAATCAAGAATACATCAAGAGGGTCTATTGAACAATACAACCAAGGTTCCATGCTGAATCAATCTGTTCAATCTGCAGCATGTTCCCTATTGTCTTGAACAGATCGACCCAGGACTGCCGTGCCAACGATGCTGCCAATCTGCCCAAGTTTTCTTCCCACAAGCATATTGTGACCTGCTTTGAACCAGACGCCGTCCATGATGCTTTGAAACTCCTTTAGCTCTCGCTCTTTGCTTCTCCCTGCAGGAAGGAAACCCTAGTCCTAGCGTTGTCCACTTTGAGAGGCACTTCGGTAGACTTGTGCTGCCAGTGCCTGTAATCGATCACCTTCGTCGTCTTCGTCATGGCCGTCTGCATGCTCCTCTTCTCTTGGCGAAAACACCGGTGCATAAGAACTTGGCCCGCCCAGTGCTCGTTCGTCTGCAGCATCTTGCAATTGCTGAACCAACGGCGGCGGCCGAACATCAAATCGTCCTGTCAAAGTGCTGGATGGTATCGTCTCAGTCTTGGTAGTCGTGTCTGCCCGCGTCCCCTGTGACCCGTCGTCCTTCAAAGTCAGAGACTTCTCACTTGCCAGATCTAGAGAGGCTCGGGCAATGCTCGCGGATCTTTGCATTTCCTCTGCCTGGCGATTCACCTCCATCGCGGATCCAGCTGACAGGGGTGGCGCGCTTTCCCTGGCCGAAGCGCCTCGTGTTGCGTTCCTGTCGGGCGAAGTTGATCCAGGTGCGGTCATCTCCAACTCATCTGCCTTGACCTCCTTCCACGAACATTTGGCATGCTTCTTGGTACAGCCCATGCACGCTGTGAGGTTCTTGAGACAGTCCATGTGCAGCCTGCGACATCGATCGCATGGAGGAATCACTCGGTCGCCCTTCCACATGTTATCCATTCTTCGCACCATCTCCGCCTTGAATGGCCCGCCGTCATCCCTGTCCAACGTGGCGGGCTTCATGTGAGGCATGAGAGACGCCGGGGTATTCGGTATGGCCACTGTCGACGCACTTCCGGCTCCCAGTTCAATCGAACGGGAGCGCTGCTTTTCTGCAGAGGCGGCTTGCATCGCCTGTGTTCGAGCGGTGTTGCCTCCCAGCGACGAACGCCGAACAGTGTCTTCAGTCAAACCAGCTTCCCGTTCGCTTGGGGTCAAGAAATTCCTCATCAACTCGGCTCGCTCTGATGGAGAAGCATCTTTGATCGACTTGCCATTGATGATGGTGACGTTTCCCCCAATTGACGAGCCACAAGAGTCGTCGATAGTACTCCGTGGAACGTCGTTGGTGGAAGATGGACGCCGAAGGTCTGTTTCCGCGGAAGTGGATTGTCTCAAATTGACTGCTCTAAACCCGACTGGAGGCGATTGAGAGGCCTCAACACTCCTTACTGCGCGGATGCTGCTCGCGCCGTTCGTGTCTAGGGGCGAAAAGGGAGGTGCTTCGGTTCTCACGGCGTGTCGTTGTGCCTCGGCCTCCTGCTCGCGTCTGCTCAAGATTGCTGTGCGCCGACCTTTCATCTTGTGGATCAATTGTCGCGCTCGGCCAGATACTGGTCCGGATCAGCTTCAACAGCCATGAATTACAATAGACTACCGACGTACCTTGGTCTGCAAGCTGAATGACCTGGCCGAGATTGCGGTCTAACAGATCCATAACACCCAGTTCCTTTTCTTCGTCTTCAACGATGGGCTGCGGTGGGATAAGTTTCTGCGGCATCCCACTGGCGATGAGGACAAAATCCTCCTCCGAAATTTCGACCCGACACTGTTTGGTGTAGAACTGACAGACCCGCACTCCGTTGCGAGTTCTTTCTAGGTTGAACTGCTTGGGGTTGTTCTGAGCAAACTCGACCACGTCCAACCAGCTCACATGGGCATCTTTCGCATGAGACTTGAGGATCTTTGGTGGCCCATCGAACATTTTTTCGAACCGCTTGACGAGGATGGGGCCGACCGGACAAGCTCCCAAGTTGCCTGCCATGCTCTCATGGCGTTGTATAACCCCATCATATTCCCCCAGCAGGCGAGCGATTTCCGGAAGCTTGTCATTGACCGTGACAAGGGGGATCGTGTCCTTGTGTTGCCGGACCAGGTAGTTGATCTGCAGGTGGTTCGTAGCAGTCCGGGGGATCTTTGCTGCTGGGAGAGGTTGAGGCTCGGTCGGGGAGCGCGGTCGCTTGAGAGAAGTTGATTGCTCGGAGCTCATTGTGGCAGGAGGCTGTTGCTGGATCGATTTCGCATAGAGGTTGGAGGGCGCCCGAGTCGCTTTAGGTGCGCTCGGGCTGCGCGTGCTTAGCTAAGGTACTCTCGGAAGTGTGAAGTCGAGAAGGCCGCGGGCGGAGGTGCGTGGGAGGGGTTACAGCATCAGCTTCGAATAGTTTGGCCCAAGGCGGGCAAAGCTATTCTTGAAGCTGCAGCGCCGTGAGCGGAAGAGGAAATCGCAGTCGCGGTCAACGAAGTTAGAGGAAAGAAAGTGCGAAACAGAGGGGAGAGGTGGGAGGAGGAAAAGGGTGGAAGCAGTGAAGGGAGGGAAAGCTGTGGCACGTGGATAGGGTCTGGGTCTGGAGGAGAATGAAGCGCAAGTGGGAGCCCCAAAGATCCCGACGGGGCGGAACGGGTCAAGGGTATGACCGAGAGGGCGAAATAATTTACAGAGAACAGCGCACTGCTATGAGCGATGAGAAGAAGAAGAAGAAAGCGAAGTTTTGTGTGTGTGTGTGTGTGTGAGAGGAAATGAAATGAGAGGGAGGAAAGGCTCCAAGGTCCCCCAGCTCGCCAGGTGGAAACGGCGAGACGGTAAAGACAGCGGGCGAAGGAGAAGGGCGGGTTTGGGGTCTGCTGCTCGCTAGGTAGGGGAGGTACGGAGCACGGTTGTGGCAACCAACCAAGTTCCAGAGGGCTCGAGGGCCCGTGAAGGACTTCCCGACCCATCAGCCGCCAGCACTGCCTACCTAGGTACCTAGGCCATGAGTCAATGGGCGCACGCGGGGCTTATCACCCATCGACCCCCTCTTCAAACGGCAGGAAAACTGAGAGCCTGGGTAAACTGGAGGCAAGGGGGAGAAGAGAATCTGCCCACTTACCTCGTACAGCCATGGCTGCTGGGGGAATGGACACGCGGACGCCCACAGGGACTCGAGGGGTCGCCCGGACTCGGACGGAGATGACCAGCAGTCATCCCGATGGCAAGCATGGAATCAGAGATGGCTGCCCTACACTGCCTTGCCCTGACTTGCCCAGCCCTCTTCTCTAGAATGAAAAAGAATGAGAGAGGAGGGGGAGAATGTGGTTTTTGGGGGGGGAGGATGTGCCGCCGGCTGTCAACTAGCTGCCTAGGTTCCTAGGTATGCAGGTTCTAGTTGGTGCGCGGGGTTCAACCAGAAAAGATCAGTGGGCGGGAAGATCCCTCGGTGGTACAAGAGAAGTGTGCTCGGGGCACTCACGGGGGGAGGACTCAGGGCTACATACCATGAGTGGTGCAGGCTAAAGGTGGAGGTGACTAAGGTGAGATCCGCTCCGCCCAATGATCACCATTCCACAATCCTCTCTCAGACGCTTCGGCGGAACTTGTAGCGCGCCATTCAACGTCACCCTCTTTGTTCCTCAGCCTCCCCCCCTCCGGTTGTCTCCTTTAGCCCTTGCTGCCTTTGACGGCCAGCTTCCCACACATCACTCCACCATTTTCCTAGACCAACCTGGCCAAGCTTTGGCTTTGCGACTTTCCAAATCGCCGATTGTCCCTCTCCAACCACCCAAGAAAGGTGTACCCAACTCTACGGGGTACCTACCTAGGGCACGCAACGCAGCTTAGCCTGCTGATTTTTAACTGGTTCCAAAAAAAAATCACTTCTCACCACGCACAGTCCATTTGCACACTAGCCTCTTTACGGCTTGGGAGTTCTTCCGCCTTTACTGCGAAGGATCACTCTTACTGACGACATATATATTCCCACCCTCAGTCAACAAAAACACCCTTTACTCTTGGGAAGAAAATGTCCGAGCGAGGTCATTTTCGTGGAGGCGGCCGGGGAGGCGGCGGAAGAGGAGGTGGAAGAGGTAGGGGCGGAGAGGGCGGTCGAGGTGGTGGTGCTGGCACCGCTTCTCATCAGTCTAATCAACCGCACGAAAAGCCCAAGAAGGAAAACATCCTGGACTTGTCCAAATACGTCGAGAAGCAGATCAGTGTCAAGTTCAATGGCGGAAGAGAAAGTATGTCTCCGTGGGTGTCGAAGTCGTTGGCTTGGGCAGCGACGAAAAGCAAAGACTGTTTCCCTTTACTAACACAGCCGTCCTTGCTCCAGTTGCTGGCACGCTCAAAGGTTACGATCAATTAATGAATTTGGTGTTAGATGACGTCAAGGAAACTATGAGAGGTGAGTTCAGTCCCCTAGCCCAGCTCACACCGCTGGTGCGAAAACGTTCGGGGTCACGCTGACGACGAGGCCAGATGATGAAGGCAACGAGACAACCCGACCGCTGGGCCTGGTCGTCGCGCGCGGCACCTTGCTCGTTCTGATATCCCCGGTCGATGGGAGTGAAGAGATCGAGAATCCTTTCCAGCAACCGCCCGAGTAATGGTTGGAACCGCTCCGCGCGAGCAACAATGCCGGAGCTCCAACTCAAACTCGAACTCCAAGTCACGTATCAGCCTTGCTCTACTTCTCATCAGAGATTTAGTGTCCAGCCTGCATCGCCAGTCAAGAATCGTACACCAGCCGCTGCGCTTATGGCTCGACAAAGGAACATCATGTGCGAAACATTCCCAACACCAGACAAGCGCGTCCTTTGCGGTCGAGCAAATTGCACCTCTGGACAGGGTTGGGGGCGTCACCCGACCGATTTCAATCCTGGATTTCATCAAAAGGAGTGAAAGAAATCCATCGAGATCAACAGCCGATTTACAAACGGAGATTACGATTTTTTTTTATGGTTTCGTATATCTCGCTCCTACCTCGCTCCTCTCTGGCCGTTTCTTCCAAGATCATAATCGTTGCCTTCCATATCATGTTCCATCACATGTTCTGCGATGAGTGTCCGTCGGTTACTTCCTTCTTGTCACAAATCGCCTTTCTGTCCACCTTGGCAGATCCGTGAATGTCCGAGAGAGGTATTTATCACTCATGGCATGGCCCCTTTCCTTTATTACTTCCTTCGACCTGTGAGATACCATCATCTATTCCACTTTTCTTTTTTGGGGGGGCCTTCCACCTACCTCAAAGGCCCTCCTCTCTTTCCAACCAAATCCTGAAACGCGCTCTCCATGCCCTTTTTCAACTCGCGGTAACTCACCACAAACACGCTCTGTTCGTCCCTACTCACCAGCGTGATCTTCTCCTCCGTGCCTGCATCTAATTTGTTCAAACATGTCAAAACATGTCCCAGATCCACGACGGGCCGGTTCTGTGCATCGACCTGATGAAAGACATAGTCACGGAATAACTTGAGGAAATAGCGTTCCCCGTTTTCGCTCCAGGCTTGGTCATGATTATGTTCAGGTCGTTCGTTGATGAAATTTAATTTCGCCATGAGGCGGACGAGGCGCGCATTTTCGACTTCGCGGGCCAGCTCAGAATATAGTGCGTCATCTGCGTGGAGGGCGGCATTAAAGGCGGTGATCATTTGGTTGGAGATAAGCGTGACGAATCCGTCTATGGTTTTCTCCGAGTTCTGCATTGCAGAATATAACCACACCACGGCGTTTTGGAGCTCGGGCTTGAAAAAGCGCTTGAAAGCATCCATATTGCGGGCAAAGTTTTGACCCGCATCAAGTGTTCCTGAGCCAACGGCGAGGATGACAAGGGCGAAATTGACGAGATCTTGTCGTTGGACTTGGCCGAGAGGCGTGTGGGTGTTGGCGTCATATTGCACCACGTCCAGGATGGCACAGCCACTTAGGCGAATGCGGTTCTTCCCCGTGACGAGAATTTTACTCGGGTCGAGGATCCGCGCGGCCAGGCCAGAGTTATGGATGGTTTTCAGTGCCGAGGCGATTTGTACGACATAACTCCAGAGCGCAGGCTCAGTGGCTTGGTCTTTGCGAGCGGGGCGGGGGTTGTATGCATGACCAAGATGATGGTGTTCCACAAGGGTTTTGGAGAGAGGATGGTATTCCGTGGCGACGAAGAGGGACGAGTCGCCAAAGCTTCGGTTTGTGAAGACGTCGACGATCCGGACGACGTTAGCACTTATGATATTCTTCCAGGCTTGGCCAGCGCGGATTGCATGCTCGTTTGTTAGACGAAAACCTGAACATTAAAGGGTCAGCTCTTGAAAGACAGCAATGTGGGAGAAGCAGGAGAGTTCAAGGTCATACCTTCAATCCTTCGGAGGGCGAAGAAGTGCCCGTTGGCGCTTGATTGGGCTTTATATACCCAGGAAGTATAACCTCCGAATATGGTTGAACTTTTGTGGGCTGTATCGAGGGGGACAAGAGAGTGATAATTCTCAATGTGGTTGGGTAATTGTGAATCTGAGAAGCGATATCAGTTCAGCACCCGATATTTGAAAGAGGGCTTTGATGGATGCCTACTGGGTAATATTTGAAGAGCTGCTGCGGATTTCTTTTGAATTTCCTCTCGAAGATCGTTGGAGATAAAAAGGTCATGCACGGTACGTTGGTATGGGGTGAGAGCCGCGTTATATTGCCCAATAGGTGCATATTGGTGGTATTGGACCTGGCCGGAAATCAGCACCACCGTCACCACCTCCGTTAAGAGCTGCTTACTGGCTGTTGAAACGTGGGAGTGTTTTGGTAGAAAGCAGCGCCATTGATACTATGGTCGAGATATGGATTTGTTGCATGGCTTGGTTGAAAGGCTTCAAAAGTGTGAGGTATAGAAACCTCGCTTTCACTTGTCTGGAAGAATATCTATAAGCATCGGACGGAAACAGTCCTACTCTGTTTGACCGACTCACCAGCGAAGGATCTTGCACTCGTCTGGGAACAAACTCTTGAACGTCAGGCAAAGCCCACTCTGGAGTTTTAGCATCTTGTCGGAGAGGAGTAGCATTCGACGATCCTGGCATGAGTTGTAAGCCACCGGCGTCGTCTGATTCTGAGATACTGGACATCTGCTCACTGGAGATGATGGCCTTTGGCGTGAACGGCGCAGCACTGGCCGCCTTCGGGGATATGCCACTTGTTGATTTCTTGATGGCTGTTGCTGCGGTTGCGGCGCCATTGGGGGACAGGGAAGAAGGCGTGAAGCTGGGCGAGTCGACGTTGAGCGTCTTTTTGGACCGACTACTCCCTCGAGTCTCAGCGAACGATACCTTGATCCCAGGACGGGCAAGATGGTTCCACCGTACCTATCATTTTGTCCCCCATCGGAAGCAGCCTTCTCTACGGAGTGGGAATGGTTGAAGGTACATCCTATGGGCAGCGAGTTAGTCGCATGTGCTACACCCATCTGGCCAGAATACCTTTGTCTTCGTAGCGGCATTTCCCGTAGATGGTGACGTTACGACACAGAGTCTCCTTTGCATTTTCTATCCGAGCATGGGATCAGCACTCCAGGTCTCCCCCTTCACGAGCCTCAAAGTAACGGTCAACATACCCCGGCCTTTGGGTCTGGGGGACAAAAGTGCCTGTTTTGTATCTTCTGCATTATTCTTGATCACTGTGGCCATAATCGGTTACTGAGGGAGGCTGAGCATGCTGCTCCATCAGCCTTAGAGGTATGTCTCCGAGTTTCGCTCAGGATCGAGGCATTTCCTGGATCAGCAAAGGCCGAGGGCGGAGACGGACGACGGTTTCGACTCGAGTCGGTAGGCAGGCTAGATGTCCGGGGCTGGTCCTGTGATGGTCGGGGTGCATGCGAGGGGAATGAACATGACGACCAAGATATCCAAAAAGAAGAATCAGTAGACAAGCGAGGATGGTGGCGCAGTCGCCAGGTAGGAAATGAAGTGAAATGAGAAAAGGGCGAGTCAAGAGGTCCTCTGAGCGCAGCCGCGCTGTGTCCGGAATGTCGTCTGTCGAGCAGTCGATTCTCGCAGAAAGTTAAGAGATACAAGGGTGGGAAACGGAGGGATGAGGTCGGCGGGATCGTCGAGGCAACACAGGCCTGCACAGGGTCTTGAGGGTCCCACGGTGCCACCAGCGGATTACGAGGTGCGCACATCCACCTTTCCACTCCGCGGTTCGCGTACACACTGTTCCATTTGCCGCACAAATCAAACCAGCTGCGCACCATCCTCAGCCTTTGGTCGGTAAAACCTAGCCTCGCTCACCCCCGTCCCATATACACCCGTTGTGGTTTGACCACAGAAGTGACACCACAACTTGCCCCAAGGAGAGGATCCAGAGGTGAAGCTACGATTTGAAGAGAAGGGAAAAAGCATAGTCGACATGTCTATTCGATCGAGGTGATAACCTCCCACTGCATCCCCTGCGTCGCCCCAACCTCGATTTGAACGATGTCGACTCCCGACATCGCCCAACTGTCCGCGTCCCAGCAAGAAGCTCTACAAACCTACACCTCCGTCACCGATCAAGACCCTATTGCCGCAATCCCTCTCCTGCAACGATGTGAATGGAACGTCCAGATCGCAGTGGCCCGCTTCTTTGATGGTGAACCTTCAAGCGATCCTCTCGCCGAAGCACAAGCACAGTTACCGACTGCCTCCGCCCGTCAAACGACAAACCTGCAGTACGAATCTCTCCTGGCTGCAACACGATCCTCTTCCAGAACACCGCGGGCGAATCCCGAGGACATAGTGACGCGAGTTGACACGAGCGGCACAGTCAACGAACCAGTCTATCGTCCCTCGACGTTATTCTCCATAATCTTCACCCCCGTCAGCATTCTATACAGAGTTTTCACGACCGTGCTGTCACCATTTGGGTTCCTTGTTCCCACATTCCTCTCTCGCCTCTTTCATCGCCTTCTCTATCAGTCCCAGTCGCAGTCACGCACTCAGAGGCGAGCTCTACCGCCAGCTGAGAATGCCAGAAGATTCATCCGAGAATTCAGTGAAGAGTATGGCGCCGAGGGTCATGATGGAGAGTCGTCTGCACCCCTCCTCCCATTCACAGAGTCCGGGTTTAACTTAACCCTCGACACGGCAAAAAAAGACCTAAAATTTCTGCTTGTGATTCTCCTCTCTCCTAGCCATGATGACAACCACAGCTGGGTTCGAGAGACCCTCCTCTCTACGCAGTTCAAGTCATTCCTCGACTCGCATCATTCTGAATTGATACTCTGGGGTGGTGATGTGAGGGATTCAGAAGCCTACCAAGTCTCTACTAGTTTACAGTGTACCAAATTCCCCTTTGCGGCACTCATATGCCAGGGCTCGGAACCAGGATCGGGCTCACCGTCGGGAGCAATGACCGTTATCATGCGCGCCGTGGGGCCCACGTCAGCGTCGGAATTGGTTGCAAAAGTTGCCACAGCGATGACGGCACATCAAGCACAGCTCGCTGCCGCGAGGGCACAACAAGCAGAACGCCAGGCAACCCAAAATTTGCGAAGGGAACAGGATTCGGCGTACGAGAGGTCACTGGCGCAGGATCGCGAGAGGGCCCGGCGAAAACGGGAAGAGGAAGAAGCCGCAAGGAAAGCAGAGATGGAGGCCCAGGAACAGGCAAGATTGGCAGAGAAGAGGAAGAGGGACTTGGAGCAATGGAAGAGATGGCGTGCTCAGTCGCTTCCGGGAGAACCAGATACGGATGTCAAGGATGCAATTCGGGTGAGCATCCGCTTGCCTTCTGGAAGACGGGTCATCCGGAAATTTCGAACGGATGCAGAGATGGAAGAACTGTATGCCTTTGTGGAATGTTATGAGGTGGTCACGTCCCGAGAATCAGAAAATCAAAGCCCGGAAGATGATGTGGAGGAGCCAGAGGGGTATGAGCATGAATACAGGTTTCGACTTGTTTCGCCTATGCCCCGGACAGTGTTTGATTTGGAGAAGGGAGGGTCAATAGGCGTGAGAGTGGGCAAAGGCGCGAACTTGATCGTGGAACCTGTCGACGAGGATGACGAAGACGAACATGAGGACGAAGATTAAATGAATGCAAGGTCCGGAGTACTGTGTCTCAATCATTGAATAGATTCGCAAGAAACTGCGGGATTCGGTAGACGAGCAGACCAGTTGCAGCTTTATAGAACTGCCACATCTATGTAGCATTTGGTAGCGAATTAGTACTATGCAGCAGGTCAGGATGCTGTTGGTCGCCTCTTGTCGTTCAGGGTTTCTGGTGGTCCAGATCATAGAAGCATGGGGCCGTACACGGTAGATCTTCTACGTACGATCTTCTACATACGAGATGCCATTCTGGTACCTTGGGAATCAGTCGATGCCGGTGTTGTGGACTCCATAGTATTTGCCCCGTCTAGAGACTTCCTGCGCATGTGGTGGTTACCTCCGCCTCCTTCCCTCAAACCCATGCCCGTCTATAAACCCCTCTGTCGACCTCGAACCTCACCTCACACTGCCGAAGTCAAGAGAACAACCCGCACGACTGACAACATCTGGCATGTCTCCCCATCCGCGCCCTTGTCACACCGTAGCCTCGCACTCGGAAAGTCCTCCCTTTTCCTCAATCCCTATCGCGAAAGCAGCCTCACAACCGCCGCCGCCGCCAGCACAACCAGGGCCACATCGGCGTGGTATAGTTTCCCCGCCTGGGCCTGCATGGCCAGTCCGGCCGTGAAGAACAACAGGCTGGCCCCCGCGGCGAGGAGCTTGAGCGCACGCGTCCCAAAAAGGAGCGTCAAGCCCACGAGGGCGTCAACAGCGGACGTCACGGTCGCGGCCACCGAGCCGTCGTCCGGCAAGTGGTACTCCTGGAACGCGTACCATGTCGGGGTATACACGCCATGCGTGAGGCGGGAGAAGGAGCCGAGAAGAACAACGGACGCGAGCAGGTAGACCGGGAGAGTTTTGAGGGCTGCGGACATGGTTTGGGTTGGTTGTTCGGATATTCGTGGAGAAAAGAGAGATATAAGATCGCGTGTTTCGTTCAGCCGCTACACTCGATCGCAGAAGAAACTCGACCGTAGAGTATTGCGTGTCTGTGTATAATGCTCCGCCGTAGTATGTGCGCGGCTCGGCCGCATCGCTCAAATCGCTTTAACTGAGCCTTTTGGCTTGTGGGCTGAACATCAATCAATGAGCACTCTTCCAAACCTCAGAGAATCGGGGACAACATGGGATATGTGACCTAGCCATTAATGATCTTCGCAACCAAGTTCAAACTATGTGATAATCCGCGACCATTGGTATTTTTCCCCCTTTGCTGTTCTTTTTCACAGGAAATACTGGGTAGAAACCGAGGATCCTGACTACGGCTATCGTTGCTGCTGCATGTTTTCCTACATTCCCCGGTATACTCTCATCGTCCCAGCGCCCGAGCGACCACGCGTAATCTTGAGAAGCGAGCTCTAAAAGCATGTCATCCTCTCTTTCTTATGCTAGATGTATTCCCCTCGAACAAACCTTTTGAGCGTGCTCTGATTATACAGTGCAATAATTGTCGCCGTCGGTGAATAGTTAGATTAAATTAAATGAACAATCAAACGACTCTGCTCCTAGGTGTCTGCACAGCCATGCCGACCGCAAGCATCCCGGCTCATTGAATTTTTACTTTTCGCCTCGTCGAGGCAAGATGAGGCGAATAGTTTCACATAAGAATAGGCCGGTATTACCGAGAATTTTCGAGGTTCCATGGTATGTTGAGGTTGTGTAATCGCTCGGAGAACAACGCCGCACATATGTAGTCCGCTATCGAGTGTTCGAGCGCTTTGAACGACCTCTTCTTTTTGCACAAAATTCCCCTTCAACTGAGTTGCCTCCCTCTGGACAACGTGACTACCTCATCCCTGTTGTTGAATCTGTTGAATCATGCCTCGCCAAACACCTCATCCTCAGACCATCTTCTACCTTGTTACAGATGAGCAGTCTCCCAGGGCCAGAGAGATGCTTCTTCACCCGCACAACGACCCATTTGTATCTTCGTACAAGAAACCTCCTAATACGAAAGAGAAAGATGAGTACAGACTCGAGATCGGCTATCATGTCCAGACGAGACCTCGACCTATGGTGATAGTGAGAACGGGAAAGAATATCGACCTTATGATGCCGGGCGCGGACATTTCCTAAGTCCTTTTTTTTTTTTGGAGGAGCATCCAGAGTCCCATCAAATTATGTGCTGAGACCGGTCTCGACTCTTCAGCACTAAAACAGAGCCGGATTCCTTTATGGTAGATGGACATTTTCACTAGGCCGTCTTATGGCCGGGTACGAAGGATAAAATTAGGCCCGGCGACGACTTAAGATGGGCCAAGGGGCGGGAGGACCTGTTACAAGAGACGGAGAAAGAATCTCAAATGGTGGAAGCACGAGTATAAAATCTTCGCTGGGAGCAATCGGTCGAGGATGGGCCTACGGACCTTCTTAGTACAATACCCCGGCTTCACAAACTACCCATTGATGCCGCCCAGCGAGCGATTGAGGTTTGAAAGCTCAGAGTATAAATGTACGGTGAAGTAAACAAAGGCGTGAATCAGGATTCGGGTCGTTTCGTCGCGGTTAAGACAACGCGCTCGCCCCCGAGTGTTGGCTTTGCGATGTCGAAAGAAGAGGTCTAATGATAGCGTGAGGCAAAACTTGTCTCTGGTATATTCCACGTTCATTCCTTCATATGTTGGCTACAATATTGCATACCTACAATGCGTTCAGAAAAACACTGTCAAATACTTGGGTTCTGAAGGTTTGAACAACTCAATCACCGGAATTTTCCTGAGCCTCCAGTCCGAAACCTAGGCGATGTGCTCGAGAAATCTCCGAGAATATTATGTACTAAACCTAAGATGCTTAAGCGGCTATTACGTGAAATGCTCGAGGCGCTAGATTATGTATCTAGCCTTCCGAGGCTCGGTCGATCGGGAGGTCAAGCTCGGACATATTTTCTACACGCCGTAGAACAACGACGACTATTTTTTATGTGAGCTGATTTTGGCCTTGCTAACCGACAACAGCTCGTAAAACCGCACTGTGGTTACATGACGCCCGGAAGCGCGCCAGAAGCTCCACAGGCTTCAGAACAACATGGTTTGGGCCCAAAACTGCAAAAGCCATCACCAAAAGCCCTTGAACCTGGGGCCGATGGGCTGAAAACGGTCAGCAAAGCGCCACCGAAGCTTCTACCCAACGACATCATGGCTCGACAGGTCAATCGTACGAGGGGATTGGCAGAAAATGAACGACGATGGGATCATTTGGGACTACGGCGATTCACTTACCTGAATCACCCACATCGGCTCGGTGACGTGGCACGAGGACCAGAATTCACGAATGATGGATCGGTCAAAGTCAGTCTATTTGTTATTTCGTACCTGATGTCACCTAATAATGATGATCTAGCGTGTTAAAAATGAGTCGCGGCCGGCCTGCTTTCAGGAAGGCAAGTTTTCTGGCATATTTCTGGAACTTTGGACTGCCTCGCAAGGGCCACTCACCAATGGCATCGTGCTGGGGCGGCGGGTGTCGTAGGATGGAAGGTGAGAAGGGTAGCAAAGAATTCTTTGTCAGAAAGGCATTGCTTCACCTCTCCTTTTCGTAGCCATCTCTGTGCATCCTCTTTGTTCCTGAATTGCAATAATCAAAGCGGGAAGGGTCGAAATAAAGTTATAAGCGAGGCCAAGTAAGTATATCTGCGATTACTGTAATTCTTGGTTACTAGCGACCTAGCGAGCTAGCTACTTTAAGTGAGTACCTCACCACATAATTTGCTATTGATGAAGTCAGAGCACCACGTGATTAGATACCTCGGCTACGGGGCTGCCCCATTCACCGGATTCCCCTGGACTGGGGAAACCTTGGGAGACCCATCTCACCATCCCTTGCCAGCCCTGCTGTCTTCAGCTCTCCAATCCGTCCTGATATTGTCTCGATCCCAAAAATGGTGAGCTGTTAACAGCCAGATCAGGACCATTCCACCCCAGAATGGCCAAGAACAAGCGACATAAATGGATCCGCCATGAGCGAGAAGCGCTTGCCACGCGTGAAGCGCTGCCTGTACCGAGTACTCGGTAATCCGGACCTACCTCTCTTCCAAGTCCCACCTTTCGTTTTCTTCTACAATCTGTCCTGTAGTAATACAAGTCCAGGGGAACTCCCGCCTGGTCCTGATGTCTGCCATACACGGTGGTCCCGTCGAGACGCAGGAAACCACAGTCAAAAAGAAAGAAGGCAAAGGCAATCAAAAGGGAAGACGACTTGACAATCCTCGGCCGTCTTGTTTTACCAATTCGTCAAACCAACCAAGCGTGACTTCGAGCACGGTGTTGCACAGAAGTCTTACGCCATCCTCGAGATCTTTCTTCTTCACGGTTATAATGTTAATCAGCCACTGGCGACCAGGTATCCTCCACGTCTAGCGTGTGTGAGCTGTCGTGTGGACTGAGATGGAACGAAGATACTTACTGCCACGTCCTGAATCGCTCTCTGATTTCGAGCCCACTACATATTTGCTAGAGAGGGGCTAAACATAATGCCCGCCGCAACTTCGACATCACCACTCTATCAATGGCGGCCGAGCGTGCCTCTCTCGAAGTTCATCCAGCTGCTCTTCGAATTCGGTGCTTCGGTGCGTTTTGGATATCCTCTTTGTTATGTCGTACGCAATGATCGGCTAGATGAGATCATCGCATCTTCAGGTTCCTCCTGGAAAAGGGCGCAGACTATGATTCAGGGGACGACGGCGACGTTGCAGACATCTACCCATGTGTCTGGCCGAGTTTGACCTGATGTTCGCGGTATCCACATATTTTTCCACTCACTTTAAGATCCCTGTCCGCTGACGGTGCCGATACGGATAAAGCATTCAACTGGCGTCCCGCATTGGGGCGCGAAGTCTCGAGCTTCCGGTGATGGGAATCGTGGTCAGAGGATCAAGGTGAGGACGGCTTGTAGGGAGAGCTTCGAGCTGGAGTGAAGGATTTACATAAGGTAAGAACGGAGGTCTGAGAGCTCTTGAGAAAGGAGGAAGAAGAATAGGAATAGAGGAAAGAAGGAAGAACCATCCCACCACAGTGAGCTCAATAGGAGAACAGTTTCATGTGCTGTTCCGTGGAGCAATAAAGCCCTCCAATACATCTCGCTCAAAGTTGCCCATGCACACTCTGGCCCATGCACCGACGGTCCCCTTTGTTGGGCCATTAAAGGAGGAGGGTGTGTTGAAGCGCTCGGGATGGTATGCTGCCAGCTGCGTGAGGGGCCAATTTCCCCTTTGACATGGAGTCTGGGGAATTAGCTGAACATATCGCAACGCGATATTGCGTCGCCAACAAGGTTAAGACCCGAACCTTGAAGGCATTTTGGGCCGAGGGAAGGTAACCAACCTGCCACAGACAAGAAGTGTGGAGGGGCATCGAAACATGGGATGATGAACATTAACCCGAACAAGAAGTTCCCGAGTCAGGTATGTCGCAGAGCGAAGCCAGTGGCTGGTCATCCACAGGAGGTGGCAGACTCGCGGGACCCTCTTCGCATAGGAACGAGTGTGCATAATGCACGTAAGGTTAGCGAGGAGGCAAACTGTTGAGAGCTCCTTTGAACATGGCTTTCCCGTGGCGTAAACGTCTTCCACATGTGAGCTTGTCATTGGGTTGGGAGATTGATAACTGACCACCCGGGTGATGATTGGAGCTCTGGTGAATCATCAATCTGCATCTGCTCGTAGGTGTAGAAGTCAGGGTCTGCATGCACTGTTTCATCTTTTGTGACCTATCAAATCGTACCGGAACAACACCATACAGCATAAGCAGCAAGTCGGATGGGGTTTCCACAAGTCATATCTGATAGACATACATAGTACTCGTCACCGACTGCTAGGGCATATCGATCGATAGTTGGAGATCGGCAATGCGATACCCCACCATGTCGACAGCGTGGAAATTGGATTGAAGCCACAGAGCGGAGGTTGAGGTTGAGATGAGAAAAAGTTGGGGAGAATTTTAGCGATGGATGCCGAAAGACTTGCAGACGATGAGCCACCAAGACCAGTGGCCTAAAGGCTAAATGGCTAAAGGCTAGGGGGTCGGAAGAAAAGGTTGCATCTTTAGCCAGGGCAGCAGGGGACGGCACTCCACCGTTGCGCCTTTTCAGTGCCCGGAATGCCTGGGTAATCGGATATCTTGGTGGTGTCAGGGTGCCTGGGTGCCTGAGTGCCTGACGATGATGCCGTCTGGCCCTCCGTCTGGCCCTACAGGTCACCCACCGGCACCCACAGGCACACAGGCACCCACAGGCACCCACAAGCACCCACAGGGACCCCTAGCCTGGTACTTGTGAGCTGCGGTAGCGAACGCTACTGTACCGAGTACCTGCCCAATATCTCGCATTGGGGCTCGCGTGCCAATGACTATCACCTTACCACTCATTTGGCACACCATAGATCATACTAGGCACCTAAAGACCTACCTAGGTAAGTATCGCCTTGGCTCCCTTAACCTGGACTCTTTACTCCGTACCTCCCTCGTACACCAAAAACAGTCTGTCGGCCCATCATGCCCGCTTCTGCCTCGTATACTGTAGCGAAACAAGGGCGACAGGCGAACCTCCACCATCATCTTGTCCAATGCCAGGTCGCTGCCCATGTGTCAATTCGACATCTCCGTCATCTAGATGCCTTGTCTGTGGCCTGCTCTCCGGGCCTGGTCCCTGTCAGAATTTCTATCCACAATCCACCCATCCCACCTCAGGTTCAATTCCATTTTTTGCTCAACCTTGCCTGCTTCCGTTCAGACTTCCCGCCTGCGTCTCTGCCTGCCCAATCATGATCTCGACGTCTCAGGCCTTACAGCTGACTCCTAATGCATCAAGGGGATAGAACTTGCCAAACTGAAAAGCCCTTCACCCAGCATGCATCCCTGATTGAATGCATCGTCGACCCTCCTTGACCACATTCCACACTGGCGTACGGACCTCCTCCCTCCAAATTCTTGTGGCTTTGCAACTTAGCTTTGCCTCGAAAGACCCATGCGACGCAGGAGATCAGGCTGGAATTCATTTCACATATCAGCCAGAAACAGCTCCTGGAAAAAAACCGAGACCTGGGACGAATTTGTTCTGAGCACAGGCGCGACATTTCCATTGCTGCAACCCTCATCCTCGACGGGGGTAATCTCAGTGAATCTTTAGTCAATGAGTAAGGAAGGCGTCCCAGATGAATGTTGCTGTTCTGTCTATCATTCGGACCGATCTAACGGTTTGGTTTAGACATCGCCTTGCCATTTCGCAGTCTTCCATGATCGGCGGACCATTATCCGGGTCCCACAACGAAGACGAATATCCCTCCCGAGCCTGTTGTCGCTGGAGTTTCTTCCGAAGTCGAGCAAGAGGAGGTTGTCGTCTGCAAGATACAAGCAAAAGCAATCGGTCTGGACATTGTGACAGGACGCCCCCTGAGCCTTTGAGGCTGGCACACGTGCGCTAGCAATCACTGCAATCCAGCTCTTGATAACGAGACTGTCCAGACCGGAGTGACATTGCGGAGGCTTTCCTTGCGGAGACACTGAGCCTCGAAAGGGTGTTCACCTTCCAAGTTGCAGAATATATAAGCAGGTACCGCGAAATACACCGACATTCTGGCGTCCTTCACCATGTCTTCAAATCAAAGGTCCTTAATGGGTCCTCCGGAAACGCCGAGCAGATATATGCAACAACAGTCTCCAAGCCTTTTTCCAACGCTGCAGCTCTCTCCAGATATGTACGCCCACCAGTTCCCGGCCGGGCCGGCCACGGCACCAATATATACAAGTCAAAGGCTCTTTTGGGACCCCTCTAACATGGACTTCAATAATCCATCTTTGTCCGGTCAATATCAAGCCTCTTTTCAGTACAGCCCAGTGGCACTAAGCAGCTCTTTTAACTCTTCATCCACAGTGGTACCTAACTTCGTTTCCCAAGACCCCTTGTTAGAGGAACAGCCTTATGACTTGCCCAGCCTACCCCGTTCGGCGAGCTACTCCAATATCGACAGTTCTGCCTTTCCTGCGCCTTTCACTACCTCGCCTCGTGTGCTTCCACCACAAATGGAGAATCCAAGCATGTTTCTAAGCTCGCCAGCACGCCGGTTTGGCACCTCTGACCAATTTCACGGTCACTTCGCGCAGAACCCTGTCCCCGAACGGCCGGCTTACGCACATCAGATTGAGGAATCTAGGCGAGAGGAGGAGATGAAGCGTATGCGGCGAGCGGAGATGAAGAAACCGTCAATCACCCGATCGGTAATGGAAGCCTTAAGACGGCCTGTCACTCCCAAGAAGGACAGCAGACCGGGTCTCAAGAGAAGCCTGACACATTCGGGAGTGCGGAACGATCGCAGCCTCAAACTCCAGACTCATGCCAACCGTCCAGGACGCAACTCTCCCGTACCTTTTGACTACAACCGGCAGCGATCAGGGCGCTCATCTCCTCTCAAGCTGAATGCGGACCCCATATTGCGAATTCTCACCAGCAGTCGCAATGCCAAGCGACCGTCTCTGTCGCTGGCAATTGACGAAAATGGCGTAGCCAAGACAGTCATGACTGAAAATGCTGTAGATATGGACATTGATGAACCATCCGACAGCGGCGCCGAGTCCTTTGACGACGAAGACTTTAACATCCTCCACAGCCAATCGGACAGGCTATATGGTCATTCAAAGACCAGTTCCCGTTCTACCATGGCCTCGGTCAGCTCTGCGAGACAGTCATCTTATCAAGGCTCTGCCTCTAGTGTTTCGATTACCAGAGGAACCGATGGATATCATGGTCGAAAGCAACGACCCGTTCTTGGATCTACTATTGAAGGCGACGTATTAATGGAGGAAGAGCCGAGTGGCGATGCCCAACATGCATTGCGTGCCATAATCCAAGATCGCTCTCGATCCGCATCGGCACAAGGGGACAGCCATAATCCAAACCAGTTGCATTCTTCTCCTCCCTTGCAGCAAAGCCAATATGCCCTGTATAACGCGTCGCCAACAACAATTACAGATCCAGATTTAGCGACCCCGAGCACTGACAGGGAAAGCTTGGCAAGCAACGTGAGCATACGGTGCCTGTGCAAGTCTTCCGTGCTTGACGGGTTGATGCCCATGATCCAATGGTAAGTTACGCAACGCTCCGATGGTGAAAATCGGCGATTGGTCTCGTCCTCTACGGTATTGCATTTACTGATGTGGCCTCCTGCAGCGATTCGTGTACGAAGTGGCTGCACACTTCCTGCGCGGGCATCGACCATCGACGGAGGCCCGAACCCTATGTTTGCGCCTTCTGCACACAAACCCCGGTGCGCCCGGGCCACAGCTCGCTGCGACCGTCGGCTCTGCCATCAACGGCAAGCCCGCTGGCACACAAGGCCAAGCGTCACCGGTGATGTTGAGCATTTACGAATGTTTACTGTTCACATTTGGAACCTTGGACTATGCAATTGTTATTGAATTGGGCCCTGTTGCATGTTCTTGAACGTCATCTATCGCTTGGATTCCATCACGTGTTGAGGAAGTCGATTATATATAGCGTCGCCGAAGCAAGGAGTGGAGGTTCCGAACACATATACCCCTGGCCGTGTCTGATTTTGCGTTCTTTTGTCCGCAGCCATGAAACACAATTACCTGAATGCCAAATTAAATGAACAGAAGTACGAATGGGATCCTGCGGAGAGGTTTTCGTTGTTGAGGGGGGACTACAAAGCTCCTGGCTTGTTTTGCAAAGCAGCCACCTAGTTGAAAGAATGTCCGAGCCCCGGTGACACGACAATTTCATGCAGACTGGCATGTCTCAGATAGCTTTGGTCATTCTCCTTGACGGGACTGGAAAACTCCATTCTGCTATAAAAAGTGCGTGGCCACGGTCGGGAGGCTCTGGCCTGACAGACCTCGATCGTGTTATCCGTTGATTTCTGTGACAGCCGCCATGCGAGCCAGTGCAATTGCGGTGCTTCTTCTAGCATCGACTTCTTCGGCTTCTTTCCTCGGCCTCCTCGCGAGGGCGAACAGACCTTGTCCAGCGGTCGTTGATACCATTACCGTCCCATCGACCTTGAGTGTTACCCTTCCCCCAGTCACCGTCACCGCTACTCCGAGCCTTCCTCTGACCACGCCAGCCGCTCTGGCAGCTGCTGGATGCCTGAGTGACGCCCAAGCGACAAGCATAGTCAGTGCGTGGAAGACCATCCTCACCTCGCCAGATCGCGCGAGCGCGAGCGCAGCAGCGCAAACACTTATTGCAGGGGAGTTCCTGGAGACAAGCGATGCGATCAATGCTCTAGCCGGAAATTCAGTACGTTTTCGCAGCCAAATATCTCTTTTCCTCCCTTTGGGAACTCGTCACGCTGTGATCAACCCTGACATGAGAGTAGTTGGGCAACGCCACTTTCGATGGCAAGGACGGCTTTATCGCTGCCGTGCTGCAGAACCCACCCATCCCACTGTTAACCACGCTAGACATCTTTCACGACTGCAGTCGGATTGCGTTCTACTGGGCTGCCAGCGGAGTCGGTTCAGGAATCGAGGACGTCAGGGGCGTCGACCTGCTCTATGTTACAGAAGGCCTGGAGCAGATCAACATGGCCATGGTCGAGTTCAACAGTCTTGCGTGGGGGAAGGATGTGGGGTGGCAGATTGTGAGGGCGAACGGAACGAGGTATTGAAGAAGAGAAAGAAACCATGCAGCCGGCGTACGACGCGAGAAACGTGGTGATCTTTTGACATGGTAGCACGATTTCAGTAGCACTCACTGGCTTGCCGTTTTTATTCAGGTCACGCCCCCCTTGTTGGTATAATAAGTACTTGTTAGGAAAAAGGATCGCAATCCAGGGTTCTAGGCCCTGTACGCGAGTTGCTTAAGTAGTCGGGTCACTGGGGGGGTCGTTGCGCCGGCATCCCACATACCTACCAGTAGGTAGACTCGGCCAGGTAGGCTAGGTAGGGTTAAGGGTGGTAAGAGAGCTCTATTGGGTACTGCGTACACCCTGCACGAGGCAAGTCAAGGAAATTCCAAGGCCTCAGGCAACAGGAATCCCATCCTGCTCATTCGCAGGTGAAAAGAGAAAAGAGGGGCGGCGTGGTTTGCGTGGGCGGTGTGTGGTCCTTGGGTCCTTCACTACTGGGTACCTCCAGGTTGCTCCAGGGTACTTGTACTGTAGGTCAGTCAGTCAGGTCAGTCTTCAGGTCTGGATGGTGGAGGTCTTGAGTCTTGCCGTCTCCTCTCCCTCCTCCTCCTCCTCCTCCTTCTTTTTGCTCACACCACCGCCTCCCTCCCTTCCTGCCTCCCTCCCTTCCTGCCCCCCTCCCCCCCCCCGCCACCACAAGACTCGAGGTCAAAGACAAAGACGAGACATCGCCTGACTTGCCCTCCATCCTCATTGCAAAGTCCTTGTCTGTCGCCGTTCGAGTCTCCACACGGCAAGACGGGACTGTTGCAAGTGGGCACCTGGCTCGTCTCATCGTCTCAGCCCGGGCCTGGATTGGCTTACACATACACTATTACGAGACCTACCAACAAGTAACAAGTACAAAAACCGCCTCATCAGGCGGATCCACTGTGGTGCGTGCCTGCTGCCCTCGATGCAGCTGACCGCATCGAAGCTAGTCTGCCCGAGAGCCCTGCCTGCCACATGCCAACAGCCATAAGCACACCATCTTCCGATTCCTCTGCTTTTTATATATCTCCAGCTCTCCCATATTCACGTCCAGTCCGCATCTCGTCGAGCCCAGAATTCGTTACCCCTCAGGCTCGCCAATATGGCCACCGCGACCGTGACCGAGTTCATCACGAAGACGGTCAATGCCACGGCAGCGACAAGCACCGCCAGCTCTCGAGCAACCCCCCAAGGCGGTGTCTTTGAAGGCCTCAATCCTACCCATTATGACCCAAAGAACCCCATCACTCTCTTCATAATCCAGGCCGCCATAGTCATCATCCTCACACGCATCATACATGTGCCTCTGGCCTACCTTCGCCAGCCTCGAGTGATTGCCGAGGTCATCACTGGCATCCTACTCGGCCCGTCAGTCATGGGGAGGATCCCCGGATTCACAAATGCCATCTTCCCCACCAGTTCCATGCCAGCCTTTACTCTGGTTGCTAACCTCGGACTGGTGCTGTTCTTGTTTCTGGTCGGCTTGGAAGTCGATTTGCGATTTCTCGCCAGCAACTGGCGCATCGCCCTGAGTGTGGGTGCTCTTGGAATGGCTCTCCCTTTCGGGCTCGGTTGCGGTATTGCATGGGGGTTGTACCACGATTTCCGAAGTGATTCTGGGCTGGCCCCCATCAGCTTTGGCGTTTACATGCTCTTTATCGGCGTGGCCATGGCAATCACTGTATGTGCCCCTTGTTCTGATGCCGACCTTTATCTCTTACCAAGCCTAGGCGTTTCCCGTCCTCTGCCGTATTTTGACAACTTTGAAACTGCTGAGCACCCCGGTCGGGGTTATTGTCCTGTCGGCAGGAGTCGGCAACGATGTCGTCGGTTGGATCCTGCTTGCGCTGTGTGTTGCTCTCGTTAATTCTGGCGCTGGTCTTACCGCTTTATGGATTCTCCTTGTGGCTGTCGGTTACACACTGTTCTTGGCCTTTGCCTTCCGCCCCGTCGTCGTGTGGTTCCTGCGAAAGACAGGAAGTCTGGCCAACGGTCCAACTCAAACGGTAGTCGCATTGACAATCCTTCTCGTCCTCGCCTCGGCTTTCTTCACTGGGATTATCGGAATTCATCCCATTTTTGGTGCCTTCGTCATTGGTCTAATGCTACCCCACGAAGGCGGCTTCGCCGTCAAACTTACCGAAAAGATTGAAGATCTCGTCGGCGTTTTGTTCCTTCCCCTCTATTTCGCACTGTCTGGCTTGAGTACTAACCTGGGCCTGCTCAACAACGGCTTGACATGGGGCTACGTGATCGGTGTGTGCGCAATCGCCTTCATTGGGAAGATTACTGGCGGGACGGTAGCAGCCAGATTGAATGGCTTGGTATGGCGAGAATCATTCACGATTGGCGTTTTGATGTCCTGCAAAGGCTTGGTCGAGTTGATCGTCCTTAACATTGGACTACAGGCCAAAATCCTCAGCACCCGCACATTCACCATCTTCGTTGTCATGGCCCTCATCACCACGTTTGCTACAACACCACTGACTACGTGGCTATACCCGCCTTGGTATCAACGGAAATTGGAGCTTTGGAAGCAGGGCAAGATCGACTGGGACGGTAACCCGCTTCGCCCCGACACCGACACGGAATCTACCAGCGACGCGGACATTCTTCGCAAGGCCAACGTTGCAAAGAGGGTCTTGGTGTATCTTCGCCTCGACGGCCTACCCAGCCTGTTCACCATGGTTTCCCTCTTTTCCCACAAACCTGAGGAGGAAACCGTCGAGCCTCAGAATCAGGCTCCAAACTATGAGCCATTGATGAACAACCCGCAAGCACTGAGCTCAGTAGTCAGTCTTCGCCGCCCTCTTCAAGTGCACGGGCTTCGTCTCATGGAACTCACGGAACGAGAGTCCAGCGTAATGCGCGTTGCGGAGATTGAAGAATTTGCCGGGCGGGACCCCGTCATTAAGGCATTCGGTACTTTCGGGCAATCGTGTGATATCGCAGTGGGAGGACAAATTGCCGTGGTGCCTGATCACAGCTTCTCGGGCACGCTCTTATCTCGCGCGAGGGATCTCAAGAGTGATCTTGTGCTGGTCCCTTGGTCCGAGACCGGGACAATGTCTGAGTACCCTAGCTTGTTCGATGCAAAGCCGGGCGATCCACTGGCGAACAAACAATTCGCGACACTTGCGGCAGAGATTTTTGAGCAAGCAAGGCCGAGTTGCCACGTCGGTGTCATTCTTGACAAGACAGTCCTTTGCACGCCATCTGGTGCTTCGAAGATTGACTCGCCGGTCGCCGAACGACCGACCCGACAACTAAACAGAACACTCACCGGAGTTAGTCTTGCGGATCAGATGAACTCGACAGTGCACTTTAGGTTGGCCGATAGTGGACGTTCTCGCCTCTTCGTCGTCTACCAAGGTGATGGTGAGGATGACCTTTTCGCTGTGCGGCTCGGTCTGCAGCTAGCCAAGAATAAGAAGGTAGATCTGAAGATTCTGAACGCAAGAGCCGGCCACGACGACTCGGACGCTGTCCACCAAGCCGCAGACACCGACCACGACGATAAGATGGCCGCCATATCGAAGGTCCATACTCTCCGGACACCCCTCGATTTTGAATTTGACACCCTCCGGTCAAGCATTCTGGATTTTGGCTTCGGCGAAAGAGCGACGGTCGTGGACGTGCACCTGACAGGTCTGGATGCGGTGGTGGCGGCGATATCTGAGCCTAGTCCTGCGGAGACATTGGTCATTATCGGCAGAGGCACTTTCCATCCCACGACCAACACCGCCGTCGGTGCTGGCGCAGGCGAGTCGTCGATGTCTGGTTCGATGGTCATGACAGGCGTCGCCGGACCGAGTTATGCGCGCGAGGACAGTCGCGCCTTGGGACCGCTGGCGACCCAGCTTGTCAAAGTCATCAGGGAGAGGCAGCTTCGGGCTGGGTTACTGGTTGTTCAGGCCCGGCGAGAGCACGCGGCCGACGCCCCCGACGCGTTCGGAGGGTTCGGTGCACCGCCAAACCCACTGGACGTGCGAGATCTGAAAGCAACAGCGTTGGCCAAGAAGATGAGCGCCTTGAGTGACGACGACTAGGTGACGTTGTCCTCCTCTCACGTCGACGAACCACCAGGGAGCCCTCCTTCCTCTCGAACATGTTTCCCTAGCCTACGCAGCACGATTTTGGGGCATATATTCAGGAACACAAATGTATAGCCAGCGAACTCATGTCGCCAGTCAGTTTATCAGTCAGTCAGCATTTTAACGAGTCAATGACACTCGGGGACACACAGTCCCAGAAGGGGGGGGGGCGTGTCGGGCTCTACTTGGGCTGGACGCAAATTGGAAAAGAGGAAACCAGATGATATAATATTCGGGCAGCGACCATGGGCCCGGACTAGATCAGATCAAAGTCAGGTCAAATCTTGACTCTCAAAAATGAGTCAATGAACCAATCAACGAGAATCAGGGATAGAAATCAACCAACTCACTATGTAGCCATCTCTCTCTCCGTGTCCATCGCGCCATATATATTCCTGTCTATCCACCTATCTCCCGGGCGGGTGGTGGGAATGAAACCTACGTCGGCTCGCACACACAGAGAGAGGGAAAAAAGGAGGGAGGAGAGGCGGGGGATCAACATAACGTAAGAAGACGTATTGAAAACAAGGAGACGAAATATCGACGTAGATGATCTTTGCTGGCTGTCGCGGGAATTACCAGTACATACCCTGTACGGAGATAGGTAGGTAGGTAGGTAGTTACGTAGGTGGTTCGGTTCCGTGAAACACATACGTTTGCTTTTTGGTGGTGGAGTTGTGTAAGCTCCCTCCTCCCTCACTTGCTCGGGTGTTCATGGGCGGATAGGAGAGGTGAACGGACGGCTGGATTAGATGGAAGATCGCTTGCCAAATCTCTCGTAAAAAGTCATGGGCCATGATGCTGATTTCCGACGCACATACTCGCACAGAAAGAATCCTCATTCTCCCACGCTGACTTGTCGAGGCCTTCATTCCCCAAAACACCTCACATCTTTATGCACCATCCCCTATCTCCTGTCGACGATGGATCAAGTAGGTTAGACTAGACCACAGCGGACTCGGTCGAGTCCTTGCGCTTCGCATCCCACTAATGACTCTTACTCTACTCTACCGTCCCACGCGGATAACACCTGCAGCAATCAACTTCTGGATCTTCGACCGGATTCCTGGATTCTTCATGTGTTCGTTTAATGCCGCCGGGTCGGATTTAGCTTGTTGCAGGATCGATTGCAGGACCGGGTCGGAGAGGATTTGCACTGTGCGAGGGAGACGGGTTAGTCACCAATCCCGAAATTCGGAGCCCGGGGGGGGGGGCCGCGCAGTGAGCGGTGAATGCGTTAAAAGGGAAACAACGAGGGGATCAGGGCACTTACTGATTTCAGGGTCTTTCTGGATTCTCGCACTGGTCTCCTCTTCCGTCTCCCCTTGTCGAGCAGCATACATTGCTTCCAAGGCCTTGGCTTGCTGCTGTTCAATCTCTCTGGCGTTCTTACCGCCTTCATCATGCTCCATGGCCTCCGTACACACATCCAAACACTTGTTGTATTCCTTCATGCCGAATAACGCTTGGGCTTTGCGGAGGTATGCTTTTATGAATTTCGGATCCCGCTTAATGGCCTCGTCACAGTCTTGGATGGCGGTCGGGAAGGCAAGAAGTTTGATGAGTGCGGCCGCGCGATTGGAGTAGCCTCGTGGGTCGTCTGGCGCTCGCTTGGTAAGCTCGGTGTAGGCTTCGACGGCGCCGGGCCAGTCTCCCTCTTTGAACTTTTCGGCTCCCAAAAGGCGGGCTTCTTCTGCCTTTTCTGGGTCGATGTATGCGTCCTTTTCAGCTTTGATCTGTGCTCTCTCGGCGGCCTTGAGCTTCGCTAAGATGTCGGCCGTGCGGTGTTCGGTGAGAGATTTTTGGTAGTTGGTAATGGCTTGTGGTAAGTCACCCATTTTCTCATAAGCAGATCCGATTCGGCCAAACGCTTTGGCAATGATCTTGAAGTCGGCGAGCATGGAACGGCCTTCCTCCACGGCCTTCTCGCAAGCTTCAATGCATCCCTGATAGTCGCCCTTTTCGAATTTGGCGGCGCCGAGGTTGGTCATGTAGGTGATGTCCTTGTGCAGATCCCAGGCCTTGGAGTAGTGTTCAATGGCTTGGTCGAATTTTCGTTTCTTGTAATCTTCTGTCCCAAGTTTCTTTTCGTTCTCGGCTTCTTCTTTAGCCTTCTTCGCAGCGATGGCATCTTCGTCTTCAGGCTCGGGCTCTAGTTCCGGTTCGGGTGCCTTCTTCTCGGGTTGAGGCGGTGGATTGGACCGAGGGCGAGCATCCGGCATGGGGACATCCTCCTCTTCTGTGGCTCTTTCAGCGCCAGAGGGACCTCCTTCCGGTGGCATCCCCATCTGCATGTCGACACCCAACAGCACGCCCATGACCTCGAGGAATCTCGGATCTGCGAGTTCCTGGCCCATCTCTTGAGGGTTCGTGGCCAGTCGCTGCAACTTGGCCATGAATTGAGGATCTGCAAGGTATTTGGACGTCTTTGGATTGCTTGCGAGCTTCTGGATGAGTTGAGGATCATTGAACATGTTTCCCAGACCACCCAAATCAGCACCGTCCGCACGTGCTTCCGCCTCAATGGCTCTGTTGACAGCCTCCAGGCCTTGCCGGGCTTGGGCGTTTGAAGGCTCGAGCTTCAGCGCCTCTTCAAATGCATCCTTTGCACCGACCAGGTCACCCAGACCATGTTGAGCAGCTCCTTTCCGACCCCATCCTTTTGCCCAGTCAGGCTTGAGCTCTGTAGTCTTGTTGGCATCCTCGAGGGCTTTGGTGTACTCTTTAATGGAAGCGTATGCGCCGGAGCGGTTGGAATAGAGGACGTGGTTTGTGGGATCTAGTTCAATGGCTTGGGAGAATTTTTCGCTGGGATTAGGCGTCAGCAGAATGTCCGGAGGCATGTTGAGGGCTGAACACTCACACCGCAGTCGTGAAGTCTTTGGCCGCAAATGCTTTGTTGCCCTCAGCCTTGAGAGCGTCGGCCATGATTAGGCAGTAATTGAGTTAGTCAAACTAGGGCGAGATGAAGAGAAATCGAGTGAAGCACAGTGGGACGATCGAATACAGCGGTTGCAAGAGAATCCCCAGTAGAGCTGTCGTTGTTCACAAGATGGGACTGAGCCTGAAAATGAATTGGAGAAACCGACAGCCTGATGTACTTGTACTAGTTGATCCAGTGCGGGCAGGCGAACGGAATTGCTAGAAAATTCGGTGCACGGGCCACCGAGGAAGCAGAGCAACGGGCCCTCAGGTGAGGTGTCGAGAAGGCTGGAGGCCTGGTGACCTGCAGCAGAAGCCTGCAATGGACAAGGCTGCGCAGCCTGATGGAAGCCTCTGCAAAACCCCACTATTCCACTATGTCGCATCTTCTGCGCCAAAATTTCCCAGCATCCATTCTTCACACACACACAACTCCATCCTCGGTTCCCACTTTTCACACCCTTCCAATTGACTCAACTACAAAATTTCTCCCTAGCATGTTGCGGTGACATCCATACATTCATCTTGTTCCATCCTGCCTCTTGCTCACCTGGTCAGCAGCCTCTCTGCTTGACCCATCATGTACACAGATCTCTACCCCCATCGGTAGCACATCCCCCCTAAGCCATTGCTTCAAGATGGCGCCTCCGAAGAACACCACCTCCTCGGGCCCCAGTCCTTCGACGGCCGCCCCTGTTCGAAATCCCACTGCTGATGCTCTCTATGCCTGGTGCTGTTCCAAGTACGCATATGGCTATGTCTTCTCTCAAGCCGAACTGTTGGGTGCTGGTGTCATCCCCAACCAAGACCTCCAAATCCTTCTCTCCTCCGTCGAATACCTCACCAAAAATGCGCTGTTCAGAGTCCACGATAGGGCGGGCGGTGGCATAGGCTGGGAGTTGGTAGACCCAGAAACAGCAAGAGAGTAATGCCACACCACACCAAACTCGCAGTATCTGCTTAAGTCCTGACTGTCCTATTCTACAGCTATTCCAACCTCAGTCGCAATGAGCAAATCGTCTTGCAGGTCATCGACGGCGCAAAGACCTCGGGAATGTGGACAAAACAGATCCAGTCCAAGACCGCTCTCCACACTAACATTGTGGAGAAGGTCTTCAGGGTTCTGGAGGGAAGAGGGCTGATCAAGCAGATGAAAAGTGTCACCCATCCGCAGCGGAAGATGTACATCCTGGCCAGCTTGACTCCTTCTGAGGATGCCACCGGCGGCTCTTGGTTTTCCGAAGGTCGTCTTGATATCGGGTTGATAGAAACCATCTCCACCGTCATCGAGCATTATGTTTCTACCAAAAGCTGGCAAGAAATCAAGCCTGATGATGTGGAAGAAGGCCCAGGCCAGAAACGCAAGCGTCCTAGTAGCAGTTTTGAGGAGCACGGAGATGACAGGGCTAAACTGGCCAAGACTGGCGAGGGACAGAACAATAAAGCCAGGACTTCCAAGCACCAGATTTCCTCTCAGAAATCCTACAAACCTTTTGGCCCTGGCTACAAGTCCTATCCCACTCTTGAAGACATAACTCGGCATATCATCAACATCAAAGTCACGGGCTCCATTCTACCCCAAAACGCTGTCGCACAACTCCTGCAGGTAATGGTCTACGATGATCGCCTTTTCAAACTCCATCGTCCACCCGTTGGCAATGAGCTCCCTGACGACCACGTCAACAACACCGTAACCATGTACCGCTGCTTTAAAACCCCTCAGGACCTAATGGAACAGCATCAACTTTACAAGCGGAAAGTGAGCGACCACGACTACGTGAGGAAAGCCGCGTATCGACAGGAGGAGTTGGAGAAATTGGGAGTGGGAGGGTCGAGCGAAGTGCCTTGTTTGAGGTGTCCTTCATTTGACATCTGCGGCGACGGTGGGCCGGTGAATGTGGCTACCTGCAAGTATTTTGATGAGTGGTACGACAGACTTGAAGAGGCGGATAGGGAGGAGGAAGAGAAAGAAAAGGCGAAAGAGAAGGTCAAGGATCGAGATAAGGGGTCAATGGACAAGGGCAAGGCGAAAGGCAAGGAACACGTGACGGTCAACGGCGATCGAGGGCCGCGTGTTGACATTGAGCTGGAGCTGGAGCTGGAGCCTTCGTAGCACAAAGCTGCTTCTTTCTGGTTTTCCTTCGATGCCTTCCAGAGATCCATCCACCTCTGGACCTACGCGATCAACAAAACAGAGCTCCGAGCATTGCGACGGCGTTTTTACCCACCCTCATCCCCTCCGAGAAGGGCAGAACAGGGCCTCTATTTATCTATCTATCTGTCTTCGCCCATTGTGACCGGGCGATCGAAACGAAGCAAAAGAACAAAAAGGGGAATGGACAGACAAGACGGGCAGGGAGACAGACAAGACAGACCGGTATTAATATTCATCTTACTAGCGCACCTCCATCACATGAACGCTCAACTGGGCTCGTTCATCCCCATTCTTCACTAGCCCTGTCTTCATGACGCATGGAATGGAGGGTGTATGTGTATGTGTATGTGTCTTTTAGCTGTGTTGGGGTATCATCGGTCTTATCCAGAGGGTATGAACGGAGCGGCTGAATTTGAAGCGCCCGAGAATGGCTATAGGCCCTTTTTTCCCATTTCATATTCCATTACCAGCGGGCCCTGATGATCCTTGAATGGCAGGCCCATCATGCTCTTCGCCTTTATTCTTACATATATCCGCTAGGACCCTTCAGCCATCCTGACGCTCGCTGCGCCGCTGGCCAGCGCCGAGCTCCCGCCTGTTCTCTCCAACTCCCTCCTCCTGCTTGCCTTGGCCAACGGCCCTCCAGCTCCGTCCTTTTCCTCGGCCTTCTCCTCCTTCTCAATCTTCTTGGCCTTCAAATCTTCTTCAATCTCCTCCCTCCACCCTGTGATGTCCGGCGGGATGTATTTCATCTGCACACTCGGAGCAGTCCGGATTTCGGCCAGTTGGTCCCTCACGTGTCGTATAATCTTTTCAACGTCCTGCTTTGAGTTCGTGTTCTCTCTTCGCCAGCCACCAAGGTTTGGGAAAAGAGTAAAGCCTTCTTTCCGAAAAGCTTCACGGTGTGGCATGTACTCCGGTAACTGCGGGTTGAGAGTGCGATCTGCGCCGATACAGATTGACGTCTCGTGCGCCCACGCCCTCGCGACGTTGCGCGGTGTATAGCCTCCACCTCCCACAACCAATAAAGGGATTTGGAAGGACTTCACGAACGAAACACAATTGCCATGGCCGCGGATGTTCAGATTGAAACACCCAAGACGGTCATGACCGAGAGAATCGGCGCCGCACTGAAGCACAATAGCTGTGGGGTGGTAGGTTTTAATGGTGGGTTCTACGACGCTGCGGAAGAGGTAGTCGTATGTTTCGTCGTCGATGCCGTCGCTGAGGGGGACGTTAATGGTATAGTTTTTCCCTGGGTTGTCCGGGTGGATCGGTCCCGTGGATTCGAGCGGACCCGTTCCCGGGAAAAAAACCTCCTTGTCGTATTTGTGGAAGGAGACACACATGACACGGTCAGTGGACCAGAATGCCTGTTCTACACCATCCCCGTGGTGTACGTCAATGTCGACGTACAGGACGCGCGGGTGGTGCCGGAGCAGCTGGAGAACGGCAAGTACAATGTCATTGACGTAACAGAATCCGCTTGCTTCTGCCTTTTTTGCGTGATGCAATCCGCCAGACCAGTTAATGGCGATGTCGGATTGTTTGTTGCAAAGCTTGCGAGCTGCGTCGATCGAGGCACCGGCGTAGTTCGAGCAGAATGCGTAGAGTCCGTCGAAAATAGGGCAGTCATCTCCGACGCCGAAGATATGGGAAGAGAACCCTTGAGGACCCGTGGCGAGTTCAGGGTACATTTCATAGATGTTTTGTGGAGTGGCAACGCTGAGAAAGTCGACGTATTCGTCCTTATGGAATGCGGCGATTTCTTCTCTGGTGGCCGGGCGGGAAACGTAACAGTCCATGGCCGTGTGCATTCCATAGGAGAGGACGAGCGACTTCGTCAAGGTGAGACGCCACGGCTTCATTGGATGGGTTTGACCAAAGTGATGGTTCTCTACTGATGGGTTATAGTGCCATGAGACTCTGTAGCCTTTTGGGCGGGTGATGCCGTTGGCTTCTGACTCGCGTTGAATTTTCTCAGAGAGGGTGAGGGTGGGGGTTTGGTTGAGAGACGAAGGGTCCTGGTATTCCTGGACGATTGCCATGATGTCGGTGTTGAAGAGTGCGTGATCGAGAGCTGCGGCGGGAGAGGACTGATAGGAACTCGATTCTGCCTAGGGTACTGGGTACATGACGCGACCAACAAAAGGGGACTTCCGGCGACGGAATTCTGCCTTCAGCGACTTCTTTCTAGCGATATAAGCCGCGCATTGTTTCTGAGAGTGTAATATGATCCGTCTCTTGTGTGAAGCGTCTCAAGTGATGGACGCATGGATTCCAAAATGATTTGGAGATGACGGAAGCCGTCGAAAGAATAGTTGAAGGGTCTGGGTTGAGTTGGTCGAGGCAAGGCTGAGATGACAATGTGGAATCTTGGTGAAACTGAAACTTGAGGTGGCGTCAAAGTTGCGCCACTGCCACTAGCCCAAAGTAGTTTAGCCTCCTCTGCGCTTTGTCAAAATTGTTCTTCCGTATATTAAGTTTCTAGCCTTCAGCCTTCTGCCTTCGCCCCCCTTCCGTTTCATTCCATCGCTCATGTGACAGCCACGTCGGATTTCATCAAAAAGCAGGACTATACGGACAATGCAAACAGCCGTGAAGGAGTGAGACGCCATTAACTTGAGGTTTCGCTATTGTGGCCTGCTCTCCCTGAGAAAACCCCGTCCTCTCAGACGCGAGAACAAGACCAGATATTTCTTGCCTCTCACTTATCTACGTTCTACCGACATATTCGTAGTTGTCAGAGATGGCGTCAAACGAAGACTGCGCATCGGTGTTGGAGCAATTCATTCACGATGCCGCCAATTTACCAGCCGAGATCACCCACATGATGGAAGAAATTGAGGCCAAGGACAAGGACCTGCAGAAGCACATGTCCGTCATCAACCAGAAAGACGCCAACATTCAGAAGCATCTCAGACTCAACGGAATACTCGCCCCGCATCCGAAGGAGAACGAGTTTGCCGATCTAGTCAAGAAGAACTACGAATTATGCCACCAACTTCAGGATCAAAAAGTCGCGTTGAGTGAAAAGGCCTGCAGTCTCTTGGAACGGCAGGTGAAGAAGCTGGACATGAAGATTAGGGAATTGCAGAACGATGGGCAACTTCTCGACGGCCCGCCCTTACCAAGCATTTTCAGCCGCAAGGCTGACGCACAGAGGCCCTTCCTCGATATACCCGCCAATCTCCCCCTACAAAATGCATCTATTAGTGCTCTCAATGCGAATGCACCCAGGATCAACGCGCACATGGCTGCGACCATGCAGCAGGCCCAGGCGAGACAGCTGCCACAGATTGCCACAGGAAGCGCACCTCTTCAGCGGAGTTCGGCACCTGCAACGCCTGCTTCGGCCGTTCAACAACAGCGTCAACGAGAGCGAGAACATTCTCTGGGCGCTGAGAACAAGCGGCGGAAATTGGGAGTTCCACTCCCCGGCACAACCCTTCCGGCCCAGCCTTCCGGTCTCCGGCAATCTTCACTTGGCCCAGGCACTCCAAAAGCGGGTACTCCTACCGGCACAAGCGCAAGCCGGGCAGGCAGCATGCCTCGATCCACGGGAGCACAGCAATCAGCTGCGCCTATCAAGAAGTCGGGTCTTTCTAAGAAAGCTATCTCACATCAGCAGGTCAATAAGCTCAAGCAAAAGGTCACGATCAAGGGAAGGGTATCTGCTGGGCGCAAAAAGGGCCAATCACCCTCGGTGCGGGGAGGACGTGGAGGGACTGCGGCCTCGGAAGATGCAGACTCAGTGTTGTCATCTGCAGATGCCTCCGAGACTGATGCCTCACAATCAAGAGGAAGGCGAGGCACCAAGAAGCAACAACAAGCTGCATCTGAGGAACCCGACGTTGACATGGGCGAAGAAGAAGAAATGGAAGACGAGGAAGGAGAAGACGACAAACGCTACTGTTTCTGCAACCAGCGCAGTTACGGTGAAATGGTGGCCTGTGAGAACGATGACTGCCCTTATCAATGGTTCCACACGGGCTGCTTGAACATGAAGAAAGTTCCAGATGAGGACGAAGATTGGTATTGTCCAACATGTAGGGAAAAGCCCGAGATTATTGAAAAGGTCAAGATGAAGAAGAAAACTGGCAGGAAGTAGGTGATACCTCTACACATGGGGGAGATTCACTTGCAGCAAGTAGCACCACAAATGCACCAGTCAAACCAGTCTCGTAGATAACCCTCTGATGTCTTTCCGTAAGCTCTTGAACTTTTGCCGCTTCACAAAAAATGTTCCCGCTGTGCCTCGTACAGCATGCCACAATGTCGATGACAGATCGGATATGATGCCTGACTTCGATAGAGGATCCTGCAACGGAAGGACGCTATGCGATTAGTTGCACAAAAAGCAATGGTTGTGGCGGTGCAACCAAAAGACCGCAGCACCATATGGCGCAACTAGCGGTATTGGTGAAATCCACGATGGCACCTCGCCGCGCAGTCCTGGTACATAGATCAAGATGATCAAGATGACGGGTAAACTCTGGTGACTCTGTTAGACTGCCTCGACTGCCATGTATGCAGAAGATCTCCCAAGATCGTCAAGCGGCAAAAATCCTGGCACCGAGCCTGGTTCTGCTGAAGAACTAGACAGTACCCAGTAGCTAACCCTGATGCCGTCAACCGAAGCACAATTTCCTTTTTCCTCTTTTCACACGTGGGATTGCAAAGGCCGAAGAAAACTGGACGCGAATTGGCAGGCCTCGGAAGTGGACTAAGAGGGCGACGGGGGGAGACGTGCATTATCAGTTCGCAGGGGAAAGACGGAAAGGGGAGTCGATCGCGGAGGTTAGCGAATGAAAGGCACCAGGTGGCTGGACGATGGGTGGCGATGGCGGTGTGTCCAGCTTGCTTGATGCCCGTCAGAACTCGGCTGGGGAGGCACCTAGTAGGCGAAACAGGGCATGTTCAACAACTGCGGGTGGGCCGTCGATGCAGCTAGTGGACGTCACTAGGGCCTAAACGAAGCCAAGGCAGGCCCAAGGCAGGTATCACTAGCTCAAGGCAAGCCCCCAAGCCCCCCCTTCAAGCAAGCTCCCGGCAGGCTGCAAACTGCACCGTGCGCGCTGCACTGCAAGCTGAAAAAGTCACTTAAACCTTAATCTGGAGCTCTCCGCATCTCCGTCACTCGTCACCAGCCGCCTGCGCTGTGTCCAGCAATTCAAAGCATTGGCCGACCTTCTTTCCTCACAGGCTCACCACGTCCATTCCCTTTTCACTTCTTCTCCTCTGTGTCAGAGACCGAGTTGTACAAGCGACTGCAAATCCTATCCTGCCTACTTATCCCCCGTCCTCAGTCCCATTTCTCCTTCCCTCCCCATGCCCTCCGAAATCTAGAGCAGCTCGGACCAGGGTCGGTTGATCGTCCTCACCCAATCACCATGAGCCCCGAGAGAGAAAAGAACGAGCTCAAGTCCCAAGGCGCCGTCGAGGCTGCTCGCGATCCCAACAGCTCTGTCACCGGTGACGATGCTGAGCGAGTCATTTTGGACGAGAGCAGGAAGGCAGGATCCGCGGTGCTGCATTTTGATCCGAATGCCTCGCCAGAAGAAAAGGCCGCGCAAGCCAGATCGGTGAGATTCGTTTTCCCCAACTCGCGGCAAAACCATACCACTGACCTGCAACCAAGCGGCTGAACGACACGCGTCGCCCACCCAAGGGCGTCGGAGTGGTGACTGATGTGGTGAGTAATATTATTCTCAAGTCTCTCCTTCTCTCCACCGCTAAATGATAAATGTGACAGGACGATGGAAAACCTGCCCCGTACGATCTGCCTCCACCGGAATCCATTGCCGCTGCCGCGAAAGTAGAAGCCCCTACGACCCAAGCTGGCGCGGCAAATGGAGTGGCCCCAGAAGAAGAACAAGAATGGTCCAAGGTCGGGTGGGCTCCACGCTTCGGATCTGGTGAGACCGAAGAAGACAAAGAAGGCAACCTATTAGACCACCAGACGGCCCTCGAGGGGAGGCTGGATGAGAAGTTCTTCGGTGGTTCGTATACCTCAGCGTTCACGATACATGGCCGCGTCTCTAAGAATTCCAGATTGGTATCATAACACGGCCGTCATCATATTCGCCTGTATAGCATCATGGCTCGTTGCGACCCTCGGTGGTGGCCTGGCATGGGTCCTCCTCATCATGGCCACCTGCGGCACATACTACAGAACCTCCATTAGACGGGTGAGACGAAACTTCAGAGACGACATCACTCGGGAACTGGGCAAAGCACGTCTAGAGACCGACACCGAGAGCCTTGAATGGATGAACAGCTTCCTGGTCAAGTTCTGGCCCATCTATGCTCCCCAGCTGGCCAAAGCCATCATCATGTCAGTAGACCAGGTTCTGAGTACCTCGACGCCGGCGTTCCTCGACAGTATGCGACTCGAGACTTTTATCCTGGGCACCAAACCACCTCGCATTGAGCATGTCAAGACCTACCCGAGAGCCGAGGATGATGTTGTCCTGATGGACTGGAAGTTCAGCTTTACTCCAACAGACACCATGGATATGACTGCTCGTCAACTCAAGACAAAAATCAACCCGAAAGTCGTCCTGGAAATTCGAATCGGCAAAGGGGTTGTCAGCAAATCAATGAAGGTCATTGTTGAAGACTTCGAGTTCTCGGGCTTGATGCGGGTCAAAATGAAGCTGCAAATTCCCTACCCGCACATTGAGCGCGTAGACATTTGTTTCCTCGGTCGACCGACAATTGACTATGTCTGCAAGCCTCTGGGGGGAGAAACATTCGGCTTCGACATCAATTTCATCCCTGGACTGGAGAGCTTTATCAAAGAACAGATCCACGGCAATCTTGCACCGATCATGTACGAGCCGAATGTGTTCCCCATCGAGGTGGCCAAACTGCTATCGGGCAACCCCATCGATCTAGCCATTGGTGTTGTTGCCGTTACCATTCATAACGCAAATGGATTGAAGAATCCTGACAAATTCTCGGGCACGCCAGACCCTTATATTATTGTCTCACTGAACAGCGCTAAGGAGCTTGCTCGCACCAAAACAATTCACGAAGACCACAACCCTCGCTGGAACGAGACCTTGTACGTCATCATCACGAATCTCACGGATTCCCTTACCCTACAGGTCTACGATTACAATGATGTGCGCAAAGACAAGCACCTCGGCACCGCTACGTTCGCCCTGGACCGACTGGAGGGCGCCATCGAATACGAAAACCTGGCTCTTGATGTCCTTGCGAATGGGAAGCACCGTGGAGTGGTCCATTGTGATGTTCGTTTCTTTCCTGTCTTGGAACCGGAGAAGCTCCAGACCGGGGAGATTTTGCCACCGCCGGAATCAAATACTGGCATTGCAAGAATCACCATCGAACAAGCCAAGGATCTGGACGGAAGCAAGAGTTTGGTCGGGGCTTTGGATCCTTACGCGGTGCTTCTTCTGAATAGTAAGGAAATCCATGTCACGAACAAGCTCAAGCACACCAACAACCCCGTATTTTCGGGCAATACCAAGTCAGTCCTCATCACGGATCGCAAGAAAGCTAGGATCGGATTGGCGATTAAAGATAATCGCGACCTTGCCGCCGATCCAATCTTGGGCACTTTCCAAATCAAACTGGACGATATGCTCAAACTTGTAGACAAAGGACAGGAGTGGTTCACTTTGCACGGGACGACGACCGGAAAAGCAAAGATGATGCTCGACTGGAAACCGGTTGCATTGAAGGGCGCCACTGGATCTGGCGGCTACATCACCCCGGTTGGTGTAATGCGCATTCACATTCAAAGTGCAAAGAACCTTCGGAATTATGAGACAATGGGCAAATCGGACCCATATGCCAGGGTCTTGCTGTCAAGTATCCCCAAGGGTCGGACAGTAACATATCAGAACGAACTCAATCCTACTTGGGATGAGGTCATATATGTTCCGATGCACACACCTTCTGAGCGGCTGATACTTGAGGTAATGGACGAAGAAAAGCTTGGAAAAGACCGTTCTCTGGGCTTGGTCCAAATTGCTGCTTCAGACTACATGAAAGAGGCCGAGGAAGGTGGATACGAAGTCCATGACACCAAGACCGTACTGTCTGAAGGGTTGCGGATGGGAGGTGCAGGCGAAGCGAAGGGCACCATCAACTACAGCGTTTCATTTTTTCCGACTTTGAGTGTGATAGATCCAGAAGATGAAGAGGAAGAGCAAAATGCCCAAGCAGCACTTGAAGCGCCTGGAGCGCCCGCTGGAACACCAACCCACAGCAAGAAATCATCCGTTGATGTCAAGTCCTCAACTGAGATAGCAAGGCCTAATGTCGAAGGCCGGAAGAGCTTGGAAACTGCTGGCAGGCTTGGCGCTTTGACAAATGGAGCGGTGTCTATCAACAGCTCTATCGCTTCGGCCAGAAAGCAGGCACCCAAAATTAAGATCACTCCAGAGGATCTCCACAAATACGGTACGTCCCTTTATGCTATACGGTGGTCACGGCTAATTACGACTAGAATCTGGTCTCATCGTCTTCAACATCATCGAAGGACATTTTGCTCGAACTGACGTAAGGCTCGAGGTATTGATGGATGACCAGGCTTTCCCGGCTTATACGTCATCAAAAATTCGAGACCGAGACCACCACTTCGGTGAGACTGGCGATGCCATGGTTCGTGAAATTGAAATGTCTCGAATCACACTCCGGTTGACCGAAAAGGTCGACCGGACCGGCAAGGGAGACGAGGACGATATCATTGCTAAGTTGACTGGCCCTACTCTCCCGACTTTACAACAGTCCTTGTACAAGCCCACCGAACTTACAATGAGGAGCAACAATGGGGCTATAAGCAAAGTGGTGGTCAGCCTCAAATATCTGCCGGTAAAAATGCAACTTGATCCCAGCGAGAGCATCAACAACATGGGCACTCTCCGAGTCGACGTGATGGATGCGGCCGATCTTCCGTCGGCCGATCGTAATGGCTACAGTGATCCGTACTGCAAATTCAGGTTGAATGGTAAAGAAGTGTACAAGACCAAGATTCAGAAGAAGACACTCCATCCTGCCTGGAACGAATTTTTTGAGGTGCAGATTCCATCTCGCACGGCAGCCGATTTCAAGGTGGACGTTATGGATTGGGATTTTGGTGACAAAGCCGACCATTTGGGCTCTGCAACACTGAACTTGCAAGTTCTGGAACCTTTCCAACCACAAGAGCTCTCTTATGCGCTTGACGGAAAGTCGGGGGTTCTTCGGCTTAGAATGTTATTCAAGCCCGACTACGTTACTCGGGTGCGACAAGGGACATCGACCTTCTCAGGCACCTTTGCGCCCGCAGGAAAGGTGATTGGTGCCCCCGTCAGAGGTGTCGGTAAGGTGGGCGGCGGTGTGGTGAAGGGAGCTTCATTCATCAAACACGGCTTGACTAGAGGGCGAAGCAGCAAGGAAGATGCAGCCTCAACTACCACCAACGGAATGCTGGAGACTGCGGACACCGCCCTGACGCCAACGATGACCCCGGCCAAAGCCTCTCCCCTGGTCGACGGAAGCGCGACTCCTGTGACCCCACTCACGCCATCACCTATGATGCACTCGCGCAGCAAGAGCAATTACTCGACCATAACGGCTCACAAAGGGGGTGAGACGGGAACAGCCAGTTTCATTGTCGTCTCGGCCACCGGATACCCTCCTAAAGCCGATGTTCAGGTTGTCATCAAGATGGTAGGATCCAAAGGGGCCAAAGACGTGCACAAGACCAAGGCCATCAGGTCATCCTCAGGGACAGTGGAATATGACGCGAACCACGAAAATTTCAAGGTGCCGTGCTCGGCGGACACACAGTTTCAGGTGCAGGTGCGAGATCACGACATGCTCCGATCCAAAGACCTCGGCGAGGCCCTGTTCTTTGTGTCTGACCAGGGCGGGGGATCTGATCAAGTGGTCAAGGCCGGGTCAGGCACGGTCACGATCCGCAGCAGTTTCGCAGCTAGCAACGGAGTTGCGTCCGAAAACCTGAGGCCAGTTACGAGCGGCGGACGGGACAGCCCGGACTCGAAGCGAGACGCACGACGAAGTTTCTTTTCGAGGAGAGATGTCAGTGGCAAACATGAGGGATCCTGAATAGATCAGGGAAGTGGTTGGCGAGGCGTCTGAATTATCGTGTTTCAGCGTGGGAGCGGTCTTTTGGAAGGGGAACGAGGCAAGGCGGCCGAGCAAAGATGGTTCTTGAAAGCCGTATGCCCAGTAAGCCGGCCAATTCCTTGTGCGTCTCCCTAGATTATTTCTTGTGCTTGATTCAGAGATACCAGATATTGTTTTTAATTCCGCGGCTCACAGCCTGCAAGGACCGGGTGGGCCACTGATCAAAGGCTCAAGAAAGGAAAACAGTGCACAAAACGGAGGTATATCAACGGAATACGATGCATGTTTCAAGATGGTCAATATCATTGCTTCCCGGTGTGCTTTCTCTTGGCCTGCTCTTTGCATGCGCAGTCCTTGCGACCTGTGCCCACGTTATGCGGTCCCAGAAGATGGAGGTTTCAGTTTCATTTGTACAGTTGTGCACACGTGCGCACGCACACGCCATGTTATGAGTAGCTGCAGGGCTGGCCAAGGAAAGGGGATCCGAAGTCGCACGTCGACCAACAATTGACAACGATTGGCGGGCGATCTGTTTCTTGGAGGCAAATTTATCGGCGAAGTCCCTGACTGCAGCGGAAAGAGAATCCTCGATGGCACTCAATGAAGCTAACCACCACATGAAAGAGCATCAGACGCCAACATGGATCAAGCTGCTGGGCTCATCTTTTGGGAAAACGGATCCAGTCTGTTCTGTCCTCGTACTGAGGCAGTCGTGTTTTTTTTGTTTTTTTTTTGGGTTTTTTTTGGGGGGGGGGGAGGGGAGGGGTTTCTTCTCTTTTACTTTTTTCTCCCCAGCAGGTATTATTGATGGATCTGGATCTCAAAAGGAGAAATTCGTCTGAAGGATGGAGGCGCAGGCAGGAAAAGAGGCAGTCCGGCGAAACTCGCAATTTTGGCGGTCCCTCTAGACCAGAGTAGGCGAAGATATGGGAGGTGTGGCGTCGTGATCGGAGCTTTTGGCTGTGGCGGACTCGGGGGGAGCAGAGAGGGGCAGACGTGGGCGGTCAGAGTTTTGGTGGGATGACAGACGGGGGGGGATGGATTGTCGTCTAGATCGTCGCAGGGCTAGGAGCGACGGGAAAATGACGCTTCTCGATCAATCGATCCTACCTTGATAGAGGGTCAGAGCCCAACAAAATCGGGGGTTGTTGGAGGGAGGTAGATAGATAGAAGTGCATATATTTACAAGGTAGACGACGAGGAGGAAGAGTAGCGAGAGGGAGACGGTACTCAGCTCTCCGTACCGCAGCGTCCACGTCGACCACACAGACAGATTTTGACAACGAGTTGACTCGGTGAGTGGTGAATCCTGACCGCCAGATGAACCATCCAGGCCCATCCAGTCCATCCAGTCCATTCCCAATTGCTACCTACCTACCCAGTACCTACTCCCGCGCTGTCCTCTGGTTTCCTCTGCATGGAGCCCAAAAGCAGCCCACACACCCACTTTTGGAGCTTCTCACCCGCTGGTTATCATTTGCTGCGTTGCTCCCATCCAGCTGCACGACTACATCACGCCTGGTCAGGGTCTTGTCTATCCACACCTGTCCACACCAAGGGCTCGCCCACAGCACATGCGGGTGATGAAATGTCTGGGTCGCCTTGACCGTCTGTTGTGCCAGAGGAGCCATGGGGGCCATGGGAGCCATAGGTTGCCAGAGCTCTCGCTAAAGCTTGCTGTTTGCATTTTTACCTCCTACTTATCCCACCTTCTCCAAGTTTTGCATCACCGCTCTGCTCGACTTTTTTTCCTCCCTTCTCTTCACTTTGTCCTCATCTTGACTTCAGATCCATCAACTTGTGGCTAATTTGTCTGCAGAGCTCAAGAAGAAGCTCTCGGTCCCTTCCCAGATTGATCTGAGACTGTCTCCAGATCAAATCTCGTTTCTCCACCTGGTTTCATCTCGTCTCCCACGGCACAGCAGGAGAAGTGAGAACGACAGCGACAGCGACCACTACGGCCACAGCTATGGCCTCCAAAGCAATCCCATCTCATCTCCGGCCCCACGGTGCTTCTGCCAACGGCTCCAACGGCCCAGCCCCAGCGGAAAAGAGACATCACGGCAAGACACAGTCTCATGTGGTGAGCAACACATTTCTTGATTGCTGCTCCTGCGCTTCGTATCACTTCACTTCCAGCCAATGTCGGACATGCAAATAACACTTCTCCTTCCCATGACGCACGGACCTTCTCTCGCAGCCCCCGGAAACCCGTTTTCGGTCGCCCGCCGACTCGTCTGCAAAATAAATCCTGCGAGATCACGGTGCTGGCTCTTCTGGTCCATGGTGAAATGAGACGTCAAACACTGTTTTGGACTCGTCATCTCAATACGTGGCGCACCTTGCCGGGACCAGCTGCCCTTTATAGTCCCCTTGAACCGTTCTCTGCTCGTGCCACTTTTCCTTTTGGACTTCTGCGCCTTCCCTTGTTCAAAATGCCGCTACTGGAACCTCCTGCGCCAATTGAGTTGCTCACCTCTTTTCTTTCTCCCACCCACACCCACCATCAGTCAGAGCCGCTGCTAATCAAATCCCCCGCCATGCAGGCCTTTGAGAACACCTCGACCAATGTGGCTGCCAGCCAAATGCGCAATGCCCTCAACAACCTTGCAGACACGCTGAAAGACCCGGCCGAAAAGAAGAGATTCGAGGCAGAAATGGACAACTTTTTCTCCCTGTTCAGAAGATACCTCAATGACCGAGCCAAGGGCAACACCATTGACTGGGCAAAAATCAATCCCCCCAATCCCGATCAGGTCGTGGCCTACGACGAGCTCCCCAACAGTGACGCAGTCGAGTTCTTGAACAAGCTCGCAGTCGTCAAGCTCAATGGTGGTCTGGGTACGTCGATGGGCTGCGTCGGCCCCAAATCCGTGATTGAGGTCAGAGATGGCATGTCCTTCCTCGATCTTTCGGTGCGCCAGATCGAGTACCTCAACCGCACCTACGACGTGAACGTCCCATTTGTTTTGATGAACAGCTTCAACACCGACGAAGACACTGCATCCATCATCAAGAAATACGAAGGCCATAACATTGACATCCTCACTTTCAACCAATCTCGATACCCCCGTGTGTTGAAGGACTCCCTGCTGCCGGCACCCAAATCATATGACTCTCAATTGTCCGACTGGTATCCTCCGGGCCACGGTGACGTCTTTGAGAGTCTCTACAACAGTGGCATTCTTGACCAGCTCCTGGACCGCGGTATTGAGATTATTTTCTTGTCCAATGCCGACAACCTGGGCGCCGTGGTGGATCTACGCATCTTGCAGCACATGGTCGAGACCAAGGCTGAGTACATTATGGAGTTGACCGACAAGACCAAGGCCGACGTCAAGGGCGGTACCATCATCGACTACGAGGGCCGCGCACGACTCCTGGAAATTGCCCAAGTGCCCAAGCAATATGTCAACGAGTTCAAGTCGATCAAAAAGTTCAAGTACTTCAACACCAACAACATCTGGATGAACCTGCGCGCGGTCAAGCGCGTGGTAGAAAACAACGAGTTGGAAATGGAAATCATCCCCAACGAGAAGTCAATTCCGGCCGATAAGAAGGGCGAGGCTGACATTTCCATCATCCAACTCGAGACTGCTGTCGGTGCGGCGATCAAGCACTTCAAAAACTCGCACGGCGTCAATGTTCCGCGACGACGGTTTTTGCCGGTCAAGACTTGCTCGGATCTGATGTTGGTCAAATCTAACCTGTACACTTTGTCGCATGGCCAGTTGGTCATGGACCCCAACCGATTCGGGCCTGCACCATTGATCAAATTGGGCAGCGATTTCAAAAAGGTTGCGCAGTTCCAGAAGAGGATTAGCAGCATTCCCAACATTGTCGAGCTCGATCATTTGACCGTTACTGGCGATGTCAACTTTGGCCGTGGAATCGTACTCAAGGGTGAGATCTCTATACACTACGGGCATTTTTGATCGACTTGGCATTACTGACTGGTTTGACCTACAGGAACCGTCATCATTGTGGCTACCGAGAACAGCACTATCGACATTCCACCGGGTTCGATCCTGGAGAACGTGGTGGTGCAGGGATCGTTGAGACTGCTTGAGCACTAAATGAGTGTTGCGTGTCGGCGTGCATTTTTCTACGGTGCAAGATGTTGCATTGGACTACCATCATGCTTCGACAATATGTACAATGACATAGCGATTGTGGGGTTTGGATGGTGAGGGGCGATGCTTAGACGAGAGATGATCTCATCCTCCTACTTCCCAAGAGGGCAGGACGGAATTCTTTAGCAGAAAGCAGAAACAGAATGATTGGGGGCCAATGGTTCGGCAGGTAGCTTCGTAACTCATACCAGTGGCAGGGTAGTATCATGGCATTGATTCATGGAAGGAGACTGTAGGGAGTGTTCTTTGTGTGCTAGACTGGGGACGAGGTACTAATCGGTAATTCACAACAAAAAGACAGCGAGAGCATTGAAATATAAACAGTGTGATGTCATTGGATTTTTCAGATGTGTGGGGGGTTGACTGGTGGCCGTCCTTTTTTCTCCGGAGCGTGTTTCTCCGCGTCAATGATCAAGCCCCGGATAAACCACGTCGCTCCGATTTTTCCGTGGGGTCTTTTTCTCCGGGACGAGGCGGCACTCACTGAACATGAGGGATACTTGGTTTATTGTTATGTAGAGGCGGAAGTGAATCCTCGTTCCCTTCTTTTCTCCCGCCTGTTCAGGGGGGATGCTCATCTTGGTATCTTCTTTGTCCCCAACGAAAATTGTCGGACTGCGTTTTTTTTCTCATCTCATCTGTCTGAAGCAAAGGGCCTGGGCCGTCGCTGACACCAAAACCAGGCGAGCCACAGAGAGGAAACGGAAGATAAAAAGTATTGGTGAGAAAAGGAGAAAGAGAGAACCCCCCCCCCTCACGCGAAGGAGGAAGGGAGAAAAAGCGAGTGGTATCAAAAAAAAACAAGGGAGGTGAACAGGTCAGGTACGGTAGAGTGAGTAAAGAAAGAAAGGCAAGGAAGGAACGCTGAGGAGAAGACATAGTATTGAGAAGAGAGGGAAGAGAGAGACAGGGGGACGACGAAAAGGGGGATACAAGACACACCGGGACGCGGCCATATCGTTGATAAACAACACTACGCCATACGCCACACACGACACCTTAAGTGACTACACTCAACAACACTAACTACTACGCGCACGGTCGAACTCCAGGAAAGAGAAGGGCCTCTGGAGCGGTGTTCTGAAACGGGAATACCGACCGACTATCTTTGTCGGTTCTTTGGTTATCAGGTCGGTCGACTGGCCGGGGGGGGGGTTTCGTGAGTGAAAAAGACTTTGAGACGGCACCAGCATCGCCACTACCACCGCCGCCGGGAAAGCAAGCGAGTGGGCCAAAAGCGTGAGCAAAAGAGCGAGCGAGCAAAACACGTCCTCGACACCGGCGTCACACACCACCGGCGCCGCGCCCGCGCAACAAGAAACCCCTCTCTCCCGACGCAATGACAGCCACAGCCACCGACCGGGAAGAGGGAACGGGGACGGGGACAGGAACATTCACGCTCCTCCTCTTCGCCGCAGCGAGCACCTTCACAGGCGGTCTGGAGACGCTGCACCTGCGCGCGCCCACGACCCTGCGCGACCTCTTCCGCACTCTCGAGACGCGCTTCCCCGGCATAAGCCACGCCGTGCTCCGCAGCGCGGCGGTGACGGTGAATTTGGAGTATGTCGATTTCGACCCCGACGAGGTCGAGGGCGGTGATGAGAGAGATGGGGAACGGGCAAGTGGAGGGGGAGAAGGATTGGGTCTGGTGATTAATCCTGGCGATGAGGTCGGGATAATCCCACCTGTGAGCAGTGGTTAGGTACTAGGTAGCTTGGTACATACACACCCAGGATGGGTAGGTGCATGATTCACGAATAGAGAGGATTCTTTCAGAGCCAGGATTCCACGAAGGGAACAGGACGTGTAATAATCCGGAGAAAATCAACGAGACAGAATTCAGATGAAAAGAGAAAGCAAGCAAGCTGGTTTCTTTCCCGTAGTACATACATCTGGGTACATACACGTTCGACGTTCAAAAACCAATTCGCGCAACAATTTCCTCTCAAAACAAAACAAAACAAAACAGGTCAGAGCGGATTTTAGTGATTCGAGGGAGAATGATGGGAAAGAATGAAAATTCTTGATGGCTGTATTCAGTGTATTGTATCGCCTATGATTCTGCGTTCCCCGCTTGGCATCTATCTACGTATCTCTAGAGGGCTCACTAGGCATATACATGGCCATCCCATACCACCTATTTTGCCGATAGTATGAGTAACAGGTCCTCAGCCTGGCTGGTCTTGACATTGATCCATATTCTTCTTTACGGGCTCAAACAGTAAATTCTCGGTCCTACATAGTTTCCCTTCAGACCTCCCGTTCAATTCTCACACCTCAGTCAATGATGATGAAAACACCATCTTCCTCTCCAGGGTCAGATTGTTCTTTCTGAGACTCGCCATTTCCTTCTTCAAGACTAAGCTCCGAATCGTCATCCGAACAAACTGTTATGTTGCGGCGGCGACGCTGCTCAATCTCTGACTCAAGGCATCCCCAGCACACCTCTTCGTTGTTCAATATGCATACCCTGCGCGCACCCACCGTCTGCGCTGCTATGCAGGTCGCAGCCAACCTGGCTGGCCAGTTTCTGTGTGCCCTGAGTATGCCAATAGTATCTGGAGGGTCCAACAGCTCCTCGAAGTTGTCGATACTGGTGGACTCCTCCTGGAGTCGCGACTGTCTGTCCTCGCACGAGCAACAATTCCTTGTACGGGAAAGTACGTCTTGGTAGTCAAGAGCTCTGAGTACGTCGATGTCTCCATACCAGCGCCCTCTGTCGTGTACTGACACAACCGCTTCGAGCTGGAAGATATCCTGGTCGATATTGCCGACAATCTTGCTAGGGACACCAATGGGTACCTTCCATTCCGTCAGCGAAAGGTGCAGCGAAGTCCCACGAAAGTTGTCTTCTCGTCTGTAATCGTAAGGGGCATGTGCTACTGCTCGAAAGTCTCTTGTCTTCTCCTTGACCATCGCAGTGTGTGGACTGACCAGAACAGAAACCCCAGGTCGGCCAAGATTGCCGACGATCCTCCGGATCGCATACCCAGGCAGCCGTCGTGACGGATCTGAAAGGAGCGATTCTGCGACGAAAATGGAGTTTCCTGCCGCTATTGCAAAGGCACGATCGAATAAGGAAGTGCCCATTGGGACGCCTCCCGCTTCCATCATGCAAATTCCAGCCAGAGCATTCCTTCTTGAGATCTCGTTCAAATAACAAAACCTCCAATTTATATCGTCCTGAACAAGTGTGTGCTCGAGGAAATCGAATTGCTTCTCCGCGATTTTGATGGGAAACGTCGCAGAAGGGAACTGTGCATAAAGCTGCGACATCACCGCTAAGCAATGAAGAGATCTGATGGTGGTGTATGCGACTGGTCGGTATTGCTCTTGCCTATAGAATATCTTTCTTCTCCTTCCAAAAGACGTCAAGTCTGAAATGTCAGTTCTAGAACTCCCCGCTACAACGCACAGCGCACTCACCGGGAAACGCCAAATCCAACCCATACAACTGCTTCAAATAATAAGCGACTCTGCCCTCAGGAAAATTTTCTAGTCGAACGTTTTGCAAGGTCTCTTCCAGATTCAGAGAAGCCATGTTCGACCTTTGTAGCATGGCGAAGGCTTCGAACTGCTGTTCGAAAACTATGTCATTCTCACTAGCGGCAAAGAGGCCGATTTCTCGCTGATTGACACCAGCCCGCCATATTGGACCAAAAAGGAGAGCTCCCGTATGCTTTTTACAGGCGTCCGGATATTTCTGGCCGTCATTTGAAGGGTCGTCTACTTCAGACGTTGCATGAGACCTTTTTACAACGGCGGGCCGATACTGCGCAGCACCTCCCTCCCCAGAGCAATCTTCCTCGACGGCGCCAGCTGGGTGGGGAAGGGAAGGAGGGTCATACCAATAGAATGAGGAGAGGGGACTATCCTTCAACAAGGAATGCTTGTCTGTGAGAACACGGTAGTTTTGTGGGAGAATGGAACCGACAACTTCCGAAGGCGATGCTTGCTGAATATTTAATTTTCGTCTAAATTCCGTCACATGTCTCGCAAAGGGTGTAACAACCCACCGTGCATGGAACTTTTGCGGTTTACGTCCGTCAGTTGTAGCGCGTTGATCCGACGGCCAGGTGTAGGGAGTGGCGGTAGCTAAAACAACCACCTCCGTGTCTGCAATTGTCTCGCAGTACCGAATGACGGAGAATGTTACAAAGCAGGCGCTTTCTGCTACTGATCGGAGATATTGAAGGTATTCTTCTAACCCAGAAGGTGTTGCCAGACCGCGCGCAACGTACGGAATGCATAGCCCGAAGAAAGGTCTGTTCTTTTCAAATTCCATCAGAGGATCTCCGAGAAGGTATTTGCAGCGCCTGCGACCGTAACGAACGAGTTTCTCATAGTCCGCAGATTCATTCTCCGACCGGTTCACCAGCAGGCTTGATGCCCTTACCAGAGGTTCTAACCAGATGAAGAACCCTTCATACTCGGCCAATGGCATATCGCTATAATGTCTGTGCAGCAGACTGTCGACGGCACAAAACCAGGAGGCAAGGTCATTTATGATGCTGATTGGCAGATGCCAGTGCGCAAGTAAAGATCCAAACGCAATAAGGCAAAGTTCGTCCATCGTGATCCGGTAGTTGTCATGATCCGTCTGAACACTGACCGGCTCACCATAGTATCTGAGGTGAGAAAGAGCCAGAGACCATTGAAACCCTGGAGATGCTTGACCGGTATCTTTGAGCGATAAACCCCACGGTCATCGCGACAGAGGGAGGAAATAATGGGTCCTGGAAGATCACCTTTTTGGTCTCTGAGGACAGGACGATGAGATCAGGGTACAGGTGCCAGGATGATAAAGCCAGCAAGACGGAGCTGTCGGTAGCATTCTGCGGTCTCCCTTCTAGTAGAGCTTCGAAACCTTTGATTGCTCCATCCCAGGCATTGATGATCTTTGCGTATGTGTCTTTGCCAACGCTGACCGGTAGAGTAGTAAGGTTGTCCAAGATCAGGGTAAGTTGCTTCAATTTTTTGACCATTACCTGATCAGCGGTGATGAGCCAAGCACGGACACTTGCATCGAAGGTGGCCAAGTCTTCGCGTAATATCCTTTGGTGAGCTGCAACAACTGTCTCGTTCATGGCGAATCCCGTTGATTGCGCGGTCGCGAGCACTTCCTTCTGGCGGATTGCCACTATTTCTACCCAAAGGGCGACGCTCAGTTTGGGATCGTCGAACTTTCTAGCCAACAAGCATGCCAACAGCAACACTGCAAGTGATGCAGAGCCAGACGTCGCAGCTGCCCAGATAGAGGTTGCATCTGCGCCGACAGAATCTTTGAACGGACCGTCTTCGGGAGTACCCGTGGGATTCGCATCAGGAGAATTGATGATCTCTGAGACTCTTTGACCGAAAGCTTGAAGGAGCTTTGGAGCATTTGGGGCGATTTGAGAGAACAATGCACCGAGCAAACGAGCGGTCTGATGGTGAGACCCCACCTCAGCTGTTTGTCTTCGCTGAAGTGACAGCGCAGAACCAAGAGGATGGAACTCTGCGGGTGCCTCAAGCTTGACCAGAGAAAATCCCAGGTTCAGATTGGCCAGGGAAAAGGAGTTTTCGTTAGTTCCAGATACCACAGCATTAGTCACTTTTCCAAATATGTGAGACATTTCGACTGCTATGGAGAAGTTTCCGTCGTCGTGTGCCTTCAGGAGATGAGGAAGCCATCTTCATGAGAGAAGAAAGGTACGCTGTGAGGCTGAATGGAGTCAATCAGGCAGCATGCCACGTTGGCAGACCGTTGGCACACACGTGCATTGCAAGGCGGAGTTGCTGGGCGTTTGAGGCTGGAACAATGCAAACAGCGGGCAAGCAGCTATTTGGCTGCATCGGACCAGGGGCGCTGCAGAAGGTCATGCTGGTCGCGCCTCCTTCTCGTCGTCGGTTGTCCGTGAAGACGAATCAGGCGCGCAGAACTTTTCGGCACGGCTCTTGGGCTGAGGGGGGGATCGATGCCCACAGCCTGACTTTTCGACAGGTGTCCATGGCAGGGTCTAGTACGGGCGAGTCCGGTAAAGACAAGCAGATACGAGATGAAATGCAGGAAGCATGTAAATATTGATGAGGGACTGGTCTGGACGGGTGAGGGAGATATTAAAAAGAGTGCAAAGCGACCAAATAGGCAGGTTCCACGGCGTCACACGTGACCGTGTTCGTCGTTCCCTTTGGCCAGGGCGACGGTGTATGCTGGAGGGAAGAAATCAAATAAAGGCATCCTGGATGAATGTATCCGAGGATGGAGATGCACAGGCAATTGAACGGGGAAGATATGATCGCTGGATGATGGAATCAGCAGAGTAACTGGGTACCATTAGGCCCTCCGGGTCATCTCATCGCCTGCGCCTCGAATGCGAGCCGACGATGAACACGACGCAGGTACGCGACACGCACTCAAGGGCTCCACGGCCTCATTCCTATCACTGACCCTATCAAAACCTGTGTTACGAAATCACAGTCGAAGCAAGAGATCCTCACTCTCCACAGCCCCCTCTTGTGGCATTGACCCGATTCGCAATCTTGCCGGTGAGTCCATTAATGATTAAGCTGATGCTGATGACGACCACAGTCAACGCATACCCTCTTCGCAATCATGTATATAACCCTCCATAAGTCTCGTCCAGTGGGATCAGCTCGTTCAACCCGGTTCCCGCATCACCCCAAGTCGGCTGACTGACTGACTGACTGACTGCAAACGAGAGTCATCTGGCATTTTCAACGACAGCACGCTCAGGTGTGACATCTCGTCCCATCATGGCACACGCTCTCTCCAGAGAAGTAAAGTCGCTGTTCAAATCCTTCCGTTCTCCCGCTCCTGAATCTCTCCATCGCCCTGATGCCGTGTTGAAGCAGGCCGACATCACTGGCAACACCACAGAGAGCTTTTCTGCTGCTCAATCACCAACCTCGTTGGAGCAACCCGTCCTCATCGAACTCTTCCAGTCCCAAGGCTGCAATTCCTGCCCTCCCACCAACGACAACCTCATCTCTTTCGTGCAATCCCATCAGTCCTCACAACAATCTCCATCTCCGCTACGTTTTTACGCCAGCCGATCCCTGTCTTCTTCCCCAACCACCGTCTCAAATTCGTCTCCCGGACCCGAGTACTTGTTGCTCACGTACCAAGTAACGTATTGGAACTATCTCGGCTGGGAAGACACTTTCAGCTTACCCATCAACGACGTCCGGCAGCGAGAATATGTGAGAAGGATGGGTTTGCGCGGGGCGTACACTCCGATGGTGGTGGTGAATGGGCGAGGCGTCGGCGTGGGTAACACTAGGGGAGATTTCGAGCGGATTCTACGGGACGGACAAAAGTCCGGGGGTGAGACGGAGAAGGTGAGTATCAAGGGTCTGTTAGAAGGGGACGAAGGCGGAGAGCTGGTACTCGAGATTGACGCGACGAACCTCCCACCGTCATACTCGCAATCTGCTGCCCAACAAATCGAGGTATGGGAAATAGCATACACCCCCATATCGCAAGATGTACATATCCCGCGCGGCGAGAATGCAGGTCGCACACTCCCACATCTCAACGTCGTCAGGGACGTGCGAAGACTGGGATCCCTTGAGCGTGGGACAAAGGCGCATTTCCAGATCCCACGGCATAGTGATAGACGGGCAAGCTTTGGGCAGGGGAAGGTGGTGATCGTGCAGGACGGCAAGGGCGGTGGGATCTGTGGTCTTTTGAGAATGTGAATCGCTAGAACTTTTAATGCGGCTCGGTTAATGAGATTTGACCTAGACCTGTTGAGCTTTTCGGTTCGTGATGCTTCTTGATCAACCTGCATCGATCTCGACTCCGGGGGTCCTACCGCTGCTCATGACCTTAAAACGCGCCTGTAAGCCTCCATATTGAGAAATGGGTCGTCACGGGTCCATCAAGCGCCAGCCTTGATGTCCCTGCTGTCACCCGACTCATTTCCAACAGATGACCTCTCCCTGAACCGCGACATACCACGCCTCGGGACTGTCTCCCCAGGCTTTCAAGCCGGCGGCCATGGCATCGATCTCGGCCTGGTTGTGCACGATCTTCAGCTCTTCCAACCACTTCCGCCCGATCTCCCCTTGGAGCCGCTCGACCTGGATGTTCGCCCACCATCTCGACTCGTCGGGCGCCGGGTGGCAGGTCGCGCCGGCGCGGACCTGCATCTTCGACCGCTCGAACCCGGCCTGTTGCGCCCAGAGGTGAATCCGTCGCCCGGACCCGATGCCCTGGGCACCCGGGGAAACTGCCCTGGCCATAGTTGCCGTGAACGCTTCGGTCCCGGCGTTGGCCGGGTGGTAAATCAGCGTGTCCGTCTCGCGCATGGCGAGCATGCCGCCTGGTTTCAGCACCCGGAGGGCTTCCTTTATGACGCGCACGGGCGCGGGGATGTGGTAGAGCACCTGGCTGGTGTAGACGACGTCGACAGAGTTGTCGTCCAGCGGCAGTCGGGCCGTGATGTCTCCCACGCAGAACCTGAGGTTAGGATACTCTTTCTCCGAGGCGCCGGCGCGGGCGAGCTCGATGACCGACTCTGCGGCGTCAATCCCAATCACCGACCCGTCGGCCACATGGGGACAAAAGCCCTTCGTGATCGTCCCCGGGCCGCATCCCAGATCCACAACCGTGAAATGCGGCTTGAGATGAGGAAGCAGGAACGCTGCAGAGTTTTCCACCGTACGCGACGCGTGTGATGCCACCACGGCCGCGCTGTGGCCTTGAGTGTAGGTCGAGGCTGAAGATAGGGGCTTTGGGTTCATGGTCGGGAATTTGATGCTCGTATTTGTGGAGGAGAGACGATACCGGGCGGATTCTCTTTTCTCAGGCCTCAAGGTCACTCACCCGCTGCCCTACGGGATCCAAGACGAATATCACTCTCAAATTTGCGATCCTTGCGATGGTTAGGTTTAGGAATGAGTCGTGAAGAGGAGCCTGCAAAGGGAGGCCGCGGCGTCCCGACCGTCCTCGATATACTACCCGTAATTTTGGGGGAGGAAATCCTGCGGGGAGGCCTATCTGATTGCGGAGCAGCCTCGTACAGTAGCGCAGAAGCGGGCACACCTGGCAGGTTATAGTATAACAAGAAATGTTTGTAGGGAAAATGTCTGTCTGACTGTCCGTGGACGCTGCTTCGTGACGGTGGAATCGGGGGATATGGGATCCAAACATAGAATTTTCGTGGTCGGAGATCGGCACAGGATTGACTTTTAACCATTCAATATCAAGTCGGGGCCCTAAACAAAATTCACTTCGCATTGGACAAATATGCAGGATATCCTTATGCACCATCGTCCTCTATCTTCAGAGCCGCTTTGACGCATGGCAGAATGTACATTTTGGAGTTCAAGCTCGGCCAAAGAATTCGCAAAATGTACAGTCCAGGAAATGCTCTAGCCAGATCATGCCGTGCAATTCATTATTAGTCCGTCAAGAAACATGCAAAAGCAATGCTTTCATCGATCATTTCAAATCGCCCTGAAGATGTGGGGAACCATGGGTACAAGGGAAATGAACACCCCTCCTAAGCTTGTGTAATACCCCTCTCTTCCTCTGCCTGAAATCCTAGATGTGCATTGCAATTGACTCGTCTTCTACGACCTTGGAATATCAAACGCCTGCCCATCTCCCGTCTTCTCTGCACATGAGCTCCTTTCTCTCCCTTGCGTCTTGCGTCGTTTACATGCCAAGGCCGAGAGCACGGGCCCTGAGGGCAGCGGAGCTAGCCACGCTGGGAGGGTTGATGGCGCACTGCCGACCGAAAGATTGGAGCCATGCGCCGTTGTCGAACTCAGCGTAGTTCTTCTGGATCTTGCCGTCGCTGTCGATGATCATGTAGTTGATACCGTTGACAGGGAGTGCGGTCGACGTGATTCTCCATCTCCAGGTGATGGAGTTGCAGTCATGCCAGATGTTAAGAACAGTAACAGCAACCTCAGGCTGGAGAACACCCTGGCCGTAGTCGAAAGCTTGCTTGCTGGGGAAAGTAACTGAGCCAAGCTACACACAAATTTGTTAGTGAGAGAACAAGAACGCAATACAAGCTGAAAACTTACAGGGAAGCCAGCCATGAAGTTGATCGAGTCGGAGATATCGCTGAAATCGGATGCCAAAGTCGCATCTGAGACATTCTGTTGGTAGCCACGGCCAGGTGGTCCCTGGGTGCCGTTGTACGAGGTGTACTCGAGCAAGATCACAAAGTTGTTGACGAGGGTAGTGGCCAAAGCATCATCCACATTGCAAGACGAAGGGATACCCGGACTGGTGCCGCTGGGGGCAGAAGTAACGGTGGCAGTATTAGTGACGGTGACCGTGGTGGCTGTTGCCACGTTGTTGGTGATGGTGACGGTAGTCGCAGTGACGTCGCCGGCGTACACGGTCTTGGTGGTCTCAGAGCAGGTGCTGCCAGGCTTCGTGACGGTCATCGCCGCGGGGCACGAGCTGTAAGTGGGGATGGTCTTGATAGAGGTCTGAGTCACAGTTGTGGCGGTGACAGCTGGGCAAGTGCTGCCGCTCACGACAGTAGTTGTGCCGGTGACGGTGCTGTACAAGGTCGAGGCTGTGCAGCTTGAGCCGGAGGCACCGGTGGGCTTAACCCAAATTGTTTTTGTGGTGGTGGTTGGTGCCACTGTGGTAGTCTTCACCTCGGTATAGCCAAAGCATGAGCACGCGCTGGTATAGGCAGCCTTGTCGCAAGCACTGGCATAGTTGGGAACTTCGTTCGGGCAAAGAGCAACGGTGGCGCGCTTCCAGTTGTCCTTTCCGTGTCCGGTGATGGTCTCAGTGACGGTGACGATGGGGGTCACTGTTGTAGCCAGGAAGCTGGAGCAGTGAGAGGCTCTGAGCGAACCATCTCCCAGGGCAGCCTTGCCCGTGACAGCAGCCAAGCAAGCGTTGTTGGCGCAAGATCCGCCATGGACAGGATTAGCGTAGACGCCGCCGGCCAAAGCAGCCAGCGGCAAGGCAACGGACAAGAATTGCATACTAGAGTATTTGAACGATGGCAAAGTGTTAAAAACGAGTGGAACAGGTCAAAGACCCTATCAAAGCAATAACGAGCTCAAAAAAAGAGTGGATGATTGAAAAGTCAATCGAAGTCGCGAGGTGTTGTAACGAGCTGGGAAAGAAAGAATAGAGGGTGTGGGCAAGAAAGAGACGGGAGAGGTACTTATGCTGAGCCCTGCCGTCGCGACTCGCGCTTTGGTGGAGTGGTCAACTAGGACGCTTTCGGCGCTCAATGACCCCAGCCAGCCACGAGGGCGGCCTGAGACTCTGACCGCAGTGTGAAATCAGTAAGCTAATTTAACAAGCGAGTCTTTAGACGGGTGAGATATTCTGAAAAAGGAGGTGGTCCTAGGGAACACCAGTCCCGGGCGATGAAGCCGAGAGATCCAGGCTTCCGTGGGTAGCGCTGAGCCTTAGAACTTTGTGGAGGTGATGGAGCAAGATCCAATGGCAGCCTGCGACAGGCAAATTGCGGTTGAGGTTGACCAATGCATTGTCAGCCACGAGAAGGTAAGTAGTTTTACCTCCTGGTCATCCTGCTTCCTGTAGGATGGTGGGAGCTAGCTTGATCCGAGTTTACGCGTCGGGTCTCGACTGCGACGGGTACGTCAGAGTGCCATATGCAGAAATGCTTTTCTCTGTTGCAATTCATCCATCCCGGGCCAGGGGGTACCACCGACAATGGGTGGAGATATTTCAGGAGATGGAATCGGGGCTTGCCTGGATGGTGGACCGTCGGTTCGCGTGGCTCAAACAATACAGCCGCCAGGCCGAAACAGGAAATTCATAGGCCAATCACTGGTCGATCTTGGCGGCCATGCGGCTGAAAGCCATCGAAGCCTGCTCTGACCCCATGGCTTCGTCGCGCTGCCACCAGGATGCAGGCGGTCACTTGGCGTCTGTTTTCGGGCCAGGCTGTGTCGCCGCTGTTGCGATTGTGGCACATTCGATACATTCATGCTTATGTGCCGGGTAACTCCGTACTCCATACCGAGTGCCTGGTACAGCGTGTGGACTTTTCTAGATTTCAGCCCACCAACAGGTTGGATCAACGGTATCAGCGCCTCCACGTTCTCTTGTGCAACTCGACGCAGCCTTGCGGCATGTCAGCTATCTTCTCACCAGTCCGGTTGGCTGACGTGTTTGGCCTCCTCGTCGGCGATCCTCCAGTTTGATCACCGTCTCTGGCAGGTTTGCCTTTGTCATATTTATCCATTTCGGACGCGCATACCCAGTATGCGTGCGAGGATCAAGAATTTAACTGGGGAAACAGACGATCCAGACAGGGCAACCTCCCTCGCGGTCAGGGGTGGGGGAAATTGGCTGCTGGTACTGGGTAGAATGAGGGGAGCCAAACAGGGGTTGCGGTGTGTTTGGTGTGGCACCCCAAAAAGGCTAAGTAGAAGAGGGAATTTTGCCCACCCAAACCTCGTTTGTTTCAGAGCGACCTTTGCTGCAGCATATTTGCCATGGAACCTCCAAAGTCCTGAAATAGAAGGCCGATAGTTGCCATTCAAAGTTGCTCTAGGAGCATTTGATAGGTGAATCCGCAGTCAGCTGTGGCCGTCAAGGGTTGAATTTTCGCTCCGATGCCAGATAGAGGAGAAAGGAGATGTAGGGTTTTAGGTTTAGCGTCAAGCACCAAGCAGCGGCTAGAGTGCCAAGGCGAGATGCCAAGAAGATGCACTGGCCAACCATGTCACCCGGTCTTTTCCTTCGCAGATCCACAGGAACTTTTTTTTGCCGGTCCAATTTCCACCACAATCCGCTTCCCACAATCTCTTGGAAATCTCACCATCTTTCGACCAAGCCAAATGGTCGACCTTCTTCACAGCATGGTGCGCTTGGGCTTTTCGACAACAGGAAGCAGCCACACAGAAAAGTGATCAGTTTTCCCATCGCGTCATTTTAGTCCTCGCGCTCCCGGTGATGAGCTTCAGCCCTCCACCATCACATTTCAACCGACAGTCATAGGAGCCTTGTCCATCTACCCAGTACCGAGTGCTTGCATGCATATGGCTGGTGGCAGTGACGCTCCTGAAATGCCTGTTTTCAAAAATGAACTAGCTGCTCAGGTACCGCAGGTGCCAGTAATGCTCCATGGTAGGTCAAAATATGGATCTCTCGTTGCGATCCTCCTTGAGTCTTGGATGTTTCGTTTTCCAACCTGGGATGATGTAGTGCATGATTTACCGCAGCTCTATCAAAGACCGTCAGCATCCGCACTCCTTCATGTTTTAGATCTGCTTTCGGCAGGAGCGCCGAGCTTTTCACTTTCGGGGAACGCCAGCCGTCCCAAAGTAGCGGAACAGGGCGTTCCAAGATATCTCACATCCATTGTCTCGTCGAGCCTAGGTTGGATTGAGGACGAAAGCCTCAGAGATTCGATATGGAGCGCTGCAAGTGCGCGGCTAAGTGAACGTTCGGGAAGAAATGCAATGCCATCAATGACGCGGTCATTCGAGATTGTTGATGGCCTCACAGTTAATTTGCACGAGCCTAGCTTGACGGAAGACAATCTTGGGCTCAAAACCTGGACCTCCTCGGTCTTGCTGTCGCGTCGACTCCGACAATGCCGTAAATACATTCCCGAAGAAGTCACACAGGTGTTGGAGCTAGGTGCAGGGACTGGTCTTGTGGGAATCTCGGCTGCTTGCATATGGAAAACACACGTTGTTCTGACTGATCTGCCTGAGATCCTACCTAATCTTCGACGAAATCTTGATCAGAACCGGGACTTGATCACAGTGAGCGGCGGAAGCACTGAGTCCCGGGCACTTGACTGGGCTGATGGGATGGAAACGCCGCAACGCAACGAAGATAAATTTATGGTCATTGTTGCGGCTGATCCGATCTATTCAGTTGAACACCCAAAGCTGCTTGTGAATACTGTCAGCCGCTGGATTCGTGGCTTACCAGAGGCTAGGTTTATCGTTGAACTTCCGCTACGGGACGGCTACGACGAGGAAAGACAAAATTTGCGGGATTTGTTGCAACAGCACAGGTTCGAGTTGATTGTTGAAGGGACAGATCTTGGATTTGATGATTGGTACCAGCGAGATGGTAGCCCATTGGAGGTCATCTGTTGGTGGAGCATATGGGGACCCAACAGTCAAGTCTGACCTGAGCTGCTCAATGGCACAATGTATCCTGCATCACAAGCATTCCTGTTTCTTTTCCACTAGAATGCCTGGAAATCCTTTGGTGTCGCTCCGCACCTTGTTGCTCCTGCAACATACTCCCATCGGTACATGGTGATGGCTTCAAGCTGAATTGAACTTGTTCGAAATATTTGTATTGAGCTCCGCTCGGTTCATCTTAGGTTGAACCACGAATAGCCTTTTCCCTGGAGCGCCGTGACCGAGGTCGTAAGTGCCATCGCCATAGGCCTGCAAAAACGCTTGCGCATGTGGTATTCTGATCTTTTTAAGAAACGCCGATTGTTTTTAGGGTCGAAATATGATTTTGTTTCGTTATCTCATGGCTGGGTCTTGATTCGTCGTTCGGAAGGGTCGTATCTATTCGATACCTTGTCAGCCTGCCATTCGAGTAATCTTCTTTCCCATCGTCATCTTCGGCAAAGCAATATCTACAACATACTGTAGCAACTTCTCAATCAGATCGACGTGTGTCATCAGCATGCGCCGGCAGCAGTATCGTTTCGCGCCGACCTGATCCATCGCTTCACTATAACGTCAAAGAAACAAAAGGTTAGGCCGTATTCGGGAGAAAGAAGCCGAGATCAAAGATACTAACCCGTCAGGCATGCCACCCTCAAGCAATTTCATGTATCGTTCCCAAATGTCTGCGATGACCTGAAAGAAACGTTAGAATCAGTGGCGAGTCCTCAATACCTAAATTGGAGTCGACAGGTGTCATACCTTCCCGCAGGAGAAACACCGTATGGGAATAATCATTTTGGCCTTGGGCAGTACAGAAGGCACAGATTGACTCAAGGAGATGAAGTTGCGGCGAGGTCGATATGGCTGTTCTAGTCGTGGAGGACGCTCGCAGCCGATTTTCGAAAAGTCGCAGAAATTCTTTCTCCGCATTCTTATAAGCACGTGATTATATCGGCAAACCTTCCATTCACGTCATGCGGAGAAAAAAAGTTTCTGATTTGATCTCGCTACACATCGCAGACATTTGTGCATGCGTGCAACAATTTACTCGTCCGCAAACGTGGGTCTCAGCATGTCCCAGATTACAAAGCGCGACGCGGACACTGCCTTCGAAGGTAATCACAGTGGTAATTCACATTCACAAAAGCGCCTGAGAAGAAAAAGGACCGAGAAGCGCGAGGGTACAAATTTCCCATTGCCAAAAGCCACGCCGATACCCGCTGAGGTGAAAACGAACACTCCCAATTTCTCTCCAAAATCCGTTTTGAACAACAACGACGTTATCAGGCCAGAACCCAGGACTTCCAGCGATGGCAAGCTGAATGAGCAGACACCCGCGGAGAGTCCGGGCAAAGGACGAACTCCACAGCAGAAAAAAGGACAGCCGTCAAGGAAGCTGAAGGGACTTAATGCTGCATCGAACAGCAGAGGAAACGGAAAGCTGAACGATCGTACGACCGGCTCGGTAAAGCAAAAAGGGAAGGTTATACCGTTGAAATCAGAACAAAGCCATATACCGCCGCCCAAAAAATCCCATTCGAACTCGGAACCTTTAGTAAACGAGGTGGCTTCAGAGAGGAGAGCTGTGAAATTGTCAAAGAGACCCAGGAAGCGCAATGCGACCTCGCTTAAAACAAGAGGCGACAAGGATCCTGCGCCTTTCGAAGGTCAAAAGGCAGATCAATTGGTTGGAGAAGAGAACCCAAAACAGCTCGTTAAGGCAAAGCAGAGGATGCAGCTGGCCAAAAACAACAAGCAAAAATTCAAAGCTGTCGAGCAATCAAAGACGCAACATTCAAAGCAAAGCGGCAACCAATGGAGACTATCTTCCCGCAAGGGCGGCATGTTTATCGACCAAGATCCTCTTCTCACAGCTGATGACCAATTTTTGATCCTGGCGACGCCTTCTGAAATCCAAGTCTATTCGACCAAGACGTCTCTGTTGGTCAGGAGCTTCCGGGTTGATCTCAGATCCCATATAACTAGCTGCTCTCTGTCGAAGGCTGACCCGAAGAAGTTGTACGTCTCCAGTTCGAAAGGGCTGGTGTCTCTCTGGGATTGGACAACTGCTGCGGCGATAGGTAAATACGACACGGGGACTGGATTACAGCAAGTCCTTCCGTTGCGTCAGCAAGAAGAGAATGAGACGATTCTGCTTCTACAAGACGATCCTCAAGGTTACAAACGTCTTGTTGCTTGTTCCGTCAACACATTTCAAGGCACCTTCACAGAGTCCCACACCCTGTTGCAGAGGACCGGTCTATCACCCTGTTTCAGATCCTATGCACAAGGAACCGTGCTGATGGCTTGCGCAGAAGACCACTTGTTGATAGGCCAGTCTCGGGTCACGGAAGAAGGTCAGTTGGACTTGACATACACATGGAGGGAAATCACAGTATTAGGATTCATAACCAGCTTTGACGCCCACGTCAGTTCAGGAAAATCTAAGACCCCGCGAAAAGTGCCCTTCTTGGATGTTGTGATCGGTCTCAACGACGGAGTTATCATGCATTATCAAGACATCCTCTTCAAGCTCATCGGAAAAGAGAAAAAGAACAAGACTTGGACGGAGGACATTGTTGGCCACAAGCTTCATTGGCACCGAACGGCCGTCAATACTGTAAAATGGTCTCGAGATCGCAATTATATCATATCGGGTGGGAACGAGACGGTGCTCGTTATCTGGCAATTGGACTCGAACCAGCATCAGTTTCTGCCTCATCTTTCAGCACCAATCCTAAATCTCACTGTGTCAAATACTGGATCTGCCTATGCTCTTCGCCTGGGCGACAATTCTGTGATGATTCTGTCGACAGCTGACCTTCTGCCCTCAACGAATGTCTGCGGCTTGGCTCTGGGGGTGCCTCCGCAGAACTCAAGTCTAATACTTTTGCATCCAAAGGTTCCAAATCGACTCCTGGCTGCAGTGCCCTCTGATGCCGCTGTGACGGGTCCGTTTCACGGGCGTCGTTCGACACTTCTACAAATCTACGATGTCGATTCCAACGTCCAACTCAGTCGTCAAGCGCTCACTCGAAACATGATCACCACGTCCAATGTTGCGCCCACCGGACAACCAGTTAAAGAGCCCACCGTCACGCATATCGCCATTAGCCACGACGGCAAGTGGTTAGCGACAGTCGATGAATGGCACTCGCCAGATCTGGAAAGCTTTTACAGCCGCTCCGATTGTGCGGATCTCCGTGGCCGATGTACCGAAACGAGTCTGAGATTGTGGTTGTGGAATGATGAGGAGGGCAACTTCGAGCAAGTGACCAGGATTGACGAGCCTCACAAAGCAGGTCCAAACTCCGTGCTGAGCGTGTCGTTTAACCCTGCGAAACTCGAATTGGCTACTACTGGCAGTGATGCAAATATTCGCATATGGTCGCCCAAACAGCGTCATCGGAATGGCGTTCCGGTTAGGAACAAGGCTAATGAGCAGCTTTACACGTGGAGCAGTTCAAGGACGGTTCAATGCAGCGATGACGCTGCTCTTGAACGAGGAGACATCGAAGCGAAAGCAATGTCGGCCTCCCTGGCCTATTCCGACGATGGCTCGATCCTGGCTGTTGCATGGTTTTGGCTTGAAAATTCGTTCAGGCTATTGTCAGAATCTCCCACTGCCACTTTCCAATGGCCTCGAACTCGCTTTGTCCACTTCATCGACCCGACCACAGGGAGGATTGTCTTATCTAACCCCTCCCTTCTCCCTAGTGCGAGCAGCCCAGCCAAACTCCTCTTCCATTCCCGCTACCTGATCTGCCTCTCACAAACACTCACGATCCTGGACACCATCACGGACCGATTGGTCGCGTCGCCCATTGAGCTCAACCCGGAGTATGTGGTACCCAACAGCTGGAGCCCCTCTTACATCGCAAGAAACAAATTCGATGGGACAGTCGCGATGTCTATTTCGCGTTCCGAAAAGCCGCGGGGAACTCAATTGGTGGTGTTGAGCTTTTCCAACGACGACAGCCCCAGAGATGCTCTTGCAGGCGGTGGAGTCGACCCAGGTGTGCAGGTGAAAGTTGTCGATCAGACTTCCATCACGGGAACGGTCAAGGGACTTCTTGCTCTGACCACAGGATCAGGGTATCTAGTCATTGATGAGAGGAATCAGTGCCGATTTCTTCGACCGAAGGTTGTGACGCGCGCGAGGACGATTGGGGGAGCTGAGGGGACAGAGCAAGTCACCAGGAGTTTGGACAGTATTTTCGGCCGACAAGCGTTGTTGGCATCAGCCACCACTGCCGTGCGTGACGAGCGGGCGTATCGAGCCGTCGACGACACTGTGAACGGGCAGACGGGCCCCGGTGGAGGACTTGACGCGGTCCTGAGGTTTGTGTCGACAGCACAAGCGCCTCCGCCGGCAGAGTTATTTCAGAAAGTCATTGGTGTCATGGCTCGTGGGTTGGAATGAAGTGACTTGCGAGTCGGGTCACTCTGCAAGGCGGATAGAGGCGCATGAGAAATTGTTCATACCCGTGCGAGGGACCTCAGCTGGGTACATAGAAGATACGTGACTCCTCCTCCGTACGAGAGGAAGTAGGAAGAAAAGACATATTTGACAAGTGAAGGCATGCGTAAAATTGAGGGGATGCAAGTCTCCTTGATCTCCCCACGCGATGATTGATTTCTATCCTTCGGTGTATCTAGTAGAGGCCTCAGCATCACATCATGGCCTGGGTCCAGTTCGGTTTCTGGTTCTAGTCCTCATCCTCGTCCTTGATCTTGACTTTGATCCTGATCTCTGGCCCAAACATCCCATCCCTCCCCCTGTCTTTGTTTTTTCCCTCGAGCTGGCTTTTTTTGGCCATGACGATTGCTTCAGACTTGCGCTGCGGTTTCAATATGACAGAGAGAGAGAGAGAGGATCGGTGATGGATGCCAATATGTCCCTGGCGGGCTGTGCCCAGATGGACGAGGACGAGGCCGAGGACAAGGAGCAAGAGGAGCAAGAGGAGCAAGGAGGCCGTTGGCGGGGTTTTCTGCATTGACCAGCTACGGTGCGGTGCGTAGTGCGGGGAATCGGATGAGCGAGGATTCAGATTCAGATTCGAACAGACGGAGGCACTACGATAACGGGGTTAGCAGCACTGTGAAAGACTGACTGACCGAGTCCAATCCCACAGGAAGCCCCTCATCATGGCCACCACCACGACTATCCCAATTAAGAACGAATGTTCTCGTCCCGTGAGCCCGAAATCTCAAGAGGGAGGGGAAAGAATATGGATGGCCTTGGTCAGTTGGCAATAAATACCTCCTCCTCCTCCTCCTACTACTACTACTCCTCCTCCCTCTCCTTTCCAATAGAGCGATAAGGAGAGTTGATCTACTTTCGTGCGTCCCCTAGTATTGCCCAACCCTCAACTGCTTCCCACACACACACACACACACACACTCCCTCCCTCTCTCTCTCTCCTCGGTACTCCGCACACCTCGAGAACACACTCACAAACATAAGACAAAAAGAAACAACAATGGCCGTCAACGCTACAGTCCTCTATCCCGCCGAGGAAGGTGCCACCTTCGACATGACCTACTACCTGAAAACCCACATGCCGCTGGTCAGCGAGAAATGGAGCCAATACGGCCTCCAGGCGTGGAAAGTCATCCAGTTGCTCCCCGGGCCCGACGGCTCCAAGCCCTACAGCGTCGCCGCCCTGTTGACCTGGGAGTCGGCCGACGGGCTCAGCAAGGCCCTGAAGGGTGACGAGGCGCAGACCGTGTTTGGCGACGTGCCCAACTTCAGCAACAGGTCTCCCATCTTCCTCATGGGCGATATTGTTGGTTCTTCGTGAGTGCTGAGCTTCATTTCGAGAATGGACTCCCCGCCGTCCCCTGCAGAGGTAATATACACGCCCCTCCCCTCGCCGCGCCATGGCAAGGGTGTGTATCTGGGCGCTGACAATTCGACCTAGGACAGGATCGAGTCGGTTGTGATAGCTCCTCAGGTCAAGAAGAGGTGCTGGGGGCAGACAGACACGTAATACCAGTCGCAAGAGAATACAGATCCCCTTGGCTCAGGAACGGCCTTTTTTCCCGATATGTTCACTTTGTCTTGTCTCGTCTGAAACCTCGATATCTCGACGTCGTTGTTTGAAGGGTCAAGAGACTCTCCTTCCCAGGACCACGAGATGTCATCTCACCAATGCCTCCCCGTTGGCTGCACTGTGCCGCTGATCTTCGAGGAGCCTTTACCAATTGCACAGAATGATACTTGCTGACCCGGATGAACCCCCGTTCCCAGCTCGTAGACGGGCCATGGCAGGTATCCAAGGTGCACTTTTCATTGGTCCCGCGCAAAAGACAGTGACCAGACTCAAAACTTGGTGAGCTCAAAGCGACGCCGCATAGACGCCACGTATGTTTTCGCCTGTTCATACTCACCGTGTGTTTCGCCAGACTGTCCATCTCCCCCTCCACCTGCTTCCGGAGATAAATACTTCGCCTGGACCCATCTTGAGTTTCATTTTTGATCACTGCGCTTGGTCTTAACTTCCCTCCGGTTGAGTTCAGGCGGCAGCTGCTTGCCTTTTGAGCGCGGCCCGTTTCTCAAAGAACCGCTGCATGTACTCCTTGGGCTCGACAGCCCCGTCCCTGAACATGCCGGAAAAGGACTCGATGCCCGCCGTCACACCCGAGGCCAGGTCCTGCTCCTCCCACAGCCGCACCAGGCGTTTCTGGGCCTTCATCGCTTCGGGCCCGTTTTCCGCAATCTTGGACGCCGCGCGCATGGTCTGCGCGAGGGCCAGCTCGGACGAAGGGCAAAGAACGTCCACGAGTCCCCAATCTGCCGCCGTCTGCGCGTCGATGGTGGCGCCCGTGTACACGAGATACTTGGTCTTCTGCCACCCGATGATGTTCGCCAGCAGTCTCGCCTGCACAACAGACGGAATCCCTAATTCGACCTCGGGCATGGCGAAGCGAGCGGTGTCGGTCGCATATCGAAAATCGCACGACGCAACGAGCTCCAGACCGGCACCGAATACCGGGCCTTCTATGTGCGCGATGGTGACGACGTCGGACTCGCGGATCGCTTGACACGCGTCGTAGACCTTGGTAATGAGGCTCTCGGCTTGCTCAGGAGTTTCCAGCTGGGCCATTTCGGCGATGTCCTGTATTTCCTCGGGGAAAAAAAATTTCCCCCATGAGTCAGCCCATTATTATCCCCGTGTCTTGTTTACTTCAATTCAGCTGGAACCGAAACAGAATACCAAATCCTACCTTAGGTAGGTATTCGATGGCGATGCGATTTACTCACCATGCCGGTACAGAACGTGTGAGACTGAGTGTCGCTGCCGAGAACAATGCACCTGATATCCTTCTTTGAAGCCAGTTGGCGGAACGCCGTCGTAAGAGCCGGAAGCAATTGCGTATTCATGGAATTGCCACGTTCCTTGTTTTGAATGTACACTTTCGCGATTCTGTGGCCGCTCTCGCCCACCGCCACCTCATCGCACCGTATGCGGCCACCCTTCTCCCCCCCGTAGAACTCGCTGTTGAGTCTCGTGCTTGTATATCCACGAGAGACAGCCAATGGGACTTTAGACCAAGAGGAAAGCGTCTGTGCCTGGCCCGTCGTGGGACGTCGGATGCGAAAAACTCTGGGCACTACGGCAGAGCGAGCCTGAACGGCTGAGAGACACGGACGAGGCCATTGAGAAGATGTCAAAACATGCCGGGATTTGGATTTCATGTTGGAATACCCCAGATGAGTCTGCGGATTGAATCAGCAGGGTTGCGAGGAGGACAGGGGAAATAGCTATATATCTAAGACAAAAGAAAGTATCGAAGCAGACAGCCAGGAGAATTGTATGAGTAGAGGGAAAAAGAGAGGACGAGAAGAGAATCAGACAGTTATGGATTAGCCGAGGACCGCGAAGTGCCAGCTCCTACTAGTGCACACTGACCGCTCCATCTGACCCCGTTCATGACAATGATGGGCCGAGGACAAAGGGTTGCAGCTTTCTACATCAGCTACTAGGTATGTACCGAGTACGGAGAAGAAGGAGGTCGGCTATATACAATATTTGACCCTCCAAACTCTCCCACCCCACAGGGCTCCCTAGGGCCGTTGTGTTGTAGGGAACCGCACAACTTGCGAAGCCAGCCATTACTGGATTGAGCTTGGTTTCCCTGTCATATGTCGTGAGTAATCCTGGAGTCCGTCACCCTACGTCAACGAGGCTGCCCTGGATAGATCATCACACATACTCCGGCTGACCTGTCCCGCTGTTATCTGTATGCGGCCCCGAATTCGGCGAATCTGCGTTCTCAGGGCTGATTAAGCGTAGCAATGGATCTCAGGTGGGTACGCATCAAATGCCTTTCTGGGTGAATAGGGACTAGTACGCGTATGATGGACGTTGGGAATCGATATCAATCAACAGCAAAAAAGATCAGTGGCGAGTCCTTTCCTCCGGGTTGGCGCAGGGAACGGAGAAAGCAGGGCTTATAAGACCTCATCTGGCGTCATATTGTACCTAAGGATGCTGATTTCCCTACCAGACCACCACAAAATCCTCCATTGTCTCTCCAGTCTTGTTCACATCATGATCTCTCCTCTTCTCACTCTCCCGTACGAGCTGCGCCTGCAGATATGGCGCCTTGTTCTCGGTCCAACTGAAGTCCAGCCTTGCAAATGTCCCTCGAAACCCGGCACGTGCAAGTTCAATCACCCTGGTTCATGCTGTGAAGGCTTCGACGTTGATATATGCTGCGATAACCGCCTCCTGAGGGCATGCCGCCAGATCCACGACGAAGTCCGCCCGCTGCTCACCCCGCCAAAGCTATTCATTGTGTGTAACGGGCTCTGCATGGAGAGTTTGTTCTTGGGCATCCAGTCCCCGCATCGCAGGTGGATCAAGCGTGTGAGAGTGGATTTGTATGTTGGCGAACTCACACAGAATGCCTTGAGCGGTCTGAGCGGTCAAGAGCTGTTGCAGAGGGCAGAGACCTGCTGCGGACCCATCGTCCAAAGTGCGTTGAAGTGTCAGGGAGTCGGATGTCTGTTAGATGTGGCGTCAGTGAGGGGCATCGAAGTAGATGCAAAGGGGCGAAGGAAGTTATGCGTGGATCTGGCCTTGGGTTGAAGCAGGATCAGCGAAGGTAGCAATGCATATGTCATTGGTGCCATTGATGCCATTGATGCCATTGCACAGCGGCTGCCTACAATCGGCCAGGCTCATGCCCTCTGCAAGCTCGCTCAAGCGACGCTATATAAACGCCAGGACAAGTGGGGATCCGGTGGCTGGCCAGACTTTTCAGTCAGCTCATTCTTCGACCTTCACAGGGGAAACAGAATCTCGATAACTCCCAGCAAGGACTTGGGCCCGAGCACGGCATTCTGATGGGATGATGCAAGAAACGACAGCTTAGAACCACAGGATGACGCGAGAGAGCACCTGCTTGTAGAGTGCATACATTGTACATGTCGAGCTAGGCCGCTCATCAAATGATAACGTTTGCGCATGTTGCAGGTGTTTCGCCATGCTGTCATCACAGATCCTGGAAATCATCCCCCCTGGCATTGCTAGTCTGCTGGATGACTGAGCAGGTATTCTATTGCGCCGTTCACATTGCCCCCAGTTCTTCGCAGTGCCTGAACATTCCGGTCGAAATCATAGAAACCCATCTCGTTCAATTGCTGCAGTTGCTGCGCATATCGCTCCTCAGGCGGTCGGTTGTCCGGCGGTGACGTTGGCCGGCCTGCACCGAGTAGATTCAACAGCCCGCCATTATCCACACCTCCGCCACCTTCGTTAGCCCACATTTCTTGTAGCATTTGTTGCATGAGCGCTGGATTTTGAGTAAATGGGTTGTTCTCATCTCTCAACTGGTTGAGCCCACCAGGTGAAGTTGTGGGACCTTGCGGAAAAAACAGTGCCGCAAATGGGTTCGCAGGTTGCTGCGTCTGGGATGGTGGATTCCCGGGCATTTGCGGTTGTTGGCCACCAGCTTCTTGGTTGTTGGATCCGGCTTCTGCATTTCGGGCTCCTGTCGCATTGGTATTGAGATCGCCGAATGCGTCGGAAAGGCTTCGAGTCGTCTGTCTCAATGACTGTAGAAGGGCGAGCAGCTGATCCCCCCGGGGAGGCAGACCGGGCAGATTTTGGGGAGGCAGTCCCAACGGGTTGGTTGGTAGATTTTGAGGATTGCCGCCCGTAGTACCCTGTTCCGTTGTGTTGGTGACACCGGGTGCTGGAAAGGCCCCTTCTCTGCCCGCACCGCCGAAAGGACCTAACCCCATCTGTTGCTGCATTTGCATCATGTCCCGAAGCATTTGAGGGTTCGTCATCATGGATCTGAAGTAGTCAGAATTGAGCATTTGTCTCGCCTGGGGTCCCATGGCTCTGAGGTGCGGATTCTGATTGATGATCATGTCTTGGACCTGGGGATTGCCCATGGCTTCACGCATCATCTGCTGGAAGTGGGGGTTATCCAACTGGCGCAGAAAGTCTTCGGGCGTGAGGTTTTCTTGGAACATGCTGGCATTTGGCAGCTGTGCAAATCCCGCATACCGGGCACCCGTCAAGCCCGCCAGAGGATCATTTCCAGTGCCTGATGCCAGGTTTTGAGGTACCCCCGTCGGGCCTTGCGATGTAGTTCCCGAAGCAGGAGTGGAGGTCGAAGAAGATTGTGTAGCGGGGTTCTGTCTTTGATTGCTGGCGGCGCTCTTAACTAGATGCATGGTGTTGCCTTCTTTCACGTTATGAGAGGCCAGGGTGTCATTGTCTTTCAGCACCTTTCCGCTGTAAATCAGCCGCTGAGCCGCTGCTGGGACATTGGCGTATTCTTCTGCGGCGAGTTTGTTCTTCAGCTCGATGGTCGTGGTTGACAGAGGCAGGGTCAGCGTCCATTTCTGGGCACCCGAGGATTTGATGTGGAAGGTGACGCTGGCATCTTCAGCGCCAGCAGCGTCGGCCATTGTTGGGAAGCCGCGCAGGCAAGAGTAGTTCAGTTTGGTGGATTTGTAATTGTGATAGGTGAGAGCGGCGATGCTCAGACCAGACAGCGGAGCTCGAGACAGGGCAGTCGGCTTGATAATCGATCTGCCAGAGATATGCAGGAAGAGATGAAAGTCAAGCGTCGATGATCCCTCAGGGCGGTTGAGAGAATGAAGGAGGTGAGACTAGCAGCGATGTGCAGGTGGGTAGAGTGGCATGTCAAGATATCTGAACAGGAAGAACAAAGAAACTGACCCAAGACTGACCACCTGGCTGATGGATCGGAGGCAAGAGTGACGAAGTCGATCGTCTCCCGCAGCCGGTTGCGCCTGCGCTGTTCTAACCGCGTACTGGGTATTTGCCGCATCATCACAGATGCACTCTGGCCTGTGGCCTGTGGCCTGCGGTTGAGGGGCGGGGGCACCCCAAGACAGGGCAGTCAAGGAACTCCTGGATGCCCCTTGGGGGGCCAGGTGCCTAACGGAGAGCACCAGGAGACTGGTTCTCGGCGCAGTTGCCCCATGAAGCGCCGCTAGTGCCGCTCGATCCTGGCAGCAAATGATGCATAAAAAGTGCTCGGAGCTCACGTGCCGCCCTTGCCGCTTTTATCATAGCGGCCAACACAACCAAGCACGACTCACCCTCCTCTCACCTTTTGCACATCTTATTAGCTTAATGCTTTTCACGATAGCTGAACCCGAACATTCCAGTTCCTGATTATGGCTGATTGCGGTACACCCTTTCAGAATGGAAGCCCCAGAAGTAAACCGGCTGTGTTGACTATATCAATCGCATGATTCGAATGTGGAATGGGTTCCTTTTACAGAGAGGAACCGCTCAACCTGGAAAGTCGCTGCAAGGGCGCGCATCCACCATGCTTATCAGCCACTCTCATGCTCCGCACAGGAAGGCTGCTCCCTTTGCAACATCATTCTATAATCCCTCACCAAGTGCAAAAGCAAGGTAGATGGGGAAAAATAATCCTACCCCTTGATAAAGAGCGGTGGCAGTTTTATGTTATCGTCCAGCGCATTGTACAGGGCACGCGTTATACTACGATGTGGATTTGGGTTGAGAAACTTGATGGACCTCCTCTTTGTCGGGTCTCCAGACTTTCGGATGGTAATGGGGAACTTCCATAATTCCTCAAACCCGGCCTGAAAAGACATAATCAGTGAAAATGCCAAGGGCGAAGGACCTCAGATACCCTTTCTGAGGTACCGCGGCGTGGCGCCACGTCAGAGATCGGTTCTCGCGCATGGAGATAGCCAATCCGCAAGAGACGCTGACGGTGAGAGCAGGGGTTGCTGAACGACTGGCAAGGCCGTACAAGCCCTCCCTCCACGATTACGTGGCTGGGCAGTGGTTTTGCGATATCCCAGACGAGTTGGGATGATTCCCGGCCGAAGGACAGGCGGAGCAGCGAGATCTCAGCTTCTGGTCATGAAGTAGTACGTTGACAGCAGCGTGACCAACAGTGACACTATGTGGCGGGACGTGAAGGAGAAGCTGATCGATCTCGTCGACGTCAGCATCTCTCTACTTCAGGGAACGTATGGCTCTGTCAGCGGGCATGTGCTTCGTCTGCAAAGCTACTTTGGAGACACAACCGCGCCTTACACCTCGATCGCAGATAAGAAATGGGAAATCTGCTGGGATAGCCTTCTAACTTCGGTGTTGGTTATCGTCCAGCGAAGTCAGGTTTCATCTTTCCTCTCCAGAGCGTGTGGAGATGCAAAAGTGAGGCGGCCAAGCTTGAGCCGTTCAAGACACGCTACGAAGGCAGTCTGCCTGAGTGTCTACACGAAGTACTCGGGAAAGTTGACAAGATGAAGCGCGAATGGTTCGACTTGTTCCAACTCCGCGCTCTTGTGCTGTCGAGAAGTGCGGACAAGTCGCCAGGGACGTACCGCACGATCGCCTTGGAGTTGTGCACGCATCAAGCAAGGCTGGAGGACGACCCCTTCCGGGAGCATGAGGCACAATGCAACCACGCACTCGGTTCACACGGGATTCGCAGCTCTGCAGAGCAACGAGAGCTTCGTGAATCTGCGGCAGACATAATTTCAAGGCTCTTTATGAGAGATTCAAGTTCGAGCCAAGGCCCAACAGTGGAGATGAAGAAGACAGGAACATGACCGAGAGTATACATGTAATTCAGATCAAGCAGAAAATAGCTGAAAGGTGGAAGGACCATTTTAACGGCGAAGGGTCGATAGCAATATGCTTTACACACTCGGCGACGAGGAGTTTCCAGCGTGGGAGAAGACGGGCCGACCGCCTCTTGGACAACTACAAAAAAAACGCAGCTGATTGACAACCCTTCCGTATCCGGCTGGTACCAGGTATATAGATGCCGCTTCACTTACTTTCACAACATTGTCTCTCCTCTTTCAGCACCCAACCCAAGGTCATATGGCTCACCCAAGCTAAGCTCAGTCCCGGTTTTCCCCCCTTGGCAAAGACTCTTGAAGGAGGAAGAAGCCAAGTGTAGACGAACCTGTGTCCCTGTTCCACTCCTGTTTTCAATCGTCTGATGCATTTTGATCGGGCCTGGCGCTTCCATATTTTCGATCTTGTCAAATATCTGTAGCATTCTCGAAATGGTGAACATCGCTTCGGTCCGGGCAAATTGCTCTGTGTTCCAGTCAACGACGGCGGTGCATTCAGAGCCAAGTGAGAAACAAACTTACGTCCGAGGCATTGGCGGGCCCCTCCACCGAAAGGAATGAAGTCCCAGCCGAATTTGCGATCCTGCCATCTTTCCGGCTTGAACTCGTCGACGGCAACCCCCCAAATGTCTTCACGGTGCTGCATTGAGTACGTCGGAATAAGCACCTGAGTTCCTTTCGGCACGAACACGGGGCTTCGTCCATCAGGCCCACCACCGCAGGGGAGCGTGGTGTCTCGGACGGCCACGCGCTCGTTCATTGGGACGATGCCAACCGTGCGAATAATCTCATTCAGAAAACACTGCATGTACCTGCAGGACCAAAGCTGAGAAAAGGTGATCTGGACGCTCGGTTCGGCCGACAAGGTATCCAGCACTTCTTTACGGAGTCTCGCAAATACGTCGGGATATCGCGCCAGGAAGTAGAATGACCAGCCCAACAGTGATGCCGTCGTATCTCTGGCGGCGTGGAGGACGTTCAGCAGCTCGCATCTCAACTCGTAAGGGTTTTTTGTCTTGCTGACAAGTTCATCAAGGAGGATGAATTTCGCCCGTCCCTTGGATTTTTCATCCCCTTTGTGCTCATCCCAGCTGTGATCAAGTCTCTTTTTGATAAAATAATCAACGCAGCCTTGCACAGCTTTGCAGTGATCTGGGAAAGCATGGTCCCAGAGAAGCCAGCCGTATTTGGCTAGAGCTCCTCTCCGATCGATGATGCGTTTGGCCTCGTCCAGATGGTATCCGAATCTTGTAAGGTCAGGGGCGTCGTGATCCCATGATAGCGTACCCGGGCGCTCTTCAGGGCTCAATGTATGCACTGATTGGCCAAACAAGAATTCTGTCGACGTGTCCAAGGTAAAGTTGAAGAATAAGGGAGACAAGTCAACCTTGGCGGTCCAGCAATCCTCGGATACTGGTATCCGTCGCAAGAGAGCGTTCAGGTGTCTCTGGAAGAGGTCGAGGTCCGCGAGATTATCCCTGGCGAATTGCGATTGAACAAGGCGCCTCGAATGCCTCCATTTCTCTTGTCGATTGGTCATCACTCCGGGACCCAACAGAGATTTGAAGCATTTTTCACGATGCAGCCCAATGTCAAAGTCCTGCGACTGCGTGTTAAACATGGCCTTGACGTTTTGCGTATCCCTTGTGATGATTAATTCGTAGTCGAAGATTGCCGCTCTGACCGTGTGAACTGTTTTGCCAATCGAGTTGAGACTTTCATGCATCCAGATCGGCCCTCTTTCCTCCTGAGTTGCTCGGATGCTCTCCATGAGGGTGCCAATTCCAAGAAAGCCCTTTCGAGGGGCGCTAGGAGGGGGTGCACATCCAAGCAGCGCCGCTTTGCCTTCATTCCGTTGTCTCCGGACGACGACTGAGGCGATCTTATAATACAAAAGTGCCACGAGAATGAAGAGGACCGGTGCGACGGACATCATGGCTGCCAACAAAGGACGGGAGATCTGGGCGCAGTGCGAGACTCAACCGTCTCCTGGATGTGAAGGGAGACCACGAAGGCTATCAATGATCGAAGACGGCTGCATCGGTGGACGAAGTCCTCCAATTCGCATTCAAAATCCTGTGGTAGGTGAAACGCCACCTTGAGCAAGTCATGGCTGGCTTGAATCAGGATTTTGCCCTTGCTACACAGTAAAGGCGGTCGATGTATTGTGTCAGTGGCGCTCATGCCAATCACCCATTTATGGGTGGTATGAAAGGAAACATCGGGGGACAATGCTGACTCCGTGCTCTTGTAGGCACAATGAGATGTCACCCACTGTTACCTGATCAGCGGGCCAGCGAACTATGGGCTATCCACAATGTCAACGCGGGCTGGATGACATATGACAAAGGAACAAAATTGATGGGCATGGAGGTTTGATGTGCTCTGTACCTGCATCGCAAGGTGAAATATTGAAGTTTGAACCAAGCCACATACTCCACTGCTCTTGGTAGTATAGCTACTCTACCCAGTATAAACCTCTCCTCTGTCAAACTCGGGCTATATGACAGAGGAAGTGGAGCTAAGGTGGTGGGTTCGAAGGTTTCATGTACCTGCATTCGGAGGCGGAATATTGAAGTTTAAACAAAAGCCACATACTCCACTACTCTCAGGGCAGCAGCCTCGCAAACCTCTCCTCTGTCAAGATAAGATTACGAGGAGAGTTACAGTAATGCATTTCCCATCTGCAGGGGATTGAAATGGTCGGAAACATCTATAGCCTCTTGGGTGCGGGTTCATTCTCGCTGCGTAGCAGATGAGATTGTCCTGAGCCAATCAGCAGCTGGAGGTTTTGGTATCCCTGGTACAGTGACATACATAATGCAATTGTTTGATATAATACAATAGGTTGTCCTAAAGACCAGTCTCTGGCTTGGCAAGCCAGCATTCCATTCACGGTGGCGCACATATCCCAATGCCTCTGTTTCTCACATTGGCCGGCCAACCTAATGCTTTGCCTCATCCCCCAAGAGAGACACTTTCAGGCTCACACCGTCCCTGGGCCTCAGGACCAGCCTCCACATCTTCAACTCTTCCGGATCCTGGACCGACAAATCTTGCTCAAATGTGAATTTGCTGAGCAAAGCGCACAAGATAGTTTTCATTTCCACTTCGGCGAATTTGCGACCAATGCAGCCGCGCGGACCTACATGTTGTTGTCAGCCAACTTCATGACGGATCGCGTATGAAACTGCGAGGCTTACCTTGTAAGAATGTCATGAACGCGTTTGTCGTGTACGTAGGGGGCAGGCTCCGCCAGCGCGATGGGTCAAACTTGTCAGCTTTTTCACCCCAGTAGTTGGGGAGACGGTTGATGGTGTTCGCCATCAGGTAGATCGTGGTTCCAGCAGGGATGAAATATCCTCCGAGTGTATCGTCCTCGATTGTTTTTCGGACCGTCATGGGGATAGACGGAATATAGCGTAGAGACTCTTTACAGACATCTTCGAGATACGGGAGTAGGTCCACATCGGCTTTCTCGATATTGTCACTGTCCTCTCGAGACTTGGGATTGAAGAGAAAAGGTAGTTTTGAGCGGATCTCTCCGCGCAATTTTTCCTGGATGTCTGGATTTTTGGCAAGCAGCAACAGCATCCACGCCACCGAAGTCGCCGTTGTATCATGCCTAACGGATGGTCAGCTCGTATCAATCCGACAAAGTGCTTGTGGGATCTTACCCGGCTCCAAGAAATGTCATCACCTGGTTGCGCATCGCTTCCAGTGACAGGGTGTCTTCCTCGCTTGCTGCCATATTATCCTTGACGATGAGTCCGATGATGTCTCTCGGGCGACTTTGCTTATTAGAAATAACGCCTTGTTGCTTTTCCTCGATGATCTCCGAAGCACGACTAAGGATGATATTTCGTGCCATAGCGATATCCCGGTTACAACGTGCGGGGACCAGACGGATAAGACTGGTGAAAGCCGCAAGGCCATTGATAACTCGTGCCGACAGACTGAAGTCGAAACAGCGTCGATATGCGTCTCGCAAAGGGGCCTCAGGATTGTCAAGTGAGTCAATATCGGTACCTAGTCCAGCGCGACCGATGATGTCCAAAGTAGTCCTATTTAGCCATTCCAATACCTCAAAGCACTTGTTCGAGGTCTTTTCCGCCGCCATCTCGTTTTCCCAGAGCTCCGCCATGCGCAAAGATTTGGCCCAGAATACAGGCATTAGCGATCTAATGGAAGTGATAGAAAATGCCGGGGTAAGTGCCTTTCTCTGGATGACATGTGTCTGTCCCTCGGCGAGTAGAACGCCTAATTTCTCGTTAGAAAGAGAGAAAAGCAGATACAGTTTGTCATTACCTTCGCCAAGAATAGGCATCATCCATAATCTTGCACGTTCTGGTTTGGGGTAGTTGTATGGGTTTCTGACCGTCATGTGTTTGATGGCATCGTCTTCCGCAACGGAGAGCCTTTCGCTGCCGAAAGGAAAGAAGTACCGGACGATTGGGCCATACTTCTGGTGCCATTCGCGTGCGGGCACGCCGCACTCAGTCGTGACAATGGTCAAAAATTGGCCCCAGAGAGGAAATCCTGGAACCGTTGGGATATGTCTCAATGGTGAGACATACCACGGATAGATCCATGAGTAGTACAGTGTATAGAGCAATGTCGCCCCCGGCAGCAGGACTTTCAGTGCTGCCTCGATACTGATAGATTCGGAACCCTTGCCAATTCCCAGGGCAATGACGGCGGTGAAGCCCAGGAAGGGGAAGAATGGAACTTGAACGGTCATCTTTGATGAACTCCCACGGCAAGAGGGAACCAGAGGAGGAAGGAAAGACTTGGGTTTGAATATTTCAACCTGGCGCTTTGGATTCCAATTCACCAAGTCCCAGAATAAACCACAAAAAGAGCGAATGGATTTGAGAAAATAGGGGAAGAAACCATCTCGATCTCATCCCCGAGCTCGGTGTCTATTCGGGCTCTAATGACATTCGATTTCAGTTGCCATGGAGGTCTTTGCCGGGATAACATACATGCCTTTGAGTATTGGTACGGGGCAGTGACATTCTTTAATCAAGTATCATAGCTGCTGTTATATCACATTCTGGGGACAAAGTGGGTCGGTGGCTGGAAGATCGGCATTACACCCACTTCGACCTCGCAGATCCCTTTCCAACAACGGACATTTCAGCAGGACGTTCATCCATCCTCTGGCCATCGAACTGTGTAGGTTCAGCGTAGACATGATGATTTCGCAATATCGGTCCACTACCGTCCCGGTCCTCGTCTACATCCGGAATTAAAGCTTGAGACATCCGGTCACCAGCCTTGGAGGCCCGGGTATGGGATTGTTGAGGACATGCTGAGTGCTATCCATCTACAGAAAAACATCTTGGTCAATGGCTTTCCCCCAGCCAGACCTCCACCACTTTCAGCCACCAGCTCCAGCAACTGAGTGGGAGTGTCGATGGATGTCTGAGACCTTCATGTGATAGAATTCAAGCTTTTGAAGAACGCCATATTTTGGCTGTCGAGGCTGGCTGCATGATACTGGTGGCTGATGAAGGATCGCCAGATCTGGGGGGTCATGGACCTGGAGACATTTCATTCAAATGCTGAGGACTTCTTCTGCTCCCATCATCCTTTTCTTCTTGCTTGTGCTGCTAACTCGTGAGGGGTCTCCTTATCGAGTTCGTGATTCCTCTCTGTGGCATCAACCATGAAGTTCTTGAATTCGACATACTGGGCCACGGCCACTCCATTGCCAAAATGGCAGGACACGATCGTTGTCTCGCCCGCCATAACCAAAGTCGATCCGTGGTCGACTTTCGATCGGTTTTTCAGCACCATTACGGGTGCTTCGACCAAAGATTTCCGCTTTGAACCAGGTCAAACTCCCATGTCAACTTTCGAGGAGACGGCAGCCTTCATCTTGGTTTACTACGTGATCATTTTCGGCGGTCGCGAGTTGATGCGGAATCAGGCACCGATGAAATTGAACAACCTCTTCATCATCCACAACTTCTACCTCACCGCGATATCTGGGGCGCTCCTTCTCCTTTTTGCGCAACAGCTGGTCCCGGCCCTATGGCGAAACGGGTTGTACGATGGAATCTGCGGTGAGGCGGGATGGTCTCAGCAGCTTCTCGTCTTGTACTACCTGAATTACTTGACCAAATATCTCGAATTGCTCGACACTGTCTTTCTGGTTTTGAAGAAGAAACCGCTTACTTTTCTGCATACATATCACCATGGTGCGACGGTTCTGTTATGTTACACGCAGTTGGTCGGAAGGACTTCTGTCTCCTGGGTTCCAATTACCCTGAATTTGGCAGTCCATGTCATTATGTACTGGTAAGTTTTTGGTTCAGCACCGGTGCAGCCAGCGTCTAATCTGCCTTCAGGTACTACGCTCAATCTGCCCGAGGCGTGAAAGTATGGTGGAAGCAGTATATTACCATGTTCCAGATCACTCAGTTTGTGTTGGATTTGGGTAAGAAAGCCTCGACTGCGAGAAGCCGATTTACCTTTTGCTGATGTTGATGGCTCCAAGGATTCATTTATTTCGCCTGCTACACGTATTTCGCCGACAGCTACGCGCCATGGCTGCCCCACAGTGGAAGTTGCGGTGACGCGCAGCAAGAAGTTGCTGCCATCACAGGTTGTGCTATCATTTCTTCCTATTTGGTGCTCTTCATTATGTTCTATTTTTCGACGTACAAGAAGCCATCGGTGAAGAAAGCATTGAAAAAGGCAGCGAAGACAGGGCTTCCTACAGTCTCAGAGACCACCGAATTGACGGCGGATTTTCTGAAAATGGCCACCACAGCTATTGTTGAGACGACGAGCAATTAGGAGGGTCGATGTGGCTTAAGGAGTTTCACTACAGGCGAGAGTCAATGATGAGCTGAGTCACGCAAGGATGGTGATGGTAATTGATCTCAGGGTGTACAATTTCGAAGTCGGACTGTCGGAGTTGGTGGACCCCATATTGTCGTATGTACTACTATTTCCTATGTTTGTCTATAGAAAAGACGTCCAAAATTTATTAGTTTTTCTCGCAGCAACGAGCCGAGATCTCATTTGAGTGCACAAAGAAATCTTCTCGTATCACGACTTCGATAGGCATGAATTGATGAAAATTGCTAGACGAAGAACAATACACCAAGACACGCTTCTGGATTCCATATGACAGGGGGGCATTGTGAAGCGTCCTGAGCTGCACAGCCTCGTCGCACTTGTTTGAACAAGAAGCATAGAACATTCATCGTGTCAAATAAGGTTTTTGCTTACCTTCTCCCAAAGTCAATTCCGTATTCATGCAGCCACGGTCTATTCCATCCGCGTCGGGGCTTTCTCCTAAATGCTTCTTCCAGTTGGGACGGGGCCACCAATCGACACGTTTGACATCAATAGCACTTGCACATTAGCTACATGCAGCAGCGCTTTGGCTGATCTAGCATAGCATAGAGCAAAGGTCATTCATGCATACTGGTTCCCCACCGCAAGGTCACGCATGCAGATTCTCCACCGAAAGTCCACAAGCAGAGGCTCTACCCGGGCTGACTGCGAGGTCTCTGAACGGTACATGGATACTATCTCCTCCCTTTAAGGATCACACCAGTGACGCTCCTAACAGCTGTCGTTCTAGGAAACGAGATTGCTCTATGCAGGAGCTGAACCGCTATGACGGTCAGAGAGCCACTGACGAGATAGAAACCGCCAGCATGATGTCAGCCCCTATTCTATGAACGTTCGTGCAATATCCATCCGCCTCCAAACTTCAGCTACATATCAATCTCATAAAAGCCCATTGAATCATGATAATCGCCAGCGTCAGCAGGTGACAGTGAACGAGGCTTTCAACATGGCCAACTCTACTTTGGAATACGCCTCGACGATATTTATGAGAATGGTGTCTGATGACAACGGCTCTGATTTTTTCGTCGGCAGTGTCTTGGCTTCAACATGGGTGTTTCTCCGTGGCCTCGTCACATGGGATAACTTTTGGAAACTGTCAGCATTGACTCTCATTCTTGTGAATCTCAAGGTCTTCCCATTTATCTATCATCTACGCATTCTCAACGCTGTCCGCTTCGTTCTGCGATCTCAAAGGCCAAAGCGCGATGTCACTCCTGAACAACTCTTCCAACCGCTCATCACATCGTCCAAAGCTTGCCTGATGGAAATCGACGTTTTGGGCCACAAATCCAACAGTACATACTTTGCCGATACCGATGTTGCGCGAGCTCACCTCATCACTACAATGTTTGGGAATGGCATTGCCAAAATACGAGGAAGTACGACCATGAATGGCCTGAGTGGGAAGCCATCAAGCCAATTCACAGTCGCGCTGGGTGCCGTGAGTTGCACATTCAAGAAGGAGCTGTCGCCGTATGAGACATACGATATGTGGACGAGGATCCTCTCGTGGGATGACAAGTGGGTCTACATCGTCACCCACTTCGTCACGCGAGGATCCAAGATCGGGCCCCAACACTGCTCTCTGTATCCTCACCAAGACCGGCAACGACGACCCAAAGACGGAAAGCCGAAGGTTGCGTCGCCCATCAAGGGCACTACCGCCACCAACGGACCGACCCAATCTCCCATCAGGGCTTCGACGCTAAGCAAGATCGTCTTCAAAAACGGTCGCATCACGATTCGACCGCAAGAGATGCTGGAAGCCTCGAATCTGCTACCGAAGTCGGGTCGCGACGCAACGGCGGGAGGGAAACAAACATCAGCGCTGCGTGAGGCCATTGAGGCAGAACGACTGCGCGGTTTGCAACAAGCCAGCCTCCTTGCTAATCAAATTGGGCTCGAGAACGAATTCCGGGGTGATGTTGCACTTGGACGGCACTATGACGGATTTGGTATTGAAGGCGTCGTTGCGACTCTCGCACAGCTGGGCAAGCTTTCTCCGTACCAACTTATATGATACAGGGCCAAAAACCCGGGGCATGTCTGAGAGCAGGAGTAGAAACTACTAAAATATGGAGAACTGTACCACCCCGGATCTTCCTGTCTCAATAGAGTTGAATAGAATCATAATAAGGCCGCGCTAGTAAGAATAATCTTAATCGAAATGTCGTCACTTGTCGATCTGTGGGTCGCCCAAAGCCTCACCCGCCTATGCCTGTCATAAATGGTTCCTCTGGGCGGACCATGGAAGATCATTCGGCGTCGGGATTGACATAACTTCCACGAAGGCAAATGCAAGGTAGGTTTCCCCTCCCCGGTTCCCCGGAGACCAAGGGTTGAGACGCAGGAACAACAGAGTTATGCTTTCTGATCATGAGCGGGGCTATGGAAAAGGCCTGGTTAGATGAAAAGCCAATTCCGGAGTGGCTTGTAGTAAGTGACATACTTGCATTTACAGGCCGGCCCACACTGAAATGCACCAGCGTCCCAATCCTGAATGCACCACTCTGGCCCTGAATTCGACACCACCCAGCAGCAGAGTATGCGGACGCCAACTAATTCGGCAATAACAAAAACAGCAAGCTGATTACGGAGGCAATTTCCTTCTCCTCCATCATCGTGACGATCGTCATGACATGCTGGGCAAATGTCTTCCTCTATGACGACCAAAACCCGGTCCCTGGTACCGTGTGACGTGTCAAGATATCCAGCTTATCATTCTCTCATCTCCCGCGTCGCAGAAAACTTCCCGACTTCTTCGACCCGGAGTGCGATTGTTTTTGCACGCTGAACGTGGACTGAATTTCTGAGGAAAAGTCCTCCCGCGAAGAAAAGTTGGGGAAACCATGGCTGGCTTCACTCTTGGGCACCTAGCTCAAGGCAGGGATACTTGCCGCAATGAAAGTGTTGATGACACTATCAGCTCTGCGTCCTCGCGTCGTATCTTTTCTCGAAGCGGAAGCGAGTCTGGGAGAAGTCAAGAAAGGCTGAATACTCAGCCGCATCCACCTTACGACGATGAGGAGGCAATCACATTTGCCATCTCGAGGTATCCAGATTTTTCCAGAGGACAAGACGACGACATGTCTAACACCATGTCAAACACTACGAAAAAGAAGACCGACACTACCGGCCTGGATATATCGGAGACGAAGAAGCAATATAATCTTTCTTCGGTATCCGGGTTCTCCAGTATTGAGCCTCATGATGCCGTGGGGTCTGACCAGTCATTGGAAGTCTTGAGTCAAGGCGCGGGCGCATCTGCGGACGACGACACTGTGGAATACCCCGGCCCGCTTGCTCTTGCCTCGATCATCCTGGGCATCTGCCTCTCTATATTCAGCGTCTCCTTGGACAGGACCATCATAACCACGGTACGTTGCTCCAGCCCGAATCTTAGCGTTCCATTCTCACACTGAAACTTTTACAGGCCACTCCTGCCATCAGTGCTCGCTTCCAATCGTACGACGACATCGGCTGGTATGGCAGCGCGTATTTACTCACCGCGTCTGCCTTTCAGCCTCTCTACGGCAGGATCTACACCTCTTTTGAGACCAAGTCCTCCTTTTTGGTTGCTCTGGCCATCTTCGGCGTCGGGAGCCTAGTGGCTGCTTTGTCTCCGTCGTCTGACACCTTGATCGTCGGCCGTGCAATTCAAGGTCTAGGAAGTGCTGGACTGCTGACTGGTGCCTTTGTCATCGGGACGCATTCAGTGAAATTGGAAAGTCGACCGGTCCTCTTTGCCGGCGTGGGCATCCTTTACGGCGTTGGTGCGATCTGTGGTCCACTGCTGGGAGGCGCATTTACCGATAGCATTGGCTGGCGTTGGTGCTGTGAGCATTCTCATCTTCTCTTTCCAAAAGCAAAAGGAAAACAACAAAAACAAAAGATCTTCGCTGACTTTTTTTTTTCTCTCTATAAGTCTGGATCAATCTTCCCATTGGAGCGGTGACATTTTTCACCGTTTTTTTCTGCTTTAAACGTCAAACTCTCAAGGCTGAATCTAGCCGTCCTCCATTCAAGCAACGAGTGATGGAGCTCGACATCATCGGCAACATCATCCTGCTAGGTGCCACCACGATGCTCTTCTTGGCTCAGCAGTTCTCCATACAGCCACCATACTCCTGGTCCAGTGCGCGCTGCATCGGCTTGCTCTGCGGATTTGGTGCGACGACCTTGATATTTATGGCCTGGATCATCTGGCGGGGCGATGCTGCTTTAATCCCTCTTCGCATCGTACTCAAGAGATCGGTAGCTGCCGGTTGTGGTGTGGCTTTCTTCATCTATGGTGCTATCCTCATCCACTCTTACTATCTGCCCATCTGGTTCCAAGCCGTCAAGGGTGCGTCAGCCATTCAATCCGGTATCGATATGATCCCATACTTGGTGGCAAATGCCTTTTTTTCCCTGCTGGCCGGGATTTTCGTTTCCAAGACCGGGCTGTTTGCTTCTCCTGCTATTGTAGGCTGCGCAATTGGCACCGTCGGCGCAGGTCTGCTGACAACGATCAGTCAATCCACGTCTGTTTCGTGCTGGGTGGGCTATGAATTCCTTATTTCGGTTGGCCTGGGGATGGCCATTCAGCAAGGATTCAGTGCTGTACAGGCCACATTGCGTCTTGAGGACGTCCCAATCGGTACCGCCGCAGTTATCGCATCTCAATCCTTGGGTGGTGCTATCTTCGTCTCCGTGGGAAACACTGTGCTGCAAGGTGACTTGTTGAGCGAGAAAAACCAGCAAACAATTCCAGGTGTCGACATTCGCGCCGTTGTTGAGCAGGGGGCAACGCAATTTCGCAAACTGGTCCCTGCTGAAGACTTGCCCGTATTCATCAATTTATACAACAACTCGCTGCAATCTGTGTTCATTGCAGCCACTGCTTTGTGCGGCATGGCTTTTCTTTGCAGCCTATGCTACGAATTCAAAAGACTCAATGGAAAGCAAAAGAGGCGGCAAGAGGCGACAGAAAAAGACCGCGAGCACGAAGAGGGTTCAAATCTAGCTCAGGCCGACCTGGAGCAGTAAAACAAGTTGATTGAGCAGAAAGTGGGGGGAACACGTGAGGAGATGGTGGATTCGCGAGAGGCGGTTCGAGCTGCCACGGAATATATCGTACAGGCTTCATGTACAAGGTTGGACAGTTGATCGAACGTGTCGGATTTATGGGGTATGAATGCACTCATCTGTGCAGAGACTAATGCTGTATACTACTCACGAGGAACGGAGACCACTCAACGATGTGCCCTATCCCAAACCCACACACTGTATCTTTCACAACCGGCATTTCCTTAATAGCAGTGGTGGAGAAAATGGAGTCCCATCAAAGCAGTCCCCGGTGGCATGCTTAGCGCTTGGCTCTCAAGTCTGTCGCAAGGAGCCCCAGAGTACGTGTCCCGGAGGGAATCGGGAAGATCGAGGATGTTATGTTTCCCTTCCACCATGCCCGTGGGGAGGACCTCCAGACGATAAAATTTCCCTGAGAACGACCTGGAGGATGCATACGCCAGAATAGCACCGTGCACGACCAGGTGATTACAAGATGGAATGTGGCTTTGCCATAAGAGAGGGAAGAGCCTTACCTCCTTCTATCGTCAACCAGTCCCAACGGAGAGTCCACTCACTCCTATGCCCCTAAACTATTCTCTCCACCTCATGGTGCAGTGCTTTGAGTATTACTAGAACGGGAACCCAATTGGGATCCCCAAGATCCCCTAGTATCCTAAGCGGGTTCCATCGTCTAAAGTTCAAGACTAAAAGGTTTAGCTAAGAACTTGAGGATAGAGGAGTAGAAGGTGAGCCGAGGGGGCCATAGGGCGGCAATCACCTAAGCCGAAAGTGGAGTCACCTGCGACCAGTTTTTATTACTCATCTTGGCGGTTTCTCGTAGTGGCAGCTTGAACTTTTTTGGGCCACTCAGTCTACTCCCGAAATGCGACACAGCGACAGGGCGATTTCGACGACCCGAGTCCGTGATTGAAGAAGAAAAGAGCGCTCCTGTAGAGTTCTCTAGACGGAACAACTCGACAATGCCAGCGGCTATGCCACTGGACGTTTCCTAGAACCACAAGACATACGACAAAGCACCTCGAAATCTTCTCAATCCAGTGCCCACCATGGCGACGACGAGCTCCATGTTTATGTATAGCTTGACTATACAGCCGCCTTCAGCCATTACTCAAGCAGTCTTGGGTCAGTTTGCCGGTACAAAAGAGCAACAGATCATCACAGCATCGGGCTCTAAGCTCACCATCCACAGACCCGACCCGACGCAGGGAAAAATCTCCCCTCTGTTCACCCAGGATTGCTTCGGCATTATCAGGTCCCTGGCAGCCTTTCGACTGGCTGGGAGCAGCAAAGGTCAGCATCGTCTTTTCGTCGGCCGGCACATACTAATATACCGGTAGATTATCTGATTGTCGGCTCGGACTCAGGCCGCATCACCATCCTCGAATATCTCCGCGACCAGAATCGTTTTCATCGCGTACATCTCGAGACCTACGGTAAATCGGGCATTCGAAGAGTCATTCCCGGTCAATATCTTGCGGTCGACCCGAAAGGACGTGCGTGTCTGATTGCGTCCGTCGAAAAGAACAAGCTGGTTTACGTCTTGAATCGAAATGCCCAAGCCGAGCTGACCATTTCCTCCCCGCTCGAGGCCCATAAACCTCAAACATTGGTCTTTGAATGCATAGCCCTTGACGTCGGGTACGAGAACCCCATATTCGCAGCACTCGAAGTCGACTACACCGAAGTGGATCAGGACCCGAGTGGGCAGGCTCTGGAAGAGGTGGAAAAGCTCCTGGTTTATTACGAGCTTGACCTCGGCCTTAATCATGTGGTGCGCAAATGGAGTGAGCCCGTAGCAAGAAGCGCGACCAAGTTATTTCAGGTTCCGGGTGGATCTGACGGACCCAGCGGCGTTCTTGTCTGCGGCGAGGACAACATCACGTACAGACACTCAAACCAAGAGGCATTTCGTGTGCCAATCCCAAGGAGAAGAGGTGTGCTTGAGAATCCCGAGCGCAAACGACACGTCGTGGCTGGAGTTATGCACAAGATGAAGGGCCAGTTTTTCTTGCTTCTGCAAACCGAGGACGGCGATCTCTTCAAAGTCACCATAGATATGGTGGAGGATGACAATGGACAGCCTACCGGTGAGGTCAAGGCACTCAAAGTGAAGTACTTCGACACAGTTCCTGTGGCAAACAGTCTACTTATCTTGAAGAGTGGGTTCTTGTTTGTGAGCAGCGAGAGCGGCAACCACCATTTCTACCAGTTTGAAAAGCTTGGGGACGACGATGACGAGACAGAATTCACCAGTGACAATTTCCCTTCAGATCAAACAGAAGCGTACACACCAGCGTATTTTCATGTCCGACCCCTTTCAAATCTCAACCTTGTACAGAGCATTGATGCCGCAAATCCCTTACTCGACTGCAAAGTTGCGAATCTCCTCGATGAAGACGCGCCGCAGATTTATTCGATATGCGGGTCGGGTGCTCGAAGCAGTTTCAAGACTCTGAAGCATGGCCTCTCAGTCTCGGAGATTGTGGAGTCGGAACTTCCGGACAAGCCTGAGGCTGTTTGGACCACCAAGTTGACAAGAGAAGATGAGTACGACGCTTATATCGTGCTGTCTTTCCGCACTGGGACCCTGGTGCTTAGTATCGGCGAAACAGTGGAAGAAGTCACAGATACAGGTTTTCTTTCAACGGCTCCAACCCTGGCCGTGCAGCAGCTGGGCGAAGATGCGTTGATTCAAATACATCCCAAGGGTATTCGGCATATTCGAGCAGATAAGCGGGTTAATGAATGGCCTGCCCCCCAACATCGTTCCATTGTCGCTGCTACCACGAACGAGCGACAGGTGGCAGTGGCTCTGAGTTCAGGTGAAATTGTCTATTTCGAGATGGACAGCGATGGATCTCTGGCAGAATACGACGAGCGGAGAGAAATGACCGGAACGGTGACTTGTCTATCGCTTGGAGAAGTGCCCGAAGGTCGGGTTCGAAGTTCATTCCTGGCTGTGGGGTGCGACGACTCGACCGTCAGGATATTAAGCCTGGATCCCGAATCCACACTGGAAAACAAATCGGTACAGGCATTGACCTCGGCACCTTCCGCACTATCCATAATGGCCATGGCTGACTCCACCTCGGGCGGAAGTACATTATATCTTCATATTGGACTCTACTCTGGCGTCTACCTACGGACAGTCCTGGATGAGATTACTGGCGAGCTCTCGGATACGCGGACCCGCTTCTTAGGTCTGAAACCGGTGAAGCTTTTCCGCGTTTCGGTGAAAGGTCAGAATGCTGTAATGGCACTGAGTTCACGCTCGTGGCTTGGATACACTGACACGCAAACGAACGGCTTCATGCTAACGCCACTTGACTACATCGGTTTACAGTATGTCTGGAATTTCACCAGCGAACAATGTCCTGAAGGAATGGTGGGCATCCAAGGGCAGAATCTAAGGTGAGTCCCATTTCCAAACGTCAAGGTCTTTTCAAAGTGATGAAACCATAACTATGCTCTTTCCGAGAGTCATTGACTCATGCGGACTCCAAAACTCAACCAATTGTTCCTTCTGATGGTCTTGAAAGCGCCACTTGCTCAAAACTACATCTCTCGGGCTTCTCTAATTTCTTGCACCAGGATATTCACGATCGAAGATCTCTCTCGGAACCTACTCCAAGAGAATATCCCGCTTCCATATACGCCCAGGAAATTCGTCAAACATCCTGAACATCCATTATTTTACGTCATCGAGGCAGATAACAACGTTCTTGCCCCAGCCACGAGGACGAAACTGCTCACAGAATCTACTGCAGTCAACGGGGATGCGGTCCAACTCCCTCCTGAAGAGTTTGGGTATCCTCGCGGGACTGGTCACTGGGCATCATGTATTCAAGTTGTCGACCCTGTTACGACCAAATCCGTTGTCTTTACAATCGAGCTGGAGGACAATGAATGTGCCACCAGCATTACCGCGGCCCCATTCGCAGGTCAAGATGACGAAACCTTCTTGATTGTGGGGACAGCGAAGGATCTGGTGGTCAGTCCCCGTTCATTCTCTGCGGGGTTCATACACGTCTATCGCTTCCACGAAGACGGCAAGGAACTCGAGTTCATTCACAAAACGAAAGTGGAGCATCCTCCGACCGCCCTTCTTGCTTTCCAGGGACGGCTCTTAGCAGGCATCGGAGCAGATTTGCGAATCTATGACCTCGGAATGAAACAGATGTTGCGCAAGTGCCAGGTGCATGCAACGCCGAATGTCATTGTTGGTCTACAGACCCAGGGAAGCAGAATTATTGTCAGCGACGTTCAAGAGAGTGTGTCATTCTGCGTATACAAATACCAGGAAAACAAGCTCATTCCCTTTGCCGACGATGTCATCGCTCGCTGGACGACTTGTTGCACAATGGTTGATTACGAAACCGTGGCAGGTGGTGACAAGTTCGGCAATCTCTGGTTGCTGCGTTGTCCGACCAAGGCTTCTGAAGAGGCAGATGAGGATGGCTCGGGTGCGCATCTGATCCACGAACGAGCATACCTCAACGGCGCCCCCAATCGACTGAGTCTTATGATGCACTACTTCCCTGGCGACATTCCCACCAGCATTCAAAAGACGAGTCTTGTGGCCGGCGGCCGAGACATCGTGTTTTGGACCGGGTTTCAGGGCACGCTTGGAATGCTCGTTCCATTCGTGAGTCGTGAAGACGTCGACTTCTTCCAGTCCTTGGAGATGCAACTGGCGTCGAGCAATGGCAACCCCCCGATTTTGGGCAGAGATCATCTGATCTACCGATCATACTATGCGCCTTCGAAAGGCACCATTGATGGCGACCTGTGTGAGACCTTTTTCTTACTGCCGAACGACAAGAAACAAGTGATTGCAGGAGAGTTGGATCGAAGTGTTAGGGAAATTGAGAGAAAGATTTCAGATATGAGGACACGAGTGGCTTATTGATTCTTGTGCGTTGCGATGCATGTCAAACCTCGGAGACGAACGGCGCCGGGGAATTCCCTTGCCACAGGGGGGGTGTTTGTGAATGTGGGTAGGCGGCGGGCTTGGATTGACGATACCCTCACCTATCAAACAGGTGACAGACAAAAACAAACAATTGTGAGTCGAGCTTTACTCCCTCCAACGAAGACTGTTCAAAGAGGCAGTTCATTGCTTTCTCCTGACTACGCGCCTCGGAACGGCTCATTCCCTCCTGAACCCTGTCTGCTCGTCTGCGACCCACGACGCTCTGTCTGTTGTCCTCCCCCCGCTTCACTCCTCTGACCGATGAGGGGGGCAGGGTGCGTGTATGTGTACAGATGTACGTCTCTTACCTCGCTCGATCTGCATTTCTGGACCATTGCTTGATCTTGAGCTGGATGCTGCCTGCTGTCCCCCTCCGCCCTCCCTGGGCGGAGGGCCGCGCATGCACGCACGAGACAAGAACAACCTTGCCGATCTTTGAGTACGATTCCATCTTCCCAACGTGGGCGTCAGTGGTGGGCTATTGTAATTTATGCGGCAGGACACGACTAGATAAGAGACGTAGGTATTCTTGCCTCTTTGGAGGGATATTTTTCGGCCTTTACACCACCTTGAGGAGCAACAAGGTGTCACAAATACTTGCGCTCCTCATCTTGGGTCTCCTCTGGTCTTATCGGTCAATACTTTTGTTTTCGTTTCCATGTTTGCTACACGGGTTATATGCTGGCTCAAGGGGGCGGGACCAACTCCAACCCCTCTACCGTCAATTTGAACGCGTCCGGGCGCGCATAATGGCCCGTGGCGTCAAAATCCAAATGCCCCCTTTCACAGTCATCGAAGTCCACTTCCGCCCACAAGAGTTCGTTGTCTTTCTCCCATACCGGCCCTGCAATGGTCTGGCCTAGCGGGTTGACGATGCAGGCGCCGCCCCGGGAGACGAAGTCTTCGCCATCGTGGAGAGGCTTGCTTTCGTCGATCGGAGCGTCTTTGCAGCGCCATGCTATCTCATGGTTTTCCTCTGTGCGTGTCATGGACAATCTCCGGCCACTCGTCGCGGTATGGTGGTCTGGAACAGTAGTGCCATTCATCAACGTTTCCGACTCGTGCTTTGACCGTTTTGACAACCACTCCCTCGGATCGCCCGTGATCCAAGGAGGCAGGTCCTTCCTCTTGAGACATTGGTTGGTGGTAAGAACGAAACAGCGGCCCTCGCCGGCAACAGTCCTCATCAGCGGTTCCCACGTGTCCCTCGCATCCGCTGTAGGCGCCAACCATAGATTGACGCCTTGACTGTAGAGACTGTAGCGTAATAGGGGCATAAAATTCTCCCAGCATATAGCACATCCCATGACCACTCTAATTCCCTTAATGGTTGTAGCGACCGCCTTTAGTGTGGATGGCTGACCTTGCGCCCACACCAGTCGCTCCGAACCCGTCGGCATGATCTTCCTTCTCTTCCCTATGACTCCTCTTTTAGGGTCGACATATACCGCCGCACAATAGAGACTTCCTCCTGCCTTCTCAATGAGCCCAGTAACAATGAACACGCCTGTCTCTCGTGCTACCTCTTCGAGAAACTCTCTCGTCCCGTCTCCTCTTCGGCCCGTCTCTTTGTTTACTGACAGCTTTCGCTCGATCCAGTCATCTCCAGCTCCTTGCGGGGTGTCGCCTAAGTCCACCGCGGATTTAGTGTAGGCGAGAAACTGATCACGGCCGGTGTCTGTGCGTGCCCCGACAGCTGCGCCGAAGGAACACGTTCTCGGGTATCCGCCTAGGTAGGCCTCAGGGAAGAGAAGTATGGACACATCCCTCTGGGCGGCCGATTGGGTGGTTTCACGCAGGGCCGACAGGGTCTCTTGCAGGGACGAGAGTGTGCGCGATTGGGACACTCCGATTTTCAGCAACTGAGGCATTGCGTCGAGGTGGCAGCTTCACAGAAAGTTGGGAAAGCAGCGAGCTGAGCTTGTGACCACACGGAAACCACTGTCAGCTCATTATATCACAGAAGATTACAAAACTTCAACCAAGGATTGGAAATGCAAACGACGAAGAGCATAGACGGAGTAGTGCGACCGTCAAAGAAATCCGAGGAGCAGGAAGCAATGCGGGGAAGATGCTGCTTTGCGGAAACTAATACTTGCTTTGTTAGGCTACTTAGCCGACTGGAATAAGGGAAAGTCTTCCGGTAACGAGGCTCCGAGGTCTCCGAAAATCTCAGCCTCGTGGACTTGCTCCTCAAGCTTCAACCTGAAATGCAAGGCGGTGACGGACAAACACAGCTTTCTTTCCTCCGCAGAGCTTGAAACGATCTGGGATCAGTCTGGGTGATTCGCTCTCAATTTAGCACGCGTGTTCGACAAAGTAACGGAGCAGCCATTTTGACAGGCGGCCCGACAAGATCTGGAATTTTCGTGCTCAGGCTACGGGTTATGTGGATCTCGGTCACCAGTGACACAGGCGAATCAACATGTCTGTTACTCCCTAAATTCTGCCACGGTTAGATCGCCGATGGCTCAAGGGTGGAGAGAAGCCGACCACATTCCAAATTATCACAGCTTCTGCTTACATTGAGGGACTGTCGGGCCGCTTCTGGTGCTGTCGTTCGCTTCACGACTCCTAGGAACGAAGAAAATCACCAAAGCTCATGGCAATCCGACAGAATCCTTCTTTCCGTGGATTTTGCTGTGGCTGTGCCAAGCCAGCCAGCATTCCGCACCATTTAAACAATACCTGTCTCTCTTAGACTCGTCCCCAAAGGGCGATCTGTGCCCACATCGACGCAACGCCACTCTGACGGTGAAGTTCAAAGACTGAATCGAACCGTATCCATAGAAAACGGAGATGTCACAATATGTCGCAGCAACCTGTCAGTCAAATGCTGGGGTGTATACTCAACCATTTGGTTGGGGGTGACATTTGCCGGAGCGGATCGAGGTGTCGTGGCGGAATCTTGAATCCTGCATGATTTCGCCCCCTTGCTTCGTCATGTTCATGGCTGAAAGCGATGGAAACCTAACTCGTCAATGTAGAAAACAACACATTTCCAGCTATGGCTCCACTCATTCAGCGTTGATGCGTTACCACGATCCGACTCTGCGGTCGATGTGCTACCCTTTTGTTTCAGGAATATCGGGCTTCGAGAACGATTCGAGGCCACTGGGCGCTGCACTCATGGAACCGACACTACTCGAACATATGTGAAACAGCCTCTCGTGATGACGGTGGGAAATGTCTGTTGCTGAGAAAGAAGCAAACCGTTATGAGGTATATGGTAAGATGAAAGTATAAGGTTATGATCATATCCTTCGAACCCTCAGTCGATCTCCAGAATATCAAAACGCGACTCAACCTTGGGCCTTTGCGTCACAACATTGATCTGACAAGCCGTCAATATCTGAATCTTGTCTGATCCCAAGATGACATTGGTCCCCATCATTGCGAGCATGGGAAATGCTCCTCCTTTTGCGAATCCCTCGGCGCTGCAACCGGAAGGTCCGTCTACCGCCTGCCGGAGAACCCCAAGATTATGAAGTACAACAGCAGATCTAACCAAAGCGTCTAGCGCTCCACCACCTCACCGATAGGCAAATCGGAGGTCTCCTGGGCGACCTCCTCGGAGGGCTGGGCCTACCAGTGGACTCCTCATCACCGGGCTTGGTACTTACGGCGTTGTCATCGGAGGCTTGGACATCCACATTAATGAGACATTGGGGCTCTACGTCTAAGATTTGACGGCAGCCACAGGGGGGGGGGGGGGGCGGGGGAGAGTCCAACCATGTACAATTACCCAGCGTGGTGCTTCTCTGGGCGCAACATCACCTTCGTCACCTACATCGAATGGAGTTTGAACTTGAGTTGGCAGATGAGTTGGAGGGAGTGTTGTTTGGACCTGGCATTGGACATTCGCTTCAGAGTTCCTAGGTTGTGATCGAGAACCATTCGTCAAAACGAGCCCGGGTCACCAGATTGTCTTCGGCATCGACCCGTCTTTACCGTTGCTGACCATCCATCTTCGATCCCGTCCCTGCCTGATCCCACTGCCCGCCCGAATGCGCTTGGTGACCCGAAATCGGGATCTCAACCCCGCATTTGTTGACCCCGTCGAGTCGGTCAGTCAGCAAAGCTGATTAGTTGAATGGGCCTCCTTTTCAGAAAATGATATCCGAGTGGGGCATGGCATGCGTTGGGCCCGGCAATCCGATTCATCTCCCGCAGATGTGTGGGGAAAAAGACCAACAGCCTCTTAACTGATTGACAAACTAGTGATAGTAGGAGGCAGCGAGGCAGTCACTACGACCCGTCCAAAGACCGTAGATCCGATGGCAATCAGGGACCTGTCTATTCGTCCCCAGGACTGTCCCACCGAGGAACCTCTCAAAAGGAGATGGATGCAATCGACAACGACACGGCGGCAGCAGGAGCAGTCTCGGAAGCATATGAAAGTTCCATTTTCAATGTATACACATTGGATATTCCCGAAAACAGTATATATTAAACCTGGCATTCGTGTGACAATGAAAACCCCTTTTTGTTCTTGTTCGTCCCTCATCTCCTAGGCTGTAAGCTAGGTTTGAATCCCTTCTCCACCTCCTCTTGTCCCCCTGGTTTTCTTCCAATTTGAGAACAACATCATGGCACTTGGTACAGTTAAGACCAAAACGCGGAACCTTTCCCAAAGGTAGCGTCCTGTGCATCCTTGGTGACAATTAAGAAAACGAGAGAACTCCGTGATCGTGACCGGTATGATATCATGGTGTTAAAACATGGCTGCGCAAGGTAAAATCGTGGTGAAAAGTCATCATGAAACTAGAAGTTGGTTCCATGTCCCAGTAGATCCGACGACATAAAGAGACTATTGGGGCCAGCTTATAGACTGAAATACAGCTCGACGACCTAGTTACCCAATTTCAGAAACCGGTGGGTGACAACTTGCTCGGTCTGTGGGCTCTTGACTGCCTCAACAGGAGACTCGACAATGTCGGATGGCAAAGCGGGTTCCTCGGCGGCGGAGTTGGATTCTGCAGAGACACTGGAGCTAGATCGTCGGGTCTTCTGGAGAGCAGGAACTAGTGATTCGTCGCTGTCGATACTATCGACGGAAGAAGTGAAGGGAGAGACGATATGGACGCGATGAGCGGTGGGGATGAGGGTGAGGAAGTTGTTGGTTGGGCCGGACATTTTGGATCTGTAAAGCGACTGGTTCGTAATGTTCCGATAGAATGGGATGTGCAGGTGGCAGGAGCTGATGACGGGAAAAGTTCAAGGAGGGTGTTGGAGGTCGAATGATGCAAATAAGGAGCGTTGTGATGTTCTTTATGTCGAGTTCTTTGTTTCCAATGACGCAACAACGGATTTCGCTGTTACGGTTGCCTCGGGACTGCGGAAGCCACACGTGCGGACTTATGCTTAGATTATGTTGGCTGAGGCTGTTTGATGCCCTTGTGGCGTCAATGGATTGGAAATCAAAAGGTACCCGTGATTGATTCGTAAGGGTTGGAGGATGGCAAGAAGTGGTTTTGACAGATGGGGGACTTCCTGGTCACAGGAAAAGAGAAGCGTGGGAGCTCGTTGGGCTTGGGTGCCTTTCTTATAGACTTCCCCTCTCCCACAATTCCTCATACGATCCCGAGATTAGGTCAGAAAGATACGAGTCAATATGGTATTGTCCAGGGTATGCCATTACCTTGCGCGCGGTGGGAGGGTCGACGGCGAATTGAATGCCTGTAGATCGCGGATAAAACCGGTAGGCATGACAGTTGAGTTCTTGAACGTGTTTCGATGGACATCATGATCGAGGCTTTCCAACTTGGACATGAACATCGTCACTGGTGGATCCCTTTCCAGGCTAAGGTAAGGCCGGGAATGACCGTCATTAACCTCGGTTAGTGTGGCATGATCATCAGGGCCCGAACATTGCCTGTGTAACGCATGCTGATGACGGAGAATTGCTAGATGCATTTGCCCTGTGTCCTGCGCGTTTCGAAGCTGCCTTCAGACTTGAAAAGTCCCTACCTGCAGGAGAAAAGTGGCCTTCGGTGTGCAACCCTCGGGTGTTGTCAAACTCATTGGTAATAGAGCTTTGGTCGGGCCTTAGGCAGCATTGATCTCACTCGAAACACACTCGATTTGTGGAGGCACGTGGTGGGTGGCGACCTGAAAGCTGGATTGTGCTCCCACACTACCAGATTGTGATACGAGACGCGGCGTGCCAATACTTGGGGAAGTCCAGGATCTCTCTCAATGTCCCACGGAAAGCGACGGAAAGGCAACTAGGCCTCCCAGAGGCATGGCTGCGAGATTGCTTGCCTCACAATGACCCTGTTGGTAACGTACAGAACCAAACGGGGGAATTGTGACATTCTGCTTCCTTCAGTCCGAAGGAATATCCGGGACTCGGGAGAATTATCCCGACGACGTGGTCTGCAAATATGTGGCTTACCTCTGCACGTGTGGCGGGCATCTAAGATGTCTTCTGGGTTATACGAAACTGCCGTGCTCTTAATTCATTGAAGAAAGGATGGATGATCTGAAGTCGAAGAAGAGACGGTGAACTGATGCGGGCGAAATCTGAAAAGTCGATTTGGGCTTGGCATTGCTCCCTGCGCTCCTTGGCATCTTTGGTGCAGGTGGCGAGCAGTGACCTGTGATCTCTACACCTCATTCACGCTCCTCGAGCAAATTCCCATCTCTATCTTATGCACTATACGAGACCGTCATGCGCCATGCTACCACTTCAACCTCTCCTGCTCCAAGACCGATCCACGCGGCTCCTGTGCGCTACCGCAAAGACGGGGGTCCGAGAAGGGCGGTCAGGCCGGGATTGAAGACTATGCATAAGCTGGCTGGGAGGTGAAAGATATGGACCATCTTCACACATGTCTAAAAGAAGGCTCTCTAAAGATACGAAACACATCCCACCAGATCCCACCCATCTTTCGGAAAACCTTGATGCATGCGTGTAGCATACTATTTTGGGAAAGCTACCCTGCTCGCAACTCCGGCCCACGCGCTATCGACGAATGGCGGGACAGCAATTCACAGAGGCGGACATCTCTACCACCGCGAGAATCTTCCTTCGCTACGGGAGTAATTTGTTGCCATCTCGTCATTTGCATGGCTGTATTAGTTCGAGGCCATCAGCCTCGCTTCACGTGCCACATTGGATGAGTGGGAGCTGCACATCTTGAAAGACTAAGCAGATCAGGGGGAGAACTGAAATTTTACGGCTTGACCCTTGTGAGGTGGGCATGTCTCGTGAGTGGGGGTTTTCATGTTTCATCAGCTTTGCCAATCCCTCAGGGTTTACGCTTGAACTTCTCCGCCGGCGGTGAATCAACGCTTCGAAATCTCAGAATCCAGGTGGAACGCCGCTTTGCCACGTCGAAAGATCTTCCAGCAGTGGTCGAGAAGGCACATCAGAAACACGCTCTCGCCTCTGTTTTGCGGAAGCAAAATTACCGTTGATCCGACTTTGGCTGCAGCTTAAATGTACGGTGGTTTACGATCTCGCGAAAGTCGAGAGCCTTCATAGTCAATGGCTGACGGGCTAGCACTTGTCTTGCTTCTCAAGCTGAGACTCGGACAACCATACTTAGGATACTATTTCTGGGGCAAAATGTTTGGTCGACTGAGGCTGACAAGGATCGGCTTTGCAGCTATCCAGTTCCAGTCTAACCCCCTGTAGCAGTAAATATTCAAATATGAAACAGTTCGGACTGAACCATAGAGGATAATGCTGAGCAACCCGGATTGACTTTGGGGCCACGATATTATTGATCTTTCTAGTTCATTACATCTCCGATTCATTGCCACGAGGCTGTGAGGCCGCCCTGCCATTCTGGCGGAAACGTCATAATGCCAAGCCTCGCCACGGTGTTCAGCCTCGTCATAGTCACAACACCTTCGCTCTCTTTCTTTTCCACTACATCTTCGAAGATGCTACAATATGTCTGTGGATATCGGATGGGAGAAGATCACTTCGGGCCCCGATGGCGCTGCCCTCGCCGAGAAAATTCGGGCATTCGTGCATGACAAGTTCCAGCAGATCCCCCTTCCTCGCTTCATCAATGCAGTCCATGTTCATTCGTTCGAGCTGGGGTCAGTTTGTCCGGATATCGAGATCAAGGATATTTGTGATCCGCTTCCTGATTTCTATGAGGATGAAGAGGAGGATGAAGTCTACGCCGATCAAACCGTGGATGAATCTGCAGTGGCGTCTGCACAGCACGATGGCCCTGAGAGCATGAACAACTATGGGCCCCAGGACTCTGCCTCGTCTTCTCAGCAGCCACGCTCGGTGCCACAGCTTCCCAATATCATCACGGGTCCAGGGCTTGCTAAATTCAATGCTTCAGTTTCTGCCAAGGAAGATCTCAGTGCAGGCGAAGAGGCTTTTGCGGGCCCCTTCCCGCGGAGTACAACTCCTGGCATCCCAGGCGGCACATCCAATCTCAGCTACTTTCACTTGCCTGGCGGCGGCCTTTCCGGGACTCAGACTCCCTTGGCAGCAGTTGCTAGTGGGACGCCCTTCAGTCCTCGACCCTGGTCGTACGATCCTTCTCATCGCTTAGCAATACCCCATCAGATGGCTCTTCATGGATCAGCACACATGAAGCCGGTGAGCCAAGACGTATCGGGTCACGATGATCCATCTACTAGACCTTCCACTGCAAACAGCATCTCCTCTCCACGTGGTTCAGAGTCTGGGCCTTCGTCCCCTCAGTTGCCTCACAGAGCACAGCTCGCTGGTGGAAGCGACCGGAGAGATTCTGCACTCGATGCACTGACGCCCTTGTCAGCATCGAGGCTCCAGAGCAGGCAGGCGTCAGATCTGCAAGTGGTGGCCAGAGTCAGGTATTCCGGGGACGTGCGCATGACTCTAACGGCCGAAATACTTCTTGACTATCCAATGCCGAGCTTCGTTGGAATCCCTCTCAAGTTAGCCATCACCGGTCTGACATTTGATGGTGTCGCTATCGTGGCTTGGGTCAAAAGGAAGATGCACTTTTGTTTTCTTGATTCCGAGGACGCCGCTGCACTCGTCGGAGAAAGTGTGACAAACGAACAACGTAAGAAATCAGGTAGCACAACAGGTTCAGGCGCCGGGCTGCCTGGACCTCTGCAGGAAATCCACGTGGAAAGCGAGATTGGACGACAGGAAGACGGCAAACAAGTACTCAAGAACGTGGGAAAGGTGGAAAAGTTTGTTCTTGAGCAAATTAGGAAGATCTTTGAGGAAGAGTTCGTCTTTCCCAGTTATTGGACCTTCCTAGTATGATGTTACAACAAGCTTGCCGGCGGTCGACGGCCAGTAAAGTCAGCTTTCGGGCATGATCCCTCGACGACCTGTGACTGATCGGCCCCTTGAAACGCTCTTCTCAACGTTTCGGGAAGCTCGCGACCAAAACTAGAAATCCAGCCTTGACCAGCACAAAAGTATCGGCCCCCCCTTCTCCCCCCACCGGTCGCAGTTTAAGGAAATTCACCTCATGATGGCCACGTCACGGGTTGCTTTCTCCAGCTTTGTGTGGCTGGGGAGGATGGCTACCGAGGGTGCAACCAGGAATCAGGCGATAAAACCTTGGTCATCCTTACTTTGAGCCGGTCAGGCACCTAACCAATAGCAAGGATGCGGGCCCTGCTGAGATCTGTACGCCTGCCTCGGTTCGTGCCACGTTCCTTGACAGGGCTGTTAGCGGTGGTAAGGGAGTCAAGGGCGTCCCTGAAACGAGAAACCATAATCGAACCATGGCTTTCCATTAGCAAATGGGGATCAAAAGAAGATCAGACGACAATGGAACATGATGATTGCCTTTTCTATCGGCGGATTGAGAGAAAATGGTGCTCGAGGCCGCGTCAAAACATTTGACAGGCGAAATGACGTCGCCTTCTTCTTCTTGGGGAAAGCCTTATAAACCTCGAACATATCTCAACATCGATCAATCCTCATCCCAATTCAAGTCGTCTATTCTTGATCACCAGTAACCATGCAGCGCCTTCGAAAGTTTATCCGACGCGCCAGCTTTGGCAGCTCTTCTGCCGCTCCTCGATCTCAAGCTGTAATTGCGACGAAGCCTGCGTCACAACCGCCTCCACCAGCAGGCGGCCCAAGCTTGAACATTGCTCTGCAAAACCAGACAACCTCCAGCACTGTCTACGCTTATATCACAGGCCAAGCGATTGACCGTGGCAATGCATTGTTTCTTCTCTTAGCAGATGGGAAAACTCCATTCTATCCTAGCTCTCCGGCTGCGATCGGCTCGCACATCCCACAAAATTGTGCCATCGCTCTCGGAGGGCCGGGAAACACTGTGACAGTGACAATACCCCATGTAGCTGGAGGCCGCATTTGGTTCTCGATTGACGCACCTTTGACATTCCTGCTCAACCCAGGGCCGGCGCTGGTTGAACCATCTGTCACAAATTCATCCGACCCCAACATCAACACCAATTGGGGCTTTGCCGAGTTCACGTTCAACAGCGACCAACTGTATGCCAATATCAGCTATGTTGATTTCGTCGGCCCACCCATCGCATTGACACTCACGACCCAGAGCGGCGCCACCCAGCACGTCTCCGGCATGCCAAGCAATGGACTTGACATAGTCTGCAACGGTTTGCGTGCACAACATGCCGCCGATGGCAACGGCTGGGACCAATTGATTGTCACCCATAATGGACGAAACCTTCGTGCCCTCTCGCCAAATCAAGGAATGGTGACCAACCCTTCGCTGTTCTCAAATTACTATGATGGGTATATCAACCGAGCCTGGCAGAAATTCAGTTCTCAATCCATGTCCATCGACACTCAAGCTGGCTTTGGCACTGTTTCCGCAAAGGTCGACAACAACAACTCGACTCTCAGTTTCGGCAGTTCAAGCTTCACGAAGCCTTCTACACGAGACATCTTCAGCTGCTCTACGGGGCCGTTTGCGACGGGCGCAAATGCCGAAACAAACGCCATCATTCCTCGACTGGCAGCGGCGTTTAATCGCTCGACCTTGCTCGTTTCTGATTCCTTCCCAGCGCCCCAGAACCTGTATTACAAGGACCCTACCACCAACCACTACTCCCGAATCGTGCACTCGGCAAATCTGGACGGCAAGGGCTATGCGTTTCCCTATGACGATGTCCAGCCGAGCGGTGGTGCGGACCAGAGTGGTGAGGTTCATGCTGGCGACCCAACACTGTTCACTGTCACCGTGGGAGGTATGAACGCGAGCGTGAAGCCGCCACCTAAGAAGGAGCTATGAAGACGATGAATAGCTCAGCAGCAGCAGCGGCGGCGGCGGCGGCAGCAGAAGAAGGTGGTGTGGTGGATGAGATTTTGCAACGCCATTCCTTTCATCTCCTTATGGTTTTGGATTTCTGCGGGTTTTCTCAGTACTCTTTGTTTTAGTGGATTAGATCACGGGTGCTTGGTCTACCAATTCGATCGCGGCGACACTTCACCATCGGAGAGCCTTGACTGGTGAACCATTTAACAAAATCCATAGCTCCCGGGCTGGGATTAATGGAGGAAAGGGGGGAATCGTTCGTTCGGCTTGGGCTTGAAGGGGCAGGAATCTATGAACGGATGACTGGATGGGACTGCTTTTTGTTGTTCTCTGTTTTCCTGTCTTGGTTGGCTTGGGTACTGCTAGCTGCTATAGAACTTGACTTGATAGACCTTTTATCTCTCCCATCCATTCGCTCACCCACAATCCAAACAGTTGCCCCATTTCAGCAGGCGGACGCAAAGATCGTGGTATTTGAAGTCATCTAGAGACCAAGGGACAACAGTCTCCTATTGCGTAGTCCTCGTCCCTGCTTTGCATTAGTCCAGACTGCAGCAGAAGCCGAAACTTGAGCAGCCTCCCATGCCATGACAAGTAGACGGAATCGCGGAGCATCGACAAGTGCTGGGTCGGGACACCATGCAAACAACATAGGCTTTGTAAACGATTTCGTAGCCTTCTTTGAGACCGGCGCATTCTCTTGACATATTCCTTGGGAAAGTTTTTTTCTGCGCAGGAGAGAGTTCCAGGGTTCCGCTGGAAAGTTCCTCTTGTATAGGCCGGGCATCTATCCGCTCATTTGCCTATAAGTCCCGTTGAATAACGACTAGCTATAGCCTATCCCGTGAGATTCGGTTCTTGTTGCCCATTCTTGTCGCTCATTAACTCCTAGTTTGGGAGATGAAACAGCGCATTTTACGACATCCAAAGCAAAGTTCGATAACGGATGACTCTATTGGTAACACTCTAAATCTCGTCGAAGTGGGCTTTGTAGCTGGATGTCTATAAACAGCGGCCTGATTGCTAACACAGAAGAACAGGTCTGGAGCATGAGGTCGGTTCGCATGCAGTGATTTGACGAACATCTGCGCCGTTTTGCTTGCTTGTGGTACCCGGAACGAGAATCTTTCGTGTCTTCATGTCATGTCTATTGTTGAATTCCATATCAAATGCGCATGACGTTTTCCGATAGTTTACTTTCAACGGTGATTGCCCCGTGGTTCGGCCAAAGTAGTATCGGTCTCTTTGCGCATTCCCTTGCTGAAATGTCGATTCGGGTGTTGAACCTCCGGGGCCGAGATCGCGGGACTGCGCGTACTTGTGGGTAACGAGGGCTTCGAAGTTGAGTTGTGCCTTGACGTTGACTGGACGTGCTATAGCGTCCTCTTCGATCTCGTGCCACTCGGCTTGGCTTTCCTTCTTCCGTAGGTGGCATTATAATCACACCGTGGTTGGAGAGATAGTCCCACTTCAATATGACCGTGTTTTCATCTGTTGTATAGTGGATTAGACGGTACACATAGTGGTTACGATTCACCCATAATATATAGGCTTCCGGCGAGTAGGTCGCCTGCGTAGGCTGATGACGATGGTTGAAGAAGGTGAATTTCAGGGTACTCCCGAAATACCACCCTATCCCGGTAGGCTCTCCTTTGTCGTCGATACCCAAGTTAGTATTCCGGGTAATGTAGCAGGATCTAAGTAGTATTTGCGAGCCCATAATCTTTTAAGGATTTGTTGCTAGGGGCGTCATTTCCCCAGTACAATATATTGTTTAGGTGGACTTCCAATAAAATATGGAAAGCAGCCGCACAAGGTCAAGACAGACAGACAGACAGACAGACAGACAGACAGACAGACAGAGAACCAGAGACAGAAGGGATACATCCCATCGCTTCTCAAATATGTCTCATTTGCTGGATCTCCGTCCCCCGTGCTGGACGATTTCGCGGACTCCATCCGAATAAGTGCTAAACTGATGATCATGGTTCTCTGCCAGCAGTTGCTTTCTCGCTTGGAGGTGGAGATAGACTGGTGCAAGGCCAGTACAGGAATTTGTGCCAGAGTGCATGTGTTCTTGTCGTTTGTAGGGTGGGAGTGGCGTATAGATCCAAATCCTCGCAAAAGGACAGATCCCACGGAGCGTATCAATAAATTCACGGGCCCGTATCGACAACATCTGTTCCCTGAGAAGCCTGGAATGATAGCCGGCGGCATGACCATCAGGTACAGTCCCATCATCTCATACCGATGCTCGTATCATGTCTGCGCAATACACAATGCATCCAAGGCCGGTCGTCGCTGCAGACAGCTACAAGTAAGCCGAGCAGGATCGACATATCAAAGGTTGACGAGGTCTTCATCGGCCATATACCCAAGAATACCACCGCACTTCCACTTCCGGGAGCATCTCAAGGGTCATCCGCCTTCAAAGTGCCCGTCATCGCCTAAGGGGAGAATGACCTTTGCGTTCGGGTCGTCACCCCAGGTGTAATTCTCCTGTGCGAGCTCATCAAACCAGGCGGGAGCCTCCTGCTCGCCTTTCTTTGCACGTTTCCCTTCACGGCTGTGCCCTTGACGGCCACGAGGCCGTAGATGTGGGTGCGCGACCCAGCACTGGCTGGTGAGGTGCCCGTCCTTTCCACCGCAGGATGAGTGCATTTAAAGGACGGTGACGCTTGGGAAAATTGTTGTTTGAGTTTGTTTGGAACCGTGCCAGCGGTCTGGTCGTGACGTGTCATCAAGGCTGGAGAAAAAGGAGGCATTAAGTTTTCAAAGTCGGAGGATGAGAAAGTAAAGTTGTTGACAGGATGCTGGATTTGCAAGTTTCTGCTTCACTCTCGAATCCGTGCAATGGTCGAATATATATATTTTCGTCTAAAAAAACACCGAGTTCGTCGACTAGGTTATAGAGAACCGTTCCCAACTTATTGACTTGTTGCAGCGGAATATGGAGACGAGTTGAGCTCCGTCGTTTTGCTGAGCGGCGTGCCCTCGAATGTCAGTAAACAATGGAGCCCCAAATGTAGGCTAAAGATGGAGGTGGAATGTCAGGAGGAAAAATTGGGGCAGAGGGAGTTTAAATAGTTTTCGTTGCAATATACTTTTCGCGGTCTCTCATGGTGTCACACAGTCATAAGGGCAGGGAAGAAGCGTTTCAGTCAGATTTAGAGTTGGTGAATACTGCCAGAGGTCGCGGTTGTGATATTGTACCTTTCTCCTCAACTTACTTTTCTTGCGATCATTCCCTTGGAGTGATTCATCAATGGGGCCACGACCGGAGGCAACGTGAAGGAGTGGCAGAGGGAACGAAAAAGAAGAGCAAAATCATCGTGAGATTGTGCGACGCGGTTGAAGTGAATCTGTGGCATGGCCACCGGATCTTTGCCTGTCTTTGAGCAAGAGTGATGGACAGGATTCGGACCTGTGACTGTGAGCTTTCATTGATACCTATGCACGCACCGCTCTTTTGTGGGCTTCTCTCATCCTCTCTGCACAAGGAATGTTCCCTTCAACGCAATGCTAACACATCCTGTCCAAGGCTTGTTCTCCTTCAACCAGGAGCATCATTCAGTCAGCCAACTTTTCAAACCTTTCAAGAACTCGCTAGCTCTCTTGGGGTCCTCTGACTGCATAGCGCCAGGCACCTTGTAAGTCGTGACCAATACCTGTAATGGGATCCCTGTCAGGTTTCAATGAAATTGACTTAGCACTCTGCCTAGATCGGGGTCCCAGAGTCGTCAAGCCGGAGTCATCGGCTGACTCAAGCCCAGTCTCCATCGTCTTCATCTTGCTCCACCCTTGCTCTCTTATTTCTTCCGACACGACTTCCGCCGACACTAATGGTGACGACCTGAGAGCTTTTGATCGCGGCACGGATGGTAGACGCAACCATTTTGGCGATATTGGGAGGGACGGCTTTGCAAACAGTTTCATACTGCTCTTCTTTCGATCCGAAGAAGCGCAACTCGTCTGGAATGCCTTGCAGGCGGGCGAGTTCGCGGACGGTAACTCTATCCTTCCTAACTGTTGTGGCTGGTCAGATGGTTGGAGGAAATTCCGGACGGAAAGAAAACTTGCCTGGATGGGCCCACTCTTTTCGGTCATTGAAGAAGGTGAAAATGGTATCGCCGTCCATTGAGATAGACTCGGCGCCAGGTCCAACACGAATTCCTGTATAGTGATTGTAGACATGGTCAAGCCTGGACATTTCCCCCCGAGGTCCGCCGGCATTGGGATGCAAGCACACAAACCCAGTGTTCGACTTGTTCTCCATCCGAGGATTCTTGAAAGCCAGGTCTACAATCAAACCACCAATTGTGGCGGGTTCATCAGCATATCGATCGAACTTCCAAGGCAAAGGCGCGCAAAATGGCGACGCGACAATCGCGAGAATGCTTCTTTCTTGCGGGAGACCGTAATTCTTCAACCGAAGTAACGTCAAGTGAACCGAAAACCTCATTTGCAGAAGTCCGAGAAGCGTTTTAGAGAATCTTGCGATTGCCGAGGGATGACGAACAGCCGGAGGCAATAACATGACGACGAAATCGGGCTTTAACGACACGACAGCTTCGTCAATGGCGTCGAGAGGCTTCAAAAATTGGCGCAATGTCGGCATCTGACGATTCTGAGGGTCTAGTCGAAAACAGGAGTGTTCGCTTGCAAAAAGGAGTACTTTTGGAGAAGCTCGACCTGGGAGCTGGATCGGCACGAGCTTCTCTGAGTCGAAGTCCTTCAAGATGTTCAGGATCGCACCATCAAAGGACTGAGCGACGTTGTGTCGGATCTAGGGTAGTTAGCGTCCGGCACATGCGTTCCTGCGCCTTTGGGAGACTCGTACCATCCACGTATTATGTTTCATTTCGTCGAGGCCAAAGGCTGCTTGAATCTTGAACCCTTCCTTTGAAAATCCTTCCGAAACACCCAACACAGAAGGAGTCAACTCAAATGCCAGAGGCGTTGCGTTGCTGTGAAAGCTAGGTCGCTGCCAAAGATCCTTGTGATGCAGCAAGAGGTGAGACGCCAGAGGAGTTATTGAAGTGACACCTCCTTCTGCCACCGTATTACAAAAGCCAAAGCGACAGAAGTACTCCTCGGAGTCAGTTTCTAGCTTCATGTTAGCAAGACTCGGGGATCCGGCAAGGAAACAAACCTGGGATATGCTTAAAAACGTGACTGATGCTGTTTCCTGGAATAGTCCCCACTCGGCGTGCAAATGCTATGATATCATCAAGGAGGATTATCTCGGCATCCTGTGACGTTCGCATCTTGTCAAAATCGCAAAAGTGCAAGATCAATTCTCGATTGTTGGCTGCCGGTTTTCCAGTCGTCTGGAGCCTCTCAGGTGGAAAGATCGAGTTGAGAGCAAAGTACCTGGTGACGAGCAAGGAATAGCTCTCTCCGGATTGGTTGTGAGTTTGGAAGATTTTGTGGACAAAGATGATCTGGCTCCCGCCTTCACCTCCTCCCAAATCAATCCAGAAATAGCAGTCTCTTTCGAAAGTATGATTTAGATCTTCGCTGTGAAGTGCAGGAATGGTAACTCCATTTGCCTATACAAGTCAGTCTGTGAGATCGAATAGACTAGTCATTGATTTGTAGCCGAGAACATACCTGGAGAGCCTGTGGTGGCGTAGAAAAGAATCGAGACAATGTACTTGGATGGTGCCCCTGATGCCACTCCAGCCACGCCTCCTCATCCTTTCGCAATTTCGTTCTATCCGATACAATCTTCGTACGAGCTGGCACATTTGTTGCTGGTACTCTGACTCGGAAATCTTCATTTGAGTCACTGTCATTCTCCACCGTTTCAGAATTCGGACTGGACTCTTGGTCCGCATCTAAGACCTGGTCAGCAGGGGACGCTGATAGTACAGCCACCGGTGCTAGCCCAAAAAACGATGGGTTTTCAGCTCTTGACACCATGGGAAAGTAAAGTTCATCGGTACTGAGTCCATCGAAAATAACTTGGGACTGTGCTCGAGAGACGGTTCGAGTTGGGCAATCGCAGTGATTGCTTGCCTGACCCAGCTTGACCGAGCCTTGATTGGTATCTTGTAAGTTAGTGCCTGATGACGACTTAGGACTGCCAAAAAGATGCAAAATGGGACATACCGATGTCATTCAAAACCTCTGTCCTCTTCCATCCACACGAACTTTCTTTATGAAGGGTCACCCAGTAGTGGATATTTGCCCCATATCTTTCCACGAAAGCTCCGCTCTCGTTGGCAGTCCATCTCACCTCTAACTTCTTTTCAGCACCCAGAGCCCTCACTTCGATGGCCCGTGGCATTTTTCGGAGATATTCGACAGCATTTCTTCGAAGGCAAGCGGCATTTTCTGGCGCCAGGCCGAGTGGGACGCGGACTTCTTCGAAAGCAACCTCGAGTAGATCCTGGACAACGTGGTCACAGAAGAAGGCCCGGTCGCAAGTCATCTGTTCTCCAGCAACTTTGAAAAACTCGCAGCTTGATGGCTGGTGCACCCGAGAAACGTGGAGCCATTTTTCGTGTATCTGGAGCAGATTTTGGCCTACCGTGTAAAGAAGATCAATAGCTGTGTCAGCTCCATCGACAAATTCAATTCTGACATTGCTCAGCCTCGGATCCAGCGCAAATGAGCCCTTCAAAGACCGGCAAATGTTGATGGCAAATATGTCCTGACAAGGCTCAACTCGCTGCGATCTCTCGAACAAGCGATTTCTTTCCTCGAGAGGCGTGCGCATTAAAGGTGGGTCTTGTCTGATGATCTGCCAAAGTTTCTTCCGAAGCTTGAAGGGCTGTTTCTTAAGTTCCTTCGAGATGATGTCCTCCTTGGACACCGTTAGAATCTTTGAATTGAACCTGGAGTGATGTTACTTACGTCTGTGGTCGCATTCTGTTCCGATGCGCCTCTCTCAGAGTAGAAGAACGTTTGTGGATGGGACACCTTCAGGCGCCTGCAGATGCTCTGTGCTGTCAACCTAGAAGCGTATTTGTCGGCCTGCGCAATGTCGGGTGATTCCTCATCTTCAGCGAACAATTGAATATAAGAATCGACTACGGGATCCCCCTCTTTCAGCATGGCCAGACCCCAGATGCTGGCCAACGTTTCAGCCTCTTCATGGTCGTCTGCCATTCGCTGCCTATCGCGGTTGATGCTGCCTCGGTGGAAATTGTAGCCGAAGCGGTAATCTTTACCCCCTGGTGCATGCCCTGTGAATTCAGCCACGAGGAGGCCATGCAGATAGATCCGTCCGCGGAACCGAGGATCAAGTATGAGGTCTCCCAGCCATGTGCGAACAATTTTGTTTTCGGCCGGGGGGTCCAGGTCGATGGAGACCTTCATCCACTCACGAAAATCTTGCTCGGTGACCTTCTGAGCACCCTCTCTGTCCCTAGATTTCCCTATTTTGACTGTCATATCTTCCCAAATATAAGAAGTGAGACCTCGTTGGGAATGACCGGCCGCCCGTTGTCTTGTGTATTCAGCCCTCTGTTCCTGCATTAATTTGGGCGGGGGTTTGCCCAGCAGACAACAAAGACGCGGGCGAGCCCCTCGGAAGCTGAAGTTCCAGCAGAAGGAGTTCGTTTCAAACCTGACGGAATGTCCATTACGTCGCATCACAAGCGCCGCCAACTTGAAACCCTCGCCGTGCCCTCCTGCAAGTGCGTTGTTATTCCGCTTCGTGGTCTCCCCAAGGTCAAGATGTTTCCGCTCAAGCTTGGCTTTGAAGTTTGTCAACTCCAGACAGCCTGGTTTGCTCTGGAAGCGGATGTAGCCAAGAAGTTGATCGTTGTCTGTGACTACGCCGGACGGGGTGCGGACAGAAACGGCGATGTGGATCTCTTGATCATCATTCCTAAGAAAAACGGGCTTGATGGATTGGGGGTCTACTCCGAATGACTCAACTATGCCGTCCTTCCTGTCAAGTGTCAGCTAACTGGAATGCAGAGAGCACAAGCATGGTTTAAGCCTTCCTACCAATTTTGGTAGAATTCCCTGAAGGCATCTCTGGGAAGCCACTGCGGCGCGTAGTTCTTGGCCAGGCCTAGATGGTGAAGGCACTTCTTGAGGACATCATGACTGTTGTCTTCTCTGTATTCGGGATCTGACTCGTGAGCACCATATCCATAGTCTTCAGACTTTATGTAAGCCTCCGCCAGTGAAAAAGCGTCGTTATGATTGGGGAACGTCATGTCAGCCATCGAAGCATAGGTGTAAGCTGTGCGGGCAAATCGAGGTGGAACTGAGACGGCTCAAAGATGGATGACGAGAGTGAGGGAAGCTTTCCTGGCGCAGATTTGAAGAGACTGCAAGAGACGAGAGTCCAGGCACGAAGCCTGTCCTGCTGTTGTTGAGAACGCTGAATGACTCTGGTAATGTCACAGTCCAGGGAGAGAAATTGGGAAATACTGGTGATGAAATCCTCAAAGAGACTTGACATGAAGACAAGGCAGATGAGAAGTTTACCTGAATGAAATTCACTTCACCGTGTTGGGCGAGAGATAGGGTGAGGCAGGTCTGGACCAAGGATGAAAGTTCGATACACGCTGAGTCCACCTTCCAGTGCTGGGGGATACCTACCATTGTCATCTGACAGGAGGCGGTCTGGCAATTTGAACTCAGAGGTGGCATTGGCAATATTTACTCCTTTTTGATAGTCATTTGTTGGTATTCAAATATGCATCGTACCGTCGCAGTTTCTTTGTTCATCAGGACACCACCACATCTCTCTCCTTTTCTGGAAGCACAAGCAAAAGCTGCTCCATAATGACATGCATCAGGCAGGCTTAGAGGAGGCTTGTCGAAACGCAGATGGCTGAGATCCTTCAAACCTTGACGGTTACTCGAGCAGAACATAAATCTGGCCTCTTTTCCGCACTCGATTTTGGTGCAGCAGTCACGAAAGATGCTTGTAGGAGGAGGACAGCACGCTGTCGTGCGAGAGACAGATACATCATCGTCTCTCCAACGAGACAGAAATGATAGTTTGTAAGAAAAAGCAGAGTTTGACAAATGCCAGGATGGCGGAATCTTGGACGTCTCGTCTCGCGGCTTTACACACTTTTGTTGCCCGGAAGTTTTCCAATCCGGCCCCATTCACGTTCGGATCAACTCGTCCGGCTGGGCGAAGAATTGCTGACTCATTTCAGCCTCGCCGAGTCCACTGCTAAATGCGGACAAATGCGGACTAGAACTCTCTCCCTGGCATCACAGCCTCGTTCGAGGATTCGAAGCTGGCTCGCTAGGCAGTCGTACCAACAGTCTTGCAAAGGTGGACAATACACAGCATCTCGGCCGAAAATGACCTACAGATCTGCCGATAGCCGTGGTATATGAACCTCGATATTCTCTCTCCAAACGAGGTATACGATTCCGAACCCGAACATCGATATCAATCATTTATCTGTCTGTCCTCCTATTCCCCCAATGTCGCCAGAATTCCAACCTTCATATCCAACCCCTCGTCGAGCACATCAAAAGTCGCGGACAGGATGCAAGAACTGTAAGCAGAGAAAAGTCAAAGTAAGTCCCCCACCGAAAATGCCATTTCCGTCAGGTTTTCTTTTCCAAACTTCGACTCAACACGCTCGACAGTGTGATGAAAAACGTCCCGTCTGCGACAAGTGTGCCATTCACTATGCGAATACCCGGAAATGTGACTACGGGGATCAGAGTCCGACAGCAGGAGTACCGATGACGAGAAGACCTGCCACGGAGAAGCCGAGGATTGCATCGAAGACGGTGCCTATCCTGCCCAAATCTCACCAACAGCAGACCAATATCGAATCTTTAATCCTCACTAGGTCAGGGTCATCAGCATTTGACCCCTTCACACAACATCCTCCGTCACTTGAACCCGACATAAACCTCCTCATGGGGACATGTGAGTCAGATCTCCCATCACAAGCAGCAGCTGACCCGTCTCTGCAAGATTTCTCCTCCCACATCTTCAACGTCTTCCCGTACTACCCCACTCCGACTCTCAACCCCGTGGTCGAATTTTTCGCCCCCTTGATAACAAAGGATACAGCGCTGTTCCACGTCACGCTACTAGTCAGCGCCTTTCGGCTGGAACAGCACTTGCCGCCGAAGGAACGAGTGAGGTGCATACGGCTCTCTAAGATCTGCATGGCCCTGATACAAAACAGGATCAACGAACCGTTTCCGGACTGTGTCTCGGACGAAACTTTGGCGGCCGTCGCAGGAATTGCGGTAATCGAGGTATGTCTCTGATGCTGTATAAGAGCCTGCGCGCCAAAGGGAGGAGCTAACAAAGCAGACAGCATGAAAAGGGCAGTCTACGCCTCTCCCGTATTCATGTGACCGGGCTGAAACAGATGGTTGAGGTCCGAGGCGGTTTAGAAGCAATTCGCATCTCAAACCCGACCGTCGCAAATATGCTCTTTTGGTAGGTCCACTCGCGATTCAGCCACATGGCATCCCCTGAAGCTAATGTTTCATGGTCCAGCATCTTCGTCGCCACGGCTGATGTCGAGTTCTCATCCTGCGACGCACAGACAATCGTGCAGCGCCCCCCATGGTTCTACCAAAGCCTGCGAGTGGACCAGTCTCTCCTCCGCCCTGGTGCTGGTGTAGAGCTCCCGAACCCGAGTCCAATAGATTTCCAGGCACACGGCGTGTTGACGGAGTATTCTGAGCTCATGCTGAACATCCGCATGCTCGCCACGACCTATCAGACCGCGCAGGACTGCAGCTCCGCCCAAGAATACCAAGAGGTGTTGACATTCCTATGCGCCACCTTGCAGCGTCTGCTCACCTTACCGGTCCCAGACCCGCTGTTGGGCAGCTATGAGGGGACCATCACAGCAGCATGTCGCCACGCCCTGATCATCCACGTCTTCGCCCAGTGGTGTGGCCACCAGCCCGACCCGTCTCTCCTGGTGAGCACCGCCCAGCACAACCTGCTCACTACGCTCCGCCCCTTGACCAAAAACGGTGGAGTCAATACGAAATTAGTCCTGTGGCTCCTTTCCGTCGGCGGTACCTGTCCCTTCGGGCCGGCACAGCACAAATGGTTCATAAACCAACTTGCAGACACGGCCGCAGATTTGGGGATCCGTTCCTGGGAAGCCATGAAGGCAAGCCTCAAACAGGTCATATGGCATGAGTATCAGGATGACAAACAACACAGGGAGGTGTGGGACGAGGTAGTTGCCTTCAGGGAGGGAGGAACTTTTCCCTTCTCGGAGATGGTCTATCCTGCACCGAATGGTGTGTGAGAGGAGACAGGAGGAAAACCATGCTAGCCACTGTCTGATGCTGAGCCAAGTTCTGGGCCCTTCGCGGGCGAACAAGATACGTCTCGGACTTTCGGTTCGTTGTTCGGAGCCGTATCAAGGCTGTTAACAATCACCGGTAATTGTCAAGCCTCGCGGCATTCCACGTATGCATACACGTACGTGATTAAGGAGAGATCGAACTGATTGAATCGCGTCAGCCGTCAAAAGCAGGGGATAGAGACAGTCCCGACTCCTGAGAAAGTACTATAAAGTGGATCCTCAGTTCATCAATGGGCGGCTTCAGATGTGGCGGCCTGGTTGAAGACAGTTAGGCATCCGACACCATGGTCTGAATGGGGACAGATCAACAATTATGCCTGAGTGTAGGTAGGCAGTACGTGGCGTCAAGCGGCTTTGAAACCGCGTCGCTACGGGGCCCTTTCGGTATTGACAGGCTAAGCTAGCCTTTTCAGGTATATGTCTTTGTCAGGCTTGTGGAGTGTGTTACGTAACCTGATATAGGGCCTTCCCTGTTTATATGACTTTAGTCTACAAAGGGAAGCGCTCCTGCCGACAGGTCATGGACCTATCCACGCTTGCAGCCTAGCCCGATTCTCTCTATACCCATCCACGGACCACTCTCAGACTGCTTGTATAGGTTGGGCCTTGGCAACCTGTCCAGATTGAGGCTCTTGGTCCGTTGGCCAAGTGCAACGGCGAGGGTTAGCCAGGCTGGACAAAGCTGCCAACATTACCGATTCGCCACAGGAGCCTGCAACCCCCTTCAATCCTTCCCGACCCGGCGTTCAAGCAACACTCGGGTTCGTGTTCGAGAGCAAATGACCGAGCTGCGGAAGTCGGGTAGGCCTTGGCTGAGCACTGAAGATCAACAATCTGCGCCTGGAACTTCTTATCAGACTGGATACGGTTCCAAGGAGCGGTGCAAGCCACAGTTTGGACATGAGCGCAAAAGAACCTGTGCCGCGGAAATGAACTACTGGCAAACTCAGTGAGTCAGCAGGTTCGTGACGAAGGTTGCGTCTTCGGCTGCCACATGGTACCTGGAAAGTTGGATAGGGGGCCATTTCTTGAAAGGCATAAACGAATATTTCATGGAGCACTATGAGTATGTAATCGACGATCTCTTCCGATTTCTCTTTTCCGTACAAATGTCACAGCCTAAATCGCCAGTTGTTGCCAGATCATTCAGAAACTCCCTCACGGCATGGTGTATAAAGCCACTGCCATTCTGCCTATGCACCTGAGATTCCCAGCAGCATAAGACCGACCGACCGTAATGTGAGCAGCCTCTGACGAAAGCTAGCCCTGTCCCATACACATCTTCGCTCTTGTAACGTGAAGGGAAAGCCTCTAACTGAAATCTGCATAGAACGACTCATGCTTCGCCCCCCCAAGCACTCCAGTGGACGGACGCGGAACGGTAATAGCATGGACGCATGCTCACAAGAATTGGTGCATACGATCAACGACGCGATGAGCAACGTGGACGACGTGACTTGGCTGTTTACATCAGAGGTCGAACAGCAACGAACCACTCCAGACATGGAGATGGGATTTCACCCGCACGGAAGACTTCTGGACGACGAAATTCTGGTCAGCTGCGTCTGCAGCGAACCTCCCGGCTCATATTGCGTCTGCCCTCCCAGTTCTTCGGTATTTGGTTACAATCCCGAGGACCTCGAGCAATTACCCGTGCAGGGAATCCACGGGGATCCCAATGATTTTGTATTCACTGTGACGGCACCACAGGACCAGAAAGACACGAAGCCCCCAGTCTCGACCAGAAAAGAGGTATTTATGACCCGGAAAACTCCAAATTCGCTCTTTATCTGATCAGGTCATAAATCATCAGCGTCGAAGGCAGCAGAACCGTGCAGCGCAGTTCCGACATCGAGAAAAGCGCAACCGATTTCTCCGCGAGACACTTCGCAGTATTGAGGCTTTGAATGAGGAACTGAGGCAGACAAGGGCCCAGCGCGACTATTTCAGACTCATGTATGAAGGGCTCGAGACGCAGATGTTGGGGATTAAAAGTCAGTCCAACTCCAGGCTCCCAAGTGATTCTCCTTTTCCGAATTGAACTTTGGTCTGTGATTCCGTACTCTGTAGACAGGGTCCGTCCAAATCATCGGTGATATGAAGGCTTAGTGTAACTCTTCTCTGTGTACGGAAGCCCAGGGGTGACTGCTCAGTGACGCAGATCGGACCGTGGCAAATGGGACATGTTTCGCTGACCTCTGTCTCCTGGTTGGTCTGTTGATTGGATCTCCAAATCGTACCGGTTGTGCTTGAGGTCTGTGACTGGCGGAAGCCAGGAGAATCGGCTGGCCGGCAGAGACAATTTTCCCTCAGGCGCCCGAAGTTGTTCCCAGTAGAGGCGATTCAGATCCAGATATAAGTTGGAGGCTCTCGCCTCAACAATATTGGGCCGATCCACAAAAGGCTGGCCAGTAGGAGGAGTTCAGGCACCACCGGTATATAGAAAGACTGCTGATTCAGGGGTCAACCCGCTTGCCGAACATGGCAAGGACCGCTCGGCCGCTGAGGTGACTTAGATTTGTGGATTTCAGGTCGAGAAATATGATTTTCCAAGTTTCTGAGTCAGCAATAAGGGTCGATATAAAGGCGACGGTACAGGGCGATTGTGTGAGAGCATATCGGTACACGAACTGTTTGTCATTGATAATGGAGCTTGAGAGAGCTGATTGTTGTTCGCCGTCGAAGGAGGACGACAAAAAACTCGATCGTGAGGCCGAAAGAAAGAAAACGGCAAAGAGCAAGCCCAAACGCTCAGCTACAATGCCTGTGAGTCTCTAAGAAAAATCTATGGCCTGCTGGCACTCAAGCTGACCTTGGACTAGCGTATGGAGTATCAACCAGGCATGTACAAGAATCGAGCTTCTGCCCGGAATCCAGCATCAGAAGGCTTTCGACACGCCTTCTTGTCGTTGAAAAGGCCCACGCCGTCTGGTTCTCTGATTTCCACATCTTTGGACAGGAAGAGGGATTTCCTTCTGAGGTATTGTAAGCAAATCCTCACATAGATTGCCCTCAACCGAATCTTTCGAGCGAAAATATGACAGAGTCTGGATTGTGTCTGAAAGAGCTGACCGAGCCATCTAGTCTCAACGACACATCTGGCACAGGTCTACTGGAGCGATGTGCACGCGGCCGATCACAACAGTCATATCGTTCCATTAGCTTTACAGAAGCCCGCCCTTTTCAACGCAATGATGGCCAAAGCCCTCACAGATTTCCGTTTCGGAGACGATGCGTTGTCGGACGACATGGTTCTCCGGTGCAATGATAATGAAATTAGATCAGTCAAGATTGATTTTGCCTTTTTCAAGGTACAGGCGTTGAAGCATCTGAGATCGAGTTTGGATGATGGAGCGATGCGTGAGATCTGCCCATCTATTGTGATGACCACAATTTTCTTGGTTAAAACAGAGGTGAGTGTGCCTAAGTTGAGACTGTTCCGTGTTGTGACCGACAATATGGCAGCTGGTAGAAGGAAACGTAAAAGAAGTGCGCTTGCATTTGCGTGCATTGCGAGAGTTGTTCCAAAACGGTGTTTCCCTAGAGTTTCTCTCGCCTTGCGCGAGGTCACCTTCATTGCTGTGAGTACTCTAACCTTCTGCTGACAGGCAATCGCTGACTGAAGCTCTCGCAGTACAATAAATTTGGCTTGTTCGGTCTGTCAAGAGCCTCCAATCCTTGTGCCGGCTTCTTGTGCGAACACCGCCATGTCAGACGAATTCACGAAGGCCATGAACGATTGTCCCATAGCAACCTTGTCGAATCTGGCTCAGGGTTTCAGCAACCCAGCGATAATGAAGCTATTGGGGCCCCACATACTGTCCTATATTCCATGGCAGAAGAATCTTATCTTGATGAAAGAAATGTCAATGTCTGGGCGCCTGAAGAGGACGACTATAGAAGACTATGCAATAGCGACAAGTATGGTGCATCGTGCCGATTACCATCTACTGAGTCTTCCATACTTGACAGATCTTTCTCCGGTGCAAGACGTCGTTCGAGTGGTGCTATTGATTGCAGACATGTCAACTTTCCTGGGGCGTTTCCGGGGAACAGCCTCGGCGACTTCATTGGCATTGCAGCTGAAAGGGACTCTGGAAGCAATGAATCTGCCCAATATGGAGTATTTCGAGCACGGAGCCGTTTGCTTGGTCTTTTGGGCGTGTTTTTATGGCCTTGACTTGTCAAGGTCTGCAGGAGACCGGCTGTGGTTCATGTCACATTTGAAGCGGTGCTTGAAGGTTCTTCGACTCAGCGAACCTGCTGATATCTTCAAGCTTCTTGTAAGCTTCATGTACACAGAAAGGCAATACTCTGGTATCTCTGAAATTGTCTGGAAGGACCTGACCGGACCTGGCCAACATGAAACAGACCGCAGTCTAGGATCCGATACAGAGAAAGAGGAAAGGAAATTGCAGACATTGTGAGACAGGTTACAACATTTGACCGTAACAATCTTAAAGTCTCTGGGTGGCGATACTAGGAGGGGGGAGGCGCAGTCCCTGCAGTCTTGAGGTTGGTTATGCTGGTTGTCTGCTCGGTTGTGTGAGACAAGCACCCTGTTGCCTGAAACATAGGCCTAACATTGCATGGAAATTGTCGTCGATCAACTGCACGATTATCCAGCAAGCCTGGTTCGATAAACTGCGACATCGTCGCAGGTTTGCTGTTACAGAGGAAATATTATTGTTGCCAAAGCCCAGTCGTGAATTGGCCGTCATAGTAGTCGAGCGCCCCAGGATCTTCGAAGGCCAAATCCTGTTCGAACCACTGCAAGACATCAATCCCGCTCATGAAAGCGTCGTCTGTATCATTCTGTAACCACTGCGCATCCTTTGCTTGAGTGTGCGGTTCTAGAGAAGTCTGAGAATGGGACGGCTGAGCTGGAGGTGCGCCGGTCGAGTTAACAGAACTGTGCCCAAGAAATTCTGTTTGATGTGGCTGTTGGCTCTCGTCGGTCCGTAAGCAGGGAAGGTCAAAGCGTTCGCTGGAAGGCATGGAAGAGGCAGAACTGGGACTGACTCTTGACCTGGTAGTTGCAGTATTATCTGCTTGCTTCATCGCGGAAAGCAACCTGGATGAATTTAGCCCTTGTGTCTTGATCTGCGAGAGAACCAAACAGAACGCTCTCGCCACAACAGAGTGGTTTTGAGTATGGACTCTCCTGAGCAGATCGATGATTGAAGTCAGGTACTCTTCGAACTTCAAATCTCGGACATCGATTTGGGATCTCCCTTCAAACTCCGCTTGGCTATCACATATGTTGAGCAACTTGCGAAGTGCTCGAGCTGCATAACCGGTGCGTACAAAGAAAATGTTTGGCAAGCTGCAAAGGGAGGGCAATCCCATGGACAGAAATGTATCAAAGCATTCGTGAATTGCAGCAAGGCAAGCAAACAATGCCTCCACTCTTGCGGGGATGAAGAACAAGTCTTTGAACTTCAATGTCATATTCTCGACTTCTGCAATTGGGGGAGGAGGAGCAGTAGCACGGAGCGGTGAACGGAGGTCATCAATGTCATGTTCCGGATGTAAGGCTATTTCGTGGATGAAGAGATCGATGCATGCTGCAACATGGCGAACATAGGCTTTAAGCCGTCAGGGGTTGTTTCCACAACGTGCGCATCTTATAGAGTTGTCACTTACGGAGGTTCAGGTCTGTTTTTGCATGTCGACGCCAGTAGTCCAGTTGCTGGCGAAAGCCTCGTATTTGATATTGAATCTTGACATCGCGGAGAGTGACTATTGACCCGGGGTCGTCCATAGAAAACGTGACTGACGCATCTTCAGCTATCCGTTGGAGACGTATCAGGTCGCATAGCCACACATCGCTTGGTAAGGCGGGCACTTCAGCTGAGAGAACATCCAAGCATTCCTCGGTGTACACAGACCAGCGGACGAAGGCGGGGTGGCGAAGTGACATGGAAACACTGGGTGGATTTGTCAGCCACCGCAGACAAGGATTATCCGTTTCCTCACCTAGTCGCCATATAATAGCACCCTAGCCATGCTCGTCGCGCTGCAGGTGATTCCAATTGATGCGGATCATTGTATTGCGTCAAGTTTGATTTATGAGGTCGTCTGCCCAAGCCGATATCAAGGGCCATTGTGCTGGCCATATGCACCATCTGGTTAAAGTTGAGATCTCGCATATTTTTGGCCCTGCCGTAGAACGTAATGTGAATGATTAAAGTCTGAACAAGCTCAAGAGACCGTTCACCGTTGTACACGACACGTAGGGCTAGATCCTTGATGAGCATGTCGCAAAGCTCAGCGTCGACCGTGGTTTGCATGGACGCAAGGCCAACTGTAATGACGGCGAAAAACAGGAGGGGCTGTTGCTGTTTGACGGCGACGGCATCTGAGGTAGAGGGAAAGAACACGAATGGGAAGTAGCGACACATTTCATCCCTGTATCGATCAAAAGCCTTGCAGGCAGTCTCCCAATCCAGCAAGCCGCGAGACAAGACTTCAGCAATGAGGGTCTTATCGGATTTGGCCGAGGTCTGCTCGTTGGACGCAGAAGTTCCAGCAGAATCACTGCGGACAGTAGGATGTTTCCCGTGATCTCCAGGGCCGCTCGTCTCATTAGCTTTTAGAAGTGCAGTCAGGGCATTGATTTTCTGCTCGAGATCTGCGACCCGTTCAGTGGTCTTTCTTTTCCTTCGCCGTGGGATATCCTGCATAATGCATTGTCGACGGGCTCGAATGCATAATTTACATGCGTTGCCTAGGGCTTCGTCGATTTCGCATCTGGTTTTCATCCGTCTGCAGGTTATACATGCTCGACTAGATCTGACTGTTCTCGCTTTTGGCGCCGCGGCATCATCGCTGTCTTCGCTGCCATCGCTGTGGATTTCAGGATCTTCGGAAGGACTCATCATGCAACTGTACCCATGCCACTAGATTTGAAGGACTACCTGCATGTCAAGGCCAGTACCAAGAGAAGCAGGAGATGGGGAAAAGCTATAAAGCCCACTGTTTAAACTTGTCTGCGAAACGCATCGGTTGTTGCCTTCGGCCAAATATTGTTCCGAAAATGGTATGCTAGCCTCGCTACGGATCGAAGTAAGCAATGATTGGCCAGCTTCGCCAGCCTTGTCAGACCAGTGTTTCTACTCGTACCGAGTATATTGATCTTGATTGACATTGTCGCATAATGGTCTAGTCTTTTGATGGTGTCCAAGTCTATAGAACAATATCTTTGACAGATCAACCGATATAATATGATAAACATAATTTCAGCGAGCTCAGGACTCCTGCTCAGGCTTAGACATTTGGTTGGTCATCAGCTTTTTGGACCACTCCAGCACCGTGTTGAATTTGTCTCAATTGACGGAAGTCGACTTGAGATTCTCCTTTGGTAATTCAACATCAACCTCGGGTCTTTTCTCTTCTTGCGGAGTGCTGGCCGGAGCGTTACCCAATTGCGAGCCGCTTTTCTGGACGAGTCCAAGTTTCTCCATCCGAATTTCCATGGCTCGTCTATGCGCGTCGAGGCCTTCACACCTTGCAAGCTCCATTACTGCATAGCCTACTTCACCAACACCCTGCTCTGTGACTTCGCTGCTGGTGATGTTTTTCATAAAACTGCCCAGGTTTACACCACTGTATTGTTTCGCGTAGCCGTACGTCGGCAGACTGTGGTTCACACCAGCAGAGTAATCGCCAACAGACTCGGGTGTCCAACCCCCGAGGAACACGGACCCTGCATTCTGAACATCAGGCAATGCGACGCGAGGGTCAGAGATTTGCAAAATGAGGTGTTCAGGAGCATAGTAGTTCGACCATTTTAATGCTTCTTTGAGACTGGTGACCGAGATAGTCACGCTGTGTTCGATTGCGCCACGAACAATATCCACACGAGGGAGTTCGTACGCTTGCTTGTGCACCTCGTCTTCAATCGCTTGAAGTTGCTTCTCATCCAGATCAACAGCAATCAGGACTACTTGGCTGTCGGTGCCATGCTCGGCTTGGCTGAGTAGGTCACTGGCCACAAAGGCGGGATCGGCTGTTTTGTCTGCAATAACTAGCACTTCAGATGGGCCAGCTGGCATATCGATTGATACGGCGGCGGAGGTATCGTTGCTAACAATCATCTTCGCAGCTGTGACAAATTGATTCCCAGGCCCAAGGATTTTATCGACTTTAGTAATGGATTCCGTGCCATATGCCATGGCGGCAACAGCTTGAGCGCCGCCCGCTAGAACGATGGCTTCTGCCCCGACTTTGTGAGCAATGTACACGATTTCCGGCGTGACGGTTCCGTCAGATCTTGGAGGTGATGCGAGGACGATGTTCTTGCATCCTGCGGCCATGGCTGGGACACCGAGCATGAGCGCTGTTGAAGGCAATATCGCAGTGCCGCCCGGAATGTACAACCCGACTTTCTCAATCGGTCTCGAAAACCGAGAGCACGTCACGCCAGGCATTGTCTCCACGACTAGTGGTGCTGACGGTTTCTGGGCAGCATGGAACTTGAGGATGTTATCGTACGAGGTGTTGATTGCTTTGATGGTCTCTTCGGGAAGTTGCATAAGCGATTTAGGAAAGGGTGCTTTTAATACAGGAGATTTCAGACCAGTGGCTTTCTCAAATTTGTGGGTATATTTCAGGACAGCAGCGTCGCCATTAGCACGAACGTCGGCAATAATGGGATGGACAAGAGACATGACTTTCTCGTTCGACTTTTGCGAAGGTCGTTGTAGAGCGGCTTTGAGGATGTCGTCCGAGAAAGCTTGTGATGTGGAAAATCGTTTCAGTTGTATCCGACCAGATTCTGCCTCACCAGCAGGATCTGAGAGAGCCTTTGGAACAGATGTGGCCTCTTTAACTTCTTCATCTTTGTGCCCATCGACGCCGTTGGCCGCGGGTTGTGACATTGCATCAACAGGCTTCTCTTCCACATACTGGGGTTTGGCATCGCCCTTTCGTCTCTTGACTTTCAGACTCTTCAGGTCGAGGTTCTTCTCAATGTCCTCCAAAGTGACGTCCGCGGCGATGCATCGGGCAAGGGCGAAAAAGAGCAGATCAGCCGCTTCGGAGGCAATATTTTCCTTTGAAGTAGCTGCACAAAGCTCGTCTGCCTCCTCTTTGATTTTGGCATTGACCAGTTGGGGGTCGTTGAAAAGTCGAGCAGTGTATGACCCTGGAGGTGCCTCGAACTTGCGTTCTTGTAACGTACGTTGTAATCTCGAGAGTCCGGAAACCTTGCCCCAGCACGACATTGTCCTAAGATGGCAGAACCCTTGCCCTTTCTGATGGACCCTAAAGATCAAGCAGTCCTTGTCACAATCGAAGCCGATACTGAGTAGTTCCTGAATGTCTCCGCTCGAGGCGCCTTTGTGCCAGAGCCCCCGTTTTCGACTTTGGTAGACGCCTGTTCCGGTCTTGAGCGCCTCGGCAATGCTTTCTTTGCTGCTCCAAACAAGACCCAGCGCAACACCGCGCTCATCAACCACCGTGGTCGCATAGAGACCGGTCTTTCGGTCGGCGGTGGCACCGGCGACGATCAATTCCACAGCAGGTATGAGGCCCTTGTTTCCTTCCTTCGAGGGCTCGAAGGTTAACTTTTTGGAGGAGATGATCAGCGCATTTCCCGGATACTCGTGCAGCAGGTTCCTTCCGTTAGTCTCGCTCGCAACCGACACGAAGATTGTTTGATCATGACTTGGAGGATAATTATCTAGCTCTTTCAACACGGCGTCCACACACTCGTTTCCTTTGTCGCCATCGAACGCCCATTCCGCAGTCTTCCATCTTGGATTCTCCTCAAGAAAGGCCTTGAGCTTTGCGATATCGGTTTTAGGATTGACAAGGGAGATGGTCAACACGAGGCGATCTGGTGAAATGGTAGGCTCTTGCGACAAAGCTTTTAGCTGCTCAAAAGTGACGAATATTTTGGACGCCCCATTATTGAGAACGTCAATGACATTGTCCCAGCTCTTCAGTTTCCTGACATCAAAGTATATATCAAGTTTGGAGAAATTCTGGCACAGGAATGCGAGATTGGAGTCGAATGTCTCTGGAGTGACTTCGACGAGACAGTGCCCGAGGTAGGCTACTTGATCAAGAGTGAGACCTTTGACGTCCTCAAGGAGGATGTCCTCTGGATCAACCGCAACCAAAAGCCCTGTACCCATCTCCAAGGAGTAAAAACTAGGTCGAGATTGTCGCAAAGTGTAAAATGCAAAGTGCACAGGGTGGAGTGAGGGGAGAAAAATCGCAGGTCAGTAACTCAACAATTTGACTCAATGCAGAGACTGCGCAGGTGGATCCCTCAGCCTTAGCGAGCCCCTCTTGGCCCCTCATCCCCTGTCGATGCTATCGAGACTATCGATAACGATAAGACGGGAATGGAAAGTCTTCCGAACAATTCGAAAATTTCTCCAATCCCAAACCTCGTCTATCAACTCCACCACCAAACATCCATTGCATTCCTCGTCCTTGACCGCGTGGCTCCTTGTTGCATGTTCCACTGTACACGCTATCGACATTCACATGTCAACAGGCGGAATTCTGAATCTTTTTCACATCAGGCCACCTTAGGAGAGGGGAGTGAGATTTTGAAGACATGTGAAAATCATCGTCAAACCACTCCTCCCAGCCGCTCGATCCAACTTCAAGACATACCAGTCCTCAGCATATCTTTTTCCACAATCTCCTGTTTCCTCGCAACCAGCTCGTCTACGTCCCAGTTCACCCAAGCTAGTCTATTTGCGAGAAAAGACGCCTCCTCGCCTGCAGCCCAGACAATGAACTCTGCCGCAAGCTGAGGGCTGGTAGGTGCAAATAAGCCGTCTAGGCCAGACTTGTCTGCCATGGCAGTCTTGACAAACCCAGGATGCACCGAGATGAACCTAACCCCGCCAGGAACCACCGTCGTTGTTTGAATGTCCATGGTAATTGTCTCCATCATTCTCCACATCGCAGCCTTGCTCGCCCCGTATGCGGAGAGGAAAGGTACAAGGACGTTGTACGCGCCGACGGTGTTGAGGTTCACGACAACGGCCTGATCTTTAGCGTTTTGCTTTGCCCGTGCCCGTAAAAACTGCTGCAGGACGAATGCCGTGCCGAGGACGTTAACTTCAAACGACTGCCACCATTCCTTCAAGTCAGCGTGGACAAAATTCTCGGGATTGGACAGGAATCCGGCGTTATTGACAAGCACGTCGACCGGTTTGTTCAGGGACGAAAACAGGACCTTGACTGATTCCTCCGATGTGATATTGACAGTACGGTATTCCACAGTAAGTCCTGGATGCGCGCTTTTGAGCTCTTCAGCCGTAGCCTTCAACTTCGACTCTGTCCGGCCTGCAACAACAATACTGGCCACCCGTGCTTCTGCAAAGGCGCGTGCGATGGAAGCCCCGATGCCATACCCGCCGCCAGTTATCAAGACATTCTTGGACGCATACTCTGAGGCCAACTTAGCTGGCGAGAGCCGGTCGTAAGGTTCAAGGTGCTCGACTTTGGTGGTGAAAGGCATGATGATTTCGTCAAGGGTTGTAATTCGCTGGTGGAAACGGAAAGTGTGAAATTCGATGTCCTCTTGTACTGGTCTCTCTAACCGTTCACCGGGCTCTTTGCATTCCTCTCACTCAAATTGCAGCTGTTGATCCTTTCTCTTAAATACTCTCTCACCTTCCCCCATCATCAGCAATTGATATAGCAGATACAGATTCCTTCCTGAAAAGAATTCCGCTTCGACTCCACCTCAGAGCTCTCAGAACTAGTCCTGGTTTCCGCAGCTGAAATGACAAAGCAAAGGTAGGCTTCCCGTCCGACGCCCCGTACCTGGCAGTACTCGAGCCAACGCTTTCTTCATCATCCATCTCCACAATAACAGGACCAGTACGAGTGCCACTACATATCTAAACAGACAGGCGCCATACAAAGCCACCGCTCCGTTTCAGAGGGCCAGACCAGAGTATCCAATCCGCGCCAGAGAAGTTAGGTAGACGACACGCATTCAATCACAAGTGGAGCAGTTCCTTGCTCCTACAACTTCACCATTGTCGTTGTCTATTGTTGTGCGAATACTTCGATTATTAATGATGATGATGAAGCAAAGGCTCCAGGCAGAGGAAGACGGAGTGTGCTGAGGCTCCGGCACTCCGCAGCACAGTGTCCAAAGCACCTCCACCTGCGCCAGTCAACTATTTGCAATGTAAGCCCCTGATTGGGCGAGGGAGAAAGCCTCGCCGAGTGATTACAGATGTGAATGTGTCCCGGAGGAGACGTCCCGGCGGCGGTTATCAGTATTTCCTCCATCCCGTCCGTACACGGGCCGTCGATGGAGCGTGGTCAGGTTTTGGTAGGCTCTGTTCGTACGCAGCGAAAAGGAAGTGTGAGAAGTCTGTCAAAGGGCGTCTCTGGAGATGAAGTTCGACGGAGAAGTTTGGTCTGGCTTGTTCCACTTGGATAACCAAGTTGCGTGACCCAAACATTTCCTAACCTTTTTACAGTCACTTGTTGGCTCAAGAAAACCCACCTGCGAGTAAGACCATATCCTTCTGGCCAAATCTCATATATAAGCGGCCTCTAAGCACGAACGCGCCCTGGGTCGCCGGCGAGACAACGACTATAACCAACACAATGACTCGAAAACAGAATATTGAGAACAATTTTCTTCTAGGTTACAGGGTAAGCAATCTTCAAGCCTCATTGTATGTATGAGAGGTAACGGCATAAATCATCATTCCAAACTCGTCCACTGACGACAGCCAGTTGTCGATCTTCTTCTGTCGCACCGGCGCTGGAATGGGCCCGGGTTGTGGCCAGAGATCACTGATGAGTAGCTCTCCGTCACTCCAGAGGCTCAGCTGTTGATTATAGGCCGCGTTCCAAGATCGTCGATCCTGCGCATGCCAAAGAGTCTTACTTGCTGGGGCCGGGAGGTCGGCGAGTTCTACGGCAATGAATGATGGAGAGCCCAGGGTGAAGTTGACTAAGTTGTCAAGTAAAACAGTAGCGAAGAGTGTTCTTCTTTTTGCAGAAGCGACGATCCACGATTCCCAGTCCGGCCGACTGCCGTTTGTCTCGGCTGGGCAGAGTGTTCCTCTGCTTGCAAGGTCGCCCGCTAAATCTTGGAGCTTGATCATGATATCCTGTTCAACCATGCTGGCAGCATTCGCCGAGTCGAAGAGCATTATGGCGTAGAGAAGGTAACCCTGTAATATGGCCAGGAGCTCCAAGTGGCCGGAAAATGCACGCTAATTGCTTCATTTCAGTTTCGAAACCAGACTTGAAGTTGACTATACTTGCCTTTTGGAATATTTTCGACATTTCTTGTCCGATGACCTGTCGAACCATAGCTGCGCTCTCGGGAGTTTGTACCGCCCACATGCGTGCTATGTTCATGCAATTTGCCAATGGCTCAGCAACCCGATATGCCATTTGAGCCCAGTGAATGAAAGGAGGGAGGTTCTCGGTCAGGAACATTCTAGGGTAAGACTTGAACACACGCGTGACGAATGCCATCGTCGACGCATGGAACGGCTTCGGTCTCTGGTCCATGGAAGGCAGGAGACTCTCAAGCCAGCGAGCGCGGATTCTGTTTTCATCCACAGTGCATACCAGATTGATGTGGTCGAAATCCAGGGAGTTGGTAGTGGTAATTTCCGGAGCAAGTGCCGTAGAGAACCAGGATTCATCGACAGTAGATTCAGAAGGCTGACCCGAGGCAACTTCATGGACGAGTTTTGCATCGGCATATGTGCAATCGAGATCTCGATTTCTGCATCTTGTGCAACACGGCCTTTTGAGGTCACATCGCACTTTTGATTTGTGGCAATAATTACAAGACTTCTTTCTGGGCATTGTATCCTTCGGAGTCATGGCAGAAGCGTCGTTTGATTCACACACCAATGAGTGCGACTAGTTCCTGGACTGCACCTTGGACCTGGAACAGCGAAGCACGAAGGCGAACAAGGGCGAAGAAGCTTCGGAAATCCGAAAATGGGGCAACGCCAAGCTTTACCGATTTTAGAATAGTCCCCCCTCGGCTGAGTTGCCTCAAAAATTCGAAAACTCGCTAATTGCAATGCCCCTGTTTGTCTACGTCTGTTCTGCAATTAGCCTCTCAGCCTCGTCGTCCTTCCTACAACGATACTCGTACGAAATCCCCAACTCATTCTCCATAACCTGCTGGCTGCCTCAAGTTTCGGCTGGGCCGCTCGGTTCGTGCCGTCTGGGCGTCTGGACAGAAGCTAGGGAGACCAGCCTCTCAACGGCCAGTTTTATCATAAGCCCATACACTTCGCCCAGGACACGTTGAAACCTTCCTTAGGGACAAAGGAAGTTCTGTCCTTTGATCATGTTTAGATTCTCCGCGGTGAGTCGTGTAACTTGTGTCAATTGCCACCCTAGGCTTCCACAGATGGAGCTGCAAACACTTCTCAAGCTCCCCTCGCCCCAGCACTGACCACAGATTTCGGAATTCCGATGATCCCTGTCCAGTCTCAAAACAACTTTGCTGGAGTCCTCCGCGAGTATATATGTACTGTCAAGACCTGAACAATATCCTGTTCCTCTTCAGCATCATATCGAAAATGTCTCAAATCGAAAACTCAGCGCAGACTGGTTCTTCGGAGCCTTACACAATCTTTACAGCTCCTCAAAAAGCCTTCATTGTCACCACAGTTTCGTTCGCAGCTACTCTTTCCGGCTTTGCATCGAACATATACTTTCCCGCTCTGCCTCAAGTCGCCAATGACTTATCAGTTAGCACCACTCTGGTTAACCTCACTGTGACATGCTATTTGATATTTCAAGGCCTGTCACCTACTCTCTGGGGGTCGTTGGCCGATACCAAAGGCCGCCGCGTTACCTACTTGTGCACGCTCGTCATCTTTCTTGGAGCATGTATAGGACTGGCGGAGACGCGGAGCTACGCGCAGCTGCTGGTACTTCGCTGTGTCCAAAGTACCGGGAGTGCCAGCACCATTGCACTAGGGGCCGGAGTCATTGGGGACATTACAAAGAGGGAAGAAAGGGGTGGATATATGGGTGTCTTCCAAGGCGGACTTTTGATGCCAGTCGCCATCGGTCCGGTGATTGGTGGCGTGCTAGCGGACAAGTTGGGGTGGAGATCAGTATTTTGGTTTCTGACGATCTATGGCGGGGTTTGTGTGCTCGTTATTGTGCTGATCCTGCCTGAGACACTGAGATCAATGGTCGGGAATGGATCGGAAGAACCAAAGGGATGTGCAATATCCCTTCTTGCTCTTTATCAGCGAAAGAAGCATCTCAGACAAAGCATTACCCCTTCCACAGAGGGTGAGAAACCGGCGACGAAACACATTGACTTCATGGGCCCAGCAAAGATCCTATTGCATTGGAACACCTTTTGTGCGATATTCTACGTGGCGATCCACTATACAGCGTGGCAAATGATTCTCACGGCCGTATCCACGCTCGTCCAACAGAAATACCACACATCAGAGATTCAAGTTGGCCTAATCTTCCTTGCCAATGGAGCAGGATCCATCATCGGAACCGTTCTGGTCGGCAAATTCCTCGACTATGACTACAAGCGGATTTTGCGCAAATATGGCGGTGATGAACAGCGCATACCCATCGAAAAGGCTCGGCTGAGGACGGTGTGGATTTGGAGCGCACTCGAATGTGTCTCCGTTCTGGTTTTTGGGTGGACCGTCAACCAAGGCGTCCATATTTCCGTTCCAATCATCTGCTTTTTCGTCCTCGGTTGGGCGGCCATTTCACTCCAAAGCGTGATTTCGACCTACCTCGTCGACATACACCATACCCAGAGCGCTTCTGCCATGGCTGCCCTCAACCTTGTCCGTTGCTTGCTAGGAGCTGGTGGAACTGCTGTGGTCGGGCCTCTGATCAGCAGTGTCCATGTTGGTTGGGCTTTTACCTTGTTGACAGGTGTCATGCTCTTCCTGGGAGGTCTTGTTGTGGTTCAATTCATGTTTGGGAATGGCTGGAAGCGGAAATTCAAGCGGAATGCACCGAGCGAAATGGAAGAACAAAATGCTTGAACATCACTGGATCTTGCATTTGCAAGGTAGATGATATTAGAGGGCGATGTCGGATCATTGCAGGTTTTGATGACAGATAGAGCGCGCACACGAGGATTCCACAGCAATGGAGCGTTATATCCGCAGGACCACGATTGTTATTGCTCTCCCTGAATTCTCTGACGTAGCATATCGACCACTGGGTCTGTCTACAATACTACTAATAATAGATTAGTTTGTCCTTTCTAATGTGTACCCGAGACGTCTCTGCCGACCCGTCCAGCGACGTTGAACGAGGCTGAATAACTAAAGCGGCAAGGCGTTTTAACCCAATGAGGACCAGACGTGCTGGCTGCGTTTTGGAGTCATATCGTTGCAGATTTGGAGTCATTTTTCGCAGTGAGCACGACCACATTTCTTCTTGCGACTGCCCCTCTCTGTTACCTTTGTCGTCCTTCCACCAGGCCTTCTCTCAGCGGATGTAATCATGGCAGAGGATTTAACCGCGCAGGTGCTCAAGGTCCTGAACTCAACAGACGGTCCTGTTGTCACATCTGAAATCTTTCCCAATGCCACCTTTGTCAGTGTGAAGTCCGCTGTCGACAGATTGCGGTCTAGAGATTTTATTGAAGCGGAGCAAGTCGATCATTTAGAACTTGTCCTGACAAAAGAAGGCCACGATATCGCTGAACATGGAAGCAATGGCGCAAGAGTTTTCGAGGCAGTTCGAGCCGCAATAGAAGGACTGAAGATCAAAGATTTACCAGCGGCTGTGGGCGACGCAAACGTGGCCAAGTTCGGCTCAGGAGATGCGTTCAAACTCAAGTGGATCAAGAAAGATGGAGACGCGCTCAGGGCAGTAGCGGACAAGATCCAGGACGAGGTACAGGAACAACTGCGCGAGATCCGGTCCCGGAAAGCCCTCAACAATCCCAAGGTTGTTGCAGACTTCAAGAAGAGGAAATATGTGACGGAACAGAAAACTGTGGCCTTTAAGATCTCAAAGGGCCCTAAATTCTCGCCGGAATTCGTCAAGGAAGAAGCGGATCTGACAGCGGAAATGTTGGCATCCGGGGCATGGAAGACAGTGCAATTGAAACCGTACAATTTCAAAGCAAAGGGGGCACCTACGCCATCCGGAGCTCTTCACCCTCTCAACAAAGTCCGTCAGGAGTTCAGAGAGATCTTCTTTGAGATGGGATTTGAGGAGATGCCAACGAATCGATATGTGGAGACCGGTTTCTGGAATTTTGATTCACTTTTCGTTCCTCAACAACACCCCGCCCGCGACCTCCAAGACACCTTTTACATCTCAGATCCTCCCAGAGCCGATCCTCCGCGGGCAGATTCAGAACCTCTGGCTCCCGGGGAGAAACCCACCCCTTTCCCCTCACCTTCACATAAGAGAACGAAGTCGAAAGAGAAGACCTTGGACTTCAAGAAATACTGGGAAGACGTCCGTGCTGTGCATGAAAATGGGAAATTCGGTTCGATAGGGTACAGATATCCCTGGTCTGAAGAAGAGTCTTTGCGATTGGTTATGCGAACACACACTACGGCAATCTCTGCATACATGCTCCACAAACTGGCAGTGAACCCTCGACCAGCGCGGTATTTTTCCATCGACAGGGTCTTCCGGAATGAAACAGTTGATCAAACGCATCTTGCAGAATTCCACCAAGTGGAAGGCGTCATTGCCGACTGGGGTCTCACACTGGGCGGACTGATCGGTTTCATGGAAGTCTTCTTCGGCAAGATGGGTATCAAAAATCTGAGGTTCAAGCCGGCGTACAACCCTTACACCGAGCCGAGTATGGAAATCTTCAGCTACCACGAGGGACTGAAGAAATGGGTGGAAATAGGAAACAGTGGAATGTTCCGGCCGGAAATGTTGGAGCCAATGGGGTTACCAAAGGATATGCGGATATATGGCTGGGGCTTGAGTTTGGAGCGACCAACTATGATCAAGTAAGTTTTCTTAACTCGGAGGCGCGGACATGCTAATGACTTGTAAACAGGTATGGTGTCAACAATATTCGGGAACTTCTGGGACATAAAGTGGACCTCAACTTCATTGAACAGAATCCTGCTGTCCGACTGCACAAAGATTAGAACACTCGCCGCACAACGAAAGATCAGCATGTACGAAGACACGAAAATCCACGCGCTCAAGATGTGGTGCAACTGAGAAGGAGCATCACCCGAAAAAGTTTCTAGATTCGAAAAAAGAGAAGGCTAGAAATGATACCCGATTGCTTCATCCCTGTCTTTTCCCCTTCGGGGGTTGCCTCGTTTGTTTTCTCCTTTGCTTGTCTGTGTCTGCGAGCAATCGTTTTCTTATTACCGGCACATCAAGGCTTCCTCAGGCTTCATCTGCCATGACTGTGGGAAGTAGAGATAACAATCATACATACAACAGCCGAACATTGAGTTCATGGAATGCCGCCTTCTGAAGAGCTGTGATTTATTCCGAGATTGAGAGTCAGAGCACAGATACGGGTGGTACATTTCGTTCGTTCTTTTCATCCCAGGTACCATAGTATAAGCTCCTCGATCCCTGTGATCAAGAAGAGAACCCTATGTATGTGGAATGTCTTGGATTTATTATTGGGGGAGGGTCTGTTGATGATGCGATTCGCCCCAGTTTGCATTTCTATCATTCTGGCATGTAGAAACCGCCATTTCGGTGTCTCTTGCGACCAAGCAAGCTCCGCCTCCCAGCCGAACGACATCCATCTTCATCATCGCACGGTAAAATTGCATGTTTTTTTTTTAACGTGCTGTGTCTCATGTAGCTCTCTCTGGCGCGGTCTGAAGACCTCAATTGGGCCTTGCCCTGCGCCAACTCGCCAACTCGCCAACTCGCCCACCCATCCTCTCTCCGCGTTCTTCACCAGACATCCACCTGGCTCTCTCACGCCCGCCCATCTCGATCTTCGCCTGGTCTGAAGCCCCCTTCTTCTCTGTTTGCTCCTCTTTCTTATCGCGTGGGCTGCGCGCTCCAGACGTTCTTCAAAAAGCCGTCCTTCTGCGCCAACCGGTTCAGGCTGTCGTCGCTCTCGGCCCGGGACCGCACGAACCCGCAGAGCGCATACACCTGGTTCTCGCCCGTGTACCGGCCGTTCTCATCGACCTTGCCCACCGAGATCTGCACGCTGGCGTGGTCTTTGGCCTTGATGATGCGGTTGGTCGCGCTACATTTGCGGGGCACGTAGCTAGAGGAGAAAATTGTGTCAGCCAAAATTGAAGTCAAGAGGAGGGAAATTGGCAATGGGATCCTGGGAATCGCGCTTTTACGCAGATATTCTTCATTCCTTTTCTGGCCTTCTCAAAAGGTCGGCTGAGAGAGCGAAGGAGGGAGGAGGGATGGAAAAGGGTGAAGAGACAGCGGGGGCCCTTACAGATCGACGATTTCGCCCTTCTCGTTCTCCATGGTGCTTGATGTGTGCTAGAGTCCAAGTATCTTTTCTGGAACAAGGGAGGGAGTTTTGGTGTCTCGGCGACGGCGGTGGTGGTAGATTCGTTGGTGCTGCGTTCTTTTTCAATCTCGTCAACGAGGCGCCGCGGGGAAAATATCGAGAAATGTGCGTTTTGGGCGTCGGGGTTTGTCGACTCCGACCCGCCAAGATATCTTCACTTGATGTGTCAAAGATTCCGCCGTGGTAGTACAGGGGAGTAAAAGGTGCCTGAGCGAAGTTAATGATCTCGTCATGTCCCCTTTCGAGCCTTGCAATGCAACACCAGAGCACAACTACTCCGTTCTCGTTACTGTCATGCAGGTACATACCTCCTCAGACTCGAAATGACATACTACGTAGTCCGAGGAGCACCGAGCGGCATCAGCAAGCTCTGAAAAAATATTGCATCACGGTTATCTGAGTACATTTCTTTCATCTTCAACTCCTAGTCCTACAGTGGAAAGGCTGGTCAAGTGAGCCTTCAGGACTACCTTACGAATACTACTTCGGTCAATTGCTTTAGTCTCGTTGGTGCTGGCAACAAGCCTATCCCGATCTCTCGGTCAGTATTCTTGATCACCACACTCCTTGAGTTCGTTATGTCCGCGAAAGGTCCGCATTCGTCAAAATTTTTGGACTGAACATCTAAACGCTTAGTATGACTTGTCAGTATGCTCGCATCGGGCGTCGTACCCTGTCCATTAGTCCTTTCATAACCGAAAGCTTCCTTCTCCTTCGGTTATCTTAAGATATGGCCTAGGTCGCTATTAAACGTCCTAATACGTAGGGTAAAGAGCCACTTAGAGGCACGTTTTCTGTCCATCTGAAGTCCTGCTTTCAACGCTTTCACCATGTCTGTTGATGCTCGAAGGGCAAGATGACTGTATTGAACAAGTCTTCAAAACTAAATTGGCCGGCACCCACTGGCAAATGAGAGATAGGACCGCCAAGTTCTGCAGCAGGCATAGAGTCTTCGACTGTGCTGGGATCCCCTGCAGTACGAGCTTGCAGCCCTTGTGGTAATCGCGTTTCAGCAGGGCCAGGGTTCGGGGGCAGAGTGCCGTTCGTCTTTGACCTCAAGAGGTCGGCCCTGCTTATGGTCGACTGCCCAAAGAGTAAGGATACAGTCTGTTGCCCGGGAAATGCAGACGGATCACTTTGTTCTGTTTGGAGTTTGAGCATCTCGTTCCGATGATACCCTCTCGCTATATAAGTGAATTCGGAAAGTCGAGAAGTCTGCATCGCTGCATCGGTCACATGCTCGAGGCGGCTAAAGTATCCAGACGCCATTTCGAGGAAGAGAAGATTCGTTTTGGCGTCCGCACTGGTAGGGTTTTGAATAACAAGGTCAAACAGAATTAACATGGCAGCGAGAGGCATAGTAGTCAGTGCCCTGCCTGGATTAGTGTTTCTTCGGATGGACAGGGCGTTGTGCTTACCAAAGGGACGTATACGCCTTAAGATCAACCAAACTCGTAAGCTCCAAGATTGCTCTCGCAGCACTCCTAAGCATGACTTCGCCAGTGCCGAAATCCGACAAATCCCCATCGATTCCACAATGGATTGCCAGTCTTGCCAGTGCGATAACGACGTCGTAGTAAGAAAAATGAAGATGGACCAAGACGGCACGGGACTGTGGACTCTGCCCGTCCGGGATGCCAACAATGTTGCCCGGTCTGCATTGAGCAGGAATGCTTTCTTTCCAGGCATGAAGTGCCTTGTAGACACTCTGAATCTTGGTTCGCTTCTGTTCCACGGTATACATCGTTGCTTTGACAGAAAACAGTTCTTCGTAACAGACCGATAACAACCTGGCCAGTCGTACGCTACTTAAAAACCAGTCATGCTCGCTGCGTATAGATTCCGGCGTTGTTGGAACGAGACAATCAATATCAAAATCCGCAATGAGCTAGCGAGGCAGTAAGCTCCAGTTGCATGCAAAGGGCGGTTATGACATACAGAAGTCCTCGAGTTTTGGAAACACCAAGATTTCTCGAGCTGGTATATCACCCAGAAAGTTCTGGACTCATCGATCCGGTCCGACTTGTGCAGTTGGAGACATCTCGATATCCTAGCAGCTTCTGAAAGAAGGTCCTCTTTGAACTGGAAGGAACTCATATTCTGGGAGAAGATGGCCTAAATTGTGGTTAGCTCTCGTTTTTCTGTTTTCAGGCCATCGATTTATTCCTACCATTGCGGTAACGGTCTTTACGCGGTTAGCGATTACCTCGCATCTGAAAGGAAGTCAACGCACCTGCACATGCAGTAGAGTTGGCATTGGGCCCAAGGTTTTCGGGAAACACTCCCGCGCCTTCATAAAAAAGTGCCATGCAAGGCCTTTCCCCGGGAAAAAGGCCCCTCTGCCGTGGTATTGGCAGCCGAGCGCCAGAACCGCATTATACAGGGCGGACCACTCAGGATGGCTGCGCAAAAGCTGGTCGAATTGAGGTTTGGAGACTTCTTCAAGAAATGATGCCTGATCAAGAAAAGGATGTACCGGATGTACATGACGGAAATATGCTGCACGGGTCAGCAAGTCCGCGATCCAAGGACGAGGCGAAGACAACCTTGGATATATTCTTCTCTCAATTGCTGGGACAGATCAGCGTCTCTACGCAGTACCGCCAAACCTGGACTCCAGAAAATCTTGGTTGCATTTTCGAGGCGCTCTGTAATCATCGACCGCATCTCGTCGATCAATTGTTCGACCTTGCCATGACCCAGAACTTGGGCCAACGACTGCAACCTTGATTCGGTAAAGACACAATAGCTCGAACATGTCACTTCAGGGTTTGTCAGACAGTCACGTTCGAACTTGAATAGGGGCTATTGACTACCATGGTTTTCATCGGCCTAAGGTACTGCTTAGCATGTTTGCCCACTTTGAAAAGCTCCAGGTGTGGCCCGAAGCTCACCTCAAAAAGTCTCTTCTGGCAAGTCCTTTTACCGACCGTGAGTCGATCATGCTTGAGCAATTGATCAACAAAGAGGTTGTTATCGGTCTGCTCTGGCAAAGTGAACTGTATGGTTTCGGTACCTGCATCTGGGTTCAGAGGCTCAGGATCCGTGGTGTGCTGCTCTGCCGCCGGGCGGATGTGCCAGACATGGACATCTTGAAACTGTGATAAACTCGACCGCCGGCTTTCACCTGCAGTTATGTCTTCGCCTTAGTGTCTTTTCCCCGACTGCTACGTCTTTTCGCATCCGTACCATTTAGCCGTGGTCGTTGTCGCCTCTTATCGCGGGAAAAGTGACAGCTCTCACGTCTATTCTGCACAAGCCCAACCAAAGTCAGAGACAGAAATCACCGCAATGTGGGGGGGACGAGTTACCTGGCAATTTAAGCATGCTGCATCGCCCGGTGGTCGTCCTTCAAACAGTCAATCCGCGGCCCTCTGGCACAGAGATGCGCTGAGGTTGTGAAACACAGGCGGAGGCTTACTGCAGCGAACTTTCCTGGCATGACAATTCTCACACGTTCGTAGGACATCGTCAGTCGACATGGGCACACGTGTGGATAATGGAGTGGTGAGTTGTGCTTGACGGGAAACAGAGAGCGCAGGCCGATCTCCCCGCATCCGTGGCCAAGCTTGAACCTCTACCTCGTACCTGGGGGGACAAATTAACGGGGGCAAGGGGGGGAACCCAAGGAGGTAGGTAGAATTAGGATGTAGGCGAGCGGAGCGGCGATATAGGTGTTAGGTCTGCCAATCGCGCTGTTCAGAGTAGAGCCAGTCAATGGCGGCGCCTGCCTCGCCGAGCCAGGTGTTGAGGGCGTCTGACTTTTCTGACATTGCTGCACTGAGCCTGCAATGTTGAAAGCGGTTTGCGCAGAGCAGGTGCGCAACACGTCTTCAAGTTTGTTTCTGCCAAGCATTTCCCCGCGCCTAGCCTCTAACAAAAGCCCGTCGCATGAGCCCACCAGCCCTAACTTGCCCTAACCCAATGTTTTGTACCGGGGTAGCCAGGAAGGTTAGCTGGCGCCAGCTGGCGCCTAATAAATGCGCCGTGGAGCCGTTAGAGGCTTGGCGTTTCTTACACCTACTTGTACGACGTAGCTACCCCTGTATCTCGGTACTCGCGAACAAAAAAACCCTAATTGCCATATACGGTTTGATCCTAGAGGTGAGCGAAGGCTACTTTAACCCGAACACCAACCGAGTCTTCTAGCTGAGCATCACTGACCACTTCTTGAGCATCACACTGACCTAGAAGAGGACACCTAATCTGACTCTTGAGCGATCGGCTAGTCGGCTATTACAGTATACCTGCCTCCTAGCTGGATATCTATTTTAGGCGGGCGTTAGGAAACCTAGTACGAGATAGGTTCGCTGTCTTTGCGCCGCTGCCTAAATTTTCTTGTAACCCCGGACCTAGCGGTGTGACAGGTTGCGTGGTTGAATCGTCCGTCATAAGGAATCATGGTGGTCCACGTGCAGAGACGCCTAAAATCTCCGCTAAACTGCGAGTACCTGTTCTTGTGGCCCGCAATTTCACGATGCGTCGAAGCATAGGGCCTGGAGATGTCATATGGCTCGCCCCCCTCCTTCCCCATCAGCAGCCTATGGACTCGCGCCTAAGCTATTCTAAAGGTGTCAGGGGCGGAACGAAGACTTTGTCAAATGCTTTGCTCTTCTCTATCTGAGAGCGAGTGCTCTCGCCTATCTCTGAGGCACCAGAGTGCAAAGCCGCTACTCCTGGCCTGGCCTCGCCAGGAGGAAGGTGGTGGCGGCACCTACAGTACCTCAAGACTTGCCCAAAGGTAGGTGCGCACCCACAAAATGGGTCAGTTGATGTAGGTGGGACTGAGCACTTGGACTTCAAGTTCTCATCACTAGCCTCACCTCCACGATTGCTTTCACGCATTAGAGAGCCACACCGTCCTTGAGCTTTCTGTTCTGAAAGCTCGAGATGTCCGAGGTTTGATAGGTTTTCTCAAATAATTCTTATGCGAGACACCCTGCGACCATGGCGCTTGCCGTTCGAAGTGCTGCACCGTTGCAACCAGAAATAAGGCTGGCACAGGTTCTCTCTGAATATGAAGCTCTGCTCACGGACGGCGAGAAGACAAGATTCCGCGACCTGCGATCGGAACGACCTCCTACTGTCTCAGATGTGATGAAACTCACAGATGAAATCGATCGCAACCACAGCCGTCGCAGGAGTCGCCGCTGCTTTGGACCAGTTTGAAAGAGAGCAAGTTACATACCAACTATGGCTCCGCTTACCCGATAACAGGGTTACAGTGGTATCGCTTCCGTGGTCTCCAGAACACTGGTCATGCCTCGAGGAACGTTTCTTGAAATGGAGTCTCGACAACGCCCATGAAGCTATCCTTTCCAAAGTTATGGAAAGAATTCGAGACGAATCTGAAAAAAAAAGCTTGGGCCCCCGGAAGGTGGACTTCGGCTACTGAACATGCTCCTAAAGCAGGGCAAAGAATTCAGGGTGGGAGGTCAAGTTCACTGCCTCTTGCTGACATTGCCGAACTCGTTTGCTGAGAGGACGTTTCTTGTCCCCCTATTGAAAACAGCCGTCGACTACGCGGCGGTTTCTGATAACTCATTTATGTGTGGGCTTGCATGGTGCGCAAAACTTACCGCGCAAGAGGAACATACGAAGGTATTACTTGTAAACACTAGTTTTACAGGTTCGGACACTGAAGACCCAATCGCCGTTTCGATGACAGCTGCAACAGAAGGGTGGTTGGAGGTGATCAAGGTACTTCTCTCCGAGAAGCCAATGCTAATCAATTCTAAAGACGCGCACAACAGAACGCTACTTATGGGGGCTGCTATGGCCAACCGGACGGAAATGGTCAAGCTGTTGTTGATGCGACAGGACGTCGAGACCGAGGTTCAGGACACTCATGGATTCACTGCACTATCTCTAGCTGTCGACCATTGTAATGAGGAGACAGTTAAGTTATTGTTGCCCTACGGCGATGTCAATGTCAACACAAAGAATCTCAACGAGACAACACCCCTCCAGCTGGCTTCAGAGCTTAGAAGCGCAGGCATCGTGAAGCTACTCCTTACCCGAGAGGATATTCAGGTCAACGCTGCCGATAACGATGGTATGACTGCACTGACTAGTGCTGTACGCCATGTGTCTAAGGATAAATCACGAGAAACGCTGGGGAGGGAGACAAAACTCTTACAGAAGCAATTACGAACAGTCCAGACCGGGCAAGAAGTCAGCTATATCAAGGCCCTGTTCTTTTTCGAAAAGCACAACCCAAGGATCATTGCAATATCACCACCGGTTCGCTTTCTCCGTCAAGAGAAGCGAACCGAACAGCACGAGGCGAAACTTGTCACACGGACGACGCCGAGGGGGATGCTGAGAATACGCAAGTACAAAACATACGCGAGGTCTCACCGTTACCCTGCCTATTACCAAACAGGATTGATAACTTGAGTGCCGCTGAAAGCGGCGGTATTCCCCTGTCTCAGACGAATTGTCATGCCGGTGGTCAGTTGAGTCTGAACACTGAGCCCTTGCTTGACGCTAATAGGGCCTCGCAACAATCGCACTTAAGTCAGATAAAATCTTCGTTCGGAACAGATGGATTGTCCTCCGGCTATACCAATTTCTTGACGAGCATGACAACGCGCCACTTCTTTTAGGGTGTCCATATTGTCGGGCGCGCTTGTGGGCTCCCCCGCACACCGCCAATCAGGGAGAACCACGAGCAGGTGAAGACGACGGCGTCACGGACACGGAACGGGATGCAGAGGTTGCAGAGGTTGCAGAGGGTGATGCGAAGTATAGCTATGAGGAACATCAGTTCCTCTACCCAATGAGGATTCTTTGCCCGATATATAATCGGATTGCAATGTGTGCTGAAACAGGATGCAGGTTCGCGTTCGGGATGACTCGTTCAGAGCTTCACAGGAGATGACTCCAGGTTGTACCGAGTACACCCCTAGTTCCTCGTCAGAGTCAGCTTGAGAAGATCAGCCACAGGTATGTCTTGGCAAGTCGCTGTGACCCAACGGAGGACATGCCGATTCTACAGGGCCATGGAGGACCTGTCCGACTATAATACTCGTTCAGTAAATTAACACAGGGGTTATTGACGCTAGTCCGATAGTCCTCGGCCGAGGACTAACGTGACGGTTTTTACATGTCTTGGCTGCCTTGTTAGTCAATAGTAGGGAAATATAGGGATGTGCCCCCCAGAAAGTGTATAGCAGGCCTCGTCTCCATAGAATTGCGCCTTGAGCGCCTTGATTCCCTTGCTCTACACCAAGTGGAGGAGAAACTGCTCGCAGCTCTCCTCATATTGAGATGATTGTCGTACCGCCCTGTGCTTCGCCCTGACTTGCGCGAACCCGGAGAAAGAACGCCGGTTATCAGACCCTTCTTTCCCTATGTTCCGCTGAAACGCATCATCTCGTGAAGTCCCCATCAACTGAGGCTGCTTTGCTTTGACCGTCGGCATACTGTAAGAACCAGTCGTGGAAGCTGAGGAACAGACAGTTTTTCTTGTTGCCAACCACAATGCCGGCCATCAACAGGCCGGAATGGTTGGGGAGTATAAGCACACGATCCGTCGGCTTGAGGCTCAATGGTAGCCAAAAGCGGTAAATGACATAGTGAGAGCTACAGGAGCCCTGGGAAATGGAGAGGATCCGTAGCCTGCTACATCGGTAAACGGCTCACCAGATTGGGAGTCTATCAAGCTTCTGTTGCCACACGGTAGGTAAAGATCGTCTTTGGACAAACCAACCAACTGAGGATATAGACGGAAACCAGATTCGCAACAGTGGACCAGCAAGAAGTCGGCACATGATGTCAGAGCGTTGAAGCCACCCCTCGGTAGCTCCATCCTGTCATGCGCGTCTACTAAGGTGCCCATTCTCAAGTTGATTCGACGTTTCGCGAGCACAAAGAACCGAAAATGATGAATATGTTCGATGAAATCCCACATCCACAGGAAGCCATGTGTTTTTTTTTTGTTTTTTTTTTGCATTTCCACATTCAGACAAACGCCGTCTTCTCCAGTCAGCACTCTGCTCACTGGCCTAATGCGCAACTTGAGCTGAGGACCTAATGACCACCTCGTGGGCCAATACTATCGTTTCTAGAGCCTTGTCTCTCTGCGTCCTGTGAGAAAGGCACCATCAGCCTTTGAGTTTCGAGGTTGGCAGAGCAGTGAGGTATTGATGTTAGACAAATGCGTACCCATTTCTCTTGCAGAAGACCATTTCCTAGAATCGCCCTGATAATTTCCTCCTGATCGTTGGTCCCAAACTCTTCGTCGAGCAGTGCATTCGAGGCTACAAGTAGTTGTCCTTGAGTTCCGTGCCTAATCCAAGGCCTATCAGTATTTTGGGCTGGTCTTCCGAGCAGTCATGAGAGATAGGGCTCACCTTTGAGTAACAAAGATCTCAAATGCCTTAACAACTTGTACCAGAGGGGTGGTCTGATCCGCTTTCCACGTCTCGACGGCTTCCGGATTGTCAACAAAAACAACAAACTCGTTCTCTTTGCCCTTGAAGTAAATCCTGGTCTGTTTTGCTTCTCCACGAGCCATGATCGCTATTGCTTCACGAGTTCCAAGATTCGCTAGTTGCTATTTGCATTTATGTAAATGTTGAAAGATTGCATCTGTGGTTATCGCGTGTTGGGAAGTGAGATGGAGTGAGGGAGGTTGGGGGACCTCTCAAGCTTGGTGCGCGTAAGTGGCGCTCCGAGTTACCCTTAACAGATAAACCTGTTCTGTAAGCTGGCGAATTACCTGGAATACAGTGCTGGAAGTTAAGTTTCTTAGAGACAGGTGCTCACACGCCCAGGACCCTTGCAGAGACCCACGTGGGCCCACACGACGAAAGGCCTTTTGTATGCAAGTGTTGGGGGTTGTGGACGAGACTTCGCGGTTGTTGCGCCGACACAAGGAGGTTCACAAGCGCGGGGCTCTGAATTACTTGCAGGTGTAAAGCGGAGGGTGTAGGACCTCTCGCTCGTACTAGCGGGGGGAGAAGGTGAGAAGTTATGAAGGGAAGTGAAAACAGGACAAGGATGGAAGGACGATTCGCACCAATCAGTGTAATGGGGTCGTTACAAGCGCTCAAAAGAGGAAACTCCGCCTGCTCCCGGCATACCTAAGCTGTAATGACGGCGACGACTGACTGAATGGCCAGAGGATAAAGCTGAGAATTGTTGCAAGTTGCTCGCCGGAACAACAAATCCGATAATCCCTATTACAAACGAGGTTCTCAGAACATGAGGCCAGTGATCCTTGTCACTTTTGCAAGAGTCTAAAATGGCATCATGAACCATGGTTCTGCAAAGCTCTCTGGAAACGACGCTAGCAAAATCACCACCGATCCTACTATTTCCAGACGTCAAAATGAACCATTATTTTCACGGGCTACCAGAAGAGAATCACCCATGGTCCGTGTCAGCTGGTGACGAAAAGACTCTGAAAGTGTGGGACCACCTCCGATGATCGATGTCTATGGATTGCCAAGAAATTCGAGAGAGTCCAAACCCACTGTGTGTCGATTTTGGCCGAGGAGAAGTTCAATAATCCCTGCTAGTCCCCGACAGTCACACCTTCAAGCAACACATAGAAGAAGGGTGACCCTTGTTTAGCGCGAGACATTGACCATCGAAAGTTGTGTCGTTGCCCGGCTCTTCGACCTCCCCCCAGCAAATGTATCATATTCAGCCCGTGCGCAAATGGCGTCGACCTGCAGGAAACACGACTTGGCCCAACGCGCTCCCAGCCGAGGTGTTCTTGACGACGACAATGCCGTGTCGCATATTCCTTCAAAATGGCGAGTGGAACGAACCGGAACACTAATGAGGACTTGGGCCTACGGCACTCCGAAACAGCAGCATTTTGGACATCACAAAACCAATGGCTGTTTAATTTTCCTCTATATTATCCGAGGCACAGAATCACAGGGGTCAAAAATGACGAGGGAGTAAAGAAGACTCTCCCACCGTTTTCACATGATTCCGAGACTACGCTCGCTGCGCGTTCGCCCCGAACCACTCTTTGGATTTCTTGACACCACTTCGAAGGTACAGTACAGTAGAGTGTCGGTATCAGTGCCAATGTCAGTGTGTTTAGTCTTGGGTGGGATGTTACAATTGATGAATGTTACTGCACTGGCAGGGCCTGAGAACGTGGTTTTTGCGCCCAACCCTCGCGCCAACCTCATTGTAATTCTACTTGCTCGATTGGAGAACGGGCTGCTTTTGTGTTTCAGCCTCTCGACATCAGCCACCGAATTCTTCTTGATAATCAGTTGGGCGAGACATATACTTGGCTAGGGTATTCCATCACAAAGAAACATCTCATTCAAAATGGTGGGCCAGCCCATCCACATCTTAGGGACAACCCTATCCTTAATGCAGAGTGTCCCAATTATAAAACTAGAACGTAGCCTTTGAAAAGACCGGAAATTTAACGACCGTATCGCCCTTCACGTTGCCGCACCAGCTGCAACACGTGGAAGCCCTCGATATCACAGCCAACTTTGGGCTCTTTTACCACTCCTGAAGTGACAGACACTCGGCGTTGAGCAAATCAGCAGCAGGGTACATGCGAGATGTCAGGTCGACAAATGACGGGGTAATCGGGGTTCATCCTCAGTGTACGGCACTCCAGCTCCCTCCCTGGCCAAGTCATTGATCCAACGTTGATTAGGTTGAAACTCCCTGTCAGCGGCAACGGCAGCTACCAGATACGTCCAAGCGAGCGCATTGCCCACGGTGTGAACCTCGTCGCTGATATGATTAGTTGCGTAATTGCTCATGCGAGAGTACAACTCCTCATCGGTGAAGAGACCATGCAGGTATTTGGCGACTGCCTCAATGTCGCCCCTAGGAACGAGAAACCCACTCTTTCCGTGTTCAATCTGCAGGGGTATGCCTCCGGTATTGGTGGCGATGACAGGCTTGCCTTTGCGCAGAGCCTCAGATACCTTGACCTCGAACCCTTCTCTCGACGACAACTGCAGCACGACGCTTGCCTTGGATAGTATTGCATTCGGCATCTGATCAATGGGCCCAAACCGGATGACGACGATGTCTTTCTTGAGCTCGGGGAATTCTCTGGAGATCAGTTCGATGGTCTGGTCATAGCTTTTTGCTCCGTCAGGATCGTCAATGGAGCCGTCGCCGCAAATTATCAGTTGAGGCTGCTTCTCGATTGCTTCTTCTTTCATGTACTGGCGTCTGAGCTTGCCGTAGCTTCTAACCACTTCGGGAATCCCTTTGGAGGGGTCAAAGCGCGCAATCTGTGCGATGTAAGGACGTCTTGGATATTCCAGTGCAGGGACGCCTTGGTCATGACAGCTATCTCGAAGCTCGTGTAGGTAATATTGGATATCCCACTCATCCATTGTCTTATTCAGACCATCGAGCCAGTCCGAGGTAGCAGGAAGCCAGCCCACGGACGCTGGTTTCACGTCGTGCGGCACGAAGGATCTCACCGGATGGCTGATGAACACGTCGGCAAGTCTAATGCTTTCCCACAGCGTTTCCCAGACATGGTGTGCCGCGCTCCCTTTCTGACGAACGAGATCATCACGGATTTCAATATGGCTCCTGAAGATGACTGGACGATCTGGATCCACGCTTTTTGAGATCTTCACCAGTTCTGGCATTTGTGGATCCTCAACAATTATAACGTCCGCACCGTTCTCGGAACGTTTCTTGAGAGGACCGTTCGCCGAGAGCCAATACCTTTCGGCATTTTCCCGGATCCAGGTTGATAGTGATCGTAATTGTTCATCTGTGGCCCGTATATCTGGCGTTGCGGCGCCTTGCAGAATGTTGTGGTTGGTCTTTGTCAACCGGAAGACCTCTGGTCGTGGTTTCGGGACGTACCTCACTCAATCAGTAAACTCTACTCAAAGGATGAATCGATTCCCTGATACCATTCTACACGAACTCCCTGAATTCTCAAGAATCTCAGGAGGGCGTGGCGGCTCAGCGCGACTCCCCCGCCTTGTGGTGTCGCGCTGAAAAAGGCGAAGCGAAGATTCTGTTCTTTGATTCGGCTGATCCAATAATTGACCGCGCGCCATGTGGTCGGCCTTACGGTTTTCTCGTAGTCTGAGAGAGTCGTGATCTGGCACTGCCCAGCAACATCCACTTGCACTTCATTGCGATGGTTAATGGACAGTCGAGGCTGCTTTGTCGGACCGAAGAGACTGGGTCGATAAGCCACATCAGTCATAGAAACCGGTTTACAGGCCTTACGTCAAGCACTTTCGGGCTACCAAATCTGCCAGTTCATCAACATCTTCGCCTTTCTGTGCACCTATCATCGTTGCTCCTGTGAACACAGTTGGCACAGTGTCGAGAACTGCCCAGAGCTGGGTACAAAGATTTGGAACTTCATCTGCAAGCTCAGCCGTTACGCCAACACCTAGGATTTTGGAACGATGGGTTTCGCGGTAAGTTGCGAGGGTGGATACAATATGTTTCTCGATTATAAAAGCTTTCCTCTCTGGTGAAATCTGGTCCACCCAATCGATCATGTCTGGAACAGGCAATTAGTCTCATCCAGATATCATTACTCGCTTCCCTACCGACACGGAAATTAACATTGTAAATGCTGTCATGCAAGCTGAAGCCCAAATAAATGTTCGATCCCTTGACAGGGAAGATGGCTAAGCCAGCCCAGATGTCCTAATTTGATGTGAGTGGACCAAGGTCAATAATCATTAAGAAACTCCATACGTTGTAGCTGCGGTCGTGATCTTCAACCTCAACGTCTAGCTTCCGCGGGCCCCGTTGGTAGTCAGGCACCTGCCCCATAAATGGATAGATGCACTTTGCTTGAAACTGGGTGCCGTCCTCTGAGTAAGATGGGTGAAACATGGTTTGACCTTGTTGACTAGATATCTCCCCTAAGAACAAAAAGAAAAGAAAGAAAAACAGATGGTGCCTGCAACGTGCGAAGTATTTGGTAGTTCAAGTTTAGTCTGGAAGGTCCTCAACTAATTGATCTAACTCGATTTCATAGAGCGCTGCTAGATGGCCGGTTATGTGCCATTAGCTAATATCTTGAAGGGAAATGGTCTTATAAGAACAATGACCGGAGGACGAGGATTACGAGGAGAGGGGTTGAGGTCAGCCGTGGCCGAACTCAGCACGCCAATGAATGCCAGTAGGAAAGAACATTTGAAACGTCGCTCACATCCGCGATCTGATTCGGACAAGCCACGGCCGCGGAACAAGAATTTTGCAAGTTACGACACCACCGTTGCAAATGGCAGTATTGGGTTTCCGTTAACCCGCGAGGTTTACGAGCTTGATAACCCCTGGCTAGGTTTGTATGACCGAAGCTTCCGGATCCCACGGGTGAGGGTGCTGCTTCTTCAAACCACGCAGCGGACTCCGGAGCATTGACTGCAATTGGAGGCCACGATTCGGTGCTGGACAGCTCGAGCGTGTGTTGGTTGCAATATGCGAAGAAGAAAAGCGAACGGCGAAATCATATTGTTGCCCTCCCATTGGCGAGGATCAAATCACTTTATTTCGTTGCGATGGTGGCCCCTTAAAATTGAGGTTATACTGTATAAGTTGAAGCGTTGATATCCTTGTTTCACCAAGCATTGTATTCGTCTCTTTTACTCTCCGGATACCACAGATTCAATCCTCTGCTCAGACGGCTGTTCGATAACCCTGACCACATACGCTGAAATCAAACCTTCCTCAAAGGAGCCCGAAGTGACAACCTTTAGGTCTCGAAGTGCTGTTCTCGCCACCGGAAGTAGAGGCCCAGCGATGGCCTTTTGCCTTATTCCCCACCGCATTGCCCGCGAGACCCTTCTAGTAAGATCATTGTCCCGAAAAGGTAACCATTGATCGATGTTCATGGAGTTGGAAACACCCGTGTTCGCCCAAAGTTGCCTCCCCAGCAGCAATTCCGCTCGATTTGGATCTTCAAAGCTTCGAGATCCCCCAGTCTATATGGTGTTTCACTCAACAGCCAACAGAAACGATGGCTGCTTGTGGCTGCTTGTGGCTGCTTGTGGCTGTTTGTGGCTGCTGAGGCCACGGCTTCGCACTGACCAAGTATTCGATAAGCGACCTGTAGTGACGGAAACGTTGAAAACGAAATCCTGCCTTATTCACAAAATACATTGTCGCTCAGTCATAAGATTGTGCACGCACACAAGATATAGCTATATACCTGCGCCAATATCAATTATATGCTTCTTTTTGGAACAGGGCTTAAAGGGAAGGCAAACGAAATAGCACAAAGGTGCACCCATCGCCTGGTATTGAAGGAGCAGTCAGCATCGCTGCGTAGTTCGACAGGGACGGCGTCCAAGTGTAATGGTGGCGTTTCAACGTTTTCTCCTGAAAAGGAACACGAAAGAATGAGCATCACATAGAAGATGATTCGTTTCGATTTGGCGCTAACAAGACGTGCAGAAGGTGCTCTTGATCACCAGTCAAGATGAAGGTGCTAGGAACTATAGCTATACAGCCTTGACTTGACTTGACTTGACTTCATTTGCCCTGACCTCTCTCTAGGCTATACAGCCGTGGACTGAACCGCCCTCCCCATTGCGCACACACCGTGACTTTCTCCCGCAAAAAGCTAAGGAAGAAGTGGGGTAATCCTCGCCTAGTAAGATCTCCTCCAATGACCGATGATCTTCTCCAGCCCCTCCTTTCAGAAGGGATCAAATCACGTGCGACCGTGTCAGTGATGGTTTCGCGCGGTGCAGTGTTCGCGTCGAGCCGCATGTGTCAATTCTTGGGCCGATTCTTTCCCATCACATCATCTCGATCTCCAAACGCGTCCTGTACCTGTGCACAATGGCCAGCAACGAGGACAAGGATCGAATTACATGGTCTCCGTATGGTCCACCATCCCATCCTGAGAAACCCCAAGAGCGCCCAGCACACCGGCACATTCACTTCAAACATCCCGGCTGCGACACCACCCTCTTCACTCTCCCCCCTCTGGATGCTGGCGGTATCCATCATGAGACAGTACGCATTGCTTGCGGTATTCTCGATAACAATACATGGGACGGTTTCTTCTCTTTGGACAAGCATGGAAAACATCCGGTCCCGGAATCAGAAAGGATATTGAGAGAGAAAGTATAACTATTTCCAGACATCACCATCGCTGAGTGGTAACGATCGTCTTTTATTTTCCTGCTATACATCTAATGGGAACTAGATTTGAACTATGCCGTAACTCCCACGTTCGAGCACTGGTGCTTTCCCTATGGCGATCTCCCTCCCCGCTGGCGCGAAATCCCAGACTTCCAGCAGAAATCACGGCCGGATCGCGACAGCGCTTGCCGAATATCGCAATGTGAGGAGGGTGTTGAAGATGCACACTTAGTTCCCAGCGCCGAAAGGCAATGGTTCAACAACAATATGGCTGTATACATTCACTCCGCAAAGGCAGATAAGCTCAAAGAGTCCGATAACAGCATTCGTCTGCGGAGCGATATACATACCATTTTCGATGCGAAGCGCTTTGCCATCGTACCAATCGAGGGACGCTTAGTGGTCTATTGCATGAACACTAACCTTGGTTCGCAAGTTGAAGGTCTTTATCACGGTGTCGAAATACACAGAATTCGAAACTCGGGCTTCCTCAGCCAGTTTTTATTCGCACGTTTCGCGTACACGGTTTTTGAGCGCCTTCGAGCATTCTTGGAAGCAAACACTACAAGGAAACTTCGGCTTCGCGTGGACCATGAGCCAAAAGAGGAGATGTGTAGCCCGGAACGTTGCTTGCGGCTCGCCAGCGATACAGCATATCAGGGCAAATCTCGCAGCGTTAGTCCGAAGAAGCGCCCCCGTCCTGACACCGAACCGAATGATGATAACTGGTCGGAGACCGATTTTCGAGGCCGAAAAAGAAGACGCAGTGATGACACTGAGTCATTCTCTGTCTCGCTCCCCAGCAGCGTGGGCTACTCAGCAGATTTATTAATTGGAACACCTGGAACTCCTCCAACGCCAGCACCTAAGACCGAGAACACAACCGATATCAGGTTTGACTTGAAAACCGAAAGACACCAGTCAAACCCCCAAAACGAACAGGCTCTGTCTTGAGATAAATAAAAGCTCCTGTTATTCCTATCCGCAAAGCAGTACAAACCACAGAAGACCGCCCAAGCAATACCAACACCGAATAAACCCTTCCAAAAAGCCCTCTACCACTGCTTCACCCTCTTCAGTGTTACCTTAAGGCCGTCTCTTGGTTTTGACGTGATGATTCCCGCCGGAACCACTTCTTCATCGGGATTGAGCAAAGCCCATTCAAAGGCTCCAACAAAAGCAGCCACCAACGCCCTAAGCTCTGCTCGGGCGAAATTCTGTCCAATGCAACTACGCTGGCCGTGAAGGAACGTCATGGTGGCATAGTTGGTCGACGCACCACCCGTTTGATTTGGCTTACCGGTCTCAGGGTCGATCCATCTTTCTGGCTTGAAGACATGAGCGTCGGGACCCCATAACTCTGGATCATTGTTGACTGCCCAGGGAGCCATTATGATCTTAGTGCCTGCGGCAACTGGGTGGCCCATTAATGTAGTATTTCGCTTGGTTGTTCTCATCGTCACGGGTACAGCAGGTAGGACCCGGAGAGCCTCGCTGCAGACGCCGTTAAGCAGAGGTAGCGACTCTAGCACCGAAGCAATGCTCGTGTCTTGGGAGTTGTTCGGTGAGAATCCATTCGGGATTGCCGCGTGTATCTCGGCACGGAGGCGGGATTGAATATCAGGATGAAGGGCAAGAAGGTATGCTACCCATGTGAAGCTCGAGGAGGTCGTTTCATGGCTAATTGGCGAAGTCCGTGATCAGAGAGAGGCTGCAAATTTTTCAAGCGCTAGGGGGGAAGAGAATTTATGCTTACCCAGCTGCAATGATTGTCAGAAGTTGATCTACGAGCTCTTCGTCTGAGAAAATGTTCGACTTGATCAACAAGCCCAGAGTGTCGATGGCTTCGTCTTCTGAACCCTTCATTCCCTCTCGTTTTTCTCGCACAAACCGCCTGCAGATCAGTCTCAACTGAGCATTGAGCTCATCAAACCGTTGGGCGACAGGGCGGCATAGCCATGATGCGAGCTCGCTACTTCCAAGTAAGGACACAGCTGCGAATACTTGCCGGCCCACAGAAGGGTTCACCAGTTGATCGTAGATTTTGGCCATTTCGTCGTCCGAATTCTCCAGCGTGTTGAAATTTCGACCCAAGCCTGCGACACCGATAATATCCAAGGTTGCTTTCGGGGCAAAATGCTCGATGTCCACCGCTCCAGGTGGCAGTTGTTTGTCCTCTGCATGCCTCCGGTCTTGTCCAAAGGCTTCAGCATCAATCACCTCGGTCATCTTGACAGACTTCTCCCAAAACAAGGGATACAGCAGCTTGATTTGTCGAAAAGCAAAGCTAGGCATGCTGTGTTTGCGTTGGTGTTTGTGTTGGTCACCTTCAGCTGCGACCAGTCCGTCACCGATCAAACGACGGAGAAAGACACGGTCCTTTTCAGGCTTGGGGAATTCATATGATCTGGTGACCAAGATCTCGGCCAGCGCCTTGGGGCTCGTCACCAGCAACTGGTCGGCGTTCAAGAAACCCTTGAGCCGAATGAGACCGTCGTTGGGGACTTTGAGGGTGAATTTTCGATAGTCCCCGCCTCGCGGGAGTCTGAACTGGGACAAGCTGTGGCCCAAGACGGGATAGCCACCCTAAGACGCAGGTATTAATCCTCCCGCCTTGTCAACCCCGTTCTAGGCAGCGCGGCAGACGTACCTTTGGAGTGGGAAGATCTCGAAGCGGGCTGACGAAATTTGGATAGATGAATATGAGATAGAGGAACCACAATGCAAAGTCGAGGAGCGTGAAGCTGAGAAAGGCCGGGTTGAATCCATCGACCGGGGCATACTGGCGAGCCGTCGCAAGCAACACCACAGCCTGCAGAGCCGCAGAACAGACCAGGAGTAACGGCGTAGGGATGGTGAAAGCCATCGCCGTGGTTGTCGAAGGCGATAATATCGAAAACAGTTCAATCCCAAGAGAGAAGAAGCATTGGTCCCGAGCAGCAGCAGCAGCAGCAGCAGCGGCAGCAGGATCTCCTCGGCGTCCAGTATACCTATACAATATATCAACGCGGGGACGTGCTAACCCAGTACAGTGATAAATCCTCACGGGGGAATCTGTCGCTCGAGCAATAATAATAATAATATTGTCAATATTATGTTTGTCCCTCCAGAGGTCGAAATAGAGCCGCGGTATCAAGAGCCCAGGACGGTGCAAATTTCCACCGAGGGCCCCGCAATTCGCGATCCTGCAGCAATGGAGAAAGGTAGGTAGATCGATCGCTCGGTGGTATGTACGCAGTACGGGGTACGTGCTCGTAGGCTATGAATCCTTTCCCGGATTCTGATGAAGGTGGTGGTGGTGTCGTCGGGCAAAGGTACACTACTGCTGTCGTGGTAGGCTTACGGCTGCCGACGAACAGAGTGCGAGCGTACGTGTTCATCTTGCATCACAGATGTCCGCGCTCCGGGTTATCCGGGGTTGTGGAGGAGGATGCGGCTCGCGAGGTGCGACTGCATGGGTGAGGTGAATCGGTGTTACGATCCCCCAAAGGGGAGGGTGATCTAAGTAATAGCGACTCCATCAGAGTAGATGTCTGTGCAGGCAAGCGGGTGTGATTATTTATCCCGCCCCTTCATAGCAGGGTGCAGGTTGCAGGAGGTTTGTTTGTTTTTATCAAATGGGATTCCTCACCGTCTCTAAATACACCGACGCTCAGCTGGCTGGGCCTCTCTTCTCTTTTTGCACCATCTCCCTTCGACTACCCATGTAGCGAGAGCCATGTTATCTCAATCCCTTGACCCAATCAATGGAATTAATGCCCCAGGGCTAAACTCCTGCCCTTCTTAGCATTTTCGTTACGCTGTCTCGCACAGCCTCCTGGATCCAGAAGGGCATAGCTCTAACGAGAGCCGCACCGGATAATGTAGCTGGGAGGATGATCTGCCCACTGCTGCCAGAGACAAGTTGGTTCACAATGGCATCCGAGACCGTTTCAACCTGAAGAGCCGATCGTCGAAAGCCCTTGTCGGCGTCTTGTAGCTTCTGTGTCATTGGCGTAGAAACCCAGCTAGGATGGACAACGCTGTTCGAGTGTAGGTTAGAAATACGCCCTCAATACGACGGATGCGCTCTCTATACGAGATACGTTCTCCATACGAGCGGCAAGCTTGCCAACACTGCAAACAGCCATTGGTCGAGGGTCAAGATCGTACGTACCTAGTGCGCACTTTTGGGGCGTCGTACCAGTATCTCAACTCTTGCGCAAGGCCTTCATGGAATGCCAGGGCGCTAGCTTTGGAGCATGCATAGGAAATCATGTTGCCGGCCGTGACGAAGCTGGCCATGCTCGCGACCGTGACAATGTGACCGTGATTTTTTCGAATCATGTCTGGAAGGAATTCTTTCACAAGGACGAAGTGGGAGATGGTGTTGACGTCGAAGGTGCGTCGGACACTCGCTTCCGTCCCATTCAGGATCGTGCCTAAATCGCCCACGCCTGCATTGTTGACGAGAATCGTGGGATGTCCGTATGTCTCGCGAACTTCGTTCGCGACATCTCTCACGGCGTCTGACGATGTGATGTTGACTTGGAAGAAGGCGACATTTGACGCTGCCCGGCACCCTGTTAGCGATGCCAACGAGCCGAGACTCGGATGTACAAACGCAGTGGTGTCTTTGGCGCATTGACGTCGAGGATAATCACCTTGACACCTCTCGTGGCCAGGTTTGCCGTTACTTTCTCCCCGATGCCACTCGCGCCTCCTGTGACTACAACGAGTTCCTTACTTCCATCCCAGCGATTGCTTCTTGTCCAGTTGTTGATTGCAAGTCGTGATAGGACACCATTGGTCCTCTTCAGAATTCCAAGAATGAGAAGCAAAGTAAGCGCTTTGGCTGTTTGGGGCGATTGAATAACATCGCAAAGGCTGGCCGGAAGGCGCTCAAGGAGTGATGGAGGAAGCCTAGGCAAAGCGCACAACAACACTCCAGTGAATAGCGGCTCGAGTGCTGCTCCTTTGAATATGGACACCATCGCGTGAGACGAGGGAAGCTTCCCTAGTAAAGAGGCAGGGATCCGTTGAACGTCTATTTTTCCGGAAGGAACTTTTGAAGTTCGTCGACTGGTCTTTCCAGACTTTTTAACGACCCTATGGCACGATGATTCTGCCGCAATATACCAAGAAGTCTTGAATGAAGGCCATTCGAGGCGTGGTGTCAGATCTTTCAGCAGGCTGACCCAAGGCCAGCTTTCAGGCCCCCGGGGTCGGAAATTGCCCCTAACGGGGTGAAACTAATTCCGGTCCATATTGAGCCGGTTGAACGGCGGAATCTGAATCGCAGCCTTGTTCAACTGCGCAATACTCGGTAGCCGTCACAATACCCAGCAGCCCAGATTCAACAGTTGAGCGCTACTCTCTCCATCTCTGTTCTCCACCCTTTATGGACGATCGTCAATAACGAGCCAATAGACAACTCAGACATGGTGCCTCTGGTCCACTTCATCCGGGGTGTGGACATGGGAATATCTTGGCGCCTTGGTTGCTCAGGGTTTACTGGGTATTCACTACAGTCGCTGGCTATGACCAGGTTGTCGCGAACACTGGCTTTTGACGCACAGTCTGGGCTCTGTCCTTTCGCAACACGCTGCGAATTCGGCAAGGCTGCAGCCTAGGCATTTGCGAGATGGCAACGAAGCGGGCGATATCTCGGTTGATGTTGGAGAAGGGTCAATTGCCAACACAACAATAAGGATTCATCAATGGCCCAAGATTGCTCTCGCGTCAACAGCCAAAAAAAAAAAAAAAAGACGGCATCTACAGGTTCCATTGCCCGATTGTTGCGGCATTGACACTCGAGATTGGCGTATTGACCGGGTAACCGAGGCCCGCACAAAGTTTGGCATCAGGGCGAGCAGACTTGACGACTCGACAACAAAACCTACGATTCTAGGCAGCGATAAGGCGTACGATCTATCCGGCATTGTCAATCGACAGCTCCCGTACGACTTTCAGTCTCGGTGTTCTCGAAGGCCATGAGAATTTGCCTAGGCTCAACCCCGCTGGATATCTCGGTGGAAGGACTGAAGAGGAATAGTCTCGGTGGTGGAGTCTCGGAGGTCTGCAAATACGGTTGAAGGGGCAAAGAAAGCAAAACCGAACCCTTGGAAATATCAAACATTGCTTCCTCTTTGGCTGTCTTTTGACCATTTATGCCTCACCTTTGACTGGCTCGGACGACCCGAGTACGCCGTCCCGTCTCAGAGCCAGTCCGTCCTGTTGGACATTCGGAATCGAAGAACGTAACCCCTCTGGCCAACCATCGAAGAGATGGGTTACTGGCTGTGTGTTCCTGGCTCTGACACCTACGACGAACAGTCCACGCAGTCGCGTGAGAGCGCACCAGATCACAACGGCAAAGGCCATGGGTAGTGACGAAAGGCTATGGTCCTACGTTCTCACAGGTGGGTCAAGGGTCTATATTCTGCTTGAATCACCAGATCAAGAGGGTTAATTACCGGTAACATTGGAAACCCTGGTTCCGAATGAGTCAAGATGCGTGTTATTCCCAGTTGATCACATTCCTCTGATACACATACTCCGTTATCATTTTTGCCGACCCAGGATCCAGTTCGCCATCGATCAGTCGCCACACCCAGCCGACGTCTCTTCCCCCCCCCCCAGATTGGGCGTATGTTACCTCGGCCCAAACACGATCAGGCTTTAGGGTTCTGGATCCATGAAGATAAAGAAAAGCAGATAATGTACGGAGCACGTCGCCAAAAGGTAATTCCTGACAGTTCATATTCTCCTTCTGGTGATCTCGTCAGCTACCTTGTCGTTCCACAATGCACGTCCCCGTCGACGGAAGAGACAACTTTGTCGACGTCCTCATCATCGGGGCCGGGATATCTGGCATAAATGCAGCTTATCGGATACAATCCCGGCTGCCAGACCACAAGTATGTCATCCTCGAAGGTCGAGGTGAGATGGGAGGGACGTGGGACTTGTTTCGATATCCCGGGATCCGCTCCGACTCGGACCTGTTCACCTTTGGATTCTCCTGGCATCCGTGGAACCAGAACAACCCCATCGCCGAGGCCTCTGCCATCAAGGCGTACATGAACGACTCGGCGCGTCTCTTTGGCATCGACAAACATATCCTGTTCCGTCACAAGGTCGTCTCGGCCTCGTACTCGTCCGCCGACCAGTTGTGGAGGTTGGCTGTCGACTACAAGGGAGGGGCAACCACGACCTTCTCGACGAGATTCCTGGTCTTCGGCACGGGCTACTACGACTACGAACAGCCGCTCAAGACCGAAATACCGGGCCTCGACCGATTCCAGGGACCCGTCGTCCATCCGCAATTCTGGCCCGAGGACCTTGACTACTCCAACAAGACGGTGGTCATCATCGGAAGCGGCGCGACCGCCGTCACGCTGGTGCCTTCGATGGCCGATCGCGCGGCAAAAGTCACCATGCTGCAACGCAGTCCCTCGTACATCATGTCACTTCCGAACAGGTCCAAGCCGGGATTGTTCGACGCGGTGCTTCCGAACAGTTTCGTGTCCCGGCTCACGCGCTTCAAACTGATCGTCAGGACGCGCCTCTTCTACCTGTTCTGCCGCAAGTTCCCCGACGTCACGAGGCGGCTTCTGCTGCGCGGCGTGCGACGACAGATACCAGACACGGTGGCGGTCGACCCGCACTTCTCGCCGCGATACGACCCCTGGGATCAACGGCTGTGCCTGTGTCCGGACGGCGACTTCTTCAAGAGCCTGCGCAGCGGCAAGGCGGAGGTGAAGACCGACACGATCGACACGGTCCAAGCCGACGGCATCCGCCTGCGGTCCGGCGAAGTTCTGCCCGCCGACATCGTCGTGACCGCCACGGGCCTCAAGCTGCGTCTGGGCGGCGGCATCCAGGTCGACGTCGACGGCGCCCCGTTCGACATGGCCGGCAAACTCATGTGGCACATGGTCATGATGCAGGACCTGCCCAACGCCGCCTTCCTCCTGGGCTACACCAACGCCTCGTGGACGCTGGGCGCGGACGCGTCGTCGCTGTTCCTCACGCGCCTCCTCCGCATGATGGACAAGAAACACATCGACGCCGTCATCCCGCGCCGCGAGCCCGGCGCCGCGATCCAGCCCCAGAAATTCCTCGACCTGAACTCGACCTACCTCAAAGCCGCCGAGAAGGACCTCCCCAAGACCGGCGATCGCGGCCCGTGGAAGCCTCGCACCTACTACTTTTGGGATCTCATGTTTGCAAAGTACGGCCAGATAGGCGAGTCGTTGGAGATGGTCAATGCCGCGTAGTCTCGGTATGGGACCTAGTCCTATTTTCCGCATAATGAAAAAAGCATGGTTCGCATGGGAGGTTTATAGTGCTGGGTTCCGTTATTTGGTCTGTCATCTGAGTCCTGGACATATGCATTTCGGTATGAAAAATCGTGCAAGTCGAACAATGCAATGCAATGCTGTGAATGATAACACCCTCGACTCGTTAATCTATATATATATATATATAGATTGAATTGGTCCCCATTTTGACTTGTCAGCCCAACCCAGGCTGTAGCCTCGTTCCTGCAACCTGGTCTCCAATCGGCTACGTAAAGCCAACGCCCAAAAAAGAAACAGCCCTGCATACCGAGTATCCTAACAGATACCAGGCAATTGAAACATGCCCATTTCAGAAGTCATTCAAACCCAAATATCTTGTTATATCGTGCAAGGAATCGGAGCCCCACAGATTCCCACTTGAATTACAAGCTGTAAACCCGTGTATTAACTTGTCTTCGTGTAGTCCATTTCGCCGTCGTGAGCATTACCACTTCCCATCAAGAACTCCGCCATATCCCCATGGATTTCTGCCAATACACCTATCCACCAAATACTGACTCCAGAAGTATGCGACTTCGCCGGTCCATGACAAAGGGGGGGAGGAATCATATCCTTCATGACCCGACCACATGCCCTTCATGACATAAAAACAGTCTCAATCCATCCTCATTGCTCATGCTTCATCCATTCCGCGCCCTTCCCTGCATACACAACGGGTCCTTTCCATTGGTCTACCTCCGTATCACTGAAGGTCCTGTCATCCTTCCACCTCCACTCAGAAGACTCTGTCTCACAATCATCTCGGCCGCAGCCGCAGCCGCAAGCCTTTCTTTCTGCCTGCTCCGATCCCTCAAATACCCAGCTGCCTCAGGTCTCATCCTTAGAATCCTCAGAATCATGTCATCGTTCGGTTCTGCTTGAGCGGCTTTCCATTTTTCTTCTTTGGCTTTGCGTTTCGTGCCGAGATTGCGAGAGAGCAAAATGCTCTTCGCCCTGCGCGCTCCCATGAGATTGCCGGGGTCGAGGAGGCCGCCCGCTCCCAAGTAATTGCTTAGATTAGCGGGAGCAGAGAACCTGGAGCGATGCATTTGTTGACTTGCAGCCGTTGCGCTAGCCATCCTTTCGGACTCGCGGATGAGAGATTCCGTGGGTTCGAAGTAGAAGAAATTGAGCATCTGCAATTCGTGGTACTTCGGGCTCTTTAATACGTTGAGAGGCACGCCATTTGCTTCTCCAGTGTCTTCATCCACGGCGTTGAAGAATTCAAGGAGAGATTGCAACCACTTGAAGACGATGTCGAGCTCTTGTTGTGTTAGGGCTTTTTGTTGCGAAGGTTTGTCCGATAGAGGCGGGACGAGGAGAGCTTCCACTGTGACGAGAACTTCTTTCCAAATGCGTGTCATGACTGCCTTCATTGCTTCCGACGTCAGTGTTTGTTGCATGATGGCGAAGTTGTCGTCGAAGTAGTCGAAGAGTGGTTTGAGGGCATTGACAATCTCGGCGTCGGTCGGTATGGTAGTGGTGGGAGCGATCGATGCTCGGTTCCGCGCAAAAAATGACGACACATTGGCGGACACATTTGCCATAGAGATGCCCCGATTCAGGAGAGACCTGAGTGCTCGTCGAGAGAGACAATGGTTGATGTATGCCGAAAGTTTGTCGGTGATCTTTCGCGTCATATCCCGTTGAGTTCGCTGAAGACTTCTGAAGGCCTTGCCGAAGTAGAATTGAATATCGTCCCGCTCTCCTTCCATGCTGACACGAACCATGACTCGCCCTTGGGTATCAAGATCTAGCCAGTATTCTCGAGGTAAGAAATCGCTAAAGTGTGAAGGATCCAGTTTGAGTGAAGTCCTTCCCACATAATCGTGATCACCCATGGCGTCCCAGTCCCAGATTGTCGCAATGAGATTGAGGGGTCCTTGTGTAGTTATGTCTACTGATTCGTCCCATCGTGGATTCAAATTTCGATAGACGATCCTGCTCTTGAACAACCTCTTCTGGTATTCGTCCGTCAAGACAACATACGGATCGCTGAATCCATTGACATCGCAAGGTTTGAGATCCTCAGCCTCCACGATTTTGATGGTGAAGACATAATTCGTCGTCTTTTTGTGCCGTTGTGCTAATGGTGGAGCATGCTTTTTGATGACTTCGGCACAAGCATCAACGTTGACCTCGGTCTCAAGTTTGTCCCATTGTTGAATGGCGAACAATGTGTCGTTGAGTTTGACAAATGATTCTGGGTAGAAATTAAAAGGCTCAACCCTCTCTTTTTGGTTCCAGGTGTCTTTCGCAAGTTGAACCCACTTCTCCTGTCTCGTCATGTTCGCAGCAGCTTCTTGTTCAGGAGTCAATCTGTCCATTTCTTTACTGAACATCTGGTCGAGCAATTCACAATACCTCGACACACCTTGGCCGATGGCCTTCGAAAGGGCCGTCATAAACTTGGCGTAACTGAAGTCGTCGTCCCAATTGAGTTCGCTAACTTGGTTTATGACTTGATTGAAAGAGCTGAAAATGTCAAGAACAGAAGTTGAGTGGCGTTCGCCCTCGGTGGGTGTTTGGTCTGGGACTTGCGTCCTGACCTTGAACTCATCATGCTTGACTGCATTTTCGACCCAGCCAATCACTTGCGTCTCAGTCGTCTTGATCCATCGCCAGACGAAGTCAGCCAGCAGATCCTCAATTTTATAGGGGAAAGGGACATGCGGTAAAGCATCGGCGTGGACACGACGGAATTCGCTCAACTCCTTGTACAAATCAAACCCGTCCTGAATGGTCACCTCAAATCCCTCTCTTTGGGCAACATTTAGAATTTGCTCCACCATAGCTTTCGAGTCCTCAGCGAACGCCGGTAGAGTACAATTGACCAAAATCATCAATGGATTGATGCCGAGAATTTCTGGATTCTTTCTGAACCTCTTTTGCACCTTTTCTGCCAGTTTCAATACCGCCTTTGCCAATTGCTGGATGTGATAAAATTCCCACTTTTCATTTTCCTGGGGAAGTTGGCGATCTAGAAGAGCGTCGTAAATCTTGCGTGCCTCGGTCGCTAAGCCGTCAATGGCAGCACTCTTGAAGTTTTCGAAATCTTCAGGACTCTGGTTGAAATTTGGGTCGCTTCGAATATGCTCATCTATGACTGCCATAATGACGCCCAGTTTTGGCAATTGAGCTTTGTCGGCGTAGGATGTCATAATGACTTCATACAGATCCCGAAGTAACGACTCATAGATGGCATTGAGGAGTCTGCCCATTAAGGCAAAGTCGGCGACGGTCCAATTATTTCGATCATACAAGGTAGTGCTCATGATCAACGAGCTCCTCTTGTTCTTGTTGTCATCCTGCAACGGCTCCTTGACGTAGTTGAAGGCAGCGTCGAGCATTTCCAGACTGAGCTGGTTTTCAAGAAATTTCTCACGAACGACATCCAGAAAGAGGACAATGCGAGTGAATTTGGGTATCCGCCATCTCAAAGCAATTTCATTCAACAGCTCCGTTGTCTCTTTGGAAAATAGGCGGCCCCCTTCTGGACCGTTAGCACTTCCATTCATCTGATCGTTAAGGTCATGATTAAGGGCTTGAAGCATTATAAATCGAAACATGGCTCTGGGGTCGGCAGGTATAAAAGTATAGACTTGGGCTGCATTGTCGTTATACTGGGAGGAATCGCCCGAACCCAGTTGAAGGGCGCTGAGATCCACCGGCAGATCTAAGACGTAGGAAGAAGAGTCTCCAGATTGCGAGATGGCTCTGGAAAGCTCGGCATATTGAGAATCCGAGGGACTCGAGGGCTCACCCTGGGGGTTAAACTGGGGCAAGACACCGCCCGGAGTGCTTTTGGCCAAGTCGGGGTTGGACTGTATGATGGCGAGCATCAGCTGGGATAAGTCTGGCCCTTCACTTCGTTTCCAGCTCTCGTATGCTTCTTGCGTATCGAAGTCATGGGAATTCAGAGTCAACTTCGTCCCCAGAGTGAGGTGCTGTTGGTAAGTCTTCAGATCCTGAAGGGCTGCCTTTTCTGTCCAGACCGGCTTGTTCTTGGTAATGTCTGACTGTAGCATAGTATTGGTCAGGCCAAAGATGCGGCCGACCACCTGCACCAGAGGCATGTCCTTGACCTCATAGCTCAGAGGCACCACCTCCTCGATGGTGGTCCATTCTCCATTTGCTTGCGACGTGGCCAGATTCTCGTCACCCTTCAGCAACTTGGACTCCAGAGTTTGTAATCGAGCAGCCAAGTCAGGTTTGTCCTTGGCCCAGTCACGATCCTTGAGGATCAGAGAAAGGAGGCGAACGAAAAGGGCGACGTGCCGATCAACCATGCGCTTGACAGCATCATCTCCGGCAGGGTGGCCCTTTTGTAACTCCTTGGTCGCTGTGGAGAAGAAGATGAGAACGAGATCTTCAGCCCTCCGATCAGCCTCCATACGCTTTTTGAAAGACGGATCGGACAGGGTGTTGAGGAATATGGCGAAGACCCTCTTAACTACAGCGTCATGGTATTCTTGCCGCCTCTCCTTGCCCACGAGGATACCTTGTAGCCTCTTTTCCAGCTCTTTGATAAAGTCATGAGGAAATCTTGCGCTCTTTGCATCTCGAACCATGGTGAAATCTTTCATGAGGTCGTTGAAGGAATGGGAAGTGCCAGTGCGGACGACTGTGGGCCGGGTTTCGACATGTTTCTTTCTGGTTTTACGGGGCTGTAGCAAGTACGACAGGTAGGCCACTCGCAAAGCATATAGGTAGGCATCGTTTACACTTATGGATTTCCGGCGAACCCTGGAGGAGTCTGTGGAGGCTCTTCCTCCATTTCTGAGACTGTTGACGCTCCGGTTGGGCAGCGGTTTCGAGCGGCTGGAAGAAAGGGACATATGGCGATATGGTCATGAATTGAATAGATTCTTTTCTCAGTGCGAGAGGAATGTGAAATGATGTACTGCGTATCGTGCTCGAGCCTTGTATCTGAGTGGTCTGCGAGCGGGTGAGCGTGGTCGGACCAGATCAGCCTGGTGCACTTGGAGATAGATTGTGTCTGTGGCTTCGGCGGGCGGGGGGAAATTTGGTGTGGTGAACTTGTGTGCAGCGACGAGGCCAGGGTGACGTGACGATCAGTACGGAGTCTCAGTACCCAGCAGCGATCATGTGCTGTTCCGGCCTGTTGAGGCTGTTCAGACGGTGAGTGTCAACGCTCTGCACTTTTGCTCCCAGAGTTGAAGAGTGTCTATTGACATGTCATCCAAGGTAAGGTGAGGATTCATCGACAGCGTCCTTGTGACAGTCAGTAATGTTTCAGGGTCGGCCTCCGCCCGCAAGTCGCAGATCCAGGACTGCGGGCGGCGGGCAGTCGCTCATACGCTCCTATATTAGCGGCACAGCCAAAGGTCAAGGGGCGAAAAGCTACAGGGGGGGGGGGGGGGCAGGGGGGGGTTTGATGGGCAATAGGCACAATGGGGATTGTGGCGGCGCCTTGTCGACTCACTGCAATCACCCAAACAAGTGCCACCAAAGTTCCATCACGTGTGCCACGCTTTATTTAGATTCAACACGACATCGACATTGCCTCTCTGGTCCATACGTCCCAGCAAAGGGAGATCGCAGCCGAAGCTCCAACACCCCTTGATCTATATATAAAGCGCCCAAGCAGTCGCTTCTTTCAACGGAGACGAAAACAACAACCCATATACGACCTCAATGGAGATTCAGCATTGCTGGAGTACTGGCCTGACTGTGGTGAGCACATGAATTCCATCACCCGAACCGAGGTAGGTGCGTCGGTGTCTTAACCTGCTCTCAGTTCACACTTCCATCTTGACTCCAGACTTCATATTTCTTTTCAGGTCACCCTTCAGAGCCGCCATGCAGATCAAAGACCGCACCTTCATTGTGAGCGGAGGCTCTTCTGGTCTAGGTCTCGCAACCGCCGTTCTCTTCCTCCAACGCGGCGCAAACGTCTCCATCCTCGATCTTAATCCTCCGCCCTCAGATGCCTCCATCGACCCATCCCGAATTCTTTTCACAAAGACCAACGTCGCGTCTACCGAGTCATTACAGACAGGCGTGCACAATACAGTAAGATGGACCCAAGAGACCACCAAACCGCTCTCCGGGGTCATCTGTTCTGCCGGTATCGGTACTGCGGCATTGGCTCTTCCTAAACAAGATCCCTCAGTGACCCATAACAACGTCAAATACATGGACATGTCTGGATTTGATCGTACGTTGGCCATCAACCTCCGGGCACGGTTGACTTGATCCGGCTCAGTCTTCCACACATGGCTCTCAACAAACCATGGGGTCCTGACGGGGAGCGAGGGATCGTGGTTGTGGTCTCGTCTGTAGCTGCATATGAAGGCCAAGTCGGTCAACTTGCCTACAGCGCAAGTAAAGGTGCTGTCCGCAGCATCGTCCTTCCACTGGCCCGCGAACTGGGCCAAAAGGCCGGGATTCGGGTGATGGGGATTGCGCCTGGTGTCTTTCAAACCGGGATGACCATGCAGCCGAAAAAGAAACCGCAACCAGAAGGAGCCAAAAAGGAGGGAGCTGAAAAATCGAAAGGGGGTACCGGAGCACGAGCGGGCATGAATACGGAAATGATCCAGTATCCAATGCGCATGGGTCAGGGGCATGAATTCGCGCGGCTGGTCCAAGAGATTGTGGAGAATCCAATGCTGAATGGGTTTGTCATTCGACTCGACGGCGCAGTGAGGATGCCCAGCCGACTGTAAACATCTGTATCGCATTTTACACATGCCGACAAGTCCTCCATCCCCCAAATAAGAACAAGACCATCGGAAACCATACCTCGTACTCGACCACCCTTCTCATCCTCAGAGGTTCCTTTCTGTCAACTAGGCGCCAAAACACAACATCCCCAGCACCCTCCTCCGCCCGCCTCCCTTGCTTTTCTCCTTGTCCTTCTGTTTCTTCCTCCCCTTCTTCTCTCGTCTCGCTTCCTTCTTCTCCTCCCGCGTCATCTCAGGCGGCAGGCCCAGATTCACCCGCCTCTCGCGTTCCGCCTGCCTCTGGCGCTCCTGCTCGGCGAGCACGGAGCGCTTGAGGGCCTCGTACTGCGCCGCTTCGCCCTCGGCCAGGCCGTCTTTGGCGACCGCACCGTCGGCGACGGAGAGGTGGGTAGGCATTCTGGATGGGTGGCGGATGGATGTGTAGAATGCGTAGACAGGTTTCCGAAATAGCGGCTCGCTGGTTGGTTCAAGGGCCGTCCAGTTCAGTCGAGGCGACATAAGTCGAGGCAAGTTGAGGTGAGCCGGCTCGGGTCCAAATCAATCGAATGGAGGTGCTTTCACCAAAAAAAAAAAAATACAACAGCAATGTGGTATTATAGACAGAATCAATTAACGCCCCCTTCCCATGTCAACGGGTTGAAGCAGAGAAACAAGGACAGACCTTCATAGGTATTCACACACCACGCAAATGCATGTACAAGCCCAGGTATGGAGGTGCTAACTATCACATGCAAACCTCAAGGGCCTGTACACATGTTACATATATAGTATATCCCGCCAAACGAATCGTTCCCGAGCCAAACAGGGCGCTGCAAGAATTGGGCCTGCCCGGCCGTACGCAATGCTTGTTCCGTGAAATCCGTTGCACTTGTTATGTAGCACCAGGGCTGTGCAGCTGCGAAGCCCTCGCTGGGGATGGGATGTCGGGGTTTCTACGAGGTACAGTAGCCCTGAGGGCGGAGTTCTGTGTGGGGGCCGGACGATCGCTGGAGGGCCACGAGGGATGTTTGATACGAATGTGCACAAATAGGGCGGATCTTACGTCCAGGCTCTGCACGGTAGGTAAGGACTTGTGGTGGAACAATCTTCTATAACTCGATAAACATATTCGATACATATCTACTGATCAAGTAGCGCTAGAAATACCCGATATATATTCACCTCCCCTTTCTTTCACCTATCCTGGATGAGCTACTTCAACTCGGGGAATGGTCGACGATAATGCGCAGGGCAATGATACAATCCCTCCGCATCCTTTCCGGGCTCTGGAATCAAATATTTTTGATGGTAGGCCTCTGCATCGTACCACTGCGTCGCCCTCCTGATCTCGGTGGTGATGGGCTTGCCCTTGTACCATTGTTCGCCCACTTTCTGTTTAGTCTCTTCCGCAATCTTCAGTTGGTCGTCGTTCTCGGCGAAGATGGCGGAGCGGTATTGAGTGCCCGTGTCAGCGCCTTGTCGATTGAGAGTGGTGGGATCATGCATCCTGAAGAAGAATTCGCAGAGTTGCCGGTAGGAGAGGCGGTCCGGGTCGAAGACGATCAGCAGGGATTCAGCGTGGCCAGTTCGTCCCGAGCAGACGTCGGCATATGTTGGGGCCTTGGTCTGGCCACCAGTGTATCCAACCCTGCAGTCTAAAAGGCCCTTGCCGTCGCCGAATGTGTGGCGGTATAACTCTTCCAGACCCCAAAAGCATCCCCCGGCGAAGATGGCTCGCTGTGAGTTGGGAGGGAATTGCATTGCTGCAAGAGCATCTGGCTGGAGAGACATTGAGGCCGCGGAGCTCAAGGGGCGGAGGAAGCGCGAGAGAAATGAAGGCATCTGGAAGGCCATAGTCAGGACGAGGACGAAGATGAGGATGAGGATGGCGTAGGGGGAGAGGTCGCTGATGTCGGGCTGCAGTTTGGAGATTTGTTTGGTGCTCGAGGGTGAAGAGAAGTTTGGCAAAGGAAGGGAAGCGTCGATATATACGTGAGATCCAGGTTGAACAATTCCAGGTGTTGACAGCCAAAAGCGTATTCGCTTGGTTGTTGAAGTGTCTCGGGAGGGAGGGAGGTGAGGGTTGGTGCTCTGTGGGTGCAGTTCTCAATCATCAATCACGTCATTAAATAGAGGGGCCGAGGGGATGGGCAAGATGGGGGGGCGCCCGAGACGCTGGAGGGCGAGGCCGCGAGGGGATGACAGATTCCGGGTGGCAGTTTTGAGGCAGTGCTGCTGGTTGCCAGCTCCAAGGCTTAGCGGGCTCCGTCTTCTCGCTTCCCTCCCCCCACTCCTTCAACGCTCACTAGGCCTATCGTAACCTGCGCCGACTTCCCCCAGACCAGGCCTTGACCAGGCCCACTAGGCCTCGCATGCATGATTCCGTTATCAGACTCTGTGGCCGTGACAAATACTGTATACTCGGTGCAGACTACCCCTATGTCTCTGATCATATACCTTAGGTAGGCGCAAGAGACACCGACGCATTCTCAGCCACAAATACCACACAAATTACGCCCTTGTTGAATGTTCCATTACTCATCACGACTCTCTCTTCCTCCCTGGGGGCCAGATAATTAGCAGCTGGGACTGCTGAAATGGGAATACTCACCCTCGCGAGGGAACGCAGCATCCTTCAAACTCTGGCCGCACTCGACAATGGCATTTTTCACCGTGTCTCCTGGTTTCGGCTCAGGCCCACCGTCCGTGAGGATAGAGATGAGGAGTGGTCTCTCAAGCTTCTTCGGTACTGAGTCGAGCTTGTCATAAATGAATGGCCGGAGAATCCTAGACCTCAGTTTTATGTCAATTGTGGTATTGCCGTAATCGTCCCACTTCATGGGCGTCAGGATCTTCGCAACATGCTCAAGGCTCAGGTTCGAAGAGCCGTCCACCTCCTGATTGATAAAGCGAAGCACGACCCCTTCACCTTGGGGAAAGACCCGCGTGGTGATCTTGGTGATTCGTTCGACGAGGTTTGTCTGGGACTTCCAGCTATCTTCGCCTTTCATTGAGCCGCAGTCATCTACGCCACATTTGTCAGAAATTGAACAGAAGAGCAGTCTCCGTGTTTGACTTCCTGATTTCGAGAGACTTACCGCAATAGATAACCTGTTGAGGTAATTCTTGTCGGTCTTTACGCGGCAACCAGGAGTGTTTCGCCATCTTTGAGAGAGTGTCGGCTTCGGCACCTCTTTTGAGAAGCAACAGGACTTTATCGGCGTGTCCTGCTACCGTAGCAGCCCCCAGTAGTGTGAGGCCTTCGTCGGGGTCTCGTTGCTCGAGAACAGTGCAATCAGCTTCGAGATATTTTTTGAGCCTTGCCTCAGTCAAGAATCCGTTGCGAACAACTTCGGGAATAACCATGATGAGAGGGTTGACATCGGCTACTTTTTGTTACCTGCTGTTGCGGAACCTTCTGAAAAGGTTCAAAGTAAAACAGAACATATTGAGATCGAACATATATATCCATCTCTATCATAGCTACTATTCTTCCCAGAGCCTCTGCACTGCAGCAGAGTCCCAAAAGCCGTTGTGTAGCTTTAGTAGAACGACCAAGATACCTCCCCGGTCACAGCGGCCCGCTTAAGGAGGCAAATACAGACAGAAAAAGCCTCAAATTTTGCCAAAAAGAGACCGTTTGATTGTCATAGACGGCAGTAGCACCAAGAAGGCTGTGAGGCTGAAATACAGCAGCGCCGGAATTATCGGACTGAGGAGACGTGGGGCTCGCGTGGTTTAAAGCATTAGGTGGGAAGGAACAACACGCGTCACCCATCGCGCTGAAAAGGTGCGAGCATGCAGCTGCCTCGCTTCATATTGGTCGGCATGGACATTTAGGGAGGCTGATTGCCCAGTCCCGGAGGGGGAATGGCCAATATGCGAACGGCGCGATATCTCTGGGTCTATGTCAAGTTGAACTTCGATTGACGGTGCAGGAACCTAGGAAAGGAAAGAGGCGTTACCTGATTTGGACATTCTAACCACATTAGGAAGGGTTCTCATATCCTCTGAGGCTAGCTTGGCGAACTCACTCACTCTCGATATCATCCTCGATCAACACCGAGAAGGACATCACATCCATTCCATATTTCTAAGCATAGTACCCCACTGACTCGCTGACCGGCTTGGGCTTGGCTAAACTGATGACATCCACTAATCATGAGGCTTTTGTCAAGGGCCGGCAAGGAATCTTTGTTCTTGGTGATATACTTGCCTATTTCTTTTAGCGGGATGTTGGTGGCGACCGTTCCCCTTCCCCCTCCAATTCTACTTTCTCAGACAGAAGTGGAGCGGCCCAAAGCACTTCATCCAGACCAGATATGCGTGAGAAGCGAAAAGCGTGAGAGGAAGTTTGTCGATGTGCATCCAACGCCAGAAAACCAATGGTGGGTTCCCCAAAAGAACTGGGTTCTGATGGGGCTCTGTGACAGGTCGACGAGACTTATTTCCCAGATCTGAAATTTCGAAACGGATAGCTCCCCTGGAGATGCCATCTCGGCAATCAAAGCCCTTCAGTCCAAAAAGATTCCGGTATTCAGGCCCGGGGGGGCACGAAAAGGGAGGAAGAGGAGAACAAGCACTCCGTCGCAGCTTGAAACCTGCTCTGTCGCGTCTGAAGATCCGATTTCGTGATTCAACTCGAGAATGCTGCCCATGTTCCGGACATCATCGAAAAGGCAAGAGCGCGGAAGCTCAAAATCATCGTCAAGGGCGCCGGGCATTCCTACGCCGGTCACTCGACTGCCTTTCAGGGCATCTCGCTCGACCTCAGGAGGCTAAAAATGTGGACTCGTTGATGGTAACGATGAATGATTTCTAAACGACAAAGTTGCCCGAAGTGTCTGCCCGCTTCTCTCACGAGACGCTCGTGTGGCGGTGGTCCGAGGAAACCGTGAGGTCCTTCCCAACCAAAAAGACCTACAGCATCTACAGCTCTTTCGTCTTCACCAACGACAGGGACACGATCGGGAGCCTCACGGCCATCATCAGGAAAGGCATGAAGACCTTCCGGCACCTCTACCCCAGGGAAAAAGTCGAGTTCCTCGTCACCTGGATCCACGCGGAGGTAAGGCGAGGGATGGACGGAGCGGGACATGCGAAGCTTTTTTGGGAAAGGCCAAGAAGGAGCTGCGGCCCTTCTCGCTCAACAAAGAGGCCGTGTTGATCAACTCCCTCGGCGGCACAGTTTCCGAAAAGGCGTAGGAGAGGGCGTATGTCGGGGACAATCGGCATGAATAACGCCGTGTTAAGGATGCCTGGGACAGGGATAACTTCTCTGAATGGGACTAGGGCGTCCGGCTTCCGCAGGGCGCGGTGCATGACCCGGACGCCGATGTGGGCATGCTGAATGAAGAGGATTTCACGGATTCGATCGCGGGAGCACCGTAGAAGGTCTATGTGAGCAAGGACGTCAAGGCAGACCTTGATGACCTGACCGAATCCGGCTTCTGGGGCCAGGTGTAGGTGGATGGACGTCGATATCATACGCTGTTGATCCCTTTCGATCCTGTCGTACCTCTCGTAGAAGCCTGCAAGGAGAAGCCGGTCTTAAGCAATTAGTGAACGCGGCTGCTGCTCAAAAGGCAGGTTTATTTCAGTCAAGCGCAGCCATCAACCTCGACACGAGACAGATCCGAGGAAGATCAAGTCTCGAAATGTATGACATAATCTTTAAACAAATTAAAAGAGCCGGATCATGTTGCTGCCGTCAGCCACTTGAACGAAACGTCTAATTGGTTTACAGACAGGAAAAACAGAAGCCCTAAAACACCCACGACACTCGCCTTCTGGTCGGCAATAGTCCAGTATCAGGTCCACCGACTCTCTCCAGCCGATCCAGTCGAAGTTGAATCACATCCCAGAACCAAAATTCCCCGGTTCATGATAATCCGCATCTTTGAAGTCGTCCCAGCCATTCCAGCCATCCCGTTCTTATCCCGTTCCTGTCCAAGACCTGTACCCCGAGATCCTGTCTTCAACCTCTGCTCCCGGGCGCAGTCCCCAGCCATAAGCCTGTAACACCGGAATATGCAAACGGTCAAGTAAGTAGCATAGGGGCCGATCAAAGAATGACCTTTCCCAAAGTTAATCACCTGATATTGGTCAAATTAACGCCATACCGCTTTCCCGGTAGGCATCAGACTTCCCCTACTAGCGGAATGTCCGTGCCCGATTGGGCCATGCGTAACAGAAGAGAGCCTCACTCCTCCTGCTCGCTCGGCACCACCGCCAGCGCTGTTGGGGGTGCCTCGCACGTCCATCCCACTCATTGTCGTCCGTCGCATAGGATTCAACTGTGTCCCCAAACTCTTCCCATGACTAACGATTCCTTGAACGCGTGGACTAAGCACGCCAACCTTCCAAGACCCTGCGTCGTTCTCTTTCAAAAAGTCGTTCTTCGTGCCATGGACCATCCTCCTAACATGGCCGGCAGCGAACATCGACTCGTTGGGCGGAGAACCCACAACCCCCGCCGTTGCTGCCGTAGGAGATCGGCGCCGCTGAGTCCGGGAAGCATGAATTCCTGAACGGCGAAGGGAAGAGGAGCGTTTGACTGCCTCACGGATTTTGAGCACGTCTTCTTTGTCAGAGGCAGTACTATTGTGGTTTTCCGTGTCAGAGTTTGTGGCCGAGGAAATACCGCCAATGTCTGTGAACGAGTCTGCAGTGGCTTTATTGTGTTGCGTGGGAATGAGAGAGCGGCGGTTCGATGCTCTGCTTGGGTCGATTTCTCTCAAGGGCGATGCCTCGTTGTCTGAGGACGACAGCGGCGTCATCTTTGGAGGCATCATGCTTGAGGAGAGCGGTGAACCATCATATCTCTTAGAAAGAAACCCGGCTTGGAAGCGGCTGCTCTTTGGTTGGACGTTTAGTGTAGCGTCTGGGGGAGGAGGGATGGGGGAAGAATCAGGAGATTGTGTCTGCAGTTTCGAGAAGGACGAGGTCAGATCTGACACTTGAGGGAGGCTGATTTCAGTGGTTGATTCGTCCGACGAAGTGAATTTCTGGGGCGTCTTCTCAAACTCCGCAAGAGCGCCATCCTCGATGTCGTCTTTCCATCTTACAGCTCGTTTAACGCCCTTGCCAGGAACTTTTCTTTTCTTCGGAGTGAAGGATAACTGGACACCTTTCTTTGCACTCCCTAGCAGACCACGACGTCTAGGCGATGGTTTAGCTGGGGATAATGTGAGGTGAGAAGCCATAATCGCAGCGGGCTTAGCCCTCACGGGACTTCCTTCCACGATGGAGTTGTTGACATTCTGTTTGCGTCGTTTGGGAGTGCCCGCCTTGGTGGGGGCAAATGCCTCGACAGGAGCAAGGCTTCCATCTGGTTTGACGACATAAGATGCTGCGCCCGCTGCAGAATTGATCATCCTTCCCAGAATCTGAGTGGCGGCTTCAACTGCCTCATCGACGCTCATGCGGTTCAAGTTTTCAATGGCAGAGATGGTCTCAAAGTGAGCTCGCAGCAGAACTTGGATAGTGGGTGCGTCTCCATTTTTGTCTTGCTCCGCCAAAGCTGCGAAAGCTTCCCGCTCAGCATTTAACTTCAGCAGTTCCACTTCGCGTCGAAGCATCTCAGCATCAATCATGTCGCCTGTATCCACTTCCTTCAACTGTTTCAAGCTATGCTCCAAGGCCGTGTTCATGGGACGGTCCCAGCTATTCTTCAGAACTTTCTGTTGGCAGTGATGTCGACCGCTCTCCAACTCCATCATGATGCCTTGAGCCGTCTTCTTCACAGCCTGCATATTTTTCATGAGATCTTCTTCGTCCAGGTTGTCGTAAACAGCATCGAAGGCGGAAATCCAAGAAGACAGCATGGCAATCCGTCGGCCTATTTGTTTCAACTTGATCATGTTGTTCGTTCTTTCTTGTCTTTCTGCCCCAGAGTTCTCGTATGCCGCTCTGATTCTCTGTACTCCTTCTCGAGCAATGATTTCTTTCTTCTCATTTTGCTTCTTGAATTTGGTGAAAGCAAACGTCTCTGCGTCTTTCAGTTGAGCTTTCAATTCGTTGATCTGTGCCATCTGTTCGTCGATCTTCACCAGGTAATCTTTGACGTGACGGTTGACATTATACACGTTTCGAGTGACCTTTGTCTGAATATTCTTCGCTCGGTTGGCGTATCGGAGAGTGTTTTGCGTTTCGTCAAAATGTGCACTTGAAGGGCTGACACAAACGATCATGACAGTCTTGCAATTGCCGCCGAGAGAAAATTTGAGCAGACGAGTGAGTTTCGAATTTCTGTAAGGTACGTGGTTGCGTTTGCGTGGATCACAAAGGGCATTGATACAACTTCCCAGTGCCAGGAGAGATTTGTTGATGTTAGCACCTTCGAGCAGACGTTCGCCTCGATTCTTGGTAGCGCTTGCACGTTCGCTACCGGCCAGATCGATTATGCTCAAAGTTGCCATTGTATGGGGCTCCTCAACGCCGGCGTTCCGGTCCTTCTGAGCCACGTTGATCTGCAAGACGGCGTGTGATCGGGAAGAAGTTGCGTTGGCTTCCGTGGGTGACATTGTCCGCATTTCATTCCCTCTCATTATCATCTCCATGACCTCTTCAACACTTTGCGGGTGATGGCTTGAGAGACCCGCAACTGAGACTGTCTGGTTGGAATCCTCTCTCAGCATCAACCCGCCTTTGACGTTGCTCGGGACGAGCAGATCACGGATAGTTTCGTTGTAGATCTCAAGATAGGACAAGGATATCTCTGTGACCTTTTCGCTAGACTGCTCTTGAAGCCTCTCAAATAGCTCCTTCATAGCTGAGAAAATGATGCCTGGCTCTTGGGCTGTGCCGGTGATTGTGTGAGTCTTTCCACAACCCGTTGCGCCATAAGCGAAGACGGTTGCATTATATCCATCCAAGACACTATCCAGCAGTGGCCTTGTAGTGGCTTCGTACACTTCACCCTGGGACGCATTTTCGTCGAAAATGCGATCGAAACCAAATGTCTGGTCTTTGACTCTTTTACCGGAGGGGACGACTGAACGTGAGAACTTCTGGACAGGGTTGTCTTCCGGAGGATCGAATATCCTGTTTGATGAAATCAATATACGGGAAAGATTTAATGGAGTGAGTGGTGGATGCACATACAAACACTTCTCATCGACGACTTTGATGACGGAGCGAATGCCCTTTTGAGAGAGCTTTGGAGTTGGGGCAGCAGCCAGCGAGCCATCACCCAGAAAGATCGTTGTGTCGTCGCACTTTGTCAGTTGAGCGGCTTCTCTGATTGTGAACGGTCTAACTCGGACAGTGACTGAAATTGAGGAGGCACCATCGGAGGCCATGGTGGCAAGTGTGAGCTGCTTCAGATACAGGATCACGGCCGGACCGGGCTCATCAGAACACACCTAGCAGGGCCTGGGAGAAGAAGCGAGCGGTGAGATTCAGGCACGGTACGAAATGGTGAGTGTCGTAAAGATCAGAATGCAGGCCAGAGGCAGTGGTCGAGGCTGTGGCTTGTTGAAGGTGTGTGTGGAGCGTTGATTTCAACTGCACGCATTGAGAGTCACTGTTGCGACTTCGCTCGATTCGCGTTAGTCTTCTTGGCGCTCTGCGTTGTCCAGGCAACTCTTTGTCACGTGTTCCCCCACGAAGTTCTCGGCTTCCAGGCCCTTTTCATTCTTAATTTCTCCGCATATTGTTCCTCCTTTCTATCTATCTGGAGGACAAGGGCCTCTTTGCAATAAATGACAGCCAGCTACTACATAGGCATTGCCTATCCTTGACATGCTTGTCACTTTGATTCTGGCACTGCTCCCTTAGGTGAGCTTCTTCCCAGCTTTCCCATCGGTCTCTTGGTTTGTGCGAGAGTTCAACAATACAGCCGCATCACAAGGTCTGAGTACCCATATTTTGATCACGAGATGTCCCTACTGCCGGGTGCCGCTCCGTTCAGTACCCGCAATGGTCAGAAGCCGCTGTTATACAAGTACACCCTTCTTGACTTCTGTCAATTGCACCTTGCGACCGGGCGGCTATTCGCGGCTCCAAAGTCAGCCGATCGGATCCACAGGTTCCTCTTTTATCTCGGAGGGGTCATCGGTTACCAGGGGTGGAGATGGGCGCTGACGTATCGTTAATCGTACGGTATACCACAGTCACACTCCCACTCTGTCTTGTCGATTAGCCCACTGTTCCTGTCATTTGCAATTGCTATTGCTTCTTACTCTTTGTCCTATTCTTGCTCCTCTTTTCGTCTTGCTGCTCCCTGGTGTCTAGAATGGACCTCTATCTCTATACCAGATTAACGTCACGAATCCAATCGAGGCAAGCCCTTCATGCGCAAGCCTTCCTTGCCCCCTCTGTATGCTCGCGCCACGAGACACGCCTGCGATATCGAAAAGAGAGTTTCGAAAATAGAGGGTTCCGACAGATATACCAACATCGCAAAGCGCATACACGACGCAACATAACATCCACAGCCTACGATGCCGCAGAGACCGATACGCCACCCTCAGACATGCATTCCCCCAGACCGTTAGCATGCGTTCCCTTGCAGTCTCTGGTGCGATCTTATATCATCACCTCAATATCATCCATTCCGCTTCTGCTCCGTCCTTCATTAGCCGCCATGACCTTTCTCGCTCATACAAAGTCGCCTTTGTTCAACCCTGACCGCAATCCGATTCTCCACTCTCTCCTGAAGCGCACCTTTTATGCCCAGTTCTGTGCTGGAGAGACGCCGTCAGAGGTTCGAAGCACAATTGCAAGCTTGAAGAACAGTGGGTTCAAAGGAGTAATACTGGGCCACGCAAAAGAGGTGGTCCTCAGTAAAGAAGAGGCCGATGGGTTGGATGTGCCCAAGAATGCAGCAGAACAAGCACAAATCGATGCCGAGGAAATTGCCACATGGAGACAGAACACCATTGATACGGTGGACCTTACGCAAAAGGGCGACTTCGTCGCACTCAAATTCACCGGAGCTGGACGCCAAGCGCTTCGACATCTGAAGGCCACAATCGCGTGCTCTGCAGAGTTCGAGGAGGCAGTGCACGACATCTGCCAGCGAGCTCAGGAGAAGGGTGTCGGGCTCCTGTTCGATGCCGAACAGGCATCGTTGCAGCAAGGTATCGACAACTGGACAATGTACTTCGCAAAGAGATACAACAGAGAACGAGCGTTGGTATACGGTACCTACCAAGCTTATGCTAAAAGGACTCCCAAAAATCTAGCCAGCCATCTTGAGCTAGCTCGACGAGAAGGCTTCGTCCTCGGTGTGAAGCTGGTGCGAGGGGCGTATATGGGCAGCGATTCCCGAGAGCTGTTCTGGGGAACCATCGAAGAGACCCACAAATGCTACAACGGCATCGCGAAGAGCATCCTGCAACAGCGATACCAGGGCATCCTGCAGCCGGTGGAGGCAGGATGCACGGAGTTCCCTCGGGTAGCTCTCGTGCTCGCCACCCACAATGCGGAATCGGTGAGACTAGCCAGCGAACTTCGAGACGAACAAGCGCGCACTGGCGAAGCCCGGATCGAGCTCGCATATGGCCAATTGATGGGGATGGCGGATAACGTCAGCTATGAGGTGGTACAGCGGGCAAGGACCCGTCTAGCGCCACACAACAACAACGACAACAGCGGCGTGGAGGTTCCCAAGGCATATAAGTATTTGGTTTGGGGCAAGATGGGGGAATGCATGAAATATCTCCTTCGCCGTGCCCACGAAAATCGAGATGCCATGACCAGGACGGTCGAGGCACGACGGGCATTGGGTCGGGAGTTGGGCATCAGAATGGCGTTCTGGCGGCGCTGAAGGGCTCGAGAGGCCACGAATGGAAGGAGAAAAGAAATATTATGGATCAGGGACGGGGGGGGGACACATGTGATAACTTTTGTAGGTTCTCACAGCGTTGCTTTGGCTTTGGCTTTGGCTGTGGTTTACGAGCACTATGTCTGATATTTCCGGGTCTTATCTGCAGGTTGGTGTTATCGAAGCGAAGAGAGATCCAGATTTCCATGGACCGAGGACCTTAATGGACGGACCTAATGAACCATGGGTCCTGGTGTGTGTGCGGTGTGGAGCTATGAATGGAGCATTTGGAGGAGCAAGGGACCAGTTTGGAGGTTGGAGCAGCAAACATACAGTACAAATGGGAAGAGATTCCCACCGAAGCTGGCAGGAGCAAGCAAACTCACCCTCTCGAAATTGGCACACATTCAGAGTTCTCTCTCGGAGCTTGAAGTTGCAAGATACAAGAAACAACCGCCCTTTTTATTTTGGTTTTGGTTCGGGTAGCTGCTGCTTGAAGTTGATGCCCATATCCGCCACGACTCCCGCCACGCGCTGCTGTCTCTGATCTGTAGCGGGAGCCTTCCCCTTGCTTGCCTTGTCACTTCTTTGTTTGCAGGCATCCCAGCACCAGATTCCAGAACCTGCCCTGATCCAAAGTGAAGTGACTGCCTCAGACTCCCGGAGAAGGTCTATTGAACACTTTACTCACCCGTCTGCCGGACCCCTTCACAGGCGATCAGATCAGATCAGAAACATCTTTTCTCGCTCCCTGCCCCCTGCTCCCTGCTCTCTGCTCTCTGCTCTCTGCTCTCTGCTCTCTGCTCCCTGCTCCCTCCTCCCTCGCCATGATGCTCTCCAGATACTCCTCGTCCTCCTCCACCTCCACCTCCAGCCCAACCTGGCGCAGCCTTGGCCACCCCTCCACCATCCCCATCTACTCTCCTTCCCTCATCTACAGTGACGCCAGTAGTGACGATTCTGAAGTTGGTGAACCCCCCTCCCTCCCCTTGCCCTTCTTGAACACAATATCTCTCACACTCCCTCCCATCCTGGGTACCTTGGTGCCCTCCAAATCCCGCGCAAGGCGAAGGCGAAACCGGACTAATCAGGCATCAACACAGGACATTATGGCAATCGGAAACGACCCTCTCCATGTCAGCGATGTTATGGCGGATGCGCTGAACCACTTGAACAGGGTGGTGGAGCATGTAAGGGACGGCTCTTCCCATGTTGCAGCACGCTGGACTAATCATGCAACAGCTGCGAGGCGAAGGTGAAAATGAAGCAGCGAATGGCATCGCACGCGACGTCCACTCCATGCTTGACACGTTCAATCATACCACGGCCCCTTGGTCTATGGACAAATTCCACATGAACTCCATCCCTGTCGCCAAAGCTCAACTACTCCCCCAAAACGGCAGTGCCGGTCGTGCTGTGGCAAGACCCAATACTTCGTCCACTTGGGCAGCGGTCGCTGCAACCGACATCCCGAGCAACAATCGTTTGGTCAAGTTTGGACCGTCTGATGGATTAAAGCGACACATCACCGAGCAGGACTCGCCGAACAAGGGCCCGCCGCGGGAGGAGGACTTCCGCTGCATATGGATCTATGGCTGGTCCAAAGATAAGCCCTTGAGCATGGTGACGGAACGAATCAGCACCGGTGCCATCTTTTCCATGGCATACGTGGAGCAATATGAGGCCGTCTGCGTCATCTTCCAGTACGCCGGCGCAGCCATGATCTTCATGAACGAAGAAGCTGAAGCAGTTCATGACTATGGTCTTGGCTTGTTCGGAAAAGGCCATGAGGTCAAGTATGGCGAGCCGTATCCCGAGAACGAAGACCTCGTTCGCATGCAACCTCCCACCAACGAGCGCCGCCGCTTGACCTTTGCCCGTCAGCAACTCTTCACCAATGGTTTGACCGAGGAGAGATTCAGGAGGGACTTGGCCGAGCTTGTCGGTCGACACAACGTCGAGTTGGTATGGCTGTTCAACACTGGCAATGGTAAGTCGGCACACACCCTACCCTCTTGCTGGTCTGACCGTCATTCCTTAGCCACCGCCGTCTTTTCATCGACTGTCATTGCCCGCATTGTCCGAGACGAGTTTCTTCGTCGATCGAGGAGACCGGGTCCTTACCAAGAGGTCCAGGTTGGGTTTTCTCATGACCCATGCGAACGTCCCATGAACTTGATCACTCAAATTCCTTACCCCGCCCCAGGTCCTCGAGATCGCAGCAACAGTGCAAAGTCTGGATCGAGTGGCCGTTCCTACAACCCCAATGCTGCCAAATTTATTCCAGGCGCAGGCCCCCGTGTCAGGAAGGGTACCGATTCGGATGGTTGGCAGACTGTTCAACGCCGACGCTAAACGAGGAGGTTGCTTTCTCCCCCCTTTCCCTTTGACTACCCACATACTCATTCTTTTTATGAAACTGTTTTCTTACAGATTGTCGTGGAAATGGAATATTGCAGGCATATGGATAGCCCATGGCATTGCTCTCGAGTCTCAAGGGTATACCGCAGGTCATTTCGGATGGTGAAGCATTGCAAAGCGAGGGCGACACGGTGCACAGACAAAGCATTTGCTCATTGGGGAGATCTGGACACGGGGTTATCAGCATATGATACATACAGAACATCTGGCTCAAGTGCTGGAATGGACGACAGGACGTTGCAACTTGGAAGGAATGGTGTACGGGTGCTTTCCCTCTCGCTCGAGAGTCTCCTACTTGTATGCCTCCAGATTGGCAGGGCCATATTAAATCCCAGTGGCGCCAGAACGTTGTCGTTTTCTTTTTGCTCTACTCAGTTTGCTCCTGGCTGTTCCCTCTCGCTTTGTTCCGTCCACGTCTATCTCCTGTCCAGGCCCCCCTCGAACATACCTAGCTAGTTAATAGGCTTAGTATTTCCCTCAAGATCTGACCCCAGTAGTTTCACCTTTTTTGTGTCTGGTGCCGCTGTCTTGCATCGCCCCGTCTGGTTGTCGCGGCCAGCTTCCGCCCCACAGGTATTCCATGTCTCCCTATTCGCGATACTAGGGTCTGCGCGTCCGTCTGATGGTGGCTCTTAGTCTTGGTAGCAGGCCGTCTTCAGCAAGGGCTGAGTTTTTCTCGATACCCCCCCGGGGGCGGGGGGCCAGCAAGTGGATTGTTGACATTGAAACTAGGGGCCAGTTGAGTCATGGCAGGAATTAGTCGTCAACAGTTGATCATCGGTGGTGGAAAGGCACGAGGCTCACTGCTCTCGCCTTTGCTTGGATGGGTGGATGGCGTGGAGGTCGAGTATGTATGTACATCTCACTCAGGTCTCGAAAAAGGATAAAAGAAGAGAAGGACATGATGAACGCACTCAGTCTATGCAGATTACCAGCTACCCTATCTGCCTACCCACCTACCTACTTACTTACCTACCTACCTATCTATCTATCTGTCTGCGCCCTCCTTCATGAGCAAAGCCCTTGCACCGATTCGCGTTCGGATTTGGAAAACTCAGCCGCCAACCTCTCTCATGCCCGGAACTGCAAGTCGCGGTGATGCTCACTTTCAACTTTGATTTCCACCCGAGTCTGCAGTTTGCCTTTCGTTATACATATTACATCCCACATCCCACATCCCACATGGATATGTTACCTCTTGCAGGGCAGTCCTTGGGTTTTAGCCCTTGGCGAGCAGATTCTGATATCGTGGTTGGTCTGTCTGTCTGCGGGTTCGTCCCATTCTCCGAAAATTTATTGAGACCAGGATGGAAAAACGAAATGAAATGAAAGGGTGAGTTAGAGTGACGCGGGCGTGGTGTTTTGAGCTGGACTGAGTTGAGCCCGCTCACGTACTCGCTGACGCTGTCAATTTTATTCTCACTGACTGCACCTTACGACGACTAGGACGACCGTAAGCTCGGAGAAAAAAAAAAGGGGGGGGGAGAAACATTAGAGAGAGATCACCGAGGACAGTCAGTCCGCTGAGAACGAGCAGCGACTCCTTACCTCCCTACCTATATATACAGGGTGATGAGTCTGGTGTCGATAACCTCCGAGATGTCAATGCACGTGCGCATACCTGTGTGTCTGTGTGTGTCTGTGTGTGGATGCTACGAATGGAAAGGCAGTGTCTACGTGTTTTGAACGCTGGGGAGATACTGCTGCATGCCCAGGAGGCAGGTACATAATGTGCTGCCAGATATGACAGTCGTGTCTGTCGGCATTGGTGATACCTTGGAGTTGGAAGTCTCAAGCTTCCGTTCGTCGCCGTGTCCCCAGGTTACCGTCATCAAGATGTATGCTGCCTCTTGGGGCATTCGTTGAACAGCGTAGAGTCTCAGAGAGTCTTTCGCCGCCACTTATCGTATGCGGCTTATATATATATATATATATCCCTCTATACCCGTGTACCTACCTAGGCTATGTATATACCTATATATTTACCTTCCCCTACCTACCCTCCTTCTACCTTTGCCGCCCCCCTGCCCCATTGTCCAAGACACGACGGGCAAAAGCCATATCGATGCACGATTCGCCCCTTACCTAGCCCCCCGAGTCCAAGAAGGGGGATGGGGACTTAAGAATACAAGAGAAACAAGAAGTGGATAGAAGCAGGGAATGTGGACACTCGAGTTCGAGTTTTGGACTGTGATGCGGTTTGGCTTTTGCACCTGAAGCAAGTCCTACCTACCTACTTACCTACGTGGTGAGGACGTTCTCTTCCCTGGATAGTGGATACTACATATTACGGTGTCCTCGCTTCCGATATTAGATCCCGGGATTCGCTCATGTTTGACTAGAATAGCAGCTAAACGCGACGTCTTGTCCGTCCTGCTTTCTCAAAGGAAACTCGGGGTGGCGATGAATATGCGCGGTACGAACTAGGTATATCCCACAGCAAGTAACTCAAGGGTAGGTAATCAGTTAGCTGTCCCTTGACGTCTCAGAAGCACTTCACAGGTGGAGGCTCTAAAGGGGTTATTCGGTGAATGTCGTGAGAGGCGGCGGTCGTCGAGACGGGACATGTCAATTGTTCTTTATCTTCTTGGAGCCCAGCGAGGAGGAATATTCCAGGAGCTGTTGCATGTATCTTGCCGGATGGCGGGGAAAGAGCGGTTATAGACCGGATTGCCAGGTGTCTTGGTCGTCGTCTTCTTAGTCGTCGTCTTTCAATATGGTATTTACCCCGGACTCTGGCGATGGTTAACCCAAACATGTCACATCTGGACAGAGACGGGAGACAAAGGGCCAGAGTTTAGAAGGCCTTCGTTGCTTTCGCGCACCATGGGCAAGAATGAAGGGGGACGAATCTAAAGGGAGAGGATGAGAAGTGGAAGAGACGAGGCGCAACCTACCCCCGAGATATCTTCGAACTCAGGGTCTATGCTTCGACCTTGTGTAGCACCTTATACGAGTTTCTTTCCTGCACACACCACCGGCCTGGCGCGGATAGCTTTGGGTTAGCTACCTCTATTCCCCCTCCCTTCCTTTAGTTGACTGAAAATGCTAGCCCCTGGGGTGGAATGATGAGCTTTCTCGAGTCCACGGACTTGCGAGACCCGTCAACGGCTCGGGTATTTGTCAATGTCGCCGAGCCCCGTGCTTTCCCCTTACATAGCAACAAGCACGTGAGCTGAGTGGGTGGTGATTGAATTTGAGCTTAAGATCAATGATTTTGCTTACTTTCTTCTTGAAACCCGGCATTGAACAGAATGCATTCCATGATAGAGCGGCCAGTGTTGCCGTCGCAGCAGGGATGTAGATGTCGCGGGACATATTGTTTGCTTGAGGATCGAAACCCGTGTGCAGGTTTGGGTCGAAAGGGTCACCCTCCCCCGGACAGCAGACCACGATCCCTTTCTATATCTCCACGCGAGCTGCGGCGTGAAGAGCCAGATGTTTGCGCTGCACACGAGGCAGTCATATATATCACGAGTTCAGCTGGTTCGGACCATGGGTGCCTGTCGTTCGCATAAGTGCATCATTCTGTACTGCTGGGGACCATGCCACGATGGTCCGCATTGAAAGAATGCTGAGTTTATGTAAGGTAGCTTTCACTTAGAGACGCAGGCCGGGTGGATGAAACAAACGAAAGGGGTTCGTTTCCATGGTTTTGAATCCGTTTTGTGGGGTTCATTGCATGCGGATCTCCATTCCGACAATCCCTCATCACTTATTTGATCCAATCAAGAGAGTCCGAGGGTTTGATGCCGGCGAGTCGCAATATAGGAGAGCGAGTGGACATGTCAAAACATGAAATCGGCGAATGTTCTTTTGTCAAGCAAGAGACGTTGTCATTGCTTGCACAAGTACCGCGAGCAGAGCACAAGGCTCAGCCCAAGGCTCGAAATGATAATGGCGTTTTGTTTTCGAATGCTTCGATTGCTGATTGTAGTCGCCAACTAAAAGACTGTGTGAGAAGACAAAATATCAATTGAACGTACAAAGCAGCTCGCCCTCAGAGTTCAACTCAGGTCATCCGATCAAAGAACGTTCTCTCATCAATACGAGCTGAGCAATGCCAGTACAATCGGGGGTTCTGGATTTCGCGCAAAGGCCAAACGAGTGAGCGTGGCAGCAGTAGGACGCTCTCCACCAAGAGTACAAAATGATACGGAGGCGACGGCATCAATGAAGATATTCTCGGAACCAAGACACAGCGGCATTCTTGGCCCGCTCTAAGCCCTTTTTCTGCGTCGGATTCTCGGTATCACCTCGCGTAGCGAAGCCATGGGTTAAACCGGCAAAATATTGGTAATCGTAGTCGATATTCAACGTTGGCAGGACCTTTAGAGAATACTCTTTGAGTTCTGGAGTATAGGTGGGATCCTCTTCTGGCGCGAGGAGCTGGGTAGGGCAACCGACGGCGTCGATCTCTGCTTTTTCGAGCAGAGACGGGTGCGCCGTCGAAATGCAGTCGACCAGGTTGTTGCCTTTTCAGCCCATTCCATGCTGTTAGTCACACATCAAGCCGGTCTCAAGAACCAAAAGGCTGAGAAAGGGAATTAAAACTGACCTTTGGCTCCCAGTCGAAAAACTGCCCAACCTCCATAACAGAATCCAATTGCACCGACCTTTTTATAGCCTAGGTCCTTTTTCAGTGCGGCAGCACAGGCAAAAATCTCCGGTTGCCTGATGTCCTTGCCGTGTCGACCAATAAAAGCTCCCACATCCAATGGTCCAGTCGATGCATGATCGCCAGATCCAAAGAGATGATCAGGAGTGACGATCTCGCCGGCGAAGCTGGAGGGGGAGGCCAAAGAAGAGGGATTCGTCAGCAATTCTGGGAACGAAGCCAGAGAGCCTTTGCCCATGTGCGCGAGAACAGCGCTGAGTAGTGGGCAGTGCGTGCAATACGCCAGCTAATTCAGTCATCAGCACTTACAAATCAGGTAAATACACAGTGACGTCCGCTTCCTCGGCGTAGTGGTCAGCCAGCAGTCGAGTATTGTTCAAGGTCCAGCCGAATATGTCGTGGACGATGAGAACCGCGGCATCCTTGTTGGTGCCAGTTACATAGGCCTTTTTGTCGGCAAGAGTGGTTTCATGGCCTTTCGGGGTACCATCCCACCGGAAGCCAGTAACGCAACAACTAGACAGGGACATTGCGAGGATCTGATGATTTGTGCCAATTATCGGACACCGAGTCTAGTACTTAGGACCTAGAGTAATGAGACGAAGGGCAAAAGGATGGAGGCACCGATGATGCATCGAGGTGGAGGAGCAAAAGATGTTTACTAATGCTTATCTGCTAAGGCTGCGCGAACCCACAAGGCCACCAATGAGAAGGCTCCAGAGCCGGAGCATATATTCCCTACCGAAAACAGTAGTCTCGCCGAGTTTGTGAGGTCTTCTTGACGTGATGGTGAAGACGATGGAAGAGGAGGAGAGTAAGGCACACAAATCGTTTGGACTATGCAAAGATATGTCAACTCGATGACGCTTCCAGAGGACCTCCCAACCTGACGATATAGCTGCGTCTAAGCCGAGACAGAACGTTCCTCTCAAACACAGAGAAGATCAAGAGGTTGAATCGTGGAGATTTTCCTAAGTCGAGGAACATGCTTTACTGTCACAACATGCGAGGTTTGAGCGACTGTCTGGCAAAAGGGCAGTGACGCATAAGGATTGGGAAGGTAAGTCCTAGTGCACGGTGTTCGGGAGGCGCCATATTAAGCTGCAGTTGATCTCGGGATGGATCGTCACATCAGATTCATCGGGTTGGGTTTGGTACAATGCGAAGTATCGGAAGTTGGAGCGACGAGTTTTCTTCAACAATCCGAAGCGCCTTCTCCACGCCTTGGAACCCACGAGCGCGATCCGAAGTGCTTGATTGCCCTCCTGGGGGCTATAAGTTTGCTGTTTGGGGGTCTAACTGGTGGGGAACTAGACGAATGCCGCCGCTGTGATTGAAGGATCTAGACGAAAAGCGGCCACGCCTGTTTACGGAGTACTGGGTACCTTGATCGACCCGAACGGATGCAAAGGCTTCGGGATAGACACCAAGGAAGGCAGTCTAGGTTTGGTTCAGGGGTTGTTTTGTGAAATGGACAAGAGCCTGGGGCCCAGCCTCGCCAACAGTGGCTTCTGTTCTTCCAAGTTCTGATCCCCGAACAGAGCAGGAGAGGTCATCATCACGCACGACTGTCACCACAGTGGCAAGTGCTGGAAAAAGCATCCATCCTGTCCATCCCATCCATCTAGCCGAAGACCAATCAAGGTGAGAAGGTGGTTTTCTAGCTCCAAAGTAGCCGGCAACCGGAGGCCAATTGGAGGCCAATTGGATAGCCCTCAGCAGCAGATGGTGGCAGAAGGAACTGCTGAATCTCGTATTCCTCCCCTCTGGGGGCATCTGGGGGATACCCTGGGCTAGAGGCTAGAGGTCCAGTAGCCCCGAAATTTCACCTCTCCGCGGGGGCTTGGCTACCGACCTAGGCACTAAGGAGCGAGGGAGGCACCTATGCAATTAGGCAGAGTTTTAACTAGCTCCCAATGGGTTTTGGCACCTCTGGTGCCTGTTGGGCGACACTGGGGGCTTTGCCTGATGACATTCCTTCAGCTCTAACGAGGTACGCGCACCCCGCAACCCCGAACCAGAGTCTCTCTGGCCAGTGACAAGACACGCCGTCGGGTCTAGGTGCGGTTCCGCGTGAGACGTTCATGTTTGGAACGGCGTTAGTAATGCCTTCGGGAGAGCAAGCCTCATTCCATGCTTATCCTTGTTCTGGGCCACCATCATGCCAGGACGAACGTACCACGAAGTACTCTTCCCACCCCATCCCATCCTTTCCACCTCAGCAACCCTCTCCCATGCGCCAACCTGTGTGACAACAACTCACCTGTCGTGATCATGGCCACGCATACCACTACGCTCAGCCAGGGAGCCAATGCTACCGCTCGACCTCCCGACACCACCGACACCCAGGGCGTCTCGTCCCGCCGCTTGAAGAAGCGGGAAATTGACCGACGATGCCAACGTCAAGCCCGCGAACGCACAAAGTCCCGCATTGCCTACCTCGAAGGCCTGGTGGAGGATTTCCGACGCCAGGATTCGAGCGGTCAGATCGCCACGCTGATGAAGCAGTTACAAGAGGTGGAGTCTGAGAGAGACCTCATGGCCAAGACCCTCAAGGACATCCAAAAGGCAATGGACATACACAAGCCGACAAAGCCGGTCGAGGAAGAGGTGGACGACAAGAGCACAGTGCTCATGGCGAGAATGGCCTATGAAGAGGCCAGGAGTGTCGAGCGGCGAAGTTCGAGTCTTACTCCTACGCGAGACGATGCTCCTCTGGCCTTCCAGCCCGACCCCCTGGAGATGCCATCGGCCACCAGTCCGGCGAGGAATTTCGACCTGGCCACTTTCTCGCCGACACCAAGCTTGCCGCTGCAGTCCCAGGATCTTCTCTTTGCCCCAGAAGTGGTGCCCTTGCAGGCCGATGGAGCCCATGCGTCCACTCAAGTCATGGTGCAATCCAAGGCTGTGAAAGAACAGAACCCGATGCCGTGCAGTTGGAGCGACAACTGGGCGATCCCGCGACGGTCCTGCTCGTGCAACAGCTGCCACGACCGTCGCCCTGGCCGTCGCTCCGTCTGGCGGGGAAACTACTGGAGCTACGCAAACGAAGTGCTAAGCGAACGCTTCGAATGGAACGAAGAAATGGCCCCCGAATCTGATGAGCTGTGCGACGACGTGCCGATTCGCGCATTGATCGAGGGTTGGGACGCCGTGGCAAAGCGAGCTCCTTTGCACCCTTCATGGCAGATCCTGCGCCGCATCGACGAGACCCTGTTCTCCATGTGTCCCAACACCGAACGTCTGGCAATCCTGCGCGCAATGCACACGCTGTTGCAATTCCACACGGAGTCGACCTTCGACCGCTACGCACGACTCCCGCCATGGTACATGCGTCGCCCGTCCCAGAAGATCGCTCACTCTTACGCAATCGACTACTTTGCGTGGCCAGGCGTGCGGGAACGGTTCATCTTCAGTGAACACGACTACTGCGGCAACGACTTTTGGCATTTATTCTGCAAATCCTTTCGGATCTTGTGGCCTTATGAGTTTCGAGACTGCTATACTCGGGAGATTGAGACGGGCATGTACAAGTTCTCCCCAATCTTTGATCAGCGACTGAGGGACATCAAGTGTTGGACAATGGGGCCCGATATCTTCCAGAGGTTTCCCGAGCTCTACAGCGACATGCCGGCGTTCAACCATATTCCACAGTCTCCCTGTTCGTCCACAGGGAGCATCATGCCAGTCGCGGTGCAGACGCAGGTGCAGAAGGCAAGGCTACTTCCGCCGAGCCCGTCGGCGAAGACAACCCAGACAACCGGGACGGGCTACGTGATCGAGGTGGAAGAGGAAGAAGTAAAGCCACCTCCCGCAGGCAGCCAATTTATCCCCGTTGAGAATTTGCACACGCATGTCGTTCAGACATCTCAGTCACAGCCACAGCATCCTCGTCAGGGACAGCATCATCGGCAGCAGCAGCATCATCACCACCACCAAGGCTCGCCTTTGGATAATCCCCATACGTACAACCCATCAGACTTCAACCCGATCATGGCGCTAGACGCGTTCGCGTACGGCGCCATCAGTGAGGCGGACTTTGCGAATGCATATCATTCTGAACCGATGGAGGGGTATCCGAACCTGATCTTCTGAGCGGCAATGATGAGCGGTTGGCAGTGCTATACTTAGACGGGTAAGCCCCGAGTGGAAAATGGTTAGATACCACTTGACCATGTAGGTAGGTCGTTCTCGACAATACCAAGAATAGCCTGTCAAAGGCAAGTCCAAATGCAGGGGACTTGGTATGGCTGCCATGTTCAGCGTTCCACAGAAGGCAGCTCTAGTGTGCCTTTGTGCGCCCAAAGTCTTTTGCAGTCAGCGAGGAGGAGGAGTGTGTGTCCAGGATCCAAAAAGGGGGAAGGTTGGGTTCCAAACACACATACGTATCCATCCAACCAACATGCAACCAACAGATTGCGAAAACATGAATGACGGCTCATGGCTCATGGCTCATGGCTCATAGTCATGGTCATCATCATCCATTCTCCATCATCCTCTTGCTTTCACTAACGAACCAAAACGCGCGACACCGCCGAATAAACTTCCCATTCCAGAAAAAGCGCCGCAATCTGTCCTCGCACCCTTCCCACGTCGCCGTGTCCGCGGGGAACCGACGTCTCAGGTCGCGCATGAGTGTCTGGCCCTGGGGGAGTAAGGTGTCGTTTGCGGCGCGCCACGAGTCGACTAGGTTGAACCATACCCAGAGGAGGACGGATTCTTCGCTCTCGATCTCTGCGACAGCATCTTTGCCGCTTGAGGGGTGTCGGGACGTGGACGCTTGCGTGGGAGTAGAAAGAGATGTTCGTCTCACGCGTCGCGGCGCGTCCGTCGTCAATTTCATCCTGCTGCCGTTGTACACGGCCGTCACGGCCCTCATGGGCGAGAACGTGTGCAGACAATACAACAACAGGGCTAGGACGATCATTTTCTCGAGATTCGGCACCATCACTTCCTCCGCCACGCCGTCCTCGGCAAGCCGCGTGTGCACTTCGTCCGGCGCGCCCAAGCACGTGCACGCCTCCCAGAAATCCTGGAATCGCCGCGGCTTCGTACGAAAGACGTCGCTGGGCGTGACGATCGTGCCGTGCCTCATTTGCTCCGTGTGTGCCTCGGCCGTGCGGGAGAGGACCTCGAGCACGTCCAGCGCGAGCCGTCTTTGGTGCGCCAGCGCCTGGAACCCGAGCGGCAGCGACGCGACCTTCTGGCCCAGAGGAGAAGATGAGGAGGCAAGGATTTGGACCGGTGGATACACGGGCTGGTACGCAGGGCGGGCTTCCGGGAAAATACTAGACCCCGTGTTGAGCGCCCAGAAGGACTCCCACTGCATCAGCGTGCAGCGCGCGAGGCCGTCGTGGCCGTGCAGACTCTGCAGCCCGCCCCGCGCGGCGACGAGGGAGGCGATTGTCCTCTTGTGGATCTCGTGCGAGGGCAGGTCGTTGATGGCGCGGGTCACCACGGCGAGGAAGAGGACGGTCATGATTGTCATGTCGTCAACGAGGGTTTCGTTGTTGCTTCTGTTCTTGGCAGCAGGTTCAGGGGAGTCCTCCTCCAGCTCGTCATCACGGCGCTGATGACCATTATCAGGAGCAATATCAACACTCACATTGTTACCATCCTTCCACTCCTCTCGTGGCCTTCTCCACCTCCTCCTCTGTGTTTCCTTCTCTCGCTTCCGCTGCTCCTCCTCCTCCTGCTCCCGCATCTCTCTCTGCACGCGGCCCAACCTCCTTCGCAACCTCACCATCGCCGTCCCGATATGCCGTAAGACGTTCTCGCTCGGTCCCGGGGCGTCGTTGGGTCGTCGCCTCAGATGGTCAATGATAGCCTGCACGCTTGCGACGCCCGTGTACAGAAAGTCCGGGTGCGTGAGCAGCTCAAAGTAGTACGACGTGTAGACGTTTGTGACGTTGAAGATCTTGTAGATGGGCGCGTGGTTGGGCGCCATGATCTGCGCGTGGTAGTCGATGACCGCGTTGACGGACGGCGAGTGGGCGTGCCGTCGCGGGATGCAGTCGAACGGGTCGGCGCGCGTGCCGAGCAGGTCGTGCGGGATAAACGCCGGAGTTGTCGGCGTCGTCGGGTTGTTGATGTTGGTGGCCCAAGGCCTCATGTGTGCTGTGGTCTGAGCATGCGGGTTGATTTGGTAGACGACATTGTGACGAGGGGGGGTCGTCGTCGTCGTCTGTGGCAAGATGAGAGCAGTCGATGCAGCGGAGGACGAAGAAGATGACAATCTGTCGAGGGTCGACGAGGAGTTGTAGTTGAAATTGACTTCTTCCACGTCTTCGGTGCTGGGATTGTCCTCGCCGTCGCCCTCCGACCAAATCCCGGCCCAGGTGGAGTCGGGCGGTGTCAGGGCCTGGTTGGACGACGGGTGTGCGAAGGCATTTGTGGACCACGGTTGGATCAGACTCGTATTCGTAGGTGTATTTGAGTTGCGCTCTTGTGGCGATTGGGGCGGCGTGTGCAATCCATGTTGTGGTTGAACTTGACAAAAGGACAGAGCCGGGTCGGACGATGAACCACCGCTGGCCTCAACCTCCCAAGATGGGCCGGGCCCCATGTTAATAGCGTCCGATCTGGCGATGAACTGGGACTGCCGCCGGCCGCCACCAACACCGGCATGGTCACTACCCTGCTCCTCCAGCGTTTGCGGTCTCTCGGGCTGTGGTGGAGGCCATGGCTGAGGATGAGAGAGAGGTGCTGCAAGGCGGGGTGCGTGATGATGATTCTGATACGAAACCGTGGCCGCGTGCGAGCGGGCTTTTGCTCGCTCCAGTTCCTTATCCCGCTTCGATGAGCCGACGGGTAATTCCTGCACGAAATGGAGTCGAGGCATCTCTTCTTATGTTATGGTTTTTCATTGCATTGTAGCGTGGTGGACGACGAGGGCATGGGACAACGGAGACGGATGCATTCCTAGGCAGAGTTGTGAAACTGGAGGGGCGCCGTTGGATACCGCGTACGGGGTGCGTCCTGCTTCGGCGAACGGCAGTTAATGAGGCGAGTTGGGGACCAGTATGGACCGGCGACAGCCACCTTGTTGAACAGTTGAACTGGAAAAGAGAGGAGAAAAGGGACAAGGTGGACTGACTACTGCCGTTTGCGAATACCTAGACTACATCGACGGCGTACGGCGTACGGGGTACCGGTGTACGGTGTCCCGGTGAGCCCCAGGCCCTCGCAAGAGCATCGACTGTAGGTATTGCTTGCGCGTCGAGGGTCAGTGTCAGTGTCCCTGGCCCTGGCTCTTCATGCGATATGTACTGTACTACTACGAGGTAACCGAGCACGCAAAACAGGGCTTGAACAGGGTCAGCAATCGCGTGGGCCGAGAGCCACTTTTTGATGAGTTAGTAATCCGCGCGCTCGTGGTGCCCTTTCCCTGCACGGTTCAGCCAAGGGAAAAGTGAGGGAAAGGGGGACCTGGTGGACTTAGGCCATTCGCTGATCGGACGCATGCCAATACCCCGGAATGGATATTCGGTTAGTACCCAGTATGTAATACCTGTATCCCAAAAAAAAAACGAGGTTGGTAGGGTCTGTACGCGGAATTTCGCCGTAGTGAATGGAGCAAATAGCGCACAGGTCATGATTCTTTTGGCGATGAAGGAGTCCACGGAGAGATGAATGCAGTTCATGGTAGGAAAACAAAAAGGAGCCTGGGGAAGATGTTGAAACACCTGGGGTTCAAGCGTCAGGGTCAAGGATGGAGGGATGAATGCATGACATCCAATCCGCGCTGGTCAGATCAACTCCTGGACCAGTAATTGTATTGACGATTGGGGGCAAACCTCGGGTATCCCATTGTCCTCTCGCTTTGATAATAGACAGTCATGTCATCTTAATGCTTTTTGGCTGGGTGCATGTCCCTATCTTACAAGCATACCACCGGGCACAAATTACCTTCCTCTTTTTGCCTCTGTAACTCCTTGTTGAATTTTCACCCGCCCATGTCCTCCATCCCTCAGCTGAGCGGGAAATGAATCCCATCAATGTCCCAATGACCACCGCCCTTCAAGCAAATGCATCCTCCCGATCAGCCCATATGTCTTCCAGCTCATTAAAGCTGCTGAAATGCACGGGCCGATGCAGATCATCATAGAATCGTCGCGGCGTGTCAATCTTGACATACACGGGCCTCTTCTCCACGGTCGAAAACTGCGCCCCCATGAAACTGTAATTCCATACGTCCGTCTCGGGTACCAGGAAGTAGCCCCGGATCTTGTCAGACAGGAGCAATTGGGTCTTGACCCCAAACGAAGTCGAAAAGCCCGCCGGATTGTCGGACTGCGTGTCCTTGTTCGACGCGCCCCATGTATATCCTTGTGGGCTAAGGGCCCATGAGCTGAGGGAGACCGAGCCCGGCGTGAATGACACGGTCAGTGTAATGGTCTTTTTGTCCCAACTGGGATGTTGAGCCATTAGGCGAGAATGCATGGTCACATCCGATGCACTCATGTATGGCATCTCATTACCACTGACTGTGTGGATAATCCCAAGTGGTTCCATTGTCTTGAGATACTCGTTTTGCGGAATTTGGTGCGGCAATTGTACTTCGCGTATGGAACCGACCTGGGGAACCATCACTATCGTGCGGATTTCCTTGACCTGATCATTGTCCGGTGGCGACGAGCCGTAGAGATACCCAGCCACTTGGACGCGAAGATCGGCAATTGTGATGAATTTTTTGAGAATGTTTTTGGGGAGCACATACGTGTACAACTCGTCCGACTCGTGAATGTCGTCGCTCGAGATGTAGATGTTGTTCGCACGCGTCCTCAGGTTCGAAGTCGCGATCGCCCGCGTTCGCCATTCAGTCTTGGAGGCAAATGACTGTTGCTCATATTGCGACGTCGTCGTGACAATGATCTCTTCGCCTCGGACATTTTGGGTCTTGGTCGTCACCGCAGTCAATTGTTGCTGCTCTTGTTGCTGTTTCTCAATCTCTGCGGCTTGCTGTCGTTGCATCGACGGTGCCGAGATTTCCATGCCCAGAATAATGTCTCGCACTTCACTGCTGGTGAGAGACTGAACGTTGACATTGTTCTTCTTGCCGTAATCGTTCAAGATAAGGTCTCGAAGCTGAACTTCGACCTTGATCCAATCTTCGTCCGAAAGAGTGGGCCAGATATGATGTGCCTGAGTGATGACAGTCTTATCAGGTCGGAGAAGCAGCTTCGTCTTGTCGGTGTTCACATGCAAAGCGCGGAGAATGAGGATCAACCTTGAAAACGCCGTGTACGACGATATCGACTTCAACCAGTCGTCGTACAGATTGAACAAGACCATCTGTGGCTCCTTGGCTTGCAGAATCATGTCAGCTAACTTTTCGACCTTCATAGCTGCCTGGAATGGTAACTGGAGCTCTGAAGCTCGGATGGAAATATTCGGGAAATCCAAGAGATGAACCTCAAGAGGGTCAAGAAGACCTTTACGCGTCACGATCAACTGTTTCGGCTGTTCCTCGACAGGTAGAGATCGTATCAGTGCAGCAACTTCTTCTGCCGTCTTCCATTTTGCCAACTGGCCAAGACGCTTCTGACCAGCCCACACACTGGTGTGGATGATCTTCAAGAATAGTTGTCCAGTCTTCGGGTTGAACACGAAAACGGCGCCGTTGATAGGCTTCGTCGTCAGATTGCCCTCAAAGGTTTTATGGATGGTGACTCGATAAACATTTGTGTCATCGATGAACAATTGAGTCTGGTTGCTGAATAATTCCGAATAGTTCTGAGAATTCAGGAACTCTTGAGTGCTTTCGGAGGCGTACAGTTGGAGGCCTTTTCTGATACGTTCGCGTAGCACATACAGCGCCGGATTTGCTTTCATGATCTTGGCCATTGCCTGTTGCACCAAAGCCTTCAGACCGGGGAAATACTGGCCGTATGCAGAGTAGAGATTGTATGCGAGGTCAATAGCAACCATCAGCCCAGTCGCTGAGGGATAGATGCTCATGCTGTCAGTCGTGTAGTCGAGGTATTTGGCTCGGACGTAGCGTTCAATGTCGTGAGAGTCGTAATCCCCGTAACGCAACTGGACGTCAACCCAAAACTTGTTCGTCGTCGTGGCCTCGATCTGATCTTTTGTGTCAAAAAGAAGAGACGGTCGAGTGACGTTCCATTTGTGGCTTGCAAACAACAGAATATCAGCGCAGGAGCTGTTCATTTTGTAAGATTTTCGAGGATGGATCGTCTCTTTCTGAACAGTCTCAATGCCTAATTGCTCTAGTTCCTGATCAAAGACTTGACACAAATCCATGACAACAGATTCATGGATCTTTTGCCACAAGTGGGCACGGAATATCTGGCTAAAAACATTGGTTAGCATATAGTAATATTGATGGAGGGGAACACGCACATTAGGCTTATCTTTAAAGTCGGAATCTTGCCGTGAAGGAAAATGCCGGTCAAATCGAGCTGCACTTGGAAACCCACGTAGACATTTGCCCTGTTGATGGTGGGCGACCACCAAAGTGTGAAACGACGATTCGGAATTTGATTCAGACCGGACCGTTGGGCATTGGTGAGCTTCTTAAATTTCATGGACTCTTCAAAGCCACTGTTGTGAAGCACGAGGTAATCATGGCGGAGATAAAGCTGGTCTTTATCGACGCGGAAACCTGCCCATTTTGTAGGCTCGGCCTCGAGGGAGACATCCTCTATCATAAAGCTGTGGGCTTGTGGGATGAAACGCTCGACTGGTTTCTTGCTCGCGAGACAGGGTATCTCTGCGAGATTGCCAGATATCTGGGCAACAAGCTGAGGGAGTTGTTGCGTGTGATTAGGATTGCATTTCATGATCCGCTCAGTCGATACGCTGAAACCCAGAGAGCGTGCAAGAGTAACAACATCCCAGAAAAGACGAGAATGCCGGCGCTCACTTCGTTGGAAGCAAAACATCTTCTCGGAGTCAACGTACCAGCCATCGCCGTCGAGAAGCCCTGCAAGGACGGCTAGGCGAACAGCTCTTGTATTCTTCACAAAGACTTCTGGAATGCGCTTTTTGCCGGCTTCGGAGTCCGTGGCCCCTTCTGCGAGAACTCCAAGTTCACGGAGCGCGTTGAGAAGCGTGTTTATAGCAAAGGACTTGTTGGAGTTGCCAACGATCCTGTCGGCAAGCTCTTCCTCCTCTTCGGGCTGCAACTCACCGTAAGTCCGATGACCAGCCTCCAAACGAATAACACGTTGACACTGAAAGCGTGACGCTCGGCCATGATAGTCATCAGTGATTGACTCCACACTGTCGTCGTCACAACTAAAGTCACTATCAGGGATAGACTCGACACTGTCGTCGTCGCTGCTGCAATCACCATTCATGAGAGGAAGGCTTGGAGCTCCGACTCTGGTCTTGCCAACAAAATGAAGGTCGAGTTCAGCCACGTGAGAAGCGAGAAATTCTCGGATTTCAGTTTCATGGTCGCTGTAGACCGTAGGCTCGCTGCGTGATCCATCTCCTAGCCAGAGCCCCAGAAAGTATGCGTTGACTGGCGGTGCCTGCTCTGGCAGCTCAAAACCAGGGCTTCCGAAGAGGCGATATTTGGTCCTCTCCATGCGGTCGAGCGACGCAAAGTCACGGGCCGTCATTTCGACGGTGTCGAAGACATTATCTTCTGGGTCGTCCTTCTTACGGTGGAGGACCAAAATGTGGTTTGGAGTGACAACGAGATCCTCCTTTCGAGACGCAATCTTGATACGATATAGACGATCTGTTCCATTGACGATGTTGAATGCGCGACGAGGACCACCGTCGGGACCCAGAAGTAGATCTCCCTCCACGACATCTTCAACGGCGATCCTAGAGCCATCATAGCGCAGCAGCATAGTACCGTTGGCGAGA